CCTAATGAGAAAACACCAACTCTTTCTCAAAGCAGAGAAGTGTGAATTTGAGGTACTCAAGACTGAGTACCTCAGAGTCATTATCAGTGAAGGAAGCATTCAAATAGACTCTGTTAAGATGGTGGGAGTGACAGAATGGCCAGAGCCCACCAAGAAAAAGGAATTACAATCCTTTTTGGGTTTCACCAACTTCTATTAACAGTTCATCCAAGACTACAGCAAAGTGGTCTGGCCAATGACCCAACTGACTGGCAATGCCTCATGAACCTAGGGCCTATTCTAACAGTCAGCATTTAACAATCTAAAGTGATGATTAGTAGAGGACATCATCCTCACAATCCCAACCCAAGATGGGAAATTTTGTGTCAAGGCCAACTTGAGTGAAGATGCCATCAGTGCTATACTCTCTCAGAAATAGAACAGCTGATGGTGTCTGATTGCATTTCTATCCAAAGTATTAACTATTACAGAATGCAATTATAAAATCTATGACAAGGAATTACTGGTGATAATGCTCACTCTGGCCAAATGGTAGCATTATCTGATTGGAGCAGCTCTGACTTTTGAAATCTGAACTGACCATCAAAATCTTTGATACTTCTGAGTGCCACAAAAACTAAACCACCAACAAGCTCAGTGAGTCATAGAATTATCAGAGTACAACTATATACTGCACCACAAGGCTAGTGCAGCCAACAAGAAGGTAGATCTGCTTAGCAGAAGAGCAGATCACAACCAAGAAGGGGATGATAATGAGGGAGTCATAATTCTGAAGCTAGAACACTTTCATGTGATGATTATGCCAATAGAAGAAGAAGTCCATGAGTGTATCAAGAGTGCCATGTGCAACATCTACAAATGGGACCAGTGAGTTGCTTCATCACTTAATCATGAACAAGGAATGAGAAAGAAAAAAGATATGATCCACTACAATGAGCAAATCTATATTTCCAGAGACTAAGCACTGCATGGTGAAATCATTGCCATCTGTCATGACTATGCAACTGCTAGACACCCAAGGATCATAAAGATGAAGGAGCTCATCTTATGAAAATATTGGTGGCCTAAAATGGGCAAAAATATAGAATAATATGTCAAGACATGTGAGATATATTAACAAGGCAAGTCCTCCATACAACTATGAGCAGTGCCACTCCACCCAAATGAGGTTCCATCATCACTATGGACTCACATTTTGGTGGATATGATCACCAGACTATCAGACTATAATGGTTATGATGCTATAATTGTTATAGTTGATTGCTTCTCCAAAGTGATCATCTTAATCATGTGTTCAACAGAACTAACCTCAGAAGGATGGGCAAAAATTCTATGTGATGAGGTATATGCCAAGTATAGCATGCCTCAAGTAGTCATCTTGGACAGGGAACCACAATTTGTCTCCAAGTTCTTGGATGATCTATACTGACTCCTCAACATCAAGCACAATGCATCAACCACCTATCATCTCCAGACAGACAGCTAAACAGAATGGGCAAACCAAGAGGTGGAGAAATATCTCTGCCTCTTTATCAACTATTGCCAAGATGACTGGATAGAATGGCTGGCTCTTACCATCTTCCAACACAACAATAGGATCCACTCAGCTACAGGTAAGATGCCCTTCTTCATCAACTATGAACAACACCCACATGTTGCTCACACTGAATACACACACACATCTCCATACCTGTCTCCAGCAACTTTGCCACAACTATGGCAAAAATCTATTCCAAAACCAAGACAGCCCTTGAAAGAGCTGCTACAACAACAAAGAAGCAGTACAACAAACACTGTTGCATCACCTATAAATATTCAGTCAACAATAAAATTTTGCTGGATACAACAAACCTACATCTCTTCCAACTGAAGTGCAAACTCACTGATAAGCAGACTGGCCCATTCCTTATACTGGCCAAAATCAGCAACTCCACATACAAATTATATCTCCTAGTCACCTGAAAGATTCACAATATTTTTAATGAGGCATTATTAATGCCCTACATTGCACCAGCATTCCCTAACCAGGAATGACCATCTCCTCTATCACCTGACCTTATTGACAATGAAGAACACTACAAAATTGATCAGGTATTAGACCACAAACTATGAAAAGTTAGAGCCAAAGGTGATGGTATGACAATGATAGTGGACTACCTGGTCAGTTGGAAAGGCTATGGACCCAAGTCAAACCAATAGATCAATGAATGCCACATGGACACCAAGGATGCAATATGCAAATACAACAAGAGGTATTGACCAATTTAACAGTCAATATCTTTATGAATCTTATGGTTGAGACTATTACATGATCATGACTAGGGACATTGGCCAATTCAATGGTTAATGTCTTCATGAATCTTATGAGAAAAAGGGCAGGTTATCTGCTCTAGGACACCTAGACTTATTCCTAAATTAAGCCATCAGAATGATGGTCTTAAGAAGAGGGTAATATTATGATTTTTCCTTATATTCATCTTTTATTTGAAGGGACTGACCCCTATATTTGCTTAGTCAGGGCATCTAACCAGTGCTTAGGACTATGGGACTCAGGCTTAGTCATCACAATGCTCAGTCAGTCATTGTCCTTCAATGCAATAGTAACTGCTTGACAACAGACAATACCCTTTTGTAGGTAGCTTCACAACACTGGACAAAACACTCTATAGTGCCAGGACACACAATTAGGTAGATATATCTTTAGAACAGATGACAACTAGTATATAAGTAGTGTAGCTCTCACTGTAGTATCTCCAGCTTTGAGCTAAAGTTTATTTCTTCACCATCTTATCTCAAGCCAATCTAAAGGCCTTGTGATACAGAGCCACATAACACAATCAGTGAACTCTGACATCATTGCCTGAAGTGCAAGGCAGTGTCAGTTTATCATGTGTTTAGGTCACATGTCATTTGGGCTTAACACACAGCTGGGTTGGAATAAAGAGCACAGGTCTTCTAAGGTCAATCATGGTGATCCTAAGGCAACAGAAAGCATGAACAACTCTACAATGGGTGAGCACTGACAAAAGGTTATATTCACTCAGGCATCAGGCTGCAACCCAACAAGCTAAAGAAGGAGCACAATGAGACAAGTCTCACACTGTAATGTTAACTATACCAACCAAATTCTGACTCCAAGGAGCTGAACTGCAGGTAATAATGCAGGCTCTAGCATACAAGAGCCTACTGGAATGGAGAGACAAACCAGAGAGGTAAAGCATGAGTATCAATCTTGATATCATGTGATGTGCTGTCAAAGATCACAATGGCCTTGCTTCTACAGATGTGAAGGTCTGGCTCTCAATATGACATCCAGATTTTAGTCATAAAATAAAGACCTTCCTGTGGAAGAATATGCATGATATCTAAGCCATCAGTGCAAGGTGGGAGAAGATACAAGAGAGAGAGCATCTAGCAATATGCTCAAACTGTAAATCCATGGAAAGCATAGAGCACATCATGGTTGTGTGTGACATCCCATGTCAAACATGAATATGGAAGCTAGCTGCTGCAGTCTTAGACATGAAATTTCCCCAACTTCCCTGGCTCCAATTGACATATGGGATGATTCTAGGATGTGCACTAATAGAGTTCAACAATGACAATGATAAACCCATACATGGTGCAAACAGGCTGTTCTGCATCTTAATATCTGAATCAGCATGGCTAATATCGAAACTGCAGAACAAATGATGAAGATGACATGGAGAAATGACACTCATCCCAAGAAGTGCACAATAGATGGCTCACCACCATAAACACCAGGCTAAGGATGGACTGCTTGCTCATGAACAAGGCATGTTAGAGGACAAAAGCCATAGTTGCAGAGGTTGTTGTGGCTATGTGGGCAGAAACTCTAATGAATGAAAATGGTAGACAAACAGAATGGATCAAAGAAGTTATTAAAGATGATGCTGAGGTTTTAGTGGGTATCAAGCCTCTATACCAGACTCTCTGAACCAGAGGATGGCACAGATAAGGAGGCTTGAGTCCACACTGTCATGAAGGGCATGCATAAAGCATTTCCTCAGCAGTGGAACTCAAGGGTGGAAACCCCATTTTAACATGGGCTGAGGGAGCAAGCATGGCTCACTGCCCCAGGCCCAAAACATTCCTCCAAAGTTAGCAGGCCCAGTGAGAAAGGACAATTGGACAAGCCTTTGGTGACCCATTATTAGAGTGATCCACTATTTTGCTCAAGTTAACTTCCATATTGCCAAGATGTTCCTAATGACACTGGAGCAGTATCAGCAGTCCTCCTCGATAAAGTGGCCCACGTGTCACACATAAATTGATGTCAGTGTTAGCATCGCTAGAGCAGTGGCTCTACATCAATGCATCAACAAGATGTCTTCAACTGAATGGCACTGGTATGTTGTGTTATTTCATGCAAAATTGACTGCAATACATAATCTCGGTTATTGCAGGCAGCTCTCTTTCCTTCTGAGATCAATGAAATATATCATATTTGCATGGACTTTTTCATTCCTGAGGGACCAATGTTCTCTCTTTGGAGATGAATCGATCTTGATCAAGCCACTATATAATAATCTTATGATGATACATTCCAGCAACTGAAGCGCATGCATTATTGTGCATCTTCCGGTGTTCTATTCCTACAACTGACTCGCTCGACTATGCCACATCTCGTCTGGCTTCAACATACCAGGCGATGGTGTCTACAGTTGTAATGGGTGTGATCTTGGCTCTTTTCTTTGTACTTCAAACCTAAACTTTGCAGATGGAAATATGGGTTGCTGAAAGTCCAAGCCATCCCAGTTGAACTCCTCAAATCATTTGAACTTCTCAACTCTGGAGCGGAACTTTTCAATGGAATAGCAGGAATAGGTTTGATGCACGTCGTTAAAGGAAGAGAACAGGAGGGAGTACAAGTACCCATGATTGTCCGGGCGTTGAGCCCCTCCAAGGACAATAACTGACTTTCTACTCTTTCAAGACCAAGTTAGACTACGACTGTAGGTAGGTATTCTCATCAACATCAAATTATGTAAAGAAATAAGCAAACTTCGGCCGACTAGCTCGGCCTCCTCCACAGTCGCGAATTATCATGTAAACGGTGCTCCCGAGAAAGTGCCAGCACTAGGAGGTTAACGCCTTTACAACTACTGGTACCTGCATCCCTTCTTGTTCCCTTCCTTTGACGATGGGTATCAAACCCACGAATGCACTCCCATTGAGAATTTCCGCTCCAGAATCGAGGAATTCGAACGATTTGAGTAGTTCCACTATGATAACTTGTAGTTGGATTAATCTGTCGGTGTCACCGTGTCAGGTGGAAAGCGATCACCGAAGTGGGTTGGACGCACCCATACTTCCATCTGTTCGCAGAAGACAAACTGAAGTCAGAGAGAAGGAGGGATGGGAAAGGGAACGCACCCTATACATCCATGGACGCCGTCACCTAGGTGAGGGTTAATCAGATAACTGAAGTCTATCCCAAAGACGGTGGCTCAACTGAAGTTCAAGCTATTAGGGGTCTTTTCAGCACAAATTACAGTGAATACTTGAGAATAAAACAGGCCTACAGATTCGCATGTAGACCGACCGAAACTCTGCTGCTTTCCTGGAGGAAGCGTTCAGGATTCCAGACGTCAGGATCTTTGCCCCATACACTCGAAAGCCTGCAATCAAAAGTGAATAAGCCTCGGGAGTCGGGGGGTACCTCAGTCCTACCGATTGTACGTATACGCTGAAAGCATCACCATCTGTCCCTTCTCCACTGGAACCTCATTCCACCTCTGGCCCGCTTGTGTTATGATGGGCTCACTCAAAGGGATGACGTCGTTTTCAGCTGAGTACCGCAAAAAGCTGAACATGAGAGGATGCAGCCGCAGAGTTTCCTTATATGCCCATGTAAGGACTTGATTTGAAGAAAAAAGAAATAAAGCGACAAATACATTTATGGCAGCGTTGAGCAGAGGCATGGTCTCATAATCCGTTATGCGGGTGATTTCTTCTCTAACTTGGGATTGATACCCCGGACGCCGGCTGAGTTCGTAGAGCATCCAAGACATCGCAGACGCTACAGTATCCTCAGCGGCGAGAGTGAATGTCCTAAAAGTAACAGACAACATGCAACCTGTCAGAAAGTGTGAAACCTGGGATAATTAGTCATTACGCCAGCTGCGAGAGGATCTCATCCTCGTCCAATGAATCTTTGTCGGATGCTATGGCTATTTACATTCAGCAGGTTCTCAGATGCAGCGAAAGATATATGCACCTAGGAGAGTCACAAGATCCCTCGAACCATTGCGGGGAGCATTCTTAATCGTCTCGCGCGCGGTCTTTCTTGCTACGGTGTTGAAATGCCGGAAGATCTTACTCTCCGGCGTGGGTACCCTGTCAAGGATGGATAGCACCGATTTTGGTAGGAATCTCCAGAGAGCCGGAGCCAAGACTACAAGGGGAGTCGACGATACATTGGAGAGGGCAGTACTGAAACATGTCAGAGAGCAATGGACATAGAAACGGAGGAAGATCTGATCTGACGTACAATGAACGTCGAATCAAGTCTGCCATTTCGGACGATCTTCCATCGAGGGCGGCAAAGTTGTACCCCAAGGAGGCTAAAACCCAATGGTGAGAAGAGATCTCTATTCTCACCGAGAATTATACCTAGGCCTATATTATCCAAAGCAGCACGGCCGGCCCATTTCAACATGTTGATCTCCCTCGGAGCTTCGCTGACAAGTTCACGGATCTTCGCACAGAGCTGATTCCGAAGTAAATTTTGAGTAAACCATTGCAAGAGTGTAACGACAAACCCTGACGCCAGTAGCCTTAAACACACTGGCGTACTTTTTTAACTGAATAGATGAAAATGCCGGACCGAGGACCCTCCGTTGGCGCTGATGCGCAGAGCCTGCGGCAGCTACGACGCTTCTTCCCACTGCCATCTCCCATACATGCACGATGTCCTTCGTTTTGGGGTAGCGGTACCCAGAATCACGGAGGATGTGCTGGATAGCTTTGGGGTCGGAGGTCATCAGGATGTCTTGCTATAGCACCGAGGTCAGGTGATGAGCAAAAATCAAGAAAACGCTTACCGCGAAGCATCCCCCAATACGAAACGTGTTACCGTACGTTTTCTGCCAAATCGTCTCTAGGCCGCCGGCGGTGGGTTGGGCACGTAGTTCGAATTCGTGGCCTGGGTGGACTGCTAAGGTATTGACAGATTTCCGCAAAGAAATAAAGCTTGCCTAGTAATATCGAGGACCGCGGTGGGCCGTGAAGGTGTCGGATGGCCTTAGTTCTCACGAAGTACCAATAGTACACCACCGGAAAGAAGAGAAAGACTATGAACGCAGCGATGGAGCACATTGTCAGAGTGGAGAGTTCAGGCGATGCTAGAATTAACGTCTGATGTGTAAGGGGAGATATTTATTCACCTTGGCACCCCTGGAAAGGTAATTAACAGAGCCTTTCGGCGCCTAACCTCACTGTTACCTGTGCGAAGCCACGACGCTTCATGGCAGAGCGCTTTCCCTTGCGCGCAATCAGGAGGGGTGTTTCCAGTCAGAGCCTGACATGAGGGGTCAGGCTGCTGTAGACCTGGCGTCCGAAGCCACCTCGTTTTTTTTTTTCGGTTTCCTACTTTGGACAAATAAGCACAAGGACATTGAATACCACCGCTAACCGCTCACACTCCCTCCGAAACAAACTTTTCTTTGGGAAGTTTTTGTTGTATCGATATCGTGATGCAGATGACAATTGAAAACAAGAGAGACGACGGTCCCGAAGTTGACGGTAATGCAAATCAAGTTTTTTCCGCGTGCGCGAGTGGGTGCTGTGGTGTAAAATATGCCAATCAAGAATTTGGCGCTCACCGGTTTTTGACTCAGTGCTGTAGATATAAAAGTAGCAAACAACAGACAGAAGGTATCGATCCAACGCAATGGAGAAAAAGGCCTCTCAGGCTCCCCAAGGCTTCCATGCGACACATGGATTTCCCATCGGGCTCATGGCATTATGCATGTTGCACGCTGGTTCTCTCTGTTCACATCCCTAGAATAAGCATCAGATGATGTAGCCTGGAAAAAGTCTAGATGACCTTGATCACGAACTTCAGAATCAGGTTCAATCAACAACCGATATGTCCTGGCTTGTATCAATTTTCCGTGCTAACGACAGGCCAGCTCAACAATGCTCGCTGAAACGCGATACAGCACTGCTAGATACACCCTCTTCATCACGCGATACCTCACGCAGTTAAGACACACGTATTCCAAGCAAGGCAGCGCAGCAGCTTCCAAGTATATCCCAGTGCATTTAGCGGAAAAGAGTGGTCGAGTTTCAAGCTGACGGTAATTAACACCTTTCAGGCTCTGCTTAGAAGGCGCCCGTTTGCTTAGTCAGCACCTTACGCATCCGGTCGTTCCGGTCGGTGGCGGAAGCATTTTCCGAGTCTCAGCGATGTCCACCGTCAGTGAACAGTCGCTTGAATATTCAACTGTAACTGTGGAAACTCTCTGCGCTTCACCCTGGTAGATCAAACCGCAGCTTGCGACAAGAGCGCCGTTTTGGTGTGGAAGCTGCACCCATCAATGACCTCAACACTTGGTAGTCTCGTAAACCAGACTGAACGATCCGTATGAAGATATGTCGTTCAATGGATCCGGTACTCAAGGAAAAGCTAACACTTGATGATCTTTCTTCGCCGGTACATATTTATCTAGTTGGGATCCTTCGCCCGAGAGAGAGAGACTCTTTGCCTATTCTGCCAGCGATCTATCACAAGACTCAGCACTCAACATTCCCGTACAGAGTTGGCATCACTGTTGTGATCCCCACCGAACTGACTCACAGTTCAGATTGGCTGCCTCCTCCCACTGGGAAAAAATACCCCATCTCAGTTGCCACGCACGGTATATGCGGTCTGAAGCTTGAAACGCTAGTCGCACGCTGACAAGGAAACCTTCCAGGTGAGCTATAAATGGGCTGGACGGGCATGAAGAGAAGACTGCAGTCGAGTATTTGACCTTGGCGAGCAAAATGTCAACGGCAAGCCTATAGTACGGGAATTTGGAACTGCTTTCTCTCGGTACCGGTCATCGTGACATCGCTCAATGCATCCCTGCCTCATGTCTTCCAGCATGTTCTATGTGAAGCATGGCAGTGAACCGGCGTCTCTCAAATTTTCTAGAAGTTGACGCATTCTTTTCGGTCATCGACCACGGTACAATCATGTTTCGGGGGCAGGGGTAAAGTCTGCAAACAAGGAAGGAGATTAACGGGACGGAACCAGACATCAATGAAAGGTCTTCAGGAGGAAAGCGGTCCTAGATGCCCCGTCATGGGAACAAATCAGAATGACACGGTTCTTTGGAGGATCAACACGGCGTTACGGTAGCAAATTTCCGAAATTGGTGTGGACGCTCGCGCAGGAGGCCTGTCCATTCTCGTTACCGTTGACCGCCTACCGGTTACACGAGCATCTTAACTATCTTGATTACTGGGTTTGGTGCTTTGATTCTTGCTCGTTTCGAACATCACTTCGCGGGTCTGTTACTGTGCGTACATATTCTTCGCCCTGTGCGACATAAATAAGAGAAAATACGGAAGCCTAAAAGGACAGAGAAGAGGTAAGGATAAAATGAACGGAATGGAGAAGAATAAAGGGCCTGGGGAGGCAGGAGAAGGTCGAAGTTGGTGGTGGCTTGGGAGGTAGCGCGGTGGCAAAACCACAGAGACAAGCCTGAACGGCAGTAGACGGCAGTAAACGATCAGCACCTGTGGATAGAGGAGATACGGCCGAGCATCTTACCATGGCAGAACTATGTTGACGGCAGGCTATCTTTGGCGCAGGCTTGAATACAGTCCTGAACTGACACAGAGCTATCTCAGTGCCCGACCAAAGAAAAACGAAGGCAAACTCACCCCACACTCATGCCATGACGCACATCATACCAGGTAGTTCAGGGGCGGCTTCTTGATTGACAGCTATTGAGATGTCTGGCATCTCGAGAAGAAATGGGGCATCCTCTGGTGCGGGTAGGACGAGAGAGAGAAAATCGTCCATGGATACTATGACGAGTGAAGAATGGCGGTGATATCGGATTCGCACTTGTTGCCGTGGATGATAATTGGAGAGCACTTTGTGGGCCAGACATGTTTCACTTGTGACGGCAAAGACAATGCACTTGGATGAGCTATTGTTTGTCCTTTTGGATGGCCAAGCTTCCCGGTCCAAGACGCCGCTCTCGACTCATCGAGCGAACAATGTGTTTTTTTGCGTCCGAGTTCGGGTGGTTGAATAGATGCATAGGGAAAGACCGCAGCAGGAGAGATATAGGGATAATCAGTAACATACTCGTTGCAATTGATGCAAATCTGAGAATGCTTAGTTTTGATGCTTGCAAGGAAATATCAAGAATCTTCCACTCGCCGAAATGCATCTGTAAATTGCCTTAGGTGACAATATTCTTGCAATCATATTGAGCGAACAATATAGCTTATTTCAATATCCAGCGAACATTTTGAGAACGAGTGAACTTAGTGAAGAGGTGAAGGGCTGCATCAGCCTGCGCCGATCTGTGCCGGTTGTGATGTAAAGAGCGATTATCAGGATGAGACTATTAGCAATTCTTCGACCCTGGAACAAGGAACAGAAACGACACAAGTGCTCAAGTGATATAATAGCTTGGATTCTGCGGACATGAAATTTCACGAACAAGCACAGCGAAAAAAAACAGGGACACTATGAAGTAGGTATGAAGACGAAATTTCCTACTTAACCATAGTTACAAAAATGAGAGATGGCGAATAAAGGAACGGAGGCGCAGTAGCGGAGGAGAGATTGAGAGGTTGGAGGGTTGAAAAGAAGAGCGAAGAGTTCAAGGCGAGGTAGCTCGCAGCCTTATTTCATGTCCCGACTGAGTACAAGCGGACGTACGAAAGGCCCAGTGTCGTAGTAGATATACGGTTTTATGCGATAACTCAGCCCTCGCTGTGCGCAGAGTACGTCGGCTCTCGCTCGGTGTCGACTGGTGGGAACTCGAGGAAGAAAGACTCTGGGCCTTCGAGACTGAGAGTGATGTCGAGAGAGTTCATTGGTAAAAGGATGCTTTTCGCTGGTGTGGTAGTAGAGACTATGGTTTTCGCTCGCAGATATCGTATTTCCAGCAAGCGGAGATAAGTGGTGTAGTTTAAGTAGGAGCAGTAGTTGAAGCAAGACAAATTATTGGTGAAGATTGTCATATCGGATTATTGTTGACCAAATTGGGATAGGTGAACAAGCCCGGTGGTTGCCCGGGTATATATTACGTCCTGTAATGGAGCCAGAAAATTATGGGGATCGTCACAGAAAAGGTACTATGTAGGTCCTACAATCCCTGGTAGGATCCAGGGTTTGAGCTCGGTTGGTCGCGCAGTAAGGGCTAAGATCACAGCGGCGATGAAGATGAGCGTGATTCAAGGTAGCAATGAAATTAATTTCTGTGGCGTCCACCGGTCGAAGTATCAACTTGGAATATCCATGACTGTACGGTTTCTTCGCTTCACTTGCGAATCCGAAGAGGGCACAGAAAAGGAACGCGCAGAATACGGATAACCATCGAGTGAGCTCGACAGAAATCTCATAACTGTAATCGCTGCACCAGATGAGCGCTGGGATTTTATCTACGCGTGAGAATCCATAGTGTGTGTCGGCTCAGGACACCCATGTTGCGAGCAGAACGCCCTTAAAGCCAATATATATGACATATATACCTAAAGGGAGTGCGAAGAGCATGTTGACCAAGGCAAGGATCATGAGTTGCACCCACGGGGAACGAAGTACAATAGGTGACCTCACGCGTAGAGCGCAGTAGTAAGGTGTAAACATATGTAAATACGTTTATTTTCCCTAGCCCCGAGCACTTACTTCCTTTATCCTTCTTTGTCCTGGATTCTAGTGCATCAGAGTCGTTCAATACACCCGTTCATGCCTGTCAACTGACACTTGTTCTCCATGTTTTATTTTTTGGGAGGACTGACCTAAGACTGATCGGATACTGCTACGAATTGTAGTACATGACCTGCAAGGGACGTTCTGACCCTGACAAGTAATTATGTAAATTGTATACTGCAACTTATCTCCGGAAGTATTGTGACTGCTCTTTTTAAGCTAGTGTTTATCTACCTAAGTTAGTATGCCGTAAACAGTACCACTAAACGATGCCAACCCTTTGGCCCAAGTTACGCGTACATGTCTCCAGGTCGTATTATCCACGGAGTCCGCTTGATTGGCTACGTATCATCAGGTCGCCTTTCTCGTCTACTGGTAGATTGGGTTATTCATATTTTAGTAGTTTTACAAGGCTGGAAAAGACTTGCGCTGCGCGAGGAGATTGTCAGGATGGAGGAGCCCGCCAGGCAGGCAGGTAGGTAACATCACACGACAGTGTCCACACTGTGAGCGCCGGTCCCAGACAGAATGACAGAATATTTGTCCTGGAGGCGAGACCTGCAGAAGGGTAAGAATCAAGACGAAGCGAAGAACAGAGCACTAACGAATAGCCAGCACAAGGACATCACCCTCAGCAATGACAATTCTCCTTATCTCAGTCTAAGGGAAGATCAGATAACTGCTGCAATGAAATAGAGAATTAGAACTAACAAACCTAGTCACGATCTGGTCATAGTCAGACAAGCGCTGAGCACCCAGCCTCTCTGAGAGGTTGAAATGGTGGTCTGCACATGCTCTATAACCACCGATTTGTAGATGGTGGCAATGGCATGCCTCGCTCGATGATATGCCAAGGGATCCATAAAGTGTTTAATCGCATTCTTCGTCCACGCCTCAATGACATACGTCTGTGCGACCGCAGTGCAAATGGGGATCTGATGGGTACGGAAGCCAATGATGGGTTGTGCAGGAATGCCGACCGGAGGGAGTACCTGTACGCAATGTGAGAGGCGGGTTGCGAAGCTAGGAGGGTGACCGAAGCCAAAGTGAGAGTACCGACGGAGACACACCAAATAGCAGCGAGGAAGTCAGCATGAGTCGAGGGCTTGTCACCGATGGGTGAGGCCACCACGGTAGGTGGTCCTGGGTGAAGCGGGTGATGGCATGCTTGACTGGAGTTGTACCAGTCGAGCAGGAACCAATCTCTGATTAATCGGTCATTAGCTTTGGGAAACTTTGTACATGTGAACGCCATCGTCTAGTTGAACGACAAAAGGCCTGATTACCGCGCTTCTCGCCATCAACGATCAGCTGAGACCAGACGATGCCATAGTAAGGTTACCGAGAACAGGAACAGTCGGGAGCATATACTTTGAAGCAGCCCAGTTGGGAGAGTTTCGGATGAAAGTACCATCGGATTGGAGAGTAGCTGTGATTTCTAGGTTAGTCACATCCAAACCGTGATCGGCTTCAGTAAGAAGGAATTGACTGCTGATAGTGGTCCCGTCAGCATTTATAACAAGACATAATGTACATAGCTTTCCAGTCCATCGTATTTTTGCATATAGACTGCAGCTTAGGGCGATTGGAAGCGTACGTTCCACGACAACAACTCATTGTAGCATGCCATAGGGTCATTGTGGATCTTTCAGACCTTGGGGCTGAGATTGACGGTGTCCTCAAAGATGAGTCCCCAAGTCTTCCGTATAAGCTCTGTGGTACGTTCGCTAATTGCTAGTAGCCTAACTAAAAGAATCAGGATTAAAAAAAAAAACCAATTGATGAGGATGGGATTCGAACCCACGCCCTTTCGGACCAGATTTACAAAATCAGAAACTAAGTTGGTCCAATAGTACGCACGACCTTAGTCTGGCGCCTTAGACCGCTCGGCCACCTCACCACACTTTCGGAGGCGTGCGTGAAGGTACTGGAGTCTTCTATCTGACGTCCAAAGATTGACAGGGACACAGTCGAGTCTCGCTACGATGACGACAACTCTCCTTGACTTTATGGGTTGTGGATGGATTCTCGACAATGATTGCAAGAAATTGATTTCTCATATTCTGGAAGTCATTGGGAACAGCGACACAGTATATTTCGAGGAGACGACTACCCAGCGATGTTTCGAAGTCCGTTTGAAAATCGACGCCGAGATATCGAAATTAAGAAGCCTTGCAAACACACAACGTCAGCACTGAGTCTATGTTCTATGAATGACATCTCATACTGATTATGCTTCCAGGGTTCCGCAACCCACAACAAAATTATCGTCATGGTCAACAATCACCTTATGCGCTGCTGCTCGATAGCGGGGCTTCTCCTGACCAGCACAATGGCACTTTATGCTTCGATTGGCTCAGGCTCAGGCTGGTATAAGATAGTTGGGACTTCGCTGACAATTATACAAGGCACAGTGGCATATGCTGGTATGTCGACTGTACGAGCTCGTTCTCTGTGTTTGCTCATTCATTCCTGCAGGTGCCAGTGCGTCACAGTGGATATCCAGAGTCACGCGTGCTTCTTATCTTCTGCAAAAGCACTCGTATCTGCTTATTTGGGCTTGGAAGGCCTTATCGCGACTACTAAACACGATCGCATTAGCTCGTGGTGCACTACCTGACAAGTTGCGTACAAGGAAATTCCTTGAATCTTTCCAAGCTTCGGTATGAAAGTCCGCTATCTCTTGGAATATGCAACTGAAGCAAATCTATAGTTTCTGGAGGGAAGGTCTGCATTGACAAAAATTGAACTGAAGCGATCTTCTCCACTGGGGTGTCGTTCGCCGGTTGAAGTGGGACGGAGTATCGATCAGGAGCAAATTAAAGCTGCAGCTGCCAGCTGGAATGACTATCACGCTGTGCATGGCACCTCGTCGATGCCCCCTATCGATATGACTGATCCTTTACCATCTCGAACCTCTCTCCTTGTAACTGAGGTTGCATCCTCTCTTCCATCTATATCTGAGAACCATCTACCACCCACATGGCCTCTAACCAGGGCTGCTAGCAGTGTTTCAGCAATATCTGCTCTTGAGCTTCCTGCTAGGCCCACATCAGAGTCTCCTGAACTCTCCAACTCTCCAACTTCTTTCAGCACTTCGTCGATTACTGGCGATGGTGATGAAAAGGCCCATGCTCTGGTCATTAACCATTCAGCGACTGAGACTGCTTTCAGATGCCCCATGACCATCACTTCATCTCATACTAAACCTCCTAATACTGCAGGGTACATGAAAACTGGTGATACCAGTCGAAAGGGATTGAAGAAGAACACTTCCAATGTCAGCCACACCTTCGTTCCTTCTCACAGGAGTCGTAACAATAGTATTCATCCTCACACCAAAACGACTATAGCTCCTGTTTCTGTATCCTCCGGTGCTGAAGTCTGTACCTCATCTACTCAAGGTGATGTCCAGAAGCAAAAGATGCCCGCTCATCATGATGCAATTTCGACCAGTCGAAAGCGATCCATATATCACTCTCAGGATGTCTACGATGATGGAGAACCTCTGGCTTCTCCCACAGCTGTCACTTCATCGAAGATTCTTGCTGGGTCTTCAAAGGATCACTCCAAGTCGAAAAATGAGGGTCAGTCGGCTGCTGCTCGGGGGAAGACGAAAGACACTTAAATTGCTATCGATTACAAATTGCTAAATATTTACTCTAAAACAAGGTATGCATTTTTCCTTCCTTTGACACCGCAAATTTTCCTGACGAGTCCCTGTTTGTACAGGGATCTCTCGAACGCTGGTTTACCGACTGAGGGTTGCGGATTGACTGTTCCTGTTTTATGCTGAATTCAAATAATATCGTTTTTACTCCCTGAGAGAATGGCCGGGTTTTACGAAAAGAATGTGCTTGTGATGTCCGTTCGCTGAAGTTGCAATCCCCGCAATACTACCGGAGGATATCGGATTTGATATGCAGTGACATGGATGTCAACATGCGTTGCTATGACAGGATATGTTGAATTGTGCCAGATGTCTTGATTTCAAAGTGATTCACATGTGCTGTGCCATTGCCCGGTCGATTCCCATCTTTCATTGATAACTGATAACTTACGTGCGTCACGGCAAACCCATTCTATTCAGGCATTCAGGTATAATCTACGAATCGATATAGAATGGTTCTCTCAGCCTTTCCTCGGTCTTTATTACACCGGAAGCATACACTTTGTGTTCCTGCGAGGAGACCAAATCCTGCCCATCCTCAACAGTTGAATGGAATACTCTGGAAGTCCCTGTGGACCGTGGTCTGGTAATATAACGGAGTATAGCGGCGCGAGGAAAATAAGCTTTCAGCAAATCATCGTGTTGTCCGGACACAGCTAGTATTATATCATCCGGAAAAAATCAACTGTTATGATTGGACTCAATCCTTTACCGGTACCGAATCAAATGAGAACATCAAATTTTGGACGTAATGATGTAAATAGGGAGGTTTAAACAGTTCGCCATGAGCATCAATGCAACGAGGACACCTTTAATCTGCATGGCTGGGACACAGGGTCTTCACCTGTGTGCAACTTGGCCTCGAAGGTAGGAGTTGCCTCCCATAATATTGCACTGAAGGTACAAGGGAAGTCCCCATGACAAATTTTCAAAATCGTATAGCCCGTGCATTTTGATCTTGACTATCAGAGTTTATGCAGAGCATGGGTGGCCGCCGACCTGCCTGGGGTAATCGTACCCATCGGACCTGGTACCCGATCAGGATTCAGGTTATCCATAGACTGGAACAGCCATCCAGCATTCATTAATAAAGAAACATGTAGGAGAAAGTACTGAGAGTTATAGATTGTACATAAACCTCAGTAGGGGGTCCCTACGAAGATTAGCAGGCCCGACCCATGTAATCAGGTCTGACACATAGCTTGCTACCTCTAAGCCCGAGATCGAGTGGATCGCAACTTTTACGCCGGATTCGCATCACATATCGTGACATATTATGAAGGCTCTTGCCAATCTCTTCGCGCTCCTCCTCCACAAGCTCTTTGTGGCTACAGAATTCATGCAAGCGCACGACAATGCCTTCAGCGATGTTGAAACACCGCATGGTACCTTGGCTGTAGCTGCGGAGATCGGATATCAATTGAGGTAAGTCGTCCAGCAGATCCACCCGCATAAATGACGAGCACGGGAAGCACTTCAACATGCGGAGCATTAGCTCATGAATGTAGGATCCTCGTAGTTCGGTCATTAGTGGAGCCTCGGCATTATCGATAGTCGCTTCGAGGAGAGGAAAGACATCCCTAGCGTGTTGAATGTTCAATCGCATGGAAGCATAAAGTTTGGCGTAAAACCATGATTTCCATTCACTGAGTGGTTCATCTCTTAAAATGCATGAATTGAAATCCATGACACTCCACATAAACTTCCATGCTTCGACCAGAGGATGGAGGAAATCAACTGCAGCGTCTCGGAGGGGCTCTAGAACAGCAAACGTGGTTGGTTTTTGTGAAGGAGCGCATATCGCGACTTGGGTTATCAAGTAGTTCATGGTGTGAAAAAAGGACGTCTCCATGACACAGAGAGAGTCGATTGTCTCCTGCATAGAAAGTAAATGGTCCTTGAATGCCCCCTTTGAGAATAAGAAGAATTCTCAATAGATGATTAAAATTTAAAAAGTGAATAATACCTTGAAATCATCTCCAGGGGCAGTTTCCTTTCATTCTTGAGTGATTTGGCCTTTGAGGAGTGGATAGAGACTCACCATGGAAGAGATACAGATGTTTGGCCAATGGATGAAAAGTAAGCAATGGTGGTGCAACTGTAGTTAGTACCGTGGTGAATGACTGAGAGAAATGGTGGTCATTCATGATGTTGGAGGATCTGACTTTTAACTCTCAATCAATTGTTTCTGGGGGTCTGAGTTGATGAACACCAAACTGAAATGATCTGACCCACTGAGCTACCATCCCCTGGTTAAAGTGAGACAGAGTATCAATCAGGAGAAAATTAAAACTGTGGCTACTAGCTGGAATGACTATCACAGCACCTTGTTGATGTTCCCAATCGATACATTGATCTCTACTTGACTGAGGTTGCATTCTCTTTTCCATCTATATCTGAGAACCATCTACTGCCCACACATTTCTCACACACTAAACCTCCTAATTCTTCAGGGTGCATGAAACTGGCAATACCAGTCAAAAGGAATTGAAGGTGAACACTTCCAATGATAGCTTCATCTTCCTTCCTTCTCACAGAAGTGTTCGTAACAATATGAAGATGAATGGGTGGGTATGAGCAAGTTGGTGCTTACATCATGTAAATCCGTGATTATTTGATGTCTGACTCCGATGAAATCAGCAGACTGACACAGACATATTGTACAGAGCTCTTGTGAATCCATTGCGTTCCGTTTTAGCGTAACGATGCCTTTGCGGTTCACATACTTGTCTAACTAACACGCATTTCGGATATGGATGGCATGTGCTTGGGCCGTGGTGTACGCGCCTAATCGAGTGAGCGTGGAAATTGAGCCTGGTTTCTGTCAGCAGCACACAATTATCGGAACGCAGTACAAAACTTTGGATTTCTCTGTGTTTCTGGTAATACAGCGGTGCGAGAAGACAATAGAGAACAAAAGAAGGTAGAGTGAAAGAAAGGCAGTCGAATGGATGAGAGAGTATGGGGTTATCACGCGGAGAAAAGAAAACTAACACGGGCACACTGTCCTAGGACGAATCAGTGGTGGTGACATTGGAGTGGAGGATGACGTACGATAACTCTGGGAGATGCAGCAGAATTTGAAGGGGCCGGAAGTAAACGAATCAGGCGATAAGGCAGAAACTCCCGTAATCGTCGACGGGGCAGTCAACGTCAACGGATACGCCTATAGCGGGGCATTGGCAGGCCCTTCGCTCTGTGTCTAACTCTGTGATCCTATGCACAGACACACCCACCTCCCTCCGCACGCCATCCCCTTCCTATGCACTCCCTCCTCTCCTCTCCGCGCATGACCCGGCTCGCTCATCTTGGCTTATCTCCCACCACCATCTTATCGATGACGCATAGACCTAAATGATGGTGTCAGCAAGGACCACGGAATCTGGAGATATCGCGTGCGCTGCACCAATTTGCCGAGGGTGCCTGAGCCTTAATGGTCGTCACTCGTGCGCACAGCTCCAAAATCTCGCAGATGTTGCAATCTTGAGCAATATCGTGGACCAATCCTTTCTTCCTTCAAGCCCTCTCTCGAGTCGAATTTCACTGGAGCGCGCATGCAGTGCTGGCCTTCGATTGAGGGTCAACTTGACGAACATAATCTCAAGAAATTACCGACGCAACGCATTTGAGGCAGATCCTTGAAGAGCGGGGTTAAATGTAAGGCTCGGCTAACTTCAATAGGGATACTTCATCTATAGACTGTTACTGTTATCAGATAAAAACATAAGGGAATACTTACAGTAACCATCCTGAGCACTGAAGACGGAATTGGATGTAGATACTGGGGGCTGAATGTCGCCAACGGGCAGTCCCGCATTCTGATATCAATTTCAGTATGAGTGCTGCTCGGGTGCCCGTCTAGTCCCCAGCGCCCGCGTTACACAACGTGAACACAAACTCGGCCTTTGCAATACCTGACTGCCATGGCCCGTAGCCCGAGATATTCATCATGGAAAGCGCGAGAGGCAGGGTAAAGAAAGATTTACAAAGTTTGGTTATTTGTTCACCATCGTGCAACGAGGAAGGCGACGAGCTTCTCGGCGTCGTTATTGTCGTGACCTTTGAATTTTGAAGTCTTGGGATCCTTGCTATCATTGTTGCAAGGTATTTCTCACCGCCAATCGTCAGAACGCAGTACAATTTTGAATTTCTCTTCAAGTCCCCGTGTTTCTGGTAATACAGCGAGGCATAAGCGATGTAAGAAAAACGAATTGAATAAATGGAGGGTGAAAAAATTGACACCGAAGGTTGGATATAAAGTAGAAGAAAAGAAAGGCGGTTGAACAAGAGAGTCAACAGGTGAGGATCTATTGACAGAAGAATATATGTGAGTATCTCAGTCGGGCACAACGTGGGTAAAGCGACTGAGGCATACAGATAGGAACGGCTGGACTATATAGGTGATCGGGAAACGACAGGAGGTGTAAGTATATATAAGGCAAATAGAGCGAGTGATCAAAAGTAAGATAAGATGAAACGTACGGATATCCTCCAACACTCCCCCATATCCGTTCAATCTACTGGGATAACATTGAGCATCTCGAGGTAACCATTGTGCATATCACGAGGCAAGGGCTTGGTGAACATATCTGCAGGGTTTGCGTTCCCTCAAACAAACTCGACACGTAATTCACCGTCCTTCACGAGCTCCCTAATGAAATGCTCTCGAATGCGGATATGCTTGACTTTCTGATGGGACCATGTGTTTGTTGTTAATGCTACAGCACCCTGGTTGTCACCGTACAATACACCGGGGCGAGGCTGAGGTAGTTGGACCTCATCCATCCAAGACAATATCCACATCATCTGTTGCGCCGCACAAGTAAGGGAAATGTATTCAGCCTCGACAGTGGACAGGGCGACGGTAGCCTGACGCTTTGAGCTCCAGCAAATCGGACCACCCGCCATGGTGAAGACGTAGCCAGACGTCGAACGAGTTGTGTCCCTACAACCTCCATAGTCCGCATCTACAAATCCAACAGGTGTTAACGGCTGCTCACACGAGAAGGAGATACCAAGGTCCATTGTCTCCTTTATATACCCAAGGACATGTATTAATGCTTTCCAGTGCTCTATTCCTGGGTTAGACTGGAAGCGAGCGAGCAGGCTCACAGGAAAGCACAAGTCGGGACGAGTTGCAAGCTGTCCCCACATAACGCGGCCTAGCAGTCGTCGGTATGGGAATCTTTCCATAGCATCCTTCTCTGCTTGGGTATTCGGAGACTGTGACATGTCGAGTACGATTCCAACAGGTAGGGGGGTGGTCCGTGATCGTACGTATCCAAGGTTGAAGTCCAAAAATACATTCTCCCAATATGGACGCTGCGAGAAGGTGATGGTGCCAGCCTCAAGGTCTTGTTCAATCTTCATCCCCAGAAAATAATGGTTCTCCCCCATATTGGTGAGCTCCCATTTCTCCTCTAATTCCTTCTTCCGTCGGCTCGCCTCCTCTGTAGTCGACGATGCTCCCCACACATCGTCAGTGTAAGTGTCTGTGATGGTATACTCATCTCCAGGCTTGCCAATGGTGCGTACACATGGGTCTGCCTTCGATGCACGGTATCCAAGGTCTTCATAGGTTTTCTCAAGCATCTCGAACCAATCATGGCCACCCTGCATAGTCCCATAAATAGTATGGACAAGTTTGCACACCTTATCCTCTTGTCCTTTGACTATGTACCCTGGGGGCTGACACATATAGATGTCTTCTTTTGTCTCACTATTCAAGTATGCCGAAACGAAGTCCACTTGCCATAAGACAAGATCGAGCTTTGCGGCAACAGCAGCCAACATCCGTACAGATTCGAGACGGGTCACCGCAGCCCAAGTGTCATTATAGTCGAGTCCATACTGTTGAGTATAGCCCTTCCCAACGAGCCTCGCCTTGTCTCTGATCCAGTTACCATCGCCATCCCATTTCATACTATAGACCCATTTACAATCCATCACGTTCACACCTACCGGTCTGTCGACTAGATCCCATGTATGCTTCATCATATGCATTTGGTATTCCACATCCATAGCTGCCTTCCATCGCTCTTCATCAACACGCAGTGCATCTTGATGATTTCGTGGGATATATGGGTCAGGTGGATTACCAGAAGCCATTGAAGCATGTGGCTGTTTGCTGTTGGTTGCCCAGTCATTTCTGCTTGCATGGGCCTCAGCCTCTCGTTGCTTTGACATCAGAGATTCGGCAGCATCAGCACTGGGACGCATTAAGCGCGTTGATCGGCGAAGAGTTGGTTCTGTGGGAGCATCTGGCATTTGCTCGGTTGGCTCGGTTGGCATAGGCATCTCGGTATGAGTAGAAGTGGTGAGTGCAGGTTCGTCCTCCATCTCTCCCATACTCACACTTCGGTGTGCTGGTCCTTCATCAAAGATGATATCACAAGACACGAACACACGTCCCGATTGATCAAGTACATAGTAATTGGACCCTGAGTATCCCAGAAAGGTGCATTTCTTTGATCGATCATCGAGTTTGCTTCCGCCATCTACCAAAACCCCACCAGCTATAGGTTTCTTTGCTCAGCAAGTGGATCTGAACACTCGTAAAAATCCCACGTTCTGTCGTCACTTCGAGAAACCCTCTGCTGGTACCACTCCAGGATGGTGACTCGAAGGAACAAGGTTTCGCGTGAAGATTAACATAGAGGCAGCCTCAGCCCAGTAGCGGTCGGCAAGGCCAAAGTCACTTAGTAGAGCTCTTGTATCCTCCATGGTGGTGCGTAGGGCACATTCAGCTAATCCATTCTGGGCTGATGAGTGGGGTGCGGTTAATTCCAGGATGATCCCATGCTCCTCACAATATTATTTCCACTTTACCCCTGCAAAAGCACGATCAGCACATATACGCTTAAGCTTTCGGCCAGTCTGGGTCTCAGCCATGTGCCTGTATCTGTCAAAAGCAGCCACAGTAGTGTCATCTGCTTTGTCTGCCAGGAATTCCCCCGCCTTGAACGATGTACCACTATTGACGAATATCATCATATAAGTCTTTCCACTCAGTGATGCCGTTTGAGACAGTCCCCACATATCTGTTGCAACAAGCTTCAGTGGGTCGATGTTGGGATCGGTGGGCTCATCGAAGGGACGGTGAGCATGTCTCGCTAGAATACAGTCCTCACAGCATCCCTGAATAGGCTCTGAGGTAATTTCCAAGCCATCCACCAGCCTTTTTGATGCCATCTCCTCGATTTTTGCAGGGCTCATGTGGACAAAACGGCGGTGCTAAGTACTCAGCGAAGTGGGAGATGTGTGGGATGCCATAGCTTGGAGGCTAGGTGCAGCATCCAGCACATACATGCCATCCAAGCCTCACCCAGCAAAGATCTCTTTATCAGACTTATCCTGAACAACTGCACGGCCATCAGAGAACACAGTTGACAACCCAGCCTTGTCTAAGGCGCTTACGGAGATGAGATTTGCGGCGAGTGAAGGTGAATGCAAGGCATTTTTGAAGGTGAGCTTAACATCTCTTCCATTCAGTCTGAAGATCTTTGTTGCTGTACCCTGGCCCAGAATCTCGAACGTTCCCTTTCCCTCAACTGCAGATGAGCCAGTACGGAAAGCTACTGGCATATACTCTGTGAAGTCATCACGATTCCTGAAGAAGTAGTCGCTCGCGCCAGAATCCATGAAGGTTAGAGTGATGGCTGGGGTACGGCCTTCAAATGTAGTCGTGACAAAGGCTGTTGTAGCAGGGTCAGCCTTGTATATAAAGTGTCCTACATTCTCAATGTTAGCCTTACTAGTGTCTATACTCTTGACAGAAGGTATCTCATCATCTCCAGCAACATCTTCATCATCAGAGTCATCGACGTCAGTGAGAGGAGGCATTTCGAGGTCTGTCTCTTCTTCAACCTTTGACATCAATATAGTGCTGCTCTCTGTTTTATCCCAGCACCAGAAGGAATGGGTACCATTCCACTCATATATCCTCTCGCCAGTGCTGCCATCCTCAATTACAATGCCATCATCATCACGATCGGCTTCCACTGTAGTAGCACACACAGCAAGTACAAAATGCCTCATAGTATCAGCCGTGGTGTTCGAGATTGCCTGGTTTGCACGGCGAGGTCAGCCGAAGTTGGCAGGGAATTGTCTCTCCTTTCCCTCTCCTGGCCAATAACAATTCTTGGTGGTGTGCCTAGTCTTATCACGGGTCTTGCAATCTGGATTGCGACATCCACGTACCACGACAGAGGTTCTGACTCCAGCCGCAAGTGCTTGGGAGTTGGCAGGACCTTTACTCGCTGCACGAAGCGTGGTGGCATGGGTTTGGAGATGGGAAAACACATCAGAGGACATTGGCATGCCGTATAAACTTGGGAGGATAGGCATCCAGTGATCAGTCGGGATTATCGAGCGAATAATTATTCCCTTGAACTTCTGATCACTCAATGCTGTGGTTCGGAGGTCATTCACAGCTCGTCGTTTCGTGCGCAGGTCAGCGACGTGGATATTGATGTCACTGTTCCTGTCAAACTTCGCCGTATTCAGCAATGCCTCAGCCTCGGAAAGGGCTATATCTGTTTTCTTTGCATGTTCCGCAGCAACAGAGTCCCAGCATTCCTTTGCCGTTCCATCAGTCTTGACCCCTAGACCAATAGGGTCGAGAACGTTGAGGACGATGTTCGAGTGGGCGAGCTGATCACGAAAGACCCACTCGTCATACGAGGGAGAGGATGAGTATATGGGAGTAGGGTCTGGTGGGAGGGGTGTGGTAGTAGTCATGGCTGTGGTAGTGGTGGTGGGGATGGCAGGACAGACAGTAGTTCCTGCAATGTATCCCCATAGGCCTTTTCCCTTCAGTAACTCAGTAAGTTGGAGTTTCCATGAGGCGTAGTTCTTTCCATTGAAATGGCTACTCGTGTCAGGGAGGATAGTGACTCCCGACATCGACAACATCATTTAGGGGTGTGGTGTAAAGTGGTGAGAGTAGTGGTATGGTATAAATTCAAGCGGTAAGTTGAGTCGAAATTCCGTTGCATATTCTTCTTGACTGAGTAGTTATAGGCAACAGAGCCCATAACCTATTGACAGAAGAATATATGTGAGTATCTACGAACGAGTGTAAGTATCATAGTCATAAGCACAGTAGGGATATACATACCTCAGTCGGGCACAACATGGGTGAAGTGACTGAGGCATACAGATAGGAATGGCTGGACTATATAGGTGATCGGGAAACGACAGGAGGTGTAAGTATATATAAGGCAAATAGAGTGAGTGATCAAAAGTAAGATAAGATGAAACGTATGGATATCCTCCAACAGGATCAGGGTGGGCTATCACATGGAATAAAGAGACAAAGAGCGCACGCTATCAAAGTGCTTAAAATCCATCAGCGGTAGTGCCATCAGGATAAGGGTCGACGTACAATAATGCTGAGAGAAGTACAGTTTTAAGTAAAGACAATAGGCTCCATTGAGAATGGGTTCTCTACAAGAGAAAACAGTAAGAAGAGGCAGATTGACAGAGAAACCGAAGATGCACAAGAAATCGAAAGCCTCAAGGCATAAGTTATTTAGGCTCTACCAGATTAGGAGCAATGACAAGCCTGGAGGAGCACTGCTCGGCACTTCGTGGTGTGTTACAAAAAAATAGACCAACCTCTATCTCCCGACTTATGCAATAACACAGAAAGCAATGGGGTTACCAGAATCATAGTGTTCCATGTTGATTGGTACTGGGACAAGTTCTTCGATGCTGACCATGGCAGTACACACATGGAGATCGAGGGAAGGCTCGAGTTCGGTGTCGACGGAGAGGCTGATGAAGGTATCCATGGAGTGCTAATGGTAGTGAAGGGGATGCGACATATTGCGCTGAGTTGGTGGTTTAGCTAATGTTAGGGCATCTTAGAGTTACCGCATTATTAATTATTGGGATTTCTTGTAAGGATTTAATGCACCAAATCAGTTAAATGCTTAAGGTGATTTTACAACAGGGTCCGTACCCTTTGTAGATGCTCAAGACGCTGAAAATATTGCAATATTTTGGTGATCCGCTCAACCTGGAAAGGTAAATTCCTCCTTCTTTGGATCATTTTGTCCTGAATATCACATCAACAAGCCGTTCCAGCTTTCGGACTTACGGGAACCAAGTATCAATAAAATAGGGATGTCACATCGGGACATAAAATCTACTGGGACCATTATTTGTCACCAAATCCTCACGGTAAGTTATCCATTAACTTGCGGAACTCGTTACGAAACTCTATTTATTTCTTTGGCGACATCGCATCGCGTACATTTCGTTTCATGGCAAGTCTTTGTTGCAAAGTAAAGTATGTAAAAGATAAAAGATACATTGAAGACGGAGTTGATACAGTAAATAAGTGCTTATCATATAGCATGGTACTGATTTTCCAGATTGCCAGTAGGTTCGGGTTTCTCGTCAAAATCTTTCTCCTCCTTATTAAAGTAAGGAAATTGCGGCGACTGCTGCACAGTCGAAGATTCAGATGTCGAGATTGTGTCATCCACCGTCATAGTGGTAGATGGAGAAGTAGGTGTTGGGGGTGCCTTGATATCTTGAAGAGGTGTACAGTCTGTAGCGAGCGAACTGGAAGGGGAGTATTCTGGCAACGATAAAGCAAATTTTCGCGGGGGCTTCGGCTTTTGTTGACTACCACTTCGGTCAGTTAACAATTGACATTGGAAGGGGGGGGGGACTTACGAAGGATCCTTCTGGGGAGGCAGGGGCGGTTGTTGGTACCCAAGTCGTTTAAGGGCGGCATTGAATAGAGCACGATGGTGCTTCCTCGCCTCGTGTACAAATCCGAAAAAGCAAAAAAACACCAAGGGACATAGGACAGTTATCCATCGTGAAGTCTCGTAAGACGCCACAAGCATTTCGTTCGATCGCCAGATCAGTGCAGGTACTTGAACGATGCGTGAATATTGATAGTGCGTATCCGACCAGCTCCTCCATGGCTCAATCGGCTCTGAAGTCGCACAAAGGCAGAGCACCGCTATCGCCAGTGGCGTCGTACAGCATATTTCCGTCGTGGCTAAAGCCATGAGTCGAAAGTATCGGCTGATGGTTAGAGATTGGTTGGAAGACAGGAATTGGCTGAATTCTAGGCGGCGGCGATGGAAGGCGCGAAGTGTAAGGACTGGTGAAGGCAATTGGCGATTAATTTCGCGGAAAGCAAACGTATGTGAAAGAAACTTACCACAGTAAAACGCTGATATCAGTCCGATGATGATGGGCCACATGAAGTTAATGAAATAAGAGAGCAATGTGTTGTAGATGGCAGGAGCACAGCCGATATTTTCATAAATGTTGAAACGATGGCCTTGTACAACGTATTCTATGTAGGACATGAGTTTCAGCCTGACTAGTACGCGTATGAGACGATACGAACGCAGAGTAATAAAGCACAAAGGAAAAAGGAGGCAAATAAGGCTGTCGACGAGAACAGCGCGTCGTTTCTGGATACAACACGCCAATGTCAGCACATTGCATTACGACAATGGTTGTAGTGACGAACCTCAGCGGGCGTCACTGACGCCGCCTGCACACTCGCGATTTGGTAGAGCCGTCTTTGAATACACATACAGGACGCAGGTACAGCAACAGAGGCACCAATCTGAATTCGAATGGCTGCAGCAAGCGTCAAAGACAGTATAGGTGGCAAGGAATGAAAAGCCCGTACAAATTTCGCACCACCATGGTGCCCAGTTGGTAACATTGTCGGCCCACACGATCGAGTTTACGAATTGATTGAGACTTGCGAGGGAGGCCCATATCATGAAATAGCATGTTCCAGAGTTCCACGCTGCTAGATGCCATTGAAGGGGAATGAGGGGGAGAATAAACCCAAAGAATGCGAAGATAGGAAAGAGTGGGTAGGTGGGGTCCGAGGACCGCATGACGGATATCGCACGAAGTCGGAGTCAAAAGAAGGAGGGAAAGATCTTGAACGTCGCGCGAGGGACTTGTATATCGCAAGAGCAGGGACATGACCATTTTCTTCTCCTCTTTTATAAAGGACCCCATTGTCAGTGTACAAAAGATAATGCGGAGTTTGAATGTCCAGTTAAGTTAGAAAGGACTGCTTCTCCATTTGATACGCCCATTGTTCCTTCCCTTCCTCGTTGTAGTCAACGGGTTAGATCATCCTGGCAGCACTGAGTATGTGAAATACGTCTGTCTTGAAATTCCTGGTTCGCGAAACCAAAATCGATAATCTCAGACTTTCCTTTGCAAAAAACACTAGCAAAAGTAGTGATCTCAGGGTCGACGGTAAATCTTGGATCGTTCGATCTCGATCAGGGCTCGTATGTATTGCTATCTTCACAGAAATCCATACGACACCGGCGAACGATATATCACAGCCTCGTACTTGGGAACCATCGTCGTTCAGACGGCATGATTATCTTCTATCTGAATTTGAAAGATGCTTCACTTTCTCCTCGCGGACGCATACGCCACAACTGAATAAGGTATATCCGAAATTCAGGGATTGGAAGAAGAACTACCGTCCCTGAAATGTCAGACAAAGTAGAATAGACCTGCGCATCAGATCTCAGAGGACTCTACTCCCGCAGAAATAATTCATATCGAGGTCTTCTCTATTCGACCTTGACCGAAGGGACACAGTAGCCTCAAAATCCTTTCAGAAGAAGGAAAACATACTCTTGGTTGGGCCACAAAAGTGGGGACTGAAGGGCGAACCGATCACAGCACATCAACACTAGATGGAGAACATTCCGGAGGGCCTCCCCAAATACGTCCCAAAATATTTGCACGAGCGCCATGGACATAAGTCGGAAGTATCGCGAGGGTGTTAGTGCCGAGTTTGAGTTTCGAAGATGTCTCGCAAACGTGATGCGTCGTATTATGAAGTGGTGCAATGCGAAGCCTATGAAAGAAAAGTGAGATACGCAGGTGATACCGGAGTAGGTGGCGTACTAGCAAAGGAAAAGAACGATGATGGTACCCAAATGAGAAAGACCGGGGACAATGATACGTAGGTATTTAGTCTGCAACCGAAATCTTCCACAGTGTCGAAGAGGTGGCCTTGAACGATGTATTAGAAAATCAATCATGGGCGACGATAGTGGGCATCGAAGAACGCACGAAGTGTCATGTAGATGGTGGGTACGCCAAAGCAGAGAAGGGCGTCAATGATCTTTCGCCGGCGTTTGTCTTTGACACTAGTACTAACTTGGCGAACTGAAGAGATCCTTTCAAGCTGGACACAAAGACAGAACAGAGATGCAGGAAGAGCAACGGTGGCCGATGATCTTTGTGGCTATATAACATCACCGCGTAAGTACCGTTGATGGAAGGAGGTTCATCGCACTTACCGATGTCGCACCACACTGGAGTAACGATGCGGACATTCCCGTTCCATATGATAGCATTCACCCCATTAATGACATTTGCAGTGAATAACCACAAAGAAATTGAGACTGTAGGTACCGTCCCGGCTCGCCAGTGCCAGGGAAGGGGCATGAGCACAAGCAACGCGAATAGGAAAGACACGATAGGAAGCTCAAGATGCATCGTCGTGGTAGAAAGGAAGATGATGAAAGAAGAATAGATGCGAAAACGCATCGAACATCATTTCAGGGATAGTGATTAACTGAAAGGTATCGATCGACAAATTGAAAAGGGAAAACAATGAAGAAACGCGACAATGGGCGGAGTCTGAATTCTTCGCGTGTAACGGCCTCGAGCTCCACGTCCGTAGCTCCTCTGAGGAGAGCTCTCCCGAATTTTCGAAGAGAGCTTTTGCAATAGCTTTCCCAGTCTTCGCCTGGTAGCCAGGTCGGTACCCACAGAGATTAGAGAGTATTTTCCAGGTTTGCTAGCGGAGGACGAAGGCGGGATACACTGATTGCGTTTGGAGGACCTCACCTGTCAGTTTGCTCGGGACATCGTCATCTTGTGTCTTTCCAACCCTCGATTACCTACTGATGGAGAATTCTCATATTCGGCTTCATGGTCGGGCGGGCTCCCTGAGTCAGCGTATTCGCTGTGGCTCTGTGATTCAGACTTCGAGTCGCCCATCGCATCCAAAAGGTCTGTCTGCTCGGATGGGTCTGTATCGTCGGTGTTCGTTGCAGGCATGGGCGGGACGGAATGGCAGAGGTTGGAGCCGGATTCAACAGAAAACATTCAGAAGAATTATTTGTGCTTCCGAATCCGTTTTCTGGAATTCGATGAAGGTATTGTCACCATTGATACCGGGATCTTCGTAGGTGGTTCTCGCAATCAAGTCCGAATTATCTTTGCGAGATGCTGTTTAATGCTGCACTCACCCTCGGTTGTCGGAATCTATGTATGATCGTATGTCGCATTGTTTACTGAACAAAGAATGAGCTGAAGCTCATAGGTGGTACACTCTCAGCATCACGAACGCCGCTGCGTGCTGGACCATGGAATCCACTCGACTCTGGCGCTTCAGACCAATATCCTTTCTTTATCCTGCACAGATTCCAGACATTGTCATCGGAATCTTCGCTGATGGAGCTCACAATCAGGTCTGTGTTCGGTATGAGTTATGAATTAAACTTATGATACAACAGGACGTGGATGAGATTGTGGTGTCTAGAAGCGGCTTTTTCGATTGAACGTTCTCCTCAATCTCACCATTCTTGCGCTTCTCACTGAGTCCTTCCTCCCGCGTTTTATCCTTTGCTTTGGATATAGTGGACTGTTCGGCAAGCGGCCGTCGTATCTAAACTTCCACGGAATTTTCTCTTTGATACATCGTGCACACTGGTGGATTTTCATCGGTATCTCGCCTCGTGGAAAATGGAGGATGGATCCACTGGTGCAGGACACAGGACAGATTTCATTCCCTATGCGCTTATATCCGCATTTTCGACTCTCCAGCGCCGACGATCTCCTTGCTTTTTGATAGTTGCACCGTATTAAATAGGATCGAGCAGAAGCATCAGGTGGACGTATTCGCCTTTGTTCATATCGAGGCCGACGATTTCATGTTCACGTTCGTTGCCTTCACTGAGGAGAGACCAGCCAAAGTCATGAAGGATCCTGGACTTGCACGCGGGCCATGCTCTCTGACAATGCCAGACCACTTAGCCCCCTTAAGTGTCAGATGCAGCGAAGATGGATCAAAATTATGGAACGCACCTCCACTGTTGTGAAACGAGGACGCCCGAACTACCATTGGCTATTCTCTTCTCTCTGCTGATACATTCGTCATCTGTTGATTCATCCGCGTCGCTGAGAGGAGAGAGGGTTTCTGTGTCAGTCACTACCTCCGATCCGCGTTTCTTGTTTCGAAGGCTGTAGAAGAAGGAAGATGAGCAGAAACGAGGTTGTGCATCGGGCTCTATGTCATTGGAGCTCTCAGAAACCATAATGATAGGTATGTTTGTGAAGTTGAAGTGTGGTCCAGAAAGTATATTTGCCGGAAGTTGAATGCGAGTGGAGAACATGATCCCGGTGGTGATGTTTGGATTGGAAAGTCCATGCAATGTGAACTGTATAGTGACATGTAGGTTTCCGAGTAATTCTGTGTTTGCGTCATGCTGAAGTGGGAACTGTTGAAACCATTTAGGGATTGAAAATTAACCCTCCCGAGCTGTGATGCCAATTTTCTCGGATTTAACAGGTCCTTCTGCGCCAGCCTCGGGGTCTGACAAATTCATTCAGCATCTGCGCTGCCGGACAAAGTCACAGAAAAGATGAATAATAAAGCTAGTATGATCCTATTACTTTGGAACTCTCACTTGGCTTTGCTCTTCCTTCGAATTAGTATCCTTTCCATAGCCCGCGCGGGTCCTTTGTGTGCCCTTGCTGATCCAGCTTCAGGCACATCAACTTGTGCACGCAGAGCCAATACTTCTTCTTCCAATGCCAAAATTCATCTTCTGCAAAGCTCGCCGACTTTCTCTCTCTAAATTAAGCCGGTGCTGTAAAGTCATCACCTCTTTTCCTAAGGTGGTGCCAATTTTCCAAAGGTTTCTGAGTTAATTGGAGAGTGGACGGTTCGGGGGTTGAGTACGAGCGATTCGGGCCAGGCTCGTGAATGATCTGATCTGATCACGTTGGACTGACGCTCCTTTGATAGCGGACGCGAAGAAGAGGTGTTTTGGGCTAGCGTTGTCGACGAGAGTCTTCGTTTCCGTGTAACGATACCTTCGCAATGGGCAAACTGCACGGCTCATAAACGGTGGCATTCACTGCCGTTCAGGTGTTGGCTGCTTATATAAGTGCAGTCGATTTTTAATTCGATGCACCGTCGGCACCGCAAGAGTCTTTTGGTCAGCTGATGGAATCTCAATTAGACGGAATCGCGCACTCACACCCAGGTCCCGCTTGACGCATTCCAAGCCCCAATTTTCCAAGTCGGTATTACTGACAAGCCAGTTCCTTGCACGTTTGGTTGGTTGGGTTCAGTAGTCTGTGTTGTCAATGGCCAGCACGAGGTGCGCGTATTCGCCTTTGCTCATGAGAAGCTGGACAGCTTCGAGTTCAGTCTCGGTTGCTACTTTGAGAAGGGCCCTGCCGAGGTGTCGGAGAGAACGATTCATGTATTGGCGCCAATCTTCGCTGAGTAGTCGGGGCTAGAACCCACAGTGAGCAGAGAGCTTTCGCCAGGTTTTCTGGGAAAGACAGAGTGAGTTACGGGAGGAATGCATTCACACCGGCTGTGGTGTACCTATCGGTTCGTGCGAGATCGTCTGTTCGGTTTAGTTATGTCTTGAGAAATAATGATTTCAGGGCTCGGTTCAGGCACATCTTCGGACCCCCCGATATCAGAGTTGGACTCTAAGTCTATATCGTTGACCGCCGGCGCCAGCTTGAAAAACAGTGCAGCCAGATTGGGGACCGTTGCTGCCGGAGCATTCCATGAAGCCGGAGGAAAGGCGCTGAGAAGAACGTTGGTAGTGGTCTTATGGGCGTTCTTGATAAATTTCCATATGAAGGTATGGAAGCAATCCCTTCATGTGCGCCAATTTTACTCCACTCCGTTGAATCATTTTAGCAGGATCAAATCAGACATACAGAACACATGTTTCAAGAAGTGATATAAAAATTCCGCTCCCAACCTACTGAGCACCTATCTCGTCAAAACCAGCCATAATTTCGTTGGCAGCTTTAATCATATTCGCCAGAAATTTTCTCTTTATGCCTTCTAACGCCTTTTTCGTGGCAGTCAGCCGCTTCTCGAGCCATGCGTTCCTAGCTTTCAATGTTTCTATTTCCGCCCCGAGCTGTACATTTTGTGCCTCGAAATTCGCGCTCCCCTGCTTTGAGGCTTGCACCTCCCCTTGATATACCCTGAGGAGTGATGCCGATCTCTCTCCTTCCTTTTCGAGTTCTTGGATGCGCACTTCATATCCCTTCGCCTCTTTGATCCACAACTCACTGATGAGGGCAGGTACGGACCTGGAGGATTGAGATTCCGTGCTAGTGGAGGGTATGCATGGCGTTAAGGGTGAGGAATAAGGAAAATCACCGAAGCAGATGACGTCCCGAGTGCTTGACCTATGCTTCTTGTAGGAGGCCGTGGTCAGCGCCATTTCGCCTTGGTTCTTTCGTTTCCTAGACGAGGCTGTGTTTGCCCTATGATCTATGAAATTGGTCTGTTTCGTAACTGGACGTTTGCGATTCGGTGTCTTGCCGTCGCATCGTGAAAATTTCACGGAACAGAGCCGACAAGCTGCGTTGTTCGGTCGGTGGCTGTTTGTGAATATGCACGGTATTCCCGTGTTGGTGCATCGTTGACACTAGAAGACGCCAAACTGTGAGAAAGGTCATCGATGTTCTGAGAAGAGGACCTACTGGGACGGGGCGATGGACTGGCTTTACTCCCCAGGCACCTATATCAGCGTTTTCGATCTTCCATGCCTTTGGTTATCCCTGCTCCTCCAATCCTGCTCCGTAATCTGTTGGATCGAGAATTACAACCATATGGGCATACTCTTCTGCGTCCAACGCTAATCAAGCGATCTCCTGGTGCTGCTCGGATCCCTTGAGAAGGGCAGAACTCAGATTCTGAAGAGATCTTTCTTGATATTCCTTCCAGTTCTCCCCTGGCCGGCGCGCTTTGTACCCGAGTCTCTTAGCTATAGCTGGCCACTGCGTCTGAGGGAAATTGTCAGGCTCGTATATATCTGAGAAGTGAGGAGATACCTTACTTCGGCAGATGCCCGGGATATGAGCACGCTAGTCGCGTTGGACTTTTTCTCCTTGGGAGTTTGGTTTTGATCATCATCGGTGGACGTGTCTCTGAGTGGAGAGCCATGAAACAAGGAACTTGTTTCAACGTCTGGTTCGCGTTCCTGTTCTGGAGGCCTATGGTAAGATGAGGCATGGGATTGTACGGGGACGCGCGGTGGGCTATCAATCTCATTCGCAGGCTCGGCTACTATCTTTTCTGTCCCACGGACCGGAGCATTCGCACGAACGAGACGTGGCCTAGCACTGGTAGTATGCATTGGAATCTCGACATGAACTTTGGTAGACATCGACGTGTCAAGTGTGTGGATACGGTAGGTTTACTTTCGGAAGGTTCACACGCAAACTATGCAGTTCAACAAAGGTTTCCGAGCGAAAAAGCATAGTTCTAGCATGTGGAGTCTCAAGTTGGCCATTGCAGAGACCATTTAGGAATCGAGCATTCTTTGATAATGATGGAGTGTAGTACCTCCTCCTTTTGCCGGCGGGCCGGTGAGAAATGGATTCTATGCCTGCCTAGTGATAGGTAAGGTTAACTCCAGAGTCAGTTAAAAGGACGCCATGCGTTATAGAACTCTACATTTTGGGTTGCGGACATATCCCAATTGTTTTCGCTTGAAACGGGTGGTGCAAGTGCCAAGTGCTAATTTATAACCGTGAATTAAAACTTTAAAAAATCAATTTGAGCCATTGGTTGACACTAGATAGCGAAGGTTGAAATTCGACACAATAAAAATTCCTGTTTGCGTATGAGAGGCTTGGATCTAGGCAAAACGTGATGCTGGCAAAGATAGATTACCACCGCCTTCTACTAACGGATTTGATTCTCGTGAATATTACAACAAAAAGAATACTTTCATGCCTTGGAGAGATAGGGCAGAGGACAAGGTTTAGCCGTGAAGGTGTCGAGAATGGAGTCTCAAGGCAGACAGGTTCTAGGGTGATGAGAACAATTAGCTGAGCCACTATTGCGGTGATGCGCAGATCGGCAAGCACTCGCGTCGGTGTGGTTACTTGTGATAGAAGGACATCGATGCTTGTAGCGTCCACTTTTTTTCCCTTACGTCCATCATACGGGAAGTCTGGACAGAGAGTTCTGGTGCTCATGGAACGCAAGGAACTCATCCAATGGTAGCGTGGGTAGTGTATGGCCCACATTTTTCCCGAAAGGCCGCTTGCTCCACAAAGGCACATGTTCGAAAATTCAACTGAGACATTTGAGAAGCGGGCCGGGTTAACGGAAAACCTACTCACGCTGAAAACAATAGGAAGATTCGTGGACGAATGGGGCCCCATATCACGGCGAACAGTGATTAGCACGAGCGGGCCTTAACCGGTTACTGAAAACAAGGCGCTTCTGTAGATCTGAGGTCGTTCTGACTCGGATGGATGAATGATCCTTACACACGCCAGTGCTTTTGAAGATGCAGCTAGAGTAAGGCACAGGCATACGACATTCCTGCGGGTTCCTAGTGATGATCGGCAAGTTTACGTCCATGTCATTTCGTAATTGCGCTTGAATTGCGAATTACCGACACTGACAGCAGAGAATTAGACGGGTAAGGTTTTTCCATGGTCAAGAAGCTCGTGGGTTTTGCATCTGTAGCTAGAACCTAACGAATTGGCAAGTTATTCACGGAAGCAGTTGATGGGAATGTAAACCAGCATGAGGTTTCGCGGGTCCGGAAATCAGCTGCAGGAGAATTGAATAGATCATTTCGAAGAAACGAGGCGATTACACATACCGAGATACATCATACATGGTCCATCCGGCGCCCACCGCGAGAGCATAATTCTAAGTCAGGATCGCGGGGTGCCACTCCGAGCCCTGGCTTTTTGTGTGGAAGGACCAAATGACGAGAAAAGTCAATCCTTATTGTTTACGATGATACGGAACTCACCTCTTATTGTGAAGCAAAGCGGCACGTCCGAAAAAGGAAGGTCATACTACCTGACCGTAAATTAGCCGTTGTCTAATTGCGCTTTGGGAAAAGACAATAAGCCTTGGGCCGGTGCGACCTGAAAAGACCCGGTTGAGTTATGTGGGCTCTATATAAGGAGGAGGTGCAGTGAGGGTAATGTCAGGTTCTCATCTCCAGCTACCGCTTGTGATACCTTCATACCTCTCTCATACCTTCACACGTACTCATCCTCATCCTCATCATCAATGGACAGCTTCGAGTGGGTCGCAACCATCGTTTCGGAGAAGGCGGTCGAGGGTGACGAACTTTCTGCCTTGGAAGGCGTCGTCAATGAGGCGTCCGGCTCTTCGGGCACCAGTGGATGCGTTGTAGCATGATTTACCTTCGGGTTTAGCTGTTACAAACTCTTATAATGAAGTGAGTTTTTCTATCAATCAATACCACTATACCAGACTTACTTCGGCCTTTTCAGATATATTTTTCGCACTAATACGTGTCTTGCTCGCGTTTACATTCGTATCATTTGTATTGTTGGCATTGCCGAACTGTCATGGAGAAGGGAAAGGGATGGTTTGGGAGTTGGCAGATACTCGAGGAGAGTTAGCGATGTAGCAGTGGGAGTCGCCAGGGGTGTGATTGCAGGCTACCTTCGACCTTCTGGTCTGCGATTGGCAGTTTTATTTTTATTTTATATTTGGCATTAGCCGTCGTCATTGGATGTACCACAATCATTCCTCCATCATATCGTGCAAATCTGCTACGTTTGAGCTCTAGAGAGATGGAGAAAAGGTAATGGCTCTTCCAGAGCGGGATCGTCATCACGGTTGCAGGCTGAGCGGTTAGCGGTAATGCCAGCTTCTAGACTAAGATGGTCTGACCGTCATGAGCGTGCACATAGTTCATAGCAATAGTTGCAAGGAGCGGCCAAAAAAATCAAAAAGTGCTTGTATAGTCGCAGCCAAGCCGAGCTGCGATACTAAGCCGTTGGGAACACGGTCCTCTAAGCCGCACACATAGAACCTATGGACGTAGCAGTGCCGAAATTGACGACAGATGACGACAAGTATTAGCCAGAAGTCCATAAGCGGTGGTTGTAATCGCGAATTTGTGCAACGATGAGACAGTTTGGAGCAAAACCAGGATTGGAAGCTCGTTGAGGTGTCAAACAACCTCTTGGAGGAAGGAGTCGATCCCTGAGGCCCGAGGCGCCACTGTCATCTACTGAGTATCTAAAAAGACTGCGCATATACATTTTGCGCGTTTGATTCCTCTAGATGCTCCGAGAGGCTAACGATTCACCGCGAAAGTACGGGCCAAAACACTCTAGTGACGCAAGGCAATCAGTGTATTAGAACGGATAATTTCATGGCACTGACCCGATCGCACATGGCATACCCACGAAACGCCTGGGTTATAGTTGACCGAGAACGATAAAAAAAATTAGAGTGATGCCGAAAAGCCTCAAAAGATAAAAAAATACGCGCCGTGAAATTTGCATGTTAGATCATTAAATGGCATTTGCACCAGAATTTTGGGTGGCCCTGCTCCAGCGAAGACATTATAACAACATTCATGAAACAATTTCGAATGCATACATCGTGGAAAGTAACGCGGATACAAAAAATCGCGGCTTCTATTTTTAGCCCCTTGTTGGAAGTCGGCTCGGGGAAAGCCGGGAATGCGAATACAAATTCTGCGCTTTTCCTTCTCCTGATTCGAGTTTTCTTAGCCGCGAGTAAGGTCCTCTTTGGCTTTGTAATGCTGTTTCTTTAAGATTAGAAAAAGCTGATTTCCTCTCCTGTGTTTTGTTAGAGTATATCATTTTTTCTGGAAGTCGCTAATTTTGTTTTGTTCAGAAAATAGCGCTGCCTTATCTCGACCTTGACAATCCTCTGCCTACATACTCTTCACGGATACATTTGGTTTAGTGCCACTTCAGAATTTGGTCACTATCAGGAAAGACGAGCAATGTCATGGTATCGTCTGCGTTTCGCAAATCATTGCCATGGTGCGGGTTGTCATTTCCTTTCAGCATTTCGGAGTCGTACTGTTTTAGTAGGTCTACATAGCAAGTCGTGACCACAGGGTACTCGTCGAGCCCTCCACACAAGACCGATGTGCGACAAAATGTCCTCCATCCGGTTCAAAGGCCAGACCCCCCTTATGTTTGCTGCACGGTATGGCCTATATGACATTGTGAGGATGCTCTTGAAGTGGGAAAATGATAATTGTAATGCTCCAAGGGATAATGGGCGTACAGATTTAGGTGCCGCTGGGTGTGACGAATATGATATCCCCGAGATTGCATAGTCTGGGTCACACCAGTGATCCAAATCAAATCGCACAACATATGTAGCCTAAAACGAAGAAATTCAAGACCAGATACATGGAAATAGGCGTGAACGAAGAGAATAGTACAAATGACGCATGCGGTATGAACGGTAAGGTCTGATTGCAGAATAAATATCGAACGAGACAGCAAGTAAATAGTACACTTCTTTTATACATTTCAGGAGTGGCCGACCAGAATACGGATAGGGAGTGTCATCAGAGAAACGGTGCCATAAAGGAGCTTCATACCCAATCCCGTAGGATGCTCCTGAACTGGCTTTCGTAAATTCAGCTTGCCATTTTCAGGTATCGTTGGTAGGCGCTCTGATGGTGCGAAAGAAGACGTCGCCGTAGCGAATGAAGGTGAAAGAGGAGGAGGATATTTGACTGCAGATGGACGTGATGGCGGAGAGACGAGCCACGCAGGTAAGACGTACGAAAGCAGCGAATGATTCGCACTCGTGTCCAGACACCTTCCTCTGACTTTCCTCAGAGAATCCACAGAAATCTCAATGTCCTTGACCCTCTGATCCTGCTTCTCACACTTCTTCTCATGCCTCCGCAAGCTTTTCTCTACGACGTCCACGGCTTCGTCCACATACTCGTACATCGCCTCGGCTCCGTCGTCCATTCTCCGCCGGACCTTTCCCAGGGTATGCTCGACCCTCGCCATCTGCTGCTTCAGGTCCGTCAACTGTTGCTGCAGATCTTTGGTAGTCTGCTCAGGGCTGGGATAGTGTATGACATTATGGAGGTGCGATATTCTGAGGGTGAGACGCTCGACGACATGCGTCCATGGACGGATGCCGGTAGCTAGGAGGAAGAGGCCGGTGCTGAACCAGGTGAGGACGTCTTCGCCCGCGATCTGGGCTAGGATGTAGCGTAAGAAAGAGGCTCCGAGGAAAGGAGACACCGTTGCCAGAATCAAAAAGAACAGTTCCGTCCTTCGCAGCTCGGTATGAGCATTTTGCTTGTAAATGTCGTCAGGAGTAGGATCAGGTGGTAAATGTGGTGAGCGACGACGAGGCCTGGCACTTTGGTACATCGACCAAGGGACTGGGTCGAGGATCAGAAAAGTGAGACTTCGATAGGAGCAACGGAACCCACCTTCAATGAGCTGGTGGAGATAAAACAGCAAGAGCAAGATGTACAGCAAGTTTTTCACGAGGTCGCCTCCCGTAAGAAGGTTTCCTACTGGCGAAACGAGGGCTGCGACAACGGCAAGATCGAATTGGTACCAAGCGCGATTGCTCGACGTCTCGCTCTCGCGATCTCTGGTCGCGCGAGCATCACGTTCTGAACGATTCGGAGATACCAAGGGCTTTCCAGACATCTGCGGCAAATCTTCACTGGATTCCGTGCCGGTCTCATATTCCAGCTCCGTCAACGACGTGTCCTCCGTATGGTGCCCAGCATCCGTTTCCTTCGGTTTCTTCGACATTCCAGACTGCGCACGCTCAAGTAGGTGCATTCGCTTTCTGAGTGTATCCTGTGAACGTTCAGAGCCCATGACGGTGGAAAGGGAGAAAAGACAGTACGGTCATGAGCCATGCACATTACGCGCCTGTTGGGCACGGCTAACAGTTGGGTATTTCCGAAGAGAATATTCCTTTCCAAGGTGATTGCTGGTAACGGCGCTGATGCTGCTGTTTCGTTGTCGTCAGCAACGGTGAAGTGGTGGTCAATGATGATGGTCAAAGTAGAGGCTGCATTGATCGCGTGACGGGTAAGACTACTGACACATTAGAAGACTATTTATAGGGGCCTGGCCATATCTAAAACTTCTTTCGTAAAATAGTTCTACAAACGTTGTGTTGTGGATATTTTTACAGTTAATGCACTACACTAGATTGTCTACCGTCGACCTTGGGGAAAATCTTGTACGAATCCGACCCCGACGTTCGCACAGCTGCGGCAGAACATCTGATGGCGTCGATGCCAGAGTCTCCTTCAACAGCTTTTTCCTGTTAGTAAACAGACCACAAGAACGAGAAGACTAGCTGCTAGACTTTGAGTAGATAGCAGTGCGGAATTCATCTGAAACAATAATAAACCATTTTTGTGAAAAGCAGAATTTGAACAGAACTGCTCGCATTCAACCTCTTCTCAATACAGGTATGCGCTGTTGCTTTACCCATCACCGAACAACGACAACGTTCTCCATTCACGAATCTCCAGTTGCACGCGCATAAGGGATTTTCCGAATCATGAAGAATAATATTTGTATACTGACGCAGCAGGTCATCCGAGTAAGATCCATTCCAAGTTCAAAATCTACACACGCGGTCAAAAACAGCGTGGTGACTGTTGAGTAAAGAAACAGACCATATGCCAATCAACGTCCCATGATTTTGGCATAGAGACCCGGAACGTATATCATACTCGCAAACCGCGTGCTCCTGCGATGACCGGAAGTAGTCGCAGAAGACCGCATCACTCCAGACGTCAGAGCGAGCGTCGTCTGCAGCCCACCGACCCTAGCTTGCCCCTGGGTTCAATCTCTGCTAGCATCGGGACATGGTCGCCTCATGTCTCCTGTGCGAAGCCCGCCATTGATGCCCGTCTTCGCATCCTTCGACTACCGGATGCCATATCGCTATGAATCTGAGTGTTTGCACGTCCTGTCTTCGTGCTCAAGTGTGGTAGTGGTGCCCCCGGCATCAGATGTCATCAACGGGAACCTCCAGCAATCTGTGATAGGGCTATTTGCTTAAAATAGAACAGGTCCTAGTCGTCGCGCCGAGAGAGTTGATATCGTGCTAGTACTCGCAGGGTCGTCTGCACCAGTAATTGACGTCACAATACCCCGATACCCAACAGAGAGGAAGATGCCGTGACATTTTCAGGGAGGGTATCGGGACATATGGTTGTCTGCCCAAGCAGGGCGATGAGTAGGCGCTGACAGTTCATTGCGAGCGCTCAATGGCTAGCAACTTGGAGACGGACGCTCATTTACTTGTTCACTATATACGAACGTGGGCATCGGAATCAGATCAACGAGGAAGTCCAGACCTGCAGCAGAGTACACGGAACCGGTGACTTGTATGACATCCGCAAATGTATAGAAGGTATCCGGAAGGAACTGAGGGGACGTCAGAACCCCACACTAGACGCATTTCCCCGGGAGAACGTGGAAACCCCAGCGAGATCCCAAGGAGGCAGGTCGCCGGCCCCGGCTCCCCGATCAGCCAGGGGGGGTACCCAGGGGTAGATAGGTGACAGCGCGATCGGTCACCAGTCCTGCTGAGAACATTTTATCCTCCAGCCTCTGCTGCTTGCTCGAGGAATGGGATGTAACTGGCTATAATGATTCCTCTGCAAAAAAAAGCCTGAGGATGGACCAGAACTCTATGCTTACTCGCATGCTTCGGCTTCGCCCTGAAGATCAAGAGCCTGCTAGGGACCTGCTCGATCACCCTCGGCTGCAAGATGTTTAATTGACAAGGCTTGAATCGCCGTATTTCATGGTTTCTGAAGTGATCTCAGCTTTGTTGTTTGCTTGCTTAGTTTAGCATTTTATTTCTCCAATACCCGATGTCGTTTACCTGTATAGCCCGGAAAACTTCATGCGTTAGTATGGCCGGGGAGGCCTGGATCAAATTGACAATTAAGATGATTTTCAACGAATCATTCAAGCTCAACGCCAGGTATGAGCAGGCTCGAGCTGGTGGCAAGCTTTATGCCGAGGCTTAAGGGGAGGATGCTATAAAATCATTCACCTACCTGCAGTCGCTGCACTCTCACTGTGCCTCGAGCCTCTGAATCATTGCTCATAGACATGCATACCACTATCAATGTCAAGTACCTTGAACTTGCTAGCTTATCACCTGGACTTGAAGCATACTGAATCCTACCATGCTTCACATTGTCCTCCTCGTCATGCATCGGTTCCCTTAGGGATCGCTACAGAACAGCAGGCTTCGTATTTTGCAATCCAGTGCCCACCTACCTGCACTCTTGATATATGGAGTCAATCCTCTGTAAATTATCGTGAGCGCTGCGAGTAGAATTGACCAGCATGTGAGGGACCTACCTGTTCGGTGCCATGTGCGGCCATTGAACGCGAACACTCCCAATGTTAGCCACACCTTCCTTCCGTCGCTCTCACAGGCGTGTTCGCAACAATAGTTATCCCATCACAGCACCAAAAAAATGACCATAGCTCCCGTTTCCGTATGGACCTCCGGTGCTCGAGCCAGTACCTCGCCTGCTCAAGGTGACGCACGTCCAGAAGCAAGAGACCGCCCACCCGCCACCACGGTGCGATTTTGACCGGTCGAAAGCGATCCATGGATTGCAGGATGTCTATGATGGCGGAGAACTTCTGGGCTTCTCCCACAGCTGTCCTTTTGTCGAAGGTTCTTACTGGGTCTTCAATGGATCACTCCAAGTCGAAAAAAAAATAGGAGTCTGCTCGGGTTGGTATATAGATGAGTCCACGAGAAGCGCTGAGACCGATGAAGACTAGCATGAGGTTTATCTGGCATATAAAAGCTTGACGTCGAAAACGTGATGTTTTCTGCGTGCAGAAAAAGTCAATTCACATGTCTGTGAAAGGGGACTATCTGCTAAAAAAAAAAAACGAAGCTCAGTGCAGTTTCTTTCGACTCTGAAAAGGACCGACTCACTGTCTGTCGACGCGAACTTGGGCTAGGGACAAATCAAGTGCCACTTGATTCTAGCTTGAGTTTGGTGGAAGTGAGGAGGCAGGGAGCGGAGTTCATGCATGTGCATGCTTAGTGAAGCGGAGGGACAAGTCGTTGAAACAGAGTCTGTGCCAGAGGGACACTGAACAATTAACATTTGGGCTATAATCCATGCACAGACTCTGTTGTATGCCGATGTTCAACGAAACCATAACCCTTACCCAACGTTTCACACACCGTCTACTCCCAACTCGCTCCTAGCCCTTCCTGATCTACGTGCCCGTCGTGCCTTGGTGAAGGCTCCTCTGGACATTCGTGTAGGTCATTCCCAGAAAAATTAAATCCAGTCTTCAGTGGAAGTTTGTAGCAGGGACAAGGTCAAGGGAACCAGAATCCAGGTCAACACATGCTTGACGCTGCAACCACACCAAGGAAGGAATGTGGATGTGGTATGAGTTTGAAAGAGTAGTCCATGGGCAGTCCTCTCGCGATCATGTGCAATTGTCTGCACACAAACACTGACAGGAACGCGTCGCGTCACGTCACGTCCTGCGCACGGGTTGCCGGCCAAGGAATGTCGGTCCTCGACTGACTTCACGCCTTCCAAAGTCGATGAAGAATAGCTCTACACCCCAGATTATTCCTTAGATATAAGGATCATTCAGGATCACTACCTGACAACGGTAAGAGACTGGCGTTCTAACCAACTGAGCCAAAGACGCATTCTCCATTGCTCAATTCTCGTAACGAGCCGTCGAGATCCTGATCTGTATGACGCAAGCAGTACGGTGCAGGAGGACAGTACAGGTCGTACTCATCGTCTTCAGTCCAAATTCGCGTCGTAATTGTCTATAACAGAACAGACTCTGCATATTCACAAACAGTCAAATTTCATAGCCATAATAATCTTTGATTAGTGAAAATATCAGTCCAATGTCCTCCATATCCCAAGAAGAAAAACACCAACTGTACCCAATTCCTACTCGACCGCAAGCACCCTTGTCTCCTCTCCATGTGAATGCATAGACGTACTGACCATCCCAGTCCTCCGCAGATTATCCACCGTAGGCTCGTCTACCTCGGATATAAGACATTGCAAGTCAGGCCACGTGCGCATCAACCATAGGATTTGCAAAACGCCGACGCAGCCACTGAAACGCATGATGACTGACCAGCCCAATATGAAGCGGCTGTCGCACTTGTGAGCGCATTCTCCAGATCATGCAGCGCAATGGTGGGTGCCGGCTGTACAGGACCGTCTAGTAGCATTGGGTTCAGCCCTAGATCTTCCATGACAAATCTAATGCAAAGCAATTTGGACCTCAAAACTTGTGGAACGACCGAACAACATATTGTTCAACCACCGTCAGCGGATTGCAAACCTCAGGATTCGACCACAGAAACCCAGGACAGTCATCGCTTGACAGGAAAACGGCTCGTAGCAGCCTGCCCGAAGAGATTCCACCACTGCGACGTGTGTAAGTTTGTACCACATGCGAAGAGACGAGTTCACGCACGACATCGAGGAAGACATCGGACACGTCGTAGTGCGAAATTGACCCGAATTTGGCGCCGTTAACACCATCGCTTGTCATTGAAGGGTCTGGGATATCACTGCTCCCCCTTAGTTGGCTGGCCAGCAGCAGACTGGTTGCTAGTTTTGCCAGTAGCTGGTTGAGCCTGTTGGCCTACTTGCTGAACCCCAACAGTTGTCGGAGGGTTATTAATTCCAGGCTGCTGAGCAGGATTCTCGGTCGGATCCGGCTCGGGAGTGGGTTCGGGGACTGTCGGTTAGGCTTCTGTGGTTGTGGGGTAGGTTGAGGCTGAGGATTTGAATTCTGCGGTTGCGGATTGGTGCCGGCGGATTCGGCTGTGGGTTTTGCGGTGCAGGAGTAAGTGGTTTAGGGGCAGCGGGTTGTGGATTGGGATTTTGTGGCGCAGGCGCCTCAGCAGTAAAGGTTTGAGATTAGGACTCTATGGACTCGGTCCGGCATCAGGGTTCGAAGGCTGCTGTCCGTGTTTTGTAGGCTCTGCTGGCTGTGGGTTTGGGTTCTCGGGGGAGAGAGGTGGCTTAGGACCCGGATTTGGGGAGCGGGCACTGGATTTAGGTTCTGAAGCTGGGGCGCTTCTGTTGGCTGTGCTGTCGAGTCGGCAGGTGAGTCTTTCCCTTTGTAGTGTAAACAAACAGGAGTGGGCGTCTCGGTCGGGGTGTCACGACCGAAGATGGTCGTAGTACCTTCCGGTGAAGATGACACAGTGGCGTTTGCGGAGACCGTTTTGGGATTCCATTATATCCAGGTGGATGTTGTCTCACGGCCCGATGGATATACGCGTTGAAGATGTGATTGTGCATCGACAACGGCGGTTTGGTTGATCAGTGATTGTACGACCGATGACTTGCATTGTGTAAACGGCCGTCTCATCGAATTAGCTCACATTTTCTGCTCAAGAATTAGGCCGGTCAACGAAGGAACAAGTGACCGAAAAAAACTCACTCCGCGACGGGTCCATTTTCGTTCAAGGTTGCATGGGCGGGTTCAAGCTGACAGGACTAACATTGGAGCCTCGAGAGTCAGTGATGTTGGCCGAAGTGTAGAAAAGGGCGTGACGCCACTGTATACGAACAATCAACATTAGTACCAATGCCAGGAAGGAGATTCACTAACAGGATCCCGAAAATTATAATTGTAGTACGGCGGCCACTTGAAAGTGTTGGGAGCTATGGAAAGGACAATAAGGAGAAACGCCACCATTGCATTAAAATACTCACCAAGAACAAGGATAGGCTAGACGTGAGCACCATAGACGGTGTCGACAACCCAGTTTCCGGTATTGTTGATTGGATTTATGGAAGCGCCGTCGACGAATCCACAAGTAACGTTGAATGTCAGGGCATTAACAGGAACATCACCCTTCCCGGTGTCACTTGAGAGCACATCGTATAGTGTTCCATTCTCCAAGCCGATCTTTGATATACGATCACTATGAGGAAGATACGGAATGACTGGTGTGGAGTCTAGCCAGAAGATCGAGGGATTGAAGACCCACTGATGGAACATCAGCCACCATGGCAACGAGAGATGCAGAGAACTACGTACAGATTGTTTATGGAGATGTTAGGAGGTCCAAGAGTGGTGGATATCACAGAATAACGTGATGTGTTGCTGAAAACGGCCGACGCAGTGACGTGCAACACCCCAACGCATACAAAATATGCAGTGATAAATAATACCCTAAAAACAGTCGCGGCGATTGTCGTTTCGCGCCAAAGAACCATCAATGCTGCTCCGAGACCAGTCCACGCAGACATGTTATCATACATCGGTCAGTGCCTGTCTCGCATGCAGATTCCAACACGTCGCTAGCTGCTGGCTGACGAAGGTAAGCACGGAAAAGTATAACTGCCGAGAAAAAGGTAAGCCAATGAACCCGGTTGAGAAGGAGAGGTCACGCAGAGGCGAATGTCTGAGAAACTTGAACTATGGCTATAGACAATTTGTTACTCTTTTCGCCGATCAGAACGACAATTCTGTGTTCGACGTGGCTGAACCATACGAAGAGAAGAAGAATATGAAGGTCGACAAGGACTGTGTGAAGAAAGAAACGAAGTACATGAAGGAACCAGGATTTCTCGGTCACTGTTCTGAGTCAGCGTCAGTGGGATACGACAATGGATCACCTCCCTAAAGTTGTATGTCAATACAGTATCGCAATGGTTAAATCGTTAGACCTCGTATGCTGGCGGTGGCGTCGGAGGCAGCTGCGAGTCTTGAAACGGGTTATAGTATACGGTCACCATCCTGCCTACATCACTTCCATACGACAAAGATCTTATATGGGCCCAAGTGCCTACTACGAACACAGCCCAAGTCGAACAGAGACATTGTCATGCATCAGGCCAAAGTCTAGGACACAGCAGTTCCTCCAATTATGAAATGCGATGGCAAAGAAGAACGAAATGTACCAAGTGATGACGAGACTGGAGAATTCCAAGAACTGAATTTCTTCTCTTCCAGCTATATAGCAATATGACCAGGGATCGTCACTGATCATTTTATTCTAATCCATTGGAAGGATCGCCCATGCCCGAAGGATCTTAGCTCTATCACAAGCTTAGGCCAGTCTTTAGAAGGAGACGAATCCAAGCAAAACCGTACTCATGAAGGAGAAGGGAACTAATTTTCAAGGTCTATTCGAACTGTAAAAAGCTCAGCGAATGTTGGCCAAATAGAAAAAAAAAGGACAAAGAATAATTTCTATCGGTCCTCTCTGGCATCAGGTAGCGTGGTATTTGGCGGTCTTACACAAAGTTTGTCTAACAAGGAGGACGTTAAGTGAGAGAAACTTCGGACAACCACTAGATACAAACAGACACAAATCTTGTGCCACAGGCGCGTCACATGGTTCTCGCAATGCGTCCGTCTTTTTCATGTTCTCGTTGGCTCCCTTGCTCTGCTTTCGCGACTTTTTTTGCATGTTCTCTTCGCGATGAGTGTTTCTATCAAGAGGTCCTGACCGAACCATCCTTTCATTAATGATTTCGCGTACTGAGGCCTGAAGGAAATGTTCACTGAAACATTCAACACTTTTGCGATCTCGGTTCTCTCCCTTCATGGCGCCTTCACCTTTCCTTCTTTGCAATTGAGGTCGCTAAGCACTTCTGGTATTACACAGACCTTGAAACAATCACATTCGATGCCATGCGAAGAGATGCTCCGGACGTATCAAGCGTGCTGACTAACCGTTTGCCATCTCCTTTGTCATTATTCGCAAGCCGTGATCGGATGCTTCTCCGGACACTGACAGATGCTCTGTGAGAGTCGCGCGTACGTTTTTCTTCCAGCATTATTTATGGGATTTTGAGTCATTGTCTCTATAGGAAATGGTGCTGGAGACTTGGAAAAGACCGCCGATTTTACTCTTTCTCATTCTGCTGCAACGCAAAGGAGCCTCGCTCGAATGAACGACGTGCGACGGGCTCGCGCTCTGGCACACACCCAAGGAAGGACGGGAACACCGGTTCTCTGGGTCTGGAACTGCTCGATTCTCGGGCCGGGAAACGAAACCCGTTCTGATAAGATATCAGCCCCGATTACAGGGAGATCTGTCATTGGCTCCGGAGGAGAACAATAAGGACGTGAAGTGGCCTACAGACTATAACAATGTGGACAATGGAGGCATTGGCGTCTCTCTTTTCCTCCCCATTGTCCTGTCAAAGGTTCCCTTACCTCCCTGTAGCATCCCCGATTGCTCGACCCTCGCTCAGGAAGATCAATGGACCCGACATCGCTTCATACGCTACTTATGGATGGTAGCTTATCTCCTTCGTTATAACCTTATTCCGTTGCAACAAGTCCTTGTTTTCATGCAGTCTAGTGCGTCTCTCTTTTCAAAATGCTAATCCAAGTGCCTTAACAACTTGTACCTTAGCCTTGTATTACTTCCAACTAACCCATCCCAGGCGCAACCGACTGTGCATATTATCTTGGGAACAAGAACCCTTCTTGCATCTGACGACATCGGCGAGCAAGTATGCATGATCCCTATTATCACCTGGGACCCGCCACCGTATCGCCACTTTCCATCGAAGCCGTAGGGACGAAGACCATGCCATAATAAGTCACATCAACAAGGTAAGTTCCTAATCGGTAGCCATCCCCATGACAGAATTTATCGTTTGCAAAAAGTATCATGAAGGGGAATTCCATATTGGGATTGAAGGCAATGTCCGAATTCGGGTTGGTCCTTGAGTGTCTCCAGACTCTGATGGCACAAGGGATACACCAAATCGCGTACAAGGAGAGGGACCGGCATTTTGTTCTTAAGAGCCAGGTAGTGAGTGACTTTTTTTCTCACCTCCCCATCACCGATTTTTATCGTCGCGCAGGAGCTCCTCCCGACCGCCCGTCCTTATGGCTTCTCCAAACTACGTCTTCTCTATCTTCGCCTTCCTTGGCTTCATTATTAGTATGATTCCGTTCTACTGGCATATGGAAGGTGCGTAAAAAAATCGGTCATTTTTTCAGATATTAACTAGTGGACATGGTTAGCATGGAATATTGGGACGTGCTCGTACATGCTATGGGTTGGATTTGGGTGTTTCATGTACTTCATCAATTCTATCGTCTGGAACGGGAATGCTATAAATTGGGCACCAGTCTGGTGTGATATTTGTGAGTTTCAACGGCTATTTAGATATTCTCATTGACTGACATTCTACAGCGTCTCGGTACATCATCGCCTTGACTGTCGCGATTCCCATCTGTTCTCTGTGCATCAACCGCCGGCTATACTATATCGCAACATCGGACGCAGTCATGTACTCCAGGAAAGAGGTAAGCCAATCTTATCGTTTGATGTTGATCGACGTTAACGCCGTTCTGCAGAAACGCCGTGCGATCATAATCGATCTGGCGATGTGTATTGGTGTGCCAGTGTTGGAGATGATAATTGGTGTGTTGCATCAGCGTCAGTTATCCCAAGGCATATGTATCTGACCGCCCTACTAGCCTACATACCGCAAGGGAACCGCTTCAATATCTACGGTGATATCGGCTGCATGCCCGCCATTTATCAGACTTGGGTCGCAGTGGTCCTGTATCTTTTGCCGCCCATTCTCATTGGTTGTGTCTCGGCCGTGTACTGTAGTATGTCGCTATCATTCCTTGCAATTCTGATGTATCTGATCATATGAACTTTCTAGTTCTGACCATCATCGCGTTCAACCGACGCCGGTTGCAATTCAAGGAAGTCCTATCTGCTCACTCGAATTTGAGCTCAAGTCGTTACTATCGCCTCATGTTCATGGCTTCGGTGGACCTGATGTTGACGGTTCCACTTGCGACGTACATTCTCGTAATGAACACGCATGACTTGCAGCCCTGGATCAGCTGGGAGAACGTGCATTTCGATTTCTCTCGTGTGGATCAAATACCGGCAATTCTCTGGAGGTCGGTGTCTGCGGGAACGCTCCTCGAGCTGCAGCGGTGGTTAGTTGTCATGGGTGCATTCGTGTTCTTCCTACTCTTCGGCTTTGCGGATGAGGCCAAGAAGCACTACCGAGCCGCCTACAGCTCCGTTCTCAAGCGTGTTAGTAGCAGTTCTCTTGGCTCTACGAACCTTGGGTACGTATTTTACACTCTACTGATATATTTCTTACTGACACTTCTATGCACAGCTCGAAGTGGACCTCCAGTGGCAACGGCAGTCTACCTGTCTTTATCGAGAAGAAGGTTGTCAAGAAGCACGACTCGTCGGAGTCCTTCACCGACATGTCGTTATCGCATTCCAATGACTCCAAGGAGAAGTCCTTCTCCGGTGATATGTCTTTCGGCGCGTACTCTTTTGCTGATGTGGGCGGTGCCCTCAGCAGCACCCCTCCCAAAGATCCCTTCGCGCCGAAGTCCATTGTCACCTCGTCTTCTTCTTCCGTGATATCAGATTCATCGTCTTCGACGCCGCCGAAATACACTTCCCAGGAAGACCTCACCATCGAGATCTCCTCTGTTCGTCATCTCTCCATCATCGAACCTGCCGTCCCGCCGCGCACCTTGGACCTTTCCAATATTCCAAGACATTTAGTTGACCTGCCGAAGCCAGTTGGAGCGAACACACCCGATGTCGTATGATGACGACCAAAACGGCGATACCCGTTTCCTCTCCAACCATATGTGCAACCGCCACTCTCAAATTGTATTTTTAAGACTAGTTTTCCTTCCTTCTTATTGTCCTTTTCGGCTCTATAGAGAGCTCAGTAGCCTACAGTCCTTGCAATATCCCTTATTCCTATGTATTTGGTAGATTTACATTCATTGTGTTTACTATATCACTCTCACATCGGTTTACATGCTGGATAGGATTTGTTAGAATGCAAATACAGAAAAGATTGAATATCCACGTTCTTGTTCTTGTTCCGGATTTGACTGAGTTTCTACCATTATGCAGCGGTGGCGGGTCTTGATAGATACCATTATTGCATCCGGCTTTCCTAAAGGTGCCGTGCCGAGATCAGATGTCCCCCAAGTGGCTTCCGCAGAATATCTTGACAAGTTATTACTAGTTGCGAGAATCGGTGATAAGTATCCTGCCTAACTGCCTCGTCGTTATCTACCTCTTCGGTTCTGCGTCAACGGCCGAGGGATAAGCGAGTGTTGCTCTGCCCTAGTCAATGCACCGGCATGTTGCCGCACAGCTAAGACACAATGCCAATCCTCCTTGTTCCGCTCGTAAACTTGAATTCATGCTGTACACCCAAGACGCCGCCGCCGCTAATCCTCAGTTCGAACTCGATTGCAATATCGGTCATAGGATGATGATTGACGACCCTTCTCGAGAAGCGGCGAGTTGTTTTTATCTTCTTGATATCGCGTAAGGCAGAAAGAAGGGGGGCCGCTTCCAACGACAGTGTTTGCTGAGCCCCGACGTGAGTGGGTTGCTGCTGCCATCGGTGATTGCATTGAATGGCATCGCAAGCATGAATCTACGAGTGCCAACACCGTAATGAATGCCAACTGGGCTTCCAAGTTGGAACTAAAGGTCAAAAGTTGAAGGTTTCGAATGGGCTACGGGAAAGCTCGAGCCAGATGGGCCAGACGTTTTACATCGCGTCGGTGTCATGTCTCATTGTCGCCAGAGGATATGATCAGTCTCTCGAGCTTCATTCTGACTTGAGAACTCTGAAACGAGATGTGAGAACGACAGCATGGAGAGATAATGCCAACAGAGATTTATCTATTTGTTTGCTTTGTGGTAAGACGCTACCGTATCTGTAAACACTCAAAGTAGTAAAATATTGCGTAGCGGTAATCCGACCATCCATTGGGATGACATCGGATTCCATAGTCTAGATCTGGACGCCTGCGAGGGAATATCCATGTCAGTGATGAAGACCTTTCAAGTGTGTACCGCCAGCCGTACCGTTCCCATTGTAAGATATGTCTAACCCATCCTCTTTGAACGTTCTCAAACGATCGAGGAGACCGCTTTCAACAATCTCAAGACTGGTTGTTATCGCCACGCGCCGCAACAAAGTATCAGGATGCCATCGAGCCTCGATGAAGGCCAAAAGTGGGAAGAGGAATGATCCTGAGTGTATTTGGAAAGTTCTATGAGGTTCCAAGGCCAGAGTGAAGGAGTATAGTCGCGGAAATAAATCGGTAGAAAGCTCATACATAAGGGAGTAATAGTTTTGTCCGATGAAAGGTATGGAAAGGTTAAGATGCTGGAGGTTGCCTGAATGAGTAGAAAACTGACGGAAGATATTTACCGGTCTCTCGACATCGAAGATGGTCGCTGAAAGTGTTGAAGTAGCACACCCTCCATGTCGCTCTTACCTTACATAATCGTAGCTACCAATACTGGAGATCGAAAGTCAACGCTTACCAGCTTTTGACCTTCGACTCCAGACCTGGCTTTCCCCGCTGCGCTACGCAACCTGCTCTCAACAGAAAGTGCCTCCAATGCTGGACATATAAGATATTGGATCAAATCAATGTCTTCGATATTCAGCGAGCGCAGAGTTTCATGAGTGACATTGGTCAAAGACATACCACCTATATCGCGTGTTGGAACGCACCAAGTTATCGTGTGGCTTTCGAGCTGGGTCGATCGAGATAAGAAGGTGAGGTGGTCGCCGACGGTAGCAGGATGATCGTCTCGAAAATGAGTGATGTCGCCATGATGGTCGGAGATAGGAATGAGCAACAAGATAAAGGGTAACATCGCGGGTATTTGGAGCCAGGAGGAACGGTTCCAGTGCTTCTTCGGGTAATATATCAAACTGGGATGGTGCAAGATGGAGGCGAAGGAGTTTTGATAGATGGTGACCGTTGATTTTTCTTACATAAGGAACGAGGCAGGGCGAGATGGAAAAATACACATCCTTCCAACGATACGCCGGATGAGCTGTGAGTCTGTGGCCAAAGGGATACCAGTCAGAGAATATCTGATAGACAAATCTCTCTGTCGCGATAAGTCCAGAGCATCTTCCAGAATAGCGGGAAGATCTTTCATTCCATCTCCTAATCTTTTAAGTTGAGGATAACCTTCCATTGACAAAGACGCCCAAAGTTCCGCACAAGAGCGTGAAACGTCTCGCCAGCGTTGACAGACACGGCATAGAACCCACGGAGTTTGCGACAGGTCAAAAACGGGGAAGAAATCTTCCACTGCGTGTTGAAATATCTCCATCAAGAGTTCCGAAGGGAAAGTTCGAAGAGGAGAGAGAATTGATCGGTAGGCGTCAATAAGCTGTTTTAGATGAGCTTCTTCGTCTTTATCATACCCCACGGACGCGTCTAACTGTTCGATACGATCAGAGGCAACATGTAGCATCTCCGAGATGTGCGTGTACTCTGATTGTGAAGGGGGGTCACTGCTGCGGAGGAGATACTCGAACGTGGGGCAATCGGCAAGGACCGGGCCGATGCTGTGGCACTGAGTAGATCCAAAAAAATCGCTATGATTTTTCAGAATAAATCTGGGTAAAAATGAGAAGGACATACCTAGGCGTGGTGATGTCCATGTAGTAGTTAGCTGAAAGCTAGCGGCCCGAACTTCCGGCATGTTCAATTTGGTCGCACAGCCACCCGGGCCAAGTCAGCTGCAAGATGTAACTCTGTATTTGATAGTCTTCTAAATGGTTTTACATGCAAAACTGCATTCCTTCAATGGATTTCCTTCTTGACCTCCACATTTCCCCCTTCAAATCCCTTCTTTTTACCAATGATACACCATCTGATCTAAAGGCAAAGAGCATGAAAGAGTTTCTAGATGACCATCTCAGGGAGCTTTGAAAACAGGATGAAGAAATCGCTCGTGTTTTTGCACTCTTAAATCAACTGGAAAATAAGCAGTGCCGCCTGCAAAAGTACATCACTGCTCATGAAGCCCCTATCTGAATATTTCCCCTTGAGATCCTTGCAGAGATATTCATGCAGATGCTCAATGATCATTATGATGTCTTTGACATGAAGCAAGGCCCTTGGGCTCTTTGACATGTATGTTGCCATTGGAAGGATGGCTCACAATCATGTCCTGGTCTTTGGGCTTCATTGTCTATTGAATCCCCTCATCTACAGCCTGAGTGCCATTGCTCAGACCTCTCTGACATCCTTAAGAATGTATTGGCCTTAACTGGTGACCAGAAGCTGGAGGTCAGGTATTCCTTGCAGTCACTTATCATAGAGGATGGCATTACCTTTAGCTTGAAAGCACTATGGGATGATGAAAAAGATAGTTTTTGGAATATCTTGCAGCATCTGCTCGACATGTTGGTCCATCATTCCATGCAGTGGAAGAGTGTGAGTTTCATACTTCCAGTCCAATTAGGTCATAGCCTACAGAAGGCAAAGGGAAAACTCTCGTCATTGGTCAGCTTTGACTTCTCGGCTTGCAAACGATTGAGTATAGGTGTGCAATTTGATAGTGAAACAATTGACATGTTGTCTGTTCCACCAAAGCTGCAGGATTTGACTGTCACTAACGTTCTCAGCAATATGTTGCCATCTCTTTTTTGGTCTCAGATGCACTATCTAAGCCATAGTTTTGTGATTTCCATTGAACACCATTTGCATCTTCTTATCAAAGCTCCCACTGCTCAAAGCTTATGTAGCAGGTTTCCACTATTCTTCCCCTTGGGAGAAATACAAACTACATTGTACATACAATTATTTGTGCCACTTGAAGTTGACTTGCATGCTCCATTCATCCCAAACACTCCTAAATTACTTGATGTGTCCCTCCCTTGAAGAGCTTCCCTTGGTCTTTGACAAGCTGGACTATATTTCACAGACTCTGTATGAGTTTGGCAATCATTCTGGCTGTCCTCTGCCCCAACTCTCTGTGAAAACCAGATACATCAGTGATCTAGGGTTTATAACATTAAGGTTTATTTAACATGGGGAAGCAAGAAGTGTAAGGATCCCACCAGGATAAGTGGTTGCAGAAGGCAGAACTGAAAGAGTGTCACCATGGCAATTCAGTTTTAAATATTCAAAGTGTATAGTTGCAGTGTCATATGGGTCCGCGACCAGTCTCTTGAATGACATAACATGTAGCCAATCCTATTTAGAACAGATACGGAGGAATGATCTATGTGATGACAGAAACATATTTTTTCTTTACTAAGTATTAAGCGTTCCCCTCAATGCCAAAGAAAAATATAAATATTTTTTCCTATGCTACGTTTACAATTTCTGACCGTGTATACCGTCCATTCATCTTATGGCGTTTCGTCTAATCTTTACAATCAATATTGCCTATCTACTTGGCAACAGAAATGGCTTCCACGTTCCAATAGCTCTCAGCATATTCCAGGATTGCTCGGTCTGAGCTGAATTTCCCCATCTACGAGGCAAGTTAGTTAGCATCTCAAGAAGACGACACGATGAGTCTCACCTTGGCCACGGTCTTGATTGATTTCTTGATCCATTCTGTCTTGTCAAGATAGGCCTCATCGACCATTGCCAACGCCGCAATGTCTAGTTGATCGGATCAGCCAGAAAGAAACAATTTTAGTCAGAAACGAGGCTGACATGAATCAAAGTCATCGGCAATCAGGTAGTAGTCGACTTGCCTAATGGTTTTGAGGAGACTAATAAATTACCGATCAGAAGACATCCTTAATCATAGAGACAGAGAAATTACGGTTCATAAACGCCTCCATCTCCAAACATACCACCGGAGATCTTGTTAAGAACGTTGGCCAGCGCTGGGCACTTCTCTTCGATCGGGATGGGATGGTACATGTGTTGGTATCGTATGTCCTCGACGTCCCTTCAAGATCATAAGCAAGCATACCGGAGAATAAATGCAATATGCCCACGGCGTCAAGTGACCAAAGAAGACTGCAGTAAATTTAGACATCAGCGTTCACTGTATGCGAATGCACTCACAAACGTTGCTCTCGCCAACCTAGAATATTCAACATCAGAAAAGAAACGAATAGTTATTTGACTAAAGAGGTCACACCGATTCAGCGATTTCGATGTTTGCTCCATCTGTGTGCGACGCTCAGTTCCCATCCATTCCATTGGTGGGAGGCACACATACCAACGGTACCCACAAGTAGGCCTCCGTTCAAGCAGAATTTCATGTTCGAAGTACCCGAAGCCTCAGTTCCAGCAGTTGAGATGTGTTGACTGATGTCCGAAGCCGGGATTAACACCTCTGCGACCGACACAGAGTAATCTGGAATGAAATAAACGGTGAGATATTCTTTGGTATCCGGGTCAGCGTTGATGATACGAGCGACGTTTACGATCAATCGAATGGTCTGTCCAGGTCGTTAGCCTGGTCGGTGAACACGAGAACGACGAACATACGAGTTTGGCAATGTAATCTTGCATGCTTTGGTCAGAACGTGAATAGTAGGCATAAAAGAGAGCGCTTACAAGCTGGGGCCGCCTTGCCAGCGAAGAATACGACGCGATGGTTAACCTTCTGGCGTGCTTCCGGAGTCATGGCCTTCAAGGTCAGGTATCGCTGGAATAAGATACGTCAGCACCAAGTAAATACTAAGTATGATTCACTTGCATGGATGACACCAAGGATGTTCAAAGTTTGGCGCTATGAACTTGTTTCATTTCGGGAGCCCATAATCGTTGTACAATGCGTACCTTATACTCATGCAAACGCTAGAAATGGTAGATCAGATTTCAATTCATCGGAAAATGTCAACAACAGGGCCCCCACCTTAATCTGAACATCAAACATGGCATGAGTGTTGATCGTAAATCCTAGAGTCGTCTGGACATAGTGCGCCAAACGCTCTTTGTTGCGCTGCTTAATTGCCGCCCATTCTCTTCGGAATCGAGCGTCCTCGGCGAAAGGAAGAAGACCCTCAAGCTTATCAAGACTCTTCAACCAGACGCTCTTCTCAACCTTTAATGTTTTGCTAATGAGGTCGCTGAGCTCAGGGTTGCACTGTTCGCGTGGAAGATGTAAACCCTAATCCATGGATTGGAACGATATCCTTACCTGGTCGAGCCATCGTCGCGGAGTAACTATAGGTCCAAAATTAGCGACGAACGGGGGCAGCCAGAATGCAACATGACCAGGAACATACTTCCGTTTGTTACGTTGCCGAACTTGCTGATGCCCTCAAATTCAACGAAGTCCTTCAAGATAGTAGTTCTGACAAGGTCGCTATGTAACTATTGGGGTAGGCCTTTAAGCTGAGTGACAAAACAAGATAAAAGCGACGACCAACCTCGGCCACACCGTTGACTTTCTTGCTTCCTGTTCACAGTAAGCACATGTTAGACTCTCAACACGATAACAGAAATCACCGATGCATGCCAGATACGCCATTCGGACTTGTTTAGGGAAACCCTCTGTCGTGATGCACTTGTTCAGGATTAGCACAATTTTCAGAGCATATATTTTCCACCTTCAATCAAAGACATTCTGCTCAGTCTGTCTCTATCGCCAGGAAATTTCTTCTCGACGGCTTGCAAGAAGAACCTAGAGAAGCGTTAGACCTTGGTAACGAAGGGAGAAACCGTCCCACAGGTTCTAACATAGATGGTCAGAAGAATGCTTGAGATTAATCTTATCTATCAACTTACGATGTCATAGATGATCTGCATGTGTCTGCGGAGTGATATCGAATTTCAGGCATCGAAACCCGCCATAATCAATACCCGTACCTTGGTAACACATGCTCCATTAATGGCACCGGCCATTTCTCTAGAGCTTCCTTCGGTTCAATCAGTAAACACGCTAAGGAAGAGGTAAGAGGCAAGACATACGGGTAATACAGTGTGATTGGTATAGAAAAACGTGTTATTCACGATTTCCCAGGCTTTGTTCCAATCCAGGTCCTCGTCGTCAATCAGAATACGCATGAGTTCGGGAATAGCAAGAGTCGGGTGCGTCTACAATTGAAAGGTTAGCTTCCTTTCAAGATAAGTACGCATAAAAGTTATACGTCATTGAGTTGGATTGCAATGTCTGGAAAATAGGTCAGCATCACTCCGTTTATAATTTGGAAGTGCGTACAGTCGGGGATTTCAGTGATCGATTTGCCGAGGTTCTTGAATCGTCTCAGAATATCAGCCAAACTAGCAGCGGTCCAGAAACTACAACATCGATGTGAGAGACGTCCACCGCAGACACAAATCGTTACTCACTATTGCTGCTTCAAACGCAGCTCCTTTCCGACTAAATGTAGCCATTAGGAATTATTGGCAGATAGTAGAAGAGAACTTACAGGATCTTTCCGTCGAGAAGAGATGAATCAAAACAATAGCTTGTCAAAGAAGATGCAACTCACGTATGGTCATTGGGATACAAGACAGAGGTGATGGCCGCGGCACTGTTGGACGATTCGATAGCACCCTCATAGTTACCAGCTAAATTTGAAATCTAGATTAGTATATATCGGAAATAACGTTTGGTATAGCCAACCATTGAAGGAGTTGAGATCGAACCCCCGTTTCGGTTTGCTCTCCCAAAGTCTCAAGTTGTTCGTAGTCTTGGTGTAACATCCAGGAATCATAACGTCATAAGCAACGGCGAGGACTTCTTGACCACCTGTCCATGAAGCGCGAGGAGTGCCATCGTTCAAACGCTCCGCTTGCCCGTAAAAACGGACTTCGTAGGCCACGTCCAGACGAGGAAGCTATTATAGACACATTGCATCAGAAGAGCTACGGTGCGAAAGGCTAGCTCACCTCCCAAGGATTTTGATTGTCCAGCCATGGATCGGGGGCCTGGAACATCATTCGAAAGTGAAGGAGATTCTAATGAGCAACTGACCTCCAACTGGTTTCCCTCCGGAGAAATGAGCTTCAAATTTGGATGAATGGAGCGTTAAACGGAATTAGAATCGCAGAAGCAAACCTGCTGGAAGATTCCATACTTGTATCTCAGTCCATAGCCCCAAACTGGGAGTTCCTATGGTGAAAGAGAACATGATTGGACGTCGGTCCGTAACACTTGGTAACGCACCTGAGAAGCAGACGAATCAAGATAACAAGCAGCAAGACGACCCAATCCGCCGTTCCCAAGGGCAGCGTCACGTTCCTTGTCCAAAAGGTCTTCGATGGAGAAGCCCAGCTCCTTTACTCCGTCTTTGTACTGGTCCTTTAAACCCAGATTCAGAAGCTGTGGGAGGGACAATCGTAAATATCGCATATTCCCATGAACTTGTATAGACAGACGCTCATACCGCATTATCGAGAGTACGACCCATCAGGAATTCAAGAGAGAGGTAGTAAGCCCTCTTGGGGGCTTTCCGCGTATAAGTGAGCTGGGTGTCATCCCAGTTCAGCTATTCAAATCTGGTTAAACCACGGCGAAAAGGCCAAAGAGACAAACGTACAATCAAGTTATCTCTGACTGAAAGCGCTGCGGCCTGATAGGCGCCAAGGTCATCTAAAGATAACCGAATCGATACGATGATTCTCGAATACTTAATAAAGAATATAACGAACCTAGATTATGTGCCTGGCGCGCTAGCGAGGTCTGAACGTGGTTCACGAAGGACTTGGTGATGGAAGCGACGTCTGCTCGAAGGCCAATGAACACTGACTGAGTCGAAGGTTTACAATACAGCGTACCAGTGTCGACACCTCGCATACCCGCCTTCCATATCTTTTCGTCACCTCTAGGCCACTTCTCTTTTCCAGTTTCGTCTATCTCCGGAAAGTAGCCTGAGCGTGCCGTCAGCATCGAATTGGATTATCGCGTCGGAACTGGAACGTACCAGTCAAAGTCCTCACATGCCTGCGAGGACGCGCAGGCCTGCCAATGGACTTTGGGTCGATGGTGGAAGTCATTAGTGGTGATGGTAAGGAAGCAAGCCAGGCTGCTACTCAGAGTACTTATACGAAAATCGAAGTTTCGGCAATCGACGTCATGATAAGTCTGGACTTCCAAATTGAGCCTATTTCACGCCACATACTGACGTAGGCGCCATAGCCGAGTTCCAGCAGAGCGCACTCGGTGTTCAGTAACATTCAATGAAAAACTTGTTACCCGGGAAACACGCCGTCTCTGCAGCTATTTAACCACTCAGTATCATGCTTTATGCTCTACTCCCCTCGACCTAGACCCCGGAATTATGGTTCCAGCCGCTGTCGAACGAATCAGGAATGCTAACGATAGATGTATGACGACCAGCTGTGGAGTATCAAGCACGTCGAAAGCCTATTTAGCACACGTTCCAGGTGGGTGCCTTGGGTACCGGTCCACCACGAAACAAACAAGGACAACTCTCCCAGCATTGTACCACCGATTGTCCTGATACAAAGCAATGAGTTATAACATCCAAGGCCTACTTGAAGTTGTAATATACATACCCACAGCACCATAGACGACCCTGCATGAACAATATATCCCTTGAACTCATTTTCGTTCGGATCGTCAAGTCTAGTCTCGTAAACCAGAGTCAACGATCCGTATGAAGATAAGTCGTTCAATGGATGCAGACGTTAAGTCTGGCAACATCCTGGTGTCACAATCGCGAGGACACCTGGAACGTTTCTAATAGTACGCGTCTTTGTACCTTATCCACCCGCACTGGCCCAGATAATAAGTATCTCCGACCGTAAACGATTTTTATGAAATTCATCAAACCTCCATAGCCTCATCAACTGATGATGACCTAATCTTTCATCATGATCTCTCCAGATACCATTGGCAACGGCCCGACACCATCAGACCAGCGCCGACTTCATCAAATAACATCATGTCTCGCATTCAACCCTGCCGGCGGGAGGACATCCTTTTTTCCAATCGAGTAGCAAGGTCTTCAAGTAGTGGGCGGACAAGTAGACAACGATACGCAAACAAATTGCAACCTATTTACAGACCACACAGCATCTCTAGCCCTGCACAGGCAGATCAGGTAGATGCACATTCAAGCGTGATTGTCGTGTTGCCCCAGCAGAATAGACGTCCGCTGCAGAGCCAGAAGAGCATCCCAGCGCAACTCCCGAACAACTTCCTGGCATTGCGACATCAGAAGTGCCCATACGTGATCAACTTCTAAGACGCACCTCTGCACTCTGTATCTTGTCCGTGAGTCCAACACCCATGCCAGCCCAGATAACGAGCCTCTCTGATTCCCCCCGCGCGCCACCCTCATCAAACCTCCGTAGCCTCTCATCAAGGTCCAAGCCCTCGTCATGATCTCTCCAGATACCATTAGCGATTGCCCGCCCATCGATACCATCAGGCCAACCCATGGTACGGCCGACTTCATCAAACATCAAACCTCTTGCCGTCGCATTCAACCCTGCCTGGACGAGAACATCCTTTCTTGCAGCCGAATATGCCGACTCATGAGTGAAGAGAAACCGCGTTCCGAGGACAACACCAGATGCCCCGAGAGTCAAAAACAACGCGATTTGAGCGCCGGTAGCAACACCACCCGCAGCGAGAACGAGTGGACCGTCTTCGGGAACAGCTGCCAACACAGCGGGCAACAATTGGAAAAGAGGGAGTGCTTTGGCTCCTCCGTGTCCGCCTGCTTCGATTCCTGCAATCCCATATTCCTTCAGCATGAGGCAGCCTCGAAGATTGACGACATGCCTTGAACGACTAGGGCATCGATCTTCTACTCAGCCGTAGCCCTCAGAGCCTCTTCCATAGAGTTCACGATGACATAGATGAGTTGATATCAAACTGGCCATGGACGCCAAGGCCATTGGAGCCACCACGATCGGCAAAGAGATATCTACATTCAGACGTGAGCATTCACACTGTCAGTGGAATCATGAAACCCATACATGGCAGGTTCCTACACAGGCCTAACTGTTGTCGTCGTAGCTCTGGACAGAAGAAGCCTCTACTGGGTGGGCAGGTTTGGCAAGCACTGTACGTTTTTTTTTGTGCCACATGGACAAATAAACTTGGCATAAGCCCCTTTGCTAAAGTAGATATCCTGGGCAATAGATCAGATAAAAAGATGACATTATTGTTGAGCCACACCTTACTTCTTGCATCCACTACGAATCAGTCATGATGAACACAATCGATGCGACCAGTGACAACGATACGAAGAAGGAAATGCGAGTCATCAAAGGATATTGGGTTGATGACAGGTCGACTGCAGTCCAGACTATAGATCCAGGGCAAACCGTAATGAAGGCCGTAGACTCGCTCTTCCAAATTATGGGTCCAAATGCGAATTCGAATTGTGATGAGGTCGACACTCTCCACTTTCTGCCAGGTAGGTTGTGATTTCACATGTTCAGACTCAAATACAACCAAATAATGGCACAGTGAACCTCGACGTCCCTATCAGTGTATTGGTTCCTCCCTATTCGAATATCGGTAGAGAACAGGTTTTAACTGTTCTATTTGAACCCAAGGTGCCCATGACATCTGCCGTTCTTGCTCTCCGAGATGAGAATGCTCCATTACAGCATGTCACAGGTGTGTATCTTAGTGTCCTGCCAGCACTCCTCCATTAATTCATGACAGGGAGCAAATTGAGTCTCAGAAATACCCCTCCAAGTGTTCTTGATGTCCTGGTGGAAGAGATAAACCACTTGAAGGCAGGAAGAGCAGAGGACCAGAGGCAACGCGAGAAGGATCAGAGGCAACGGGAGGAGGACCAGATACAACGGGAGGAGGATCAGAGACAACGGGAGGGGGACCAGGTACAACGGGAGGAGGATCAGAGACAGCGTGAGAAGGACCAGCGACAACGCGAGAAGGACCAGATACAATGGGAAGCGTACCAGAGACAGCATGAAAAGGACCAGCGACAACGCGAGAAGGACCGGATACAACGGGAGGAGGATCAGAGACGACGGGAGGAGGATCAGAGACAACAGGAGGGGGACCAGATACAACGGGAGGAGGATCAGAGACAGCGTGAGAAGGACCAGCGACAACGTAAGAAGAACCAGAGACAATGGGAGGTGTACCAGAGACAGCATGAAAAGGACCAGCGACAACGTGAGAAGGACCGGATACAACGGGAGGAGGATCAGAGACGACGGGAGGAGGATCAGAGACAACAGGAGGGGGACCAGATACAACGGGAGGAGGATCAGAGACAGCGTGAGAAGGACCAGCGACAACGTAAGAAGAACCAGAGACAATGGGAGGTGTACCAGAGACAGCATGAGAAGGACCAGCGACAACACGAGAAGGACCAGAGACAGCGGGAGGAGGACCAGCGACAACGCGAGAAGGACCAGAGACAACATGAGAAGCACCAGAGACAACACGACAAGGACAGAATGCCAATTTCTAGTCTCCAGGAACAACTCTCTAGCCTCTGGGAACAATGTGCTGAAGATCAAAACCAACTTGCAGATGATAAAAGGCGAATTTTGGACCTTGAAAAGGTGGGTTACACTGGCAATCCATCAATTAATGCTAGGCTTATTCACTTTCATTTTCCAGGGAAATAAACGTCTCAAGATCATGGTGGATGAACACGATAAGACTCTTGAGGAATTGAGGCACGTGCGTGATATTAGATTTAATTTAATTGCATACTTTCTCATGGCTTGTGTAGTTGATACTCTTGGTTGCTCCCTTGCATATCCGTGTCCTTTTAGACAAAACAAAGATCAAAATTCTAGAGCGATGTCAGTACACATCGTGGGACGCCCTTCGTAACAGCCGCCCTCCCGAAGAACTCAAAGCATTCATACAAACCAATGCACAATTGACCGCAGCTGTCTCCAATTTTATTTTTGAATGTTCAGATCTGCGCCGAGAGGGAAACCAGAGTGCTCACAGTGCAAGTGCTGATGATGTTCGATCTGCCATAATGCAGAAACCTTTTGGAGAAGAGCGAACATTGTTGGAACAGCTGTATATATTTGTCTATGGAAAACCTATCTGATGTGTTACAATCCATACCCGTTTTTACATACATTTGTGATACCTGTGAATCTGATAGACAATGAAACCATGCATTTTGTCAGTTCGGTGGAAATGATCCACATCGGGGGTAAAGGGTTCCCCTACTGGTTGTAAGCTTATTCAAGAAGACGGACACCGCTTCTTCCTCTCCGATGGGAAATTGGATGTAGACGAGATTGCGCCGATGGTTAAGGAGGGCGTAAAAACGAAGTCAAGTATAGTGGGGTGGGGTTCGCACCGAATCCTTCATAAGCAATGTATGAATGCGCTTTCATATAGTGTAATTAATGCACAAGTAGCTGTGATGCTCTCTGTAATGCGTGAACGGTCTCTTCCTGCAGTTCACAGACAACTTTCTATTGAAACATCATTATCAGTGGCCACAGGCAAATTGCTTCAGGCTTACCTCGACACTCTGAATTTCATTCGTCAGACCGACACCAGCACCAGCCCACACGGGGAGGCGCGAAGTAGATCCTTTATCCTTCCCCTCATCAGCTCGCCTCAGCCTCTCCTCCAAACTCAGCCCTTCACTCACATCACTGACGATCTCGTTCGCGATACCTCTCCCATCGATACCCGTGGGCCACCCGACTGTCCTATTGATTTCATCAAATGCTGTGCTCCTCGCTGTGGAGCCTAGCCCGGCCTTGACAAGCTCCTCTTTCTTCACGGGCGGGTAACCAGACTCATGTGTAAGCAAGAACCGTGTGCCTACGACGACGCCATCTGCGCCTAACGTGAGCATGGAGGCGATTTGAGCGCCCGTTGCGATGCCACCAGCGGCCAATATGACAGGGCCATTTTGGGGTGCAGATCCGAGGACAGCGGTCAAGAGCAGCGCTACAGGAGGAGCCTTGGCGCTCCCATGGCCACCAGCTTCATTGCCTACTATAGCATTAGCACCATGTTGCAAATCCGCCGCCAGCCTACGCACCTTGCACTACTAAAGCGTCAACTCTCCATTCATTGGCTGCCTGTGAAGCCTCTTCCACAGAATTTACGAGGACAAACACTTTCGTTTTGTGGTCACGCTTCGAATCGTGCTCCCTGACCTGCCGAACATACTTGCCAATATCCTTTCCAAAAGCGAACCAGACTGCCTGAACACGCTCTTCAAGAACGCTTGTCAAACGGGGATCGGCAGACACGTCGTTCTTCTCGAGGATCCAGGTGATGAATCCCACACCAACAGGCAGCGAGACGTCCGGTTGCAATCCCAAATTCGCTCGGATCGTATGCAGGGCCTCGACGAGTTGCTCGGGGCTGCTATTACCTGGCGAACGTTCAATTTCCAGGACCATCGCAGAGTCTGTCCTGCTTACCTGCACCTAGAAATCCGAAAGAACCCGCAGCAGATACTGCAGAGACAAATCCTGGCGGTGAAACGTACGCCATAGGCGCCCCGACGATTGGGGTCTTGATGTCTGCTACACTGTCAGGATGTCTGAATAACCTATCAGTCACAATTTACCCAAGAAGCTGGTCAATCTCGTCGAAATCATGGTACAGGAATGAGTATGAGTCAGACGTAATTTCAGACAAATGGTCATCTGTTCCGTATATCGCGTCTTTTTGGTCCCGAAAGGTTCGGCCGACGATGGTAACGTGTCGAGATGTTTATTTTGCCACGCATTTCAAGGAGCAGGAAAGTGAAAATGAAATATCTTCCTGGAAGTAAAAGTCCAAGTACTGGTCAATTCGGAGTTATTTATTTAGCATTAAATAAACCGAAATGCAGAGAGACTACCGGGCCGGTTCCGTACCCACCGACCACCACCTTCAACTCATTTTCTTTAGTCAAGTCTAGTAGCGTAAAGGTATGCCTCGCTTTGGTTCTCGCGCTGCATCCGAGAATAGACTTAAAATTGTATTCTTAGCTCTCTAAATCCTCTTTTCGTGAGCGGTGCGGCGTCCAATATGTCATCCTCTTATAGCTCTCTTGGAGAAATACTTGTCGGGCCTGCGAATACTCCGCAACGGCCCACACTCGCAGATATTCGTGCTATCGTCGCCGACGAAATCGCAGTACGCGCAAGGCTAAGATTCGAGATCGTCGACGGTATTTCTACCAGAACCCGTGATTGACGGCCCACCTAAACTAACCAGACGCTAGAATTTCTGTATCGTTGACATCTAGTAAATCGGATGACGTGGACTTCCTGACCAAAATTGGCGAAAATATCCAGCTCAATCTCGCCGTACACAACCACATATGTGCCGTAGCAACTACAGGTCCGTATCGAGGAGCGGACGCCATCGGTCACCTCCTCATCAGCGCGTCTTCGATGGACTTTAGCAGCCGGGCCTCCATTCTCGCTCGAGCTAAATTTATGAACCGCGTCGCATCCTTCAAGGACATTGATGGGACTATGTGGATAGCAGGTATCAGAGACCTAGGCATGTTCACTTATGACACCCCCGCCATCTGGGATATCCTACGTAAATCCGCTCGCAACCCCATCGATCCGTTGCACTCTCCGCCTGGCTCGCAGGGGATAGAAGAGAGGCTCAGCAATGCCCGGGCAAAGCTACAACGGCTCACGCCGCAGAATGCGTACGAAGAGCTTCGCATTCTCGAAGACCACGTACCAACCATCCTAGTTGACATCAGACCAGCCGCGCAGAGGGAGGCAGAGGGTTTCATCGAGGGTTCCATCATCGTCGAGCGCAACGTGCTGGAATGGCGCTTTGATCCACGATCCGAATATAGATTGCCCATCGTGGATCGCTACGATTTGAGGACGATTATCATGTGCCACGAGGGGTACACGAGCAGTCTTGCGGCGGTGTCGTTGCAGGAGCTCGGATTGTTGAATGCCACGGATATTATTGGAGGGTTTCGGGCATGGAAAGAAGCTGGATTGCCGCTCACCATTCCTGAACCAGTCTTCACTTCTCGTGATGATATATCTGAGAGCATTGTTATACAGATATGATGTACAGACGCGTGAGTTACAGAGTGAGTGAGGAGTGTGCGAGTTTTCGAATTATATACTTGTACAATACCATCATGCTGAATGCTTGATTCCCTTTCCCCTTGTTTACCACATCTTGAACCAGCTCTTACGAGAGGTCTCTCCCTTCTCCACCGGGCGTACTTCGTCTCGCTCCTTCCTTAGATCCTCTAGGATCTTCTTAACACCCTCAATATCGCCTACACTGGCCTTTCCACCAAACCAATCAACTACGATGGGCCACTTGAGCGCATTTGGATTATGCGAAGCGGCCTGAGCAACGCCACCAAAAGTAAGAGGCTGATCACCATCATAAGGCGAGGAAGGATGAGCTGAGAGAAATATAGACGAGGCAGGCTGTTGCCCAGACGTCTTGACGTATGACGAGATGGTTTCCAGTTGGTCCCTATTTGGAGGGCCTTCCACAACGTCCAGATTGAAGTAAAGGGGAGGGTTCGAGGCCGTGTCAGGAGGATAAGGTCCAGATACCGCTTCCTGAAGGAGTTCTAGAGTCTTTAGAGACGAGAGTGAAGCAGGATTGTGACTGAGAGACTTTGTGAGACCCTAGTATGTACAGAGTTCAGGCGGCTCACAATATGGATACGGAGCGCTGACGTTGGTACAATCAGCTGTGTATAGTTGGAAAGGACATCTTGGCCTACCGCGACACGGTTCAATGAAGCAAACATGTCGAAATATTTAAAGGAGGCGTTGAATGAAGCCAGACCTGCAGAGAGACAGAGAAAAAGACAGCCCTCGTCTTGTGAGCTTGAAGAAGAGACTGCAAGCGCGCGATTGCAGCAGAGAAAACACAAACTTAAAGTATGCTCGGAAGCGATGATCACCGACCTGGAGCAACTTCGAAGTCCGCTGTTGCTGGCGGGGTCGTGGCTGAGATGACGTAATGTACTCGGACCGGTGGCTCCGGCGGAGGTTGAATTATTTTAATCCCGTGGTTTTTTTTTCTTCTCGTTTGCTGTTTTCGATGTCCCGTCTTATTGTAAAGAATCTACCATCGTACATCACGCCCGAGCGCCTTCGGAAGCATTTTGAACAGAAAGGCTGCCCTCAGGGTACCCTTACTGACCTCAAAGTCGCTCACAAGCAAGATGGGACTTCACGTAGATTTGGTTTCGTTGGTTACAAGACAGATGAAGAGGCCTCAGCTGCGAAGGAATGGTTCGACAAAACCTTCATTGACTCCGCACGAATATTCGTCAATGTTATCGAGGTGAGTCTACCATTTTCGTCTCTTTTTGCGCCAGGAAAAATGACATTTGACTGGAGTTTCTAGGGTGCCAAGGACGCGCCAGCTCCTCGACCTAATAAACGGCCACGACTAGACCCTCCGGATAATATGTCATCTGAGCAGGCGAAGAAGTCAACTACGAAGGCGGCCGTGAAAGAGGACAAAGCCAAGTCAACGAAAGAGCCGCGTTTGGACGAGTTCATGGACGTCATGCAGCCGCGGACGAAGAAGGGTCCCTCATGGGCTAATGAAGCACAGCCAGAGGCGTCGACAAGTTCACACACTCTGGACGTGGATATGCAGGATCCTGGCCTGGATGCGCCTGATGCTGAGCCGGTGAACCAGGAAGGCTTATCGGACTTGGAGTGGATGAAGCAGCACCTGTCGAGGAAAGTGGATGAAAAAGAACGAGTTTTCGAGCAGTCTGATGATGAGGAGCAAGCTCCGGATGGCGAGGTTATTGTTCAGTTCCGTGTACTCCACGCATTGTGCGCTCACTATTGAATAGGTATCCACGACGCCTGCCTTACCTGAGGCCCCGAAAGATCCGACAGAGGATACTATACTACAAACATCGAGGCTTTTTGTCCGGAATCTTGCTTTCTCATGCGCAGATACCGAGCTCTGGGAACTATTTGGTGGATATGGAGAGATTTCTCAGGTGAGAATCTATTATCTCTTCCTGCAGCGTCTTCTGGGTTGCGTATTTTGAGATGACAATATAAATAGGGACATCAGACTCTCAGGAGCATGTTGATCCTTATGGGAAACCGATAGTAGAAATTCTTCTGATTTATCTTCTCTTATCGTGTGTTTGTCATCATAATTCGTGCTAACTTTCTTTTCGTCGCAGGTACGGTCATTTCTATTGTACACCAGGATGACAACTGTTATAGGGACATCAGACATGCGAGAATGCTGATTTCTTTGGGATAACCGATAGTAGATATAATTGTCTGAATTTCTCCTTGATATGATCTACGATATCTGTGCTGCGTACTCATATAATTTGTTTTGACAGGTTCACATACCTCTTGATGCGCAGACAAAACAATCGAAAGGGTTGGCATATGTCACATTCGCACGGGCTGCCGACGCTGTCTCTGCCTACAAGGCTTTAGACCGAAAGTCCTTCCAAGGTCGTCTGCTGCATATCCTTGCTGCGGTCGACCGTAAGGGTGCGTATCAAGTGGAAGAAGCAGGGGGGAAGAAACGAACTCTAAAGGACGAGAAGAATGCAAAGCGCAAGGCTGCCGCCAGCAAAGACTTTAATTGGAGTATGCTTTACATGAATGTACACCTATCCCTTAATTCCGCCATATCTCCGGCTGATATTTATTGTTTAGAGCGACGCGGTGGCTTCATCTATTGCTGACCGCATGAACATCGCCAAATCCGACATATTGAACCCAGAATCGTCGGACAATGCCGCCGTCAAACTTGCCCTCGCAGAAACGCACATCATTCAGGAAACAAAATCATATCTTGAATCTCAGGGGGTTGTCTTATCATCTTTTTCATCACGGGCTCGTTCAGAGACCACTATCCTCGTCAAAAATATTCCTTATGGAACAAGCGAGGATCAGATACAACAGCTATTCGAGCCTCATGGGACACTTACGCGCGTTCTTGTACCTCCTGCGGGAACGATGGCGGTGGTTGATTTTGACAGGTCCGACGAAGCGAGCCAGGCATTTCGCGCTGTAGCGTACCGTCGGCTCGGCAATTCCATCGTTTACCTGGAGAAAGGCCCCCTCGGTATATTTTCGGATGCCCCACCTGCTGCGACTGCGTCGAAGACTCACGTTTCCTCCTCTCATGCCATCACTATTCCCGAACAGACTGAAGATGCCGACGCAGGAGAGCCCTCTCTCTCCGAAGGTTCGACGCTATTTGTTAAGAATCTGGCATTTTCTACGTCAACAGAACGCTTTAATCAGATGTTCCGCAACCTACCTTCCTTTTCTTTTGCCCGTGTGCAGACCAAGCCTGACCCTAAGCGTCCTGATGGACGGCTGAGCATGGGTTATGGGTTTGTGGGTTTCAAAGACGTTGAAGGGGCTCGGAAGGCGATGAAGAGCATGCAGGGTTTTGTTTTGGATGGGCATGCATTGCACATCAAGTTTGCCGGCCGGGGCGCGGAGGACGAGGGGCGCGGTAAAGACAATACCACCTCGAAGAGTCGGACGACTAAGATGATCGTGAAAAATGTACCGTTCGAGGCAACACGGAAAGATATCCGGGAGCTTTTCGGGTTAGTGCCGCCCCTGTTTGCATCACGAATTGTATCACTTATTGTCTTTTTGCTCAGTTCACATGGACAGCTGAAATCTGTCCGCCTTCCAAAGAAGTTTGACTCTCGCACGCGTGGTTTTGCCTTTCTTGATTTCGTTTCAAGAGCGGAGGCCGAAAATGCGTATGCTGCGTTGCGTCACACTCATCTTTTGGGTCGGCATCTGGTACTGGAGTGGGCTGAGGAAGCTGAACAGGATCTCGAGGTGCTGCGAAGGAAGGCGGGCGTAGGCTTTGGTGATGGCAAGGCGATACCTGGACGTAAAAGGAAGCTCGACATGGGCAATACCGTTGAAGGGGAAATGGATGATGAGTGAGGACGTTGACAGTTCCTCAGGGTGTCAGAACGGTTCTCGGAATAGCATTGCCGTCTTTATTGTCTTTGGATATCAGAAATGATGACCTGCCCTTCATGTAACAATGCGCACCCGCGGGGCCAGAATGACTTGCCATCTTGGGCAAGGCTCCCGACTAGGCACCGATTCCCCTTCTTTTTGTCAAAGCGGCATTTATTAGGTGGCAGGTAACGGTCAAACCACGCTCGTTATTGTTAATACTTATTTCTAGACTTGACCCGGGACGCATCGCGGTTACATTGGGACGACACAATAAACTTTTGCCGTCGGGGCTGAGACAGCGAGTACAATAACGTAGCTGTCAAAGGCCTGTATAAAAGTCGGTCGAGTTCACTGCCATCACCCCAGCTTCGCTCCATCATTCACCTTTGCAACCAGTGCTTTCCTGCATAACTCATCCTCACTATCATGGACTGCTTCGAAGAGTGCTCAGCTATCATCATCATCAACCAGGCAGCGGTTAGCAACGTCGCCAGAGACATGCTACCTCGCAACGAGGCTTCGTCTACTGCTTCAACAAGCGGCTGCGTCATCTCATGATGGCACATTTGAGAGCATTTGCCCTCACGCTTCATCTTTCGAAGTGAGTTTGCCATTGATTCCAGGGATGTCGTCTTATTTACAGTTCCGTGCACAGAATTATTATTCGGCTTCTTAATACGTGAATAACTCGCGTCTATATTCGTACATCAATTTGGATTGGAATGTCGATTTTGTCGACGGTGTGAAAAGGAAGGGAGGGCGGTTTTTTTGGACACCTTGGCGATACCTGCAAACCATTCGGCTTCGTGACGATTATCGTCTTCTGTTTTATCATTATTGTGTTGGGGAGGAGGGGACGGAACTGCACGTTATAAATAAAACACACATACGTCTGCACTGTATTGTTATCATTTTGGGGGAGTTTGTGCTTAATGGCACGAGATTACCAGAATGGTGCGATTTGAAAGTGACTATCCAGCGGTCCTGCGGCATGATTCTACCTTTCTAGTGAAAGCGGGCCTTAACTGCCTGCATAGAACAGGCATTACGCTCTTGATCATCGTAGATTATGGTTGAATAACGTTGTCAAGTGCTCCAGTATATTACGCGTTCTTGGAGGTCCCTTCACGGCCGTGTTGACCCATGCAAGACATATTACAATTGTTGAAGACACCATAGCGACGGGGAATATGACACTACAATTATACACTTTATGCACTTTGAATAGAAATGATTTGGTGGCATGCATACCGGGTCTCCAGCTCTGCCCTCAGATTTTGGCGGCATCCTTACATTTCTTGGTTGCCTATGTTAAATAAATCTTAATGGTATCACCATCAATGCATGTAGATGAAGCACAAACCATTCGTTATCAAAGTAACATCTAAACCTTCATCTCTGAACTGCCGGAGGATGTCGAGTTTATCCTCGATTCCTGAGTTTGCCCGGTAGCCTTCCTTGATGATCAAGGACAAGGACTATAATCTGGTGGAAGTGCCAGCATTCCAGCGTGCCTTTATGATATTTATGATGCCGTCGAGTATGTACAGGGTGTCCTCACCAGAGTAATCGATGGTCATATTAAAAACATTCAGTCCGGGGAACAATTCATGACTCTATCCATCCATTTTTGCCACCAATGAATCTAGGAACCCTAGATCACTGATGTATCTGGTTTCCACAGAGAGTTGGAGCAGAGAACAGCCAGAATGATCACCAATTTCATACAGAGTCTGTGAGATATAGTCCAGCCTGTGGAGGACCAAGGAAAGCTCTTTGAGGGAGGGACATGTCAGGTAATTTAGGAGTGTTCGGGATGAATATGGGAAAGCCAACTCCAACTGGCGCAAAAAATTGTGTGTACAATGTAGTTCGTATTCCTTCCAGAAATCCGCTATGTAAGTTTTGAGCAGCGGTGCTTCGCCAAGAAGACACAAATGGTGTTCAGTGGAAATCACGAAACCGTGGCTTAGATAGTGCATCTGAGACCAAAAAAGAGATGGCAACATATTGCTGAGAACGTTAGTGACAGTCAAATCCTGCAGCTTTGGTGGAACAGACAACATGTCAATTGTTTCACTATCAAATTGCACACCTATACTCAATCGTTTGCAAGCCGAGAAGTCAAAGCTGACCAATGACGAGAGTTTTCCCTTTGCCTTCTGTAGGCTATGACCTAATTGGACTGGAAGTATGAAACTCACACTCTTCCACTGCATGGAATGATGGACCAACATGTCGAGCAGATGCTGCAAGATATTCCAAAAACTATCTTTTTCATCATCCCATAGTGCTTTCAAGCTAAAGGTAATGCCATCCTCTATGATAAGTGACTGCAAGGAATACCTGACCTCCAGCTTCTGGTCACCAGTTAAGGCCAATACATTCTTAAGGATGTCAGAGAGGTCTGAGCAATGGCACTCAGGCTGTAGATGAGGGGATTCAATAGACAATGAAGCCCAAAGACCAGGACATGATTGTGAGCCATCCTTCCAATGGCAACATACATGTCAAAGAGCCCAAGGGCCTTGCTTCATGTCAAAGACATCATAATGATCATTGAGCATCTGCATGAATATCTCTGCAAGGATCTCAAGGGGAAATATTCAGATAGGGGCTTCATGAGCAGTGATGTACTTTTGCAGGCGGCACTGCTTATTTTCCAGTTGATTTAAGAGTGCAAAAACACGAGCGATTTCTTCATCCTGTTTTCAAAGCTCCCTGAGATGGTCATCTAGAAACTCTTTCATGCTCTTTGCCTTTAGATCAGATGGTGTATCATTGGTAAAAAGAAGGGATTTGAAGGGGGAAATGTGGAGGTCAAGAAGGAAATCCATTGAAGGAATGCAGTTTTGCATGTAAAACCATTTAGAAGACTATCAAATACAGAGTTACATCTTGCAGCTGACTTGGCCCGGGTGGCTGTGCGACCAAATTGAACATGCCGGAAGTTCGGGCCGCTAGCTTTCAGCTAACTACTACATGGACATCACCACGCCTAGGTATGTCCTTCTCATTTTTACCCAGATTTATTCTGAAAAATCATAGCGATTTTTTTGGATCTACTCAGTGCCACAGCATCGGCCCGGTCCTTGCCGATTGCCCCACGTTCGAGTATCTCCTCCGCAGCAGTGACCCCCCTTCACAATCAGAGTACACGCACATCTCGGAGATGCTACATGTTGCCTCTGATCGTATCGAACAGTTAGACGCGTCCGTGGGGTATGATAAAGACGAAGAAGCTCATCTAAAACAGCTTATTGACGCCTACCGATCAATTCTCTCTCCTCTTCGAACTTTCCCTTCGGAACTCTTGATGGAGATATTTCAACACGCAGTGGAAGATTTCTTCCCCGTTTTTGACCTGTCGCAAACTCCGTGGGTTCTATGCCGTGTCTGTCAACGCTGGCGAGACGTTTCACGCTCTTGTGCGGAACTTTGGGCGTCTTTGTCAATGGAAGGTTATCCTCAACTTAAAAGATTAGGAGATGGAATGAAAGATCTTCCCGCTATTCTGGAAGATGCTCTGGACTTATCGCGACAGAGAGATTTGTCTATCAGATATTCTCTGACTGGTATCCCTTTGGCCACAGACTCACAGCTCATCCGGCGTATCGTTGGAAGGATGTGTATTTTTCCATCTCGCCCTGCCTCGTTCCTTATGTAAGAAAAATCAACGGTCACCATCTATCAAAACTCCTTCGCCTCCATCTTGCACCATCCCAGTTTGATATATTACCCGAAGAAGCACTGGAACCGTTCCTCCTGGCTCCAAATACCCGCGATGTTACCCTTTATCTTGTTGCTCATTCCTATCTCCGACCATCATGGCGACATCACTCATTTTCGAGACGATCATCCTGCTACCGTCGGCGACCACCTCACCTTCTTATCTCGATCGACCCAGCTCGAAAGCCACACGATAACTTGGTGCGTTCCAACACGCGATATAGGTGGTATGTCTTTGACCAATGTCACTCATGAAACTCTGCGCTCGCTGAATATCGAAGACATTGATTTGATCCAATATCTTATATGTCCAGCATTGGAGGCACTTTCTGTTGAGAGCAGGTTGCGTAGCGCAGCGGGGAAAGCCAGGTCTGGAGTCGAAGGTCAAAAGCTGGTAAGCGTTGACTTTCGATCTCCAGTATTGGTAGCTACGATTATGTAAGGTAAGAGCGACATGGAGGGTGTGCTACTTCAACACTTTCAGCGACCATCTTCGATGTCGAGAGACCGGTAAATATCTTCCGTCAGTTTTCTACTCATTCAGGCAACCTCCAGCATCTTAACCTTTCCATACCTTTCATCGGACAAAACTATTACTCCCTTATGTATGAGCTTTCTACCGATTTATTTCCGCGACTATACTCCTTCACTCTGGCCTTGGAACCTCATAGAACTTTCCAAATACACTCAGGATCATTCCTCTTCCCACTTTTGGCCTTCATCGAGGCTCGATGGCATCCTGATACTTTGTTGCGGCGCGTGGCGATAACAACCAGTCTTGAGATTGTTGAAAGCGGTCTCCTCGATCGTTTGAGAACGTTCAAAGAGGATGGGTTAGACATATCTTACAATGGGAACGGTACGGCTGGCGGTACACACTTGAAAGGTCTTCATCACTGACATGGATATTCCCTCGCAGGCGTCCAGATCTAGACTATGGAATCCGATGTCATCCCAATGGATGGTCGGATTACCGCTACGCAATATTTTACTACTTTGAGTGTTTACAGATACGGTAGCGTCTTACCACAAAGCAAACAAATAGATAAATCTCTGTTGGCATTATCTCTCCATGCTGTCGTTCTCACATCTCGTTTCAGAGTTCTCAAGTCAGAATGAAGCTCGAGAGACTGATCATATCCTCTGGCGACAATGAGACATGACACCGACGCGATGTAAAACGTCTGGCCCATCTGGCTCGAGCTTTCCCGTAGCCCATTCGAAACCTTCAACTTTTGACCTTTAGTTCCAACTTGGAAGCCCAGTTGGCATTCATTACGGTGTTGGCACTCGTAGATTCATGCTTGCGATGCCATTCAATGCAATCACCGATGGCAGCAGCAACCCACTCACGTCGGGGCTCAGCAAACACTGTCGTTGGAAGCGGCCCCCCTTCTTTCTGCCTTACGCGATATCAAGAAGATAAAAACAACTCGCCGCTTCTCGAGAAGGGTCGTCAATCATCATCCTATGACCGATATTGCAATCGAGTTCGAACTGAGGATTAGCGGCGGCGGCGTCTTGGGTGTACAGCATGAATTCAAGTTTACGAGCGGAACAAGGAGGATTGGCATTGTGTCTTAGCTGTGCGGCAACATGCCGGTGCATTGACTAGGGCAGAGCAACACTCGCTTATCCCTCGGCCGTTGACGCAGAACCGAAGAGGTAGATAACGACGAGGCAGTTAGGCAGGATACTTATCACCGATTCTCGCAACTAGTAATAACTTGTCAAGATATTCTGCGGAAGCCACTTGGGGGACATCTGATCTCGGCACGGCACCTTTAGGAAAGCCGGATGCAATAATGGTATCTATCAAGACCCGCCACCGCTGCATAATGGTAGAAACTCAGTCAAATCCGGAACAAGAACAAGAACGTGGATATTCAATCTTTTCTGTATTTGCATTCTAACAAATCCTATCCAGCATGTAAACCGATGTGAGAGTGATATAGTAAACACAATGAATGTAAATCTACCAAATACATAATGGCTTGGTGAACAGTAACGTATTTTTGCAGGTGGCGCCGCTCATTTTCCAGTCAATGTGAGAGCGCAGAGACATGGGATATTGCTTCTTCCTGTTTGGAAAGCTCGCTGAGATGGTCGTCTAGAAACTCTTTCACGCTCTTCTAGGTGTATCGTTACTAAAAAGAAGGAACTCGAATGGGGAGGTATAGGGGTCAGGTTGGGGGAATTACATTACGGGAAGATCTGCAATGGTATGCGTGTTCAGCTTTTGAATGTAAAAGGTGTTGTGGTGTGTTAAGAAAATGGAGCAAAGAGTAAATGATGGTCACCGGCGGAGGTCCGGCCCGACAGTTTACTGAACTCCGTCACTACCGATTTTCGATCCTCCCACCCTCCCCGTTCGAGCCTCGATTTCCAAGGGGAAGTAGGTTCTCTGGAATTCCGCTCGCGGGAGGCATGCATAAGCAGCTCTCTCCCGACCCGTGTTAATATATTGTTATCTATGTGATATCGGGGGCGAAATATATCAAGTTATCAATTTGGCATTATCATCGTCGTGAAGAATCGAATGCAGAATTTTTTTTAAAAAAAAGAAAGCTCTCAAAGAGACCGACCTTCTTCAATATTGACATACTGATGTCTGCTTTGGAAGCCCTCCGAGTCTCTTAAGCAATGCCAATCACCGGAGAATACATAACGACTTTACATTCGTTCTGGAGGTGCTATACGCTAGCATTCCTTGATAACGACGAAGACCTGATCATGTCGTCGTGGCGCAGCGACAAAACATCGACGTTGCTAAGGCGATGGGTCGCAGTTAAAGCGTCAGTCTAACATTCCTATCCATTGCATTGTGAGATCCATTGAAGAACAAAAAAAGTAATGTATGCTACGAGACGGTCTGATAATGATGAGATGATAACTATGCACAAAACGAATAATGAAAATGCCAAATAAAAGTTCGCGAAAAAGAGAAATGCATCCTAAGAATGCGCCCCATCCCAACTCGACCGCTTGCGCTTGTTGGTTTCGCTCTTCAGCACCAGATCCTGCGGACAAACCACAGCGCTGTGTCCACGGTGATGCCTAGGCTCCACAGAACTCTTGACCTTTTCGAGTCCTTCAAGAGCCTGTGGAACACTTTCATTGCTCAACACCTTCTTCACCGTCAACGGGGTAGTCGGGTGCTGTGTCTGATTCTTTGCCGTCGACGAAGCCACCGATTGGGCCAAGTCCAACGCCTGATTCTGGTTCTGCGACTCCATATGATCAGATGCGTCTAATCCCTGCGTATTATAATGGTAATGCAAATCAAGGAACGGTAAGTCGTAGATGTCGTTCGCTGTTCGCGAGATGTCCTGATTCACGGAGGACGAGCTAGAAGAGGGGAACAGGGAGGAAAACGACTGGGGTGCAGGAGGCGCAGGTAATGGGGAAGAGGCAGTGAATTGGTGGCCCGTGGCGAAGGGGGAAAATGGACGTAATTCGGGCTGCGGGTTGGTATGAACTTGGGCGGGACGGGCCGACAAGTGATTATGGACAGTCATGCGCTCGGATGGTGGTACAGATATCGATCGGCCGTGGACCCCAAACTGATTGATGGTTGATCGGTGTCGCGAGCGTGTCTGAGGGGTTCCGGGTGGGGTCGTGTGCAGCTCACGAGAAAGATCAACAAGATCATCCAGGCTGAATCGCTGTTCCATTAGGAATGATGAGGCGTCTTCGTCCTTTGGTTCGGGAGACATGGCGACGTCGGGCGGTAGAAGTGAATCTTCCATAGGAAGACTGTCGGGTTGGTCGGTTAGCGATATGCCCGTGAGCTCGATCTCATCAATCCCCGGTAAGGCCGGCGTATGGAGTTGCATAGGGTGTATACCAGTTGACTGGGTTATACCAGAGAGCCCAAGCCCGAAAGTGAATGAAGAAGAATCGTACGAGGATTGCGATTGTGTTCGCGTACTGAAAATGAGATCTCCAGCGTAATCCGAATGATATTCTCTTCGGGGTGGATACACCTCATCAGACAATGATGATGACCCGACCTCGGAATTGAAATCCTGGGAGAATGAAGTAGGTACAAGATCATATCGATCCACTACTCCATAGTTGAGATGATTAAAGGAGAACGGTGATGAAGGCGAGAAGCTGTTCTCAAGATAAGATGAAGATGATGTTCCACTCCCGCTAGAATCCATACGCGGATTCGCTGAGAACCAATCTTGTGTTCCCCAAGCGCTTTTCCCAATCATGCCAATGCCACCTACTACCGCTTCGTTCCTACGGTGTTGGAAGGGCGAAGAATGAGAGGAACTCAAAAGATAATCAGACATATGGGACGACGTTGGGGACCCTGTCCAGGCATGGTGTGAAGAGTGAACAGGAGTATCGAGTCCTGAAGACCAGGCCTGGGACTGGGAGTCAATCTCTGATTGAGATGAGTTCGCAAGGGCAGTGAATGTATCAGGGAGAGGGTCGAAGGGAATCAACTCCATATCATCATCATCAGGAAGAAGATTGGTCGAAGGAACAGTCGAAGCGGCCTTCTTGATAGTCATGACGGACGTTCCAATGGGCTTGAATGGTTTTACAACTGGATCATCCTCTTCCCCACCGGAACTAGCCTCATCCTCAGAAGGGGCCGTACTCTGGGGGACACTCTTCGTCCCTCCTCGAAGTAGTCCTTGACTGGTGTTCCTCCTCTTTCGCCGGTGCATACTGGGACCCGACGTCGACATGGAAAGCTGGTCATCCGTCGCAGCTCGAATGAGAACCTTTGAGCTGTCTGCACCCTTCTTCTTTGCTGCATTGCGCGGTTTGTAGCCAGCGGCCATGTACAGCTCCGGGAACGCATTCCGAAAGCGGTCTCTCAAGTCTGTTGACCGGCGATTCTGCTCTTGAAAGATGGGATCTTTCACAATAGTTGCCCAGATCGTGCCGTGCTTCTCGTAGCCAGCCTTGAGAGCGCGGTCCTCTTCCTCAGTGAAAGGCCGCCGCTTTTTACTGCGCGTTTTCTCAAAGAGAGAGGAGCCATCGGGGAGAGTAGAGCGAACTTTGCTAGAAAGATGTGTGCGCGCATTGGGGTAGTGCTGTTTATAGGCATCAGGAAAGTATGTACGAAATCTGGACGCGACATGAGCTACACAGTTATGAAAGATGTTCCTTCGGGGAAGAGTAGACTTTCATGGACAAGCGACGAGACACCTTTCTTTCCAGCAGTAAACACGGTCGTGAAAACGCAATGACAACGCGTCCCATGGTAACAGAGAAGGACCCGTCGTTCATCTTGTTTCGAAACACCGGAGTATCGCGGCAGGAATGAAAGGTCGGACCGTCTGCTGTCCACAAAAGACACCCTGTCCCCGAAGGTCGTAAAAACGAATACTCACCGGTCTTTAAGGTCAACTGGGGAACGGTTATCAAATTTGAGGTCAGGATCACTCAGAATTGCCTTCCAGTTCCCAACACCATGCTAGAAGCTGAATAAGCGCCCATCATCAATGACTCAAGGGGCGGAACACTCACCTTGTTGCACCCGTCAACAAGCATCTGCGTTTCCTCTGCAGACCATTTCTTCCTCAGCTTCTTCTCCGTCGCCTGCTGCCAGTCATCACTCTCCGCATCCGCCGATATCTTCCTCAGCTTGCCACGTTTCTCTGGAACGAGACAGGTCTCAGCGACATGAGATTCGAGGCTCGTATCATCACGGAAGCTAAATGCTGGCACGAGTTTAGGAGATGAAGGCAGCGCCAATGAGGTCCTGCGATGCTTCAGTGGTGAAACGTGAAAGGTTGACGTAGATGAAGCTGGGAACGGCGCCTTGAAAGAAAATTCTGCTGTCAAGGGTAGTGAAGAAGTGGTGGCAGCAGTTGTTGCCGTCGTTGTCGTTGTGGACGTATCCATCGCCGTCACGGTGATCGTGGCCGTCGTAGAGAGCGAGACAGAGTGATCACGTCGCCCTCCAGGCCTCGACATGCGAAACGAAAGGGCGAAACGAAAAAACTATGATGAAGAGTGCGGTCTTCCGATGAAATATAAGATAATCTAGCTCCTTGAGGCTGTGATTCCTCCTGCAGGTCGCAATCTGACCTGATACACGTTGCTGCTGCTGCACCTCTGCGCGGCAGATATTGATGAGATAGAGTACGGTCAAGATGGTAAGAGAGGAAGTTGCCGCACGGCGCATGGGCGGCACCCAAGTAGGAAACTGTGTCCCATGGGCCAGTACTCAATACTCACTACTAGTACGTGTTTTCTTCTTCCACCAATAAGTATTTCCTTCCTATGCTTTTCTCGGGTTGACCCCAAGAATACCTTATAATTGTATTCTGCTTACTCACAAAGATCCTCCAAAATTTCGCTTCCGATGAAATGTACACTTTTCCACGTGGTTTACGTTCCACTTCGCTGTCGCTGTGAATTGTCATGAAGCGCAGCACGGCCAGGGCATTCAGTAAACTTAAGATCTTCTAGAAGAACGACCACAGTACATTGGAACATTACATGAATTCATGAGGCAATCATCACCTCGGGAGCAATACGTTGTTCGACTGCACTCAGCTTGTTCACCCATTCCTCTAACCGTTTCGCAACACCACTAATCTGCTCCCTAGAAAGAACACGAGGTTGCACCCAGGTGATATGGGCTTTCTGATCCACCTGGTCGAGGGACCCGCGAACGAGCTTCAGGCTGGACCCAGCATGTTAGCAGAAGAGAGATTGCCGAGGGCCAAGGTAGAACTCACCTTAACGCCTTCATCACCAGATGCTCAACCTCATCTAGGGGCAATCTTGTCTCTTCTGAGATAATCTGGAAGCTCATCGTCCGATTATCAGCGTGCCTCTTGAACACAGATTCTATCAGTGCCATGAGGCATATTTTTTGTCGGAGGAAGGGGAAGTTCTCCTGCAAGATGGGCTGAAAAACGACATCGATACACGATAACGGAAAATCTAGGGCTGGAAACCCGTACCTCTTGCGGGAACAGGGGAGCTAAGGCCTCAAATTTACCTATACTTCCCTCATTGAACGTGAAAAGCAATTTCTTGATCCATTCGTGAGGTGTGCCATTTAGCGCATCCAGTATAGGATGCATCAACTGTTTCAATTGCACGTGAGTAAGAGAATACAAACAAAAACGACGAAATAGCGTCGAACTCACGAGTTCACCGAAGTTGTAGATGCTGTCACCTAGGAACGCAGAGATGCTCAGATCGTGAGCCCTCACCAACCTTTCTTCTGGTGTCATGTCCGTCGCGGGGTCAACACATGCAAGGTATAGCAAAGAATTCCGATAATATGGCGCATATTCTGCCTTGGCCTATAGGCACAATATCAATACCCATAAGGCTAGACCGCAGCATCTTAAATTCACTTTGTAATAGTCAGCAGCTAGCAGGTAATATGCCGCGTTGACACCATTGTCTACGCCTTCAAGGTTGTCGAGAACTTTCCACGCCGTATCCATGTCAGTCTTCGTCCCCTCGAGGTCACCATACAGCAATTTTGCACGTGCGATTGTTGCAAGAAGCAAGACATGAGCCTCTTTCGCCTTCTCCGTGTCAATTCGAGAGAGCAGCGAGGTCAGGAACGTTAAGTGGGCCTGGGGATCTGACAGCAAAGAGTAAGACGCCCTTAAGGCTCGGAAATGAGTTGAGAAGATGAAAACATACTATCGATCTCCTTCGACACCTTCACACCCATCTCAACGAGCTTCAATTGATTGATTTTACTCTCGAAATCCCGCACGAATTGCTCGAACACATGAACTCGGAACGGTTTCGATGCAGGGTGGTCGAAGAATTGGAAAAGTTTCAGTGTTAGTTGATGCCATAGCCTGTTAAACAATCGTAAAGTTATCTGCTGTGGTTCCAAGTGCACAAAACGCACTTTCGTGTGTGTAGAGCTCGAAACGATTCGAAGTATGGGTGCAGCTCGGTAGGGGTTCCAGACAGCGCAGCGGCAATAAAATCATCCAGAACGAGCTTAGGAGGCTTAGGAGCATCAACGGCCATTTCAGCCATGGTGGTCGCAGTTATGCCTGTTGTCGGACGTGACGCGTCGAAGTTGTCCTTGTTTGGTAAAGGCGGCCACCAAATCGGGCACTCAACGCCGCCAATCTTGGTTGTTGAAATGCCCGATTTTCCCAAAGCTTCCCTCTGTGCTATGGACTCGTAAGTTCTGAATGTATCTTCCAACCTATTGATAGTAACTAAGTATCTGTCTTGAACTAGCTCTATCGTAAGTGTTAGCTCAGCCTTAGCTTCATGTTCCTCCTATCCAAATGTGATTGAGCAGCGATGTGAAAAATTTCTGCTTCCACCCTGTTTAGTAGTCCTGATCAGATCTCAACCTTGAACGTAGATAAGCGAACACATATCACACCCAAGTTCGACGAAGGAGTGACAACTGGGCATTTGGTTACCATGTATGGTCCATTGAATTTGTTTGTACCCTCTTTTGCAACTTAAGTAACAACGATCAGTATATGCGTTTGCGCGATACGAAGAGTGTTGAATATATGTCACTGTCAAATGATAGGACGGCTTTACTTGAGTATTCAAATCACGCCGAACCTTGGAAAATACTGTAACGTGCATAGTATTTGGTACCCATCATACCTGCGTTGGTAATCGTATACGGTAATTTCAGTCTGTCACAGGCGTTTTCCCGCCGCTGGATGTTAACCGTCGACTAAGAAACACTAAGACGAGTTGCTGTACTACCCAGACCATAACATACTGATCTATTCGAAGCCAGTACTATGGAATAGAAAAGGCCTTCTCACGCCCTAGATATGCAACACGCAACTCGTTCTTGTCGATCAACCTGTTTGCTTCGATAATCCTCTCCTCTCCCGGCATCAAATCAATCGCATTATCGTTCCATGTCACCTTCGATTTCGTAGTCAAAAAAACGCACTTTGCTGGCTTTTCGACCTGCAATCTGAGTTTGTTTTCTGCCACGGTTACCTTCAATCTTGGGTCTGGAAGAGTCAAATATTTATACGGCTGGGGCCAATCGACGTGCCGTGCTAGGACCTTCCCAGACCTATCATCTAAGAGCCGTGCACCGATGACAACGGTTGCGTGTTGCCCAGGGCAAGTAATAGATATTAGCTCGGTCGACTGATTAGGAAGGAGAACGACTTTATGCTCCTCGGTTGCGGCCCAATTACTTTTGAGGTCCACAAACTGTAATTTCAACGTAGCAGGTCGTCTTTTCGGAGTAGAGTTGGATGCCCAAATGTCCAGCTTCGCACCGACAGCTCTGAATCCTCCAAAGTCATAGAATTGACGTGGTCGGTCGTTGGGACGGTTCTTCGTGACATTGCGCAGGAGGCCAATTGCGAATGTATCCAAATGTCGCTTGATAGTGTAATAAACTGGCTTGGGACGCAACTGAATAGATGTCAACTTGGAAATATGACGAGATGAAAGAGATAACGCACAAAATAATCGACGATAGCCCACGAAGTGACTGGCCAACAGTCGTTCAATTGCCAGACTAAGACGCCGGACGTATATTGCTTTCCGCGACCACCCCATCCTCTCCTCCACGATTGATACGCGAAGCCAACGCTTTCAGATTGCATAACTTGTGTCCTAAACGCATACGTTTCTAAATCCTCGGTCACTCTGAAGTTTTCATTCATTGCGATGGCGAAACGTCTCTCATAACTTCCTGCACGACAATGCTGCGCCATCAACGCACTTTGGGCGTGCCATTCTTGGGCTGGTGCGCCGTCCATCCAATACTCGATCGTGCGCATTGACGGTAAAGACGGCATTCCGAATTCGCTGACGAATCGTCCACCCATCTGGTCGTACTCCTGGTATGGCAATTCTTTACCTCCCCAAATGTTCCACTGATGAATGTCCCCGACTGTCGGATCTGCTGTGTCCCAACCTTGTCCACCATATGGAGATCCGCGGTGGTATGGGATAGGTGGATCACATAAAGCCTCGACCACAGACGGGAGTACGTCTTCGTAAATTTTGATAGCAGGAAATGATTTCACATCTACGAGATATACGTGATATTAGTACTGTGACAGAGAGGGGCAAATCGATTAGTAGACTGACCTTCCCATTGAAGGATCATCTGATAGTCCTCGTTGTTTCCACAAAATAATGCTATTGATGGATGATGTCTTAGTCGCTTTACATTGTCCACGGCCTCTTTGCGAACAGACGCGACAAACTCTTCGTATGCTGGGTACACCCCACATGCGAACTGAAAATCTTGCCAGACGAGTATTCCCAATTCTGACATAATGATGAGCAAGAATAACGATAACAGGAAAAATACAACAGGCCATCGCAAATATCGTAGAAACAGTCTGGTTCATAGACTCCTCCGCCCCATAGGCGAATCATGTTCTGGTTTCCATCGCGCACCAGCGTAAGCCACGCCCGATAACGTTCCGGAGTGAGCGTCGTCAAAAAGTTATCGGCCGGGATCCAATTTGAGCCTGGGAAGAACATAAGAACTTTACTAAGGCTGTGAACTGAATAGACTGACCGCCCATGAACATCCTAACGCCATTAATCTCAAACAAGAAGGTCGTCCCAGTGCCATATTGGTCAGGCTCCTCGAGCTCCTCTTGTATAAGCTTGACGTTGCGAAATCCAACCCGGATTGTCTTCGAATCGATGACATCTCTATTCTAACCGACTGATAAGGTCCTGAAAAAAAATAGGAAGTGCGTGCAGTTGAACCTACCGGACCCAGCAGTTCTATAACCACGCGATAGAGAACCTGGTCTCCATAGCCCACCGGCCACCACAATTGCACTTGGCCGGGAACAAACCGCCAGTCGACAGATCTAGAATTGGAGGAGAGTTCCTCCAATTCGACCTTAGTCCCTTTAGCATCCCGTAATGCTACTTTGATAAATGTCGGTAACGCCGCGACGCCGAGAACGTCCACATCTACTTTCAATCTCGTGGCCGCGTTATTCGTGTCAGTGACTGATGCGTGCGTCCACACGTTCCCAATCCTGGCTGTATACCTTCTCAGAATGACAGGCCGGAATGGTCCACATGTCATTAACTCGGGTCCCCAATCCCAACTACAATATATCAGATGCGGGTGGATGCGACGAAATGCGAGGTGCGCTTACCGCCAATCGTACTGAGCCTTACGGACGTAGACTCTGCTCGGATCTCCAAGGTTTGTCGACCCTGCGCGCACTTTGCCATGCTGCTCTTGAAGGGATTTGGCAAGCCTTTTGGCCGATTTAAAGTGTAGAAGAAGCGTGTTTATAGAGGCCGTCGGTATGATGGGAACGACATGGGTCTGGAACATGTTGCTTGTTTCCAGAATGATTTCATTGTTCTGTTGTGGGTACGTGAGCTGTGATGGCAGCACGTAATTGGTGATTCAGCATTCAGCACTTACCAGATAGACGTCGCACGCCGTATCCAAGCCCAAAAATTCCAGTTCAGCCTGAGTGTGTCGTCCATCCCCCGGCTTGAAATCGAATGTGCACTTGTACAGCCACTCGACTTCTCCTACCCATTGCACTTCTTGTTCAGCAAATCCGCGATACGGATCCGGAATGAGATTGTTTTTCAATAACTCGACGTGTATCTCGGACGGATACGCTTGTGTAGAACGCCAGCCTGTCGTCGCGACCTCCTCGACGACGGGAACCTTGGGGTCTCGCTGCTTCCAGGACCAGTTGGATTTGAGCTCGGTATGGACGGCGTTGAACATGGAAACCAGATGGGTAATCCTAGACAACTGCAGACCTATATACAAAGCTGCATATAGAAGAACATCTGTTCGGACCGCTGATAGTATCTCTCCGGACCGAACTGGTCTAACTTGACATTCTTATCGGGGTATGTTCATTATATTGTTCAGATGCTACTTTAAGATTCGCCCCCTGATAACGCGGGAAGATGTTAGTGACAGGAAAAGTAGTAACGACATAGGGCACGTACCCCATATCTTGAATCTGGGTATACTCTGGAGGCAGAGCTTTTTGCCAGTTCTAGAATCCGCTGGGTCAATGGAAGTATAATGAAGTCGACACTTTTTCTGGCATTCCGGCTCAACACGCTCCTGCTATGACGTAGAAAGCTTCCAACCGGCAATACCAAAGTCGCTAAAGTAGCCTTCAATTCGAAATACAGAACTTGTGTTCTCAAGTGTGACGTGACGTCGTTCAGCCTGGACTTTCCTTCACACTCCTTGATATGTGGGGCCGAGGTCGGAGCGCACCATTCCTTTACAAAGTGACATCAAAGCTACTACTCTTGATTTCAGTCTTCACGTTCATCTTCTTTCCGATCGTCCCTTTCCACTGGCTTTGTAGAAGCAACTTTACATTTTCAAGTAAATGTCAGACGGATCATTGACAGAAGACGCGGAGTCGGAACAGGGGGATGGCATGAGAATATCATTAGACACGACCATCCATAAAAGTGACTCTGGGTATGATACCCCCATCAGTTCCATTCGGCGTAGGGAAAGAATTGCTTTTTTAAAAAGCTTACTTTCATACAAGCCTCTGCCATGATTTATGGTGACGTTGAAAAGTACTTGGTTTGACAAGTCAAATTATGTGGCTGTGCTAGTGTTTCGAACAGAAGAAGTAGATAAATATACCTTGTCCTTCTGCCACCATCACCTTTGTCCATTCTTGGTCCATTTGAGCCGTGTTCGAGCCTCGTTCTGTTATAGCAGCGGTAATGTCGCTCTCTTTCTCTAACATTTAGCGCTTTAATGGCGTGTAGCTATCTGGGGACACATCAACTGGACGCAATGGCCTTTGACCTCTCTGCTCTGTTAACGGCATCGAAAGGGCTCACTTCACATTTGTCAAGACCGGAACTTCCTTCAGTCAACCTCTCGCTAGACCAGATAGAAGCCCAGTCTCGCAGGCTCGTTTCACGACAACCAGAGAGCTCGAGTGATGCTGATCGCGCGTCGGTGAAATTCTTGTCTCGTATAGCAATGACTCAAGAAACTTGATAGAAATTATCTCCTTGCACAAGCACGCGTAGATGCCTCAGCCTTGTCAAGTTCCATAGCGCATCTCAATGCCTCAACCACTTTTTCACCTTTGCAGCCACTTCAAGACACAGATGTAGCGGGCTATCTGCGCCACGCACATGAACAGACATTGATTTCCACTATCGAGGAAGGACGACGGGAAACGCAGGAGGATTTCTATCGTATGCTTGAAGAACGGACAAGGAAAGACTGGGAAGCCAAAAAAAAACGCGTCTTTGAGGAGCTCGGAGGACGCGTTAATGTTGAAAATAAGGCCGTCATCGAGCTAAAAAAGAGCTTCCATGGGAAGAATAGTCTCATTGTGTGTGTCCGTTTTGTCAGATTTCCTGTCATCTGATGTAGCGTTTAGTCGAGCTCGACACCAAGCGTCACGCTGCAAATGCAAAACAGGATGATGGCCTATGACCGTGTTGTTATCGATCTCAACGCTACCCGTTTGCGCGGCGTTTCATTCCCAATCGTTCACTCCTTCATGGACGTAGCAAATTCTTTAAACGACGTATGTCTTATTCCTCTGGACATCTGTTAGTCTTCATATCAATTACAGCCCCGTTCCGCACAAATGGCCCAAACATTCCAAACCTTGGCGAAAATAACTGCTGAGCCACCTGCGCTGCCTCCGGTTGAACATGCAAGCGCTCATATCCTTAATGCCCCCTTATTTGAACGGAAATATGCAAGAGCGTATCTAGGGGATCCAGAGTCTCGAGATGCCATTGCTCTTCGACGACAAATCACAAAAGGAGCACGAGAATCCCTAGAGTTGCAATATTGGGATGTCATGGATCGGACAGTGCAGTCGCGGCCTACAGAGGCACTCTTGGGCGGCGACCCTAGTATATCAAACAAAGTGCGCGCTTTCTTATTTGTCCGATACTACAAGAATGGAGAATGGGAAGATCGGATTGAGGTGTGTTACCTGATATACGTATGTTCCCTTGCTCACGTTCACTATAGCTTGTGGCTGGGCAACCATTGTGGGCGCGATTATTTTACCTTGTTCGAACGGGCCATTTGGATGAGGCGTTAGACGAGGCTGTACAGTTCCAGCAAGCCATTGAAAGACGTGAAGTGAGTTTCGTCAGTCACTTCAGGACATGGGTTGAGTCACCAGACCGGAGGTAATGACATTCCACTTTATGGTGATCTTTGTGTTTAACATTTTCTCGCCACAGACTTCCTAAAGCTCACCGAGATCATCTGCAATCCGTGTTTAATGCTCACATGTTGCACTCAGCTGCAACGGATCCGTTCAAACTTGCGCTTTACAAACTCATGGGCAAATTAGAACCGACGCGGCGGAGTGTTCCCCACGTTACCACAACGACGGAGGACTGGTTGTGGTTCCAGCTTGCCATGGTACGTTGGCCTTAGGACGTATCGCCTATGCTCACTCAATCTAATATAATTTCGATAGATTGAGGAGGAGGAAGACGGTGGATTGCGCGGATTCGCTGAGGTGATACTTGGATATGGTGAGAGACAATTCGATGGCAGTTCGAGGAAGGGAGTCTGGGCGAGTGTCCTCGTTATGTGTGGACAGTTTGAGCGGGTATGTCTCATCGTTCCTGACATCGTATGTTACTGACGGGATCCTTATATTAAGGCTGTTGCGGCTCTTTGGGAGGACCAGGAAACGGAGATTGAAGCAGTCCACCTTGCTATTGCCTTCGCCTACCATGGCCTCCTCCGGGTGCCCCCCCGCGCAGAAACCTCTGAAATGACTCCATGTATGTTCATATCTTTAATATTAAACTATCCAGAGCTAAAAGTCGTTACATTTAGTATCGTTACCTCCTTCGTCCCCTCCTGCTTTGAGCATCTCTACAATAATATGGCGCTATATGAGGCAGTTCGTCAAAATGGATGCCAAGGAAGCACTGCAGTATGTATATTGTGTGTGCTTAACCGCGGACCAAGGCGAAATTGGAAAGGAGCAGATGGAGAACGCCTGGGAACTTGTACGGCGTATAATCGTCCTTTGCAACAGCGGTCCTGGTTGGGAGGAGCTTGTTGGAGGCTTCAGACCCGACGGTTCAAGATTCGTATGTGTTTATTGCCCTAGGCTCCTTATTGCTGACTTACCTTGTCAATAGAATGGTGTCATTGAGCAAGGAGCGAGCTTGTTGAAACTAGACGATCTTCGGCAGTACAACGAACAGATCCTAATTCGTGCCGCCAAAAACTCGGAAGAAAATGATCGGATATCTGAAGCTATAAAGCTGTACAATTTGGCAGGGGATTACTCTACGGTTATGTCGTGTCTTGCCCAGGCTTTGGGTAGTACGATCGCACGCCCAAGTCCCGATGAGAAGGCGCGTACCATTGAGAGGACGGCAGCTGACATTGTGCGGCATTATGAGCGGACAAACAGAGCTGCTGGGAAAGATAAGGATGCGGTAATACGGCTGCTGAAGATCCGGGAGGCTGTCGACGCTAAGCATGCTGGTCGGCCCGAGACCGCGCTTCAAGTAGGTTTTTTTTCGGTGTCACACTGAGCAATACTGATAATGCGTTTTCCCCTTTCAAGTGCATGGAGACAACGGACCTTATTCCGTTAGATGGAGACGTGGCAAAAATTACACGTAGGGCCGAAGAATTCAAGGAGTTGCATGACTCTTTACAACGAAATCTGCCGACGTACATTACCCTAACAATGGATGCTCTCGCTGGTATTCATCAAAAGGTCAAGGGGTCCCTCGTTCCCGATGCTACGAGGCATATGGTATGTTTTTCTTTTGGTAAAATGAAATGAACGCACTGAACTTTTGTCTCAAGACCCTGACTGCTGTGAGAAAGAAATCCAGATCGTTGATGGTCTTCGCTGGGATGCTCAAATATCGGATGTCCCCGGACGTATACTCCTACCTGGCGAGACTGGACGTCGAAATTGCACTGTGATCTACTTATTGCTGTAATACATATACCTTTTATGTTCCTTTCCACTGATTATGACGATGTGCGAAAATAGACTATGAAGAATGCATAACCGTCGCCGCCCTATCTCCAAACCAAACCAATCTACCTAAGCAACTTAAATTTCGTAGGTGAAATATGCAAGAGTAATTATAACCAAAAAGCGAAGTGATTGTAACATGTGCATAACGTCAAAGATGAGAATTGCTAAAAAGCTATACTAAAGAGCAGACAAAAATGATACTCTCCCGCTTGAAAATGTTATAAAGATGAGAATAAATGGATGAGATGGAGAGAGTATCATCGTCCAATGGTCATATTGTGATAATGGGTAACAATTACAAGTCCAGCGGATGATCGTTTTCTTGAGCTATCAGTGCATTAATTAGATAATGAAAGAACAATAGGCATTCATGCTCACAATGATCAACCCTCTCCGTTTCGAGAGGAAGAGTGTTGTACAAGCCAGGAGGGGTCACTGAATCAGAAGGCTGGACTTTAAGGCTACTCGTGTCTCCTTTCTCGAGGACGGCATTTCCAACGTCTGCAGATTACCAGTCAGGAAAATCGAAAAAAAACAAAAACAAAAAGTACTGGCGACCAACCAATAGAAAGACTACCATTCGAAGACGGGATAGCATCATGTTCCATCGAAGAGGCCTGTTTTATTGTCTGTACTTCGCTTATGCTCAAAACAGCGTGAGGGCCCGAAGGAGGGAGTTCTGCCTTCACATCAGGAGAGGAGATTTCGCCGTGTTCTGTGAGCTGGGACTCACGGACCTCCTCGACAACAGATAAAGCTAGGGGAGGCGCCACCAAAACCGGATCCGCCTCGACCACAAGAAGAGGTGGCAAGGGTACCGTGTCCTCTTCTTGGGGTTCTGACGTCGATTCGTGAAGGGGCTCGGTATAGACAACGCTAAGTTCTGCAGCACTAGGCTCATCAAGAACAGGGGCTACATCAACTGCTAGCTGCTCGACAAGCTCTTCCTCCGGAACTAACGCGGTAGGCACTTGCTGCGGTACATATTCGGATTCTGCTGTTAACGGCACGTCAGTCGGCGAAGGCTTGTCTTCGGAATCCGAGACTGGAGCAACAGTTTCTGGTTCGACACCAGAGAGAACTCCGGGTTGTTGCGCGACAGCGGCGGCCACATCAGGCTTGTCGATGACTGAGGAGGCGGGTGCTGGTACCGACTCATTAGGAGTTGCCTTTAAGTGGTACTCGCCACCAGGCGTCGTAGCTTTGTCCTCAACTATTGGTGTCTGAGCGTTCCCCACAACTTCGGGATCCGTCGAAGAAGTTTCCACTGTCTCTTCTGCTGGCGCAGTAGCTCCGATCTCGACAGAGCTTTCTTCAACAGCCGTAGCACCCTCTTCGACTGTGGGCAGGGCGTTCTCTTCAGCCTGTAGCGAGACGGGCTCTTCGGCTTGAGCAGGAATGACATCTTGCTCTTCAGGAGCAGGTGCCAACACCACCTCAGATGTCACAACGTCCGTTGTAACGGGTGGAGAGAGCGAAAGTGGCCCATGTTCTTCTGCTGGGGCTGGAACATCCTCCTGTTGGACAACAACCGAACTTTCTTCGGTTGAATCTGCAACGTGTTCAACGGGAGCACCATTTTTCACCGGCTCTACTTCGACAGGTACGGGTGTCTCTGCTACAGACGGTGCAGGGGCCTCGTCGACGGGTAAAGGTTCTAATCTTTCAATAGGAACGGTAGCAGCCAACCCTGTAGGCGCGATGTCTTTAGTGGTGCCAACGTCGTTCGCCGATTGCCCTTCAGTAGGTGCTAATACCGATGGCTCTACCTGCGCCATAACCGGATCTTCCACAGAAGTTATAGCCGACTCGTCAACGGGTATGGAACCTAGTCTTTCCTCAGGGATAGCAGTGGATTCCTCAGTAGATGCGGTAACTGGTTCCTCGAGGGTGAGAGGTGATTTATCACTTGACTCTCTGACTGGAGCTCCTTCCGATTCACTGATAGGTGCAGCTACTTCTTCCAGAACCGGAGTGGCATCGACTGGCGAGATAACTTCAAGCGCAGATTCCGATGCAAGGTCTTCAACCTTCGACACTGGAGGAGGGACCCCAGCCGGTACGGCGGCTTCAGGAGCGGATTCTGTTGTAGGAGCCTCCTCGGCTTTTACTTCAGGAGCAATGACTACTTCGTCAACAGGTGCCGTCGCGGTCGCGGGAACAGGGTCAGCGACAAATGTGGGTGCAGGGGGTTTAACTGAGATGTCAGTCTCGTTTGGTATGGATTCAGGTGCGGTGACCACTTCCGTTGCGAGGACTTCTTTTGATTCAGCAGATGTGACTTCAACAGCAGCTTGAGCCAGCACAACAGTAGCTCCCACGGCTGTGGCAGTTGTAGCAGCCCCCACTCCAGAAGCATTACCCTCTGGCTCTCGTTCCTCCGGAATATCCTTCGGCACATCCACAGACTTCCTCGTGACCTTGGTCTTGACCTTAGTATCCCCGTCCTGTTCCTTCAAAATTTCGCCCATCTCACCGATCTTGGGAGACTTTGGGGGGTTCGGGTTCTTCCGCTTGGTAGGCGACTTGTTATCGCCACCAGTCCAGAAGCTAAACCGCTTCCTCGTCGAAGAGAATGTGCCGGATATATCTGATTTGAAGGAAGGTTTAGGGGAAGATGCTCGAGGCCGTTTACCAGGCGATTCAACCGAAGGCGAAACGTGAGTCTCTGATACTGGTGGCAGGGGAGGTGGTGGTTTGCTGAAGGTCTGCTCGAGAACTACCCATTCAACTCGCTTCCCCTCAATTTCAATGTCGGATAATGATCCCTTCAATTTGCAGATAACAAAGGACGGCCAGTCTGATGATATCGGGTCCACCAATGCGTCGTTCCAAAAGTCTATGAAAGTTTCATCAAGCTGCACAGACGACACGCTGGTCACTTTGGAAGTCGAGCTGGTTTCTTCCGCCGCCGCTTTATTTATATCAATGTTTAGCTCGGGCACGTTGCGTCGGGTCGGCAACTTGGACTTTTTTGGTTCCGGGGGAACCGTGACCTCGAGGTCCGAGTCCATCAGGGTAGAAGCAAGCGCGGAACCGAGCGGCAGCGATTCTAGGAAACCGGAAGTCGAGAACTGGGCCCAGTCCATGCCAATATGATTTGTCGAGGAAGGCATCGACGTCGAGAGGGGAACTGATGGTATATCAGGTAGCTTCCCGTTGTTAATACCGTTAGTGGCAGCTGCAACTGCGGCTCTATCTTCGTTCGGGGCGAATGATCGCTTCCTTGTAGGCTCAACAAGATTAAGTGTTGGTGTCTCAGAAGTGGTCCTCTCCATGGGTAGTAAGGAGAGGAACCGGATGGTTTCGTCAGCAAATACGCGGCTGGGTGTTGAATAACTCCCAGGTGAAGAGTTATCACCTTCCGCGGCGACCTGCTTAATCCTATTCCATAGTTCTATATGGTCCGTTGAGCCAGGCTGCGCTTTAAAAGCATCAGATATCAGTCGGAGGGGATGGTATGAGTTTTGTAGGCCGGATGTGGGTAATTCTGTATCTACATGGACATAAAGGGCGTCATATTGTCGTGTTGAGAACCATGGTCGGGGTAAGAGATCTTCATCAGTTGGAGACTTGCTGTAGGGGTACTGTTTCACGAGTTCTGTGAGACGCTTAGGCATCCTGTTCTTTACCATTTCTTGTCTGTCACGACTTTGGTGAGAATAAAGATGCGACGAAGGAGTATTTAACCTACCTGATATTTGACAAGAAAATGTGTTCCATCATCCGTCCAGCACGCTCCCATCTTGCGTAAAATGAGGACCAGGTATCACTATCCTCTGCACGCGCGGTTTCTAGGAGCCATAAGCCAAGTAGCTTGGATACCTTGCTACCGGAAGTGCTGTTGGCTTCTGAGTGCGCAGCGAGCGACGAGAAGAGGTCCAAGATAGTAGTCAATAGCTCAAGATGAGCCGGAGGAAGCTGCGGAGTGAGGCTGTCCGCAAAAGCTGTAAGAGGATATTGGGAAGAACTCTCGGTGTCGAAGAAGATCTTATACCAAGCTTGGTCTTTGCCGAAAGAATTGCCCTCCAGCTGCAGATGTCTAAGGCCCCATCTTAGGACCGCCGCGATATCATGCGGGGAGCGTGTAGAGTCAATTTCAGATTCAAAAGCTGATGTAGGCGATGAAAGAGTGGGAGAGAGCGTTGTTATAGGGCTTTTGGGAGCCAAAGAATGTACGAAAAGCGAAATGAGTCCTGTTGTAATGTGAGGTTAAATAGTGGTGGGATGATAGGTCTTGTACACACGTTTCTGAACTTGCGGGTTGGCCGAATACCAGTGAGGGTGCATGAGACCTGGCGTTTCGAGGCCTAACAGATAACTATGCGCAATTGAACAAACGAAGATAACATAATAACACACCTCGCGCGACGATGGCCTGAGAACATGCGCGAACCAATATTAGGGTCTCCAATGGATTTAGCCGACGCGCTCCAATATCGGACTGCGACAAAAGAATTTGAGAATCAGGATCTGCCTCGAAAACGACACCTAAAGAACGGGCATTGGCGCCATTCTTTGGCCCAGGTAAGTTTAAGGAAAGGTGGGGAACCTCAGAGGGGACATATGGCGAGAGTACTGGGGTAGCAGACTTGGTTCGTAACAATCCAAGGCCAATCTCCTTCCCTTTTTCCTTGTCCTTCACCTCGGGAAGCTTGTCCGCCGGGAGTGACACATTTGGTGAGACGGCCTCGAATTTTCCTTCGAGAAGGGAGACAGTCGAAGTGCGACGGCCCGCGGATGGCTCTTTGTCGTCCTTCTTACGTCCAAATACCCTGGACAAGAACGAGGGCATAGCGTGTCGGTGAGTTGTTAATGGGGATCCCCTGCCGACTAATTAATAAAGGGAATTTGTACAGATGTCACCGTCAAATCCGAAAACGTAAAGAGAAAACGAAGACCTTCAACCGTGTCAATGTCGGTCAAGGAAGAAACAGGAAATTGATATTTATTATGTCCGAAGACCCTCATTGCAAGCACGTGCTCGGATTAAAACATTTAAATAGATAATAAATAAATAACTGATTTCAGCGGTACCTTATTTATGTTGCAACTGAAAACAGGCCGTGATACGTGCATGCGCCAATATTTGCCTGCTTTCCTCGAACACTGGTGTTTCTCCATTTGTAAATAGAGCGCTCTCTACCGTTCCCGGCATTAGGAATATGTGCCGTATATATTACAGTCGACTTAACCATGTACGGTTGTCGCATCAACGCTTAACTTCTTATCCCGCTCTTAGTCCCCCCCGCAATGAAGGTGACGGATTGTCTACTGTTCCTGGAGATGGCAAAGATCATTAGTGGATGAGATCCGTGCTACGAGAAGGAGAACCATCCAAGCTGTCTTCGCATATCAAATGGATACCACATCCCATTAGGACTCCAAAATCGCAGAAGCTATTTGGTCCGAAGAGGCTAAGCATTGTTCTTCAAAGTTGGATATTTTGCGCCGACAAAGTTAAAGTCTGAAAACGACACACTTAGATTTGGAGGAAACAAGAAACTATGTGGGAGGTGCGAATCTGAGCGATATTCGGCTTTCGCCAGGTTTACGGCAACTCTTTCGTAATTATCGTCCACGTAGATTCTACATCTGATACGACCTCACCTCAGCCTAGAAGGACCTGCAACAGCATTCACCTGTCCAGCACCATCCTCCATACGCACGTCCTCGTTAGGAGGCAGTAAATATTCGACATCTTCATACATATGTGGGAAAAGAATCGCCAGCATATCATCGATCCTAAAAATATACTTATAAGCACCAACAAATCATTTCGAGACGGGAGACGGGCCATACTTAGATATAAAATCTCCTTTCAGGGCGTGCTTCTTCTTTGAAGGAGAGTCAATGTCTTTATCGCCACCAGCGACGTCAAAAGTAGTGGCGTTCAGGGTACCGGCCGAATTCCCTTTGGTATAAAGTGATAGCCCTCGACGAGCAGCCAAATCAAGGATGTTCCTCTCGACAGTATCTAAAAGGCGAAAGATATTAAAACAGAACATGGAAATGCAACTAAATTTACCTTCAGCGTAGTAACAGTAGACTTCCAGAGTCATCAACACATAAACACGTGCCCATAACTCAATCAGAGCGCATGAGCGTACCTTCCGTAGGTCGGGTCTGTCCTAAACGATCAATTCGGGCGATTGCTATTAAAATATTGTCAATCGGCAGCGTTACTTTAATATTCTCATCGAACTTACCTTGAACTTCGAAGCCGTGGTGTACAACGCTTTCCAACAAGAAGACTCTTGACGCACAAGTAATATTCAATCCGGCGTTTTCTCGCTCACTATATATATAGGTATATGTGTGAATCAAGTTATAAATAATGCCATAGAAGACAGAAACTTACCCGTGTAAGAGCAAAACACGAATATCAGGATCGGACTTGAACCTCTTTGATGCACCATTACCCTTCGTCCGCCCCTGGTCAATTCTCAGACATTGGATAGCTAACAGGTAAAGTGTAAGCTCCTGTAGAGACGAATACAGCTTTAGGACTTGCCGTTGTCTGTAAGAGCACGTTGCAATACTGACAATAGAGAAGATCGTCAGCATTACATTAAGCAATATGAACAATCAAACTAACTGTGTAATGAATCTTCCCACGCAGAAAAGACAATAGATTTGGATCCAGGGTCATTCTCTTGCAAGTACAAGAGATGTCGGACGAGAGTTTGGATCTTCCTACCATAGTCGCCAAAGCATTCCATGTGTTCGATAGAGTCGAATAGCTCTGGATCTACGCACCGCCATTGCGACGGTATGAGAAATGTATGAAATTGCAAATCAGATACGTACCAATCATGTTGTACTCAATTTTTCGACGAGAATGGGGAACCACCTCGCCGTTAACAATTCGGCCTAGCGCAGGATTCTCAGGTCCGCTTACTGCAAACTTTTGCATGTTCTTCGGGTCGACGGGTACTCTGCATACTGGACACGCCTTGCCTTCTCTACGCTGTAACCAGGCTTTCATACAGCCTTCGCAGAATACATGTGCACTAGATAGAAGCAAATGTTAGCATCCGCCCGTAGACAAAAGATGAATCAAGATACCAAACAGTGATAAAGCCACGCTCGAATTCACATCCACAGAGAACACACTCGTCGTCTATATCCTTAGCTTCGTCTCTGTCCTTGGCAAGGTTATCAAGATACCGCTGACGTGCTCGACTTGTCTTTAGCCTGTCTTCCAATCTCGCCCTTTCGGCTTCACACTCTTGGATAGCTTCGCCGACGGTCTTCTCCCATGTAACCTGGGTTACAGAATCAGAGATTTCCTGCAGTTGACGGAAATACAGGATTCTTTGATTGAAAGCTTTTCGGAACAAGGCGAGATCAGTATCGAGCTTGTCAAGATTCGCACCTTTGATAAGCGTTGAGAACATGTACAAGAAGAGTTTGACAGCATATCAAATACCTTGTTCTGTGATGAGTCGGCGAACGTCAGCAATGGCATGTTTTAACAGTGTCTTCTCCGGATCCGAATCGCGATTGATCCTAGACATAGCCGCGGTAAGGTCTACCAAGATCTGTTCATCGAAAGTGTGAATCCTAGGGTCTATATAATGCTCATACAAACGCACCGATTTTACTGACCGAGCGTCAAGTTCCTGTAGCAACTTTTTGCGCTGTTCAGTCAGATCCCGGTGCAGCACTTCGTGCTCGGGCTGCAATTCAATATCGCTCAACATTCCTGAAGCATTATCAGCTGTCTCAGCGGTAGCTTTGACCGCCGTTCTCGTCTGACGATATTTTGTCTCTCTGTAGGTATTGGTTAGAATAAGAGCTAAGATGGATCAATTGGCTGACCTTGCGTTATGTACTGCCAGTAAAGTTCGTTCATTTACAAGAGCTTCCCGACGATCTGCAAGAAGTGCAGTGTACGCTTGGAGATAGGTCTCTGCCTCTCCTTGATCGTCGAGACTACGCTGATATTCTTCACCGTCTGCTTCATTCTCAGAAGCCGACAACTTCTGCGTAAGTAACTTGTGAAGTTGGGTCCTCCATTCCCACAGTAAGACCGATTGAACGTTGAGAACGCCTTTGATGATTTCATGGAGTTGGTCGACCTGTGATAATTGTTCGGCTGTCGACACCGAGAAAAATCGACTAAGTGTACGTACAGTGTCTCTGGAACGTATTCCCCCTTCCTCTAGGTATGGAAGAGGAATTGTCAAAGTATCTTCGTCGATTCCATGCTTAGTAGCATCCACATCTAACTGGGCCATCCCGCGATTGGCCTCGTCTTCCGTACCTAGATGAAGAGAAAATCTTTTTCTTCCCTATGATGGTAAAATGGGGAAAAGGTACGAACTTTTCAAGAGGTTGCATCGCATCTCCTCACACAGTGTGTATGCAGCTGACTCTTCTGCAGAGAAAGAATCTCCCAGCACGTGGTAGACGTCACCTTGCAAGAATTTGACACGATGCAGAACCATAAGTGACTCGCGAAGACGCTGTTGAAGGGCACGGCGCTTTACTCCATGTTCTTCTCCAGCAGGGGTATCGGGAAGACCGTCGTCATCTGTATCCTCGGATGGAGTCCATGATAGCTCCCGTTCTTTTCCTTTTCGACTAGGTAATTCTGGTTGAGAGGCTCTACGGGCAGCTGCTTCCTTTTTCAAGACGTCGCCCTTCGCATCGTGGTCTTTGATGGCTGATTCTATTTCGTCAATCAACTTGTTTACCTCATTTTCTGCAGTTAGAAGAAGCTCCAAGGCGCGATGATAACGGGTGTGATCACCCTTGTCGTGTTGTTTCAGTTGAGCGAGCATGACAATAGCTTGCGCCTGCATTCCGTGATTAGTACAAGGAAGATGTTGAGCGTGAAATATGAAAAGACCTTAGACTTGAAGTCGTCCATAACATTTCTCCAATTTTGATCTTGCATGGTCTACCAAGAGATGTGTTAGACATGACCAACAATTGAAGGTGAACAACTAACATGCAAAACCTCCTCGATCGTCTTCAAGGCGCCTGGTTTGAATAGTTTGTCGTTCTGTCGCTGAAGCTGTCCGACCTGGGGACAGTATTAGCTCTTGACTCCCCCCTCACCGCTGATTTTGTGAACATACTTGGGGATGGGTGCATATTCCTCGAAGTCGGCGGAGTGAGGACCGTAGAACCGTTCCGTCTGTTTCCCACCCGGCCGACGCTGCCACGCCACGGGCATCAAGACCAAGTTCTTGTAGAATAGCCTCAAGAGTTTGATCATACACCTATCTCATTGTAAGATTGAGATAATTGAAGCAGAAATTGAGCGGGCTTACGTGGCGCTCAATGCGGCCCATCTCAATGCTAACAAGATAGCGAGTTTGTTGTGGTATAGTCAACTCCGCTTCCAAGGTTGACTTCATGGTCCTGGAAATAATAATGAAGAAAAGGACATGGTGTTAGGACAGACATACCTGATCGTATAGTGACGGAAAAATTCAGCAAGCTCTCCAGCATAGGAAGGCTCTATAAGACGATTCCACAGACGTGTAGATCCAACGGCATTATCCACACGAAGAAATCTGATAGCCAGTTAGCCCTCGTTTATATAGTAAGTATAAGCGTACTTGAGAACATGTATCAAATCTTGAACATGGGTACGAGCAGGAGTACCAGATACGGCAAAAGAAGACAGTCGGGGAATATACGAAACCATGTCTCTGTGCAACAATGATGACTGGACAGTTAGAATCTATACAGACAAAATACATACTCGGTTTTCCCCCCTCCAACCATCTGTACTTCGTCCATGACGACTCGTTGCCACTCACACATCACCAAGGGGCTGCGTGGACGCTCAACGTTTGAGTAAACCACATCCTGACGCCTAGGTCGAACAGGTGCCGCCCGAGCAACGTTAAAATCAGTTTTCAAAACGTTGTAAGTGGTTACCACAACGTCGAAAGTGTTCACCCATGTGCACCAATCTACGATGTCATCAGTGGGCTCTAATGCTTGTCCTTTTTTGCTGCGTTTCTTGTTAATTTTGTTTCTCCTAGCGTGTTCCTCGTCAACCTGAGAAGCGTTGATAGGGACAGGAACCTTGGCCCATCCATTGTACTCGAGCACTTTCAGTGTAGGTGCGTGTGTGGCAAGCTCGTCGATCCATTGGGATGCAAGTGCTGGTGGAGTAACGATAAGGGTAGTCTGTACTGGCGTCAAAATAAAATTCAATACAGTCAAAGGTATGCCTCGCCTTGATGGCCTTTACTTCGAGCTTTGCCATAGGGTCCCATCTAACTTGTTGAGCTGGGTTTCGGTCCGGCGGAGCGGGGTTCAATAGAATCAACGAAATGATTTCTAAAGTTTTGCCTAGACCTAAGAAATGATTGTGAAGCGGTGAGATGTGGGTATAACTTTAGAGCGCACACCTGGTTCTTCTGCTAGAATGCCGCCGAATACAGGCCCGGAATCTTTTACAGTCTCGGGAGTGGGAATGACTTGCCCGGTCAAGCGATTAAACTGTAAAGACTCATCCCCTGCTTGAATGGTCTCCCAGAAGGAGTATTCGGATGTATTGGACTTTGAAATGATATCCCCAGAAGGCGTGACAGTCTTGCCTTCCCGCTCTAGAAGCCAGGCAACGCTCCGCCTCTGGAAGGGAAGGAGTGTTGGAAGTAGCTCTTCAGGCTGCACAGCCTTTATCGCACGGTCAGACGGAAGGGCAGGGGCGGGTCCAAGGATCGAATAAAAAAAGGGAATAGACACTACACCCTGGAATGTCGACGGCGGAGGCTTGGGATACGCGAAGCACAAGAGCTGTTTCTGAGCAGATTCGAGGGGTTCAGTTACTTTCCTGGTCGCAACCTTATAACCTCCAAACGGATTAAATATACCTGGGGTGAGTATAAAAACGGTTACGTTCACATGTAGCCGAAAAGGAAGGTCCTTCGGGTCGCAAACACCGGAAGGCAAGACAGTGAGTCTAAGAGAGGCGTCTACAGACGCCCGCCCATATGTCTTCAAGGAATTCGCCAACTCGAGGATGTCAGTCTTGAACGAATGAGGATCAGCATCCTGAGTAGCTCCGACGGTGGGCAACATGAATAGCCATCCCCCTCTATCTTCTTGATATTCCTCAGAGAGACCTATAAGTTTTCCGTGATATTTATCGATGATCACATGGCCCAAATCTAACTCTCGGGGCTCTTGAATGTGCTCTCCAAGGCCTTGCAGGACGTCACGCAGCTCGTCCTCTTCACGAATCCATTCAGCATCATCACTGAAATGATCCTTCAAAAGGTGGGTGGGATAATCGGTCGTATATTGTATTTCAAAGGCATGGCGAAGGATAGGAGTACGTGTGTTTCCCTCTAAAGGTGGCGCGTAGGGGTGAACAGAAGGGTAAGCGACGCCATTCTCCTTGTCAGAACCTGGCTCTAGCTTTCGTCGCTTAGTATTAGGAAACCTGGAGAGTATGTTCGGGGCGACTCGTTTCTTGCCTTTGTCGGAGACTAGGGGAGACGCGTCCGACACTGGCAGCTCTGCAAGGAGCTTCAGGAGACGATTAATATTCAAGGCAGGTCTAAAGGAACCACCACCAATATAGTGTCGACCAGTGGCCCGTAGAAACAGGGAATGGCAGGAAGTCCCCGTATCCCGCATTATTGGAAGGAGGAGGTAAAAAGGAGAGGAGTCATATCGGGGACGCGACGCGTGAATCAGTAGTCGCGTGGCATTATTCTCACGCCACAATGTAATATGGGCTACTGTACTTATCGATTACACACTGTACTAAGAAAATGGGCTACACAAGCGCCAAGACGCCTACCTCTATATGGATGCTTTACCTCTGGGCTCATAAGGCAGAAGCATAGCCAATACCCCCGCGAAGATGATGAGTCCGCCTGCGATGTACACCGGAACGGCGGTCGCAATGTCGGCATATAATGCAATGATTGGAGCCTATTGAGAATATTAACGCGACAGAGAAAGATGAATGAACGAGAACGCACGATGACACCAAAGACGCGAGTAGCCGTAGATACCAAGCCGTTGCCCGTTCCGCGATGTCTAGCCGGGAATATCTCAGCTGAAACTGCGTACAGAACGCCATACATGATCTGAAATGTCCTCAGTTCCTAATCGTGCCCACACATATGTCTGCAACTCACGTTACTGTTGAACACATATCCACAGTTCCACCCGAGCAGAGCATTGGAACTCCGCGCGGTGGTACTCGCGAAAAGAAAGGCACCGGTGAGCCCTGTCTTTCGCGAGGGGTCGTTGAATAATGTAAGAAGCATCAAAAGACAGACCACTCGCCCGATGATATCGCTAAAGTGCCTCGACGGCCAATGTATGGCAGGTCTACAGCCCACCCGGCGAGGAATGCTCCGGGAATGCCAATGACACTGAGTATAAATTGCTATAAAACGGTTAATATTGGTGGAAAGATGAAACAGGAAACAATCTACATTTCTATACGTGATGGAGAGTGAGCCATCTCCATACTCGGCCCCGCGGCTTGTTAGCCTGGAAGTGAGTGCGTTAAGGAAGCATCTTGTGAAAAAAGGGATATCATATCATACAGGTATGGCAGAAAACTGTTATATAGGGTTGATGCGAGTCCGATGATTCCTACCAGCGGTGAAAGTGAGCGTCATCAAGAGGTTACTACGGACACCACATACCCCAGAGTGTGATCAGAAGCGTCGTAGATATCGCCATCTTTCTCGTAATAAACAGAGCTTTTACGTGCTCAAGCCCATAGACTGATGTGCGACTTAAGACGGGCCTCTTGGCTCTCCCTGACTTCTGTTCTGTTGCCTGGTTGAGATGTTCCACGCTCAAACCAGTCGAAGTAGAATTGTACTCCGCGACTTTATGAATGACGGAAACCGCTTCAGCGTCTTTCCCGACGCCTACGAGGAAGCGCGGACTTTCGACGAGAGTGAACAGAAAGAAGCGAAGGCACCACAGCAACAACGTTATCCCTCCGAGTGCGAACAGAAGGTAGCGCCACCCCATATTTTGGGAACGCTCACACGCAGAAGCATCCTCCGGACAAGAATAATTGGCGATAAGCGGCCATGCAAGCTGCCAGTCAGGTCATATGCGAATAACGCCAAACGAAAGGCACAAAACGCACAAGGCTACAAAGTAATTGACCCAGGGACCACCAGACAGACATGACGGTAAGTAGGTATTGATGAGTACCGGGAACGAGATCTGTCATGGGCGGATAAGGCCAGTCGCACAGTAAAATAATTTGGTGTAACTTACCCAGGAATACCGCAGAATCGACAGGCATATTACCTGAGAAAGAATTTAAGAAATCTAGTACCTATTGACGTAAGTCTAAACTCACCCCCTACGCCTACACCGACGACTGCAAGCAGAGACGCAAGAGTGACAAAATTGGGTGATCCTCCCGCTGAGAGTCCGAAAACTCCAGCTATGAGCAAAGTCAGATTGAATGACCACCTGATACTTCAAGTTGGCGTATCGACGGCGGAGATGAAGTTACTGGATGCCGTACCTTCTTCCCCATATATCACAACCCACACTCCAAACAATCGCACCCACCAAGAGACCGATGTTTGCAGCCAAAGTAAGGAAAGGGCCATTAAAGTTGAACTCTGCGGTAACCTGCGTCAAAATTAGACCAGTGATAAGCTATGATAGTCGCTGCGTCAGTCAAGTTTGGTCTGCTAAATGAAAGTATCGCAACTGACAGGCCAGACACTATCCCTACACGGATAGGTCAGAACCTATAACCATATAACAATCAAGAAACTTACGCAAACCAGCCAAAACCAGCGCAGATGAAGAGATGAATTTGATACTTGCCCATACCTGTGATAATCAGTCAGATCGCGAATACCAGAGCACCGCTGTATGCACTGACCAATCTCTTGCATCGCATTGTTCAGGACACGAGCTTTTGCCTGATATATAGGGTCTACAGTTCCATCCTCATACATGTCGTCCAGAGCAATCTTCGCCAAACTGTCAGACGGGGATTCTGCGACATCAACGATTTCCGACTGGTCATCCATTCTCGAGTGCATGAGAGTGTAACTTAGCGTCCGGTGGGTATCTAACACGGAACGTTGACGGTCCTTCTTTTTATAACAATCATGGAACCGGAGTTCGGGTGAAGTTCGAATTGAATGGTGAGTAAAGATGTGTGAAAATTACGTTCAAATCAGATCAGAAGAGCGGAAATAAAAATACAGCGCACCGATCATGACGTCGGCCGACTGGGTAAGTGTATGAGTGGCATCCAAATTATTCCTCCCTCTACCCAGGTAGACTATCAATTAACTGCTTCGACTTCGTAGATACCAAGGCTCAAATACGCCGACTCCTCCACTCCATTTAGATGTCGTGATCAACGGAAAGTCTGAATCAAGCTGCGCTCCGCTTGGAGAGAAAATTCGCACGACTTGGAGGTCGGGTCGTTTGTGGTTATCACGAAGATGGAGACGAAGATGGGCATAGACTGAAAGGGAATATAGTTAGCATTGAAAATGGCCCGACCAACCTATAGGACTGACCTTGCTTCCCAGGCTCAGCCAGTTTCAAAGATTCTATCCATGAGTGATCGCCCAGCTTAAAGGACATACATTTTACTCCATCAGATGACATCATATGGATAGGTAACCACAAGCGAGGGAGAGACACTGGGAACACGTCGTAAAAGGATTCGAGTAACGCGGAAGAATTATGAAGGTCATATTTTTGATGCATATAGAAATATTTAGAAGAGATCAGGTCTTGACTGACCAGACCATCATTCAATAGTATCTGGGCGGCGACACTGCCACGTAGACAAAGGAGATTGCTCATTGATATACACCAAGGCATACCATCAGGTTTACGGAGGTCTGATCCTGTTTCAAATAGCGATGGATCCATTGTAGGAGTGACACAGAACCGAACCTGGCCTGCTGTCGCGGGCAGATCCGAATGGGTCCAATAATAATAAAATCCAGTAGTTGAACTGGGAAAGGGTAGGTTCTTCTTTCTATGGTTGTCCCAAAAATACCGGAGTTGAGGTCCAAATGCAATGTCTGTCTTCCTTCCAGAGATGTCACGGAAGTCAAGCGACGTCAGGGCCTTGGGGTTCAGTGTCTGGATATGTCGTGAAAGTTGGATGCTGCGATAGTGAATAAAGAGGGGGGATTTCGGTGTACGATGGTGAGGCACGGGTCGGTGAAGAAGACGGCATGCGATTGTCTGCTGTGCCATGGGAGACCGAATTCTATGACCCTGGTTTCTAGTTCTCATCCAATTACATTCAAACGAATGTCACACTTACTAAGAATTCGGCGAAGGGAAACACTGGTATCAAAATTCTAATCCCAGTGTTGGTGCTCCTAGGTGTATCGCCGTTTCGTCACGAAAGAATTGCGACAAGGTTGGAGAGAAAATTGGCGCCTTTTGATGACATAATGCTGTGCTGAAAGATTATTCCTCTTTACTGACTAGCTAGAAAGCAGTAACCTTTGGTTTACATTCACTGAAATCCGTTACCCGTTATTTTCATGGCATCAGGCAAGTTGCAAGCTGTTGTGTCAGAGGAAAGGAACCCGCGGGGAATACCAAAAGCGCCATTTATCGTTCGTGCCAAATCTGTTTTCACTTTTAGCCCTCTCTCAGGTATTTTGCAGGCAGATGTCCAGGAATATGCTGGAGGATCGGATGGGGATATCGAGGGCCCGCTCAAAGCTTTCCAAGATGCCATGGCGTGCGCTCGCTATTATTCCTGTTGGTTGAGACTTGGTCACTGATGAGACGCGTTACAGAAAGTACCGGTACATGGACGACAACTTGGCACAGCGACGGAAAGGATTAGAAGAGAAAATTCCTGATTATAAGAAGACATTGGATATGGTGGAATATCTGCAGGAGAGACGCGTACGGGACCCCGTTTACCTTTACCTTTCCTGGACTAATCATTATCGAACACAGGAGGGAAAGGGCAAGGCATCGCAAGCTGACGATATCGATGATGACCTGGACAATGAGGATGATGATTCGTCCTCAAAACCAATACGAACCACCTTCGAGCTAAACGAGACGCTGTATGCCGAAGCAGAACTGGAGGAGACGGATACAGTCTACCTCTGGCTCGGGGTGCATTTCACTGATGCCATCTCATAGAAATCTTTGCTGAGCTGTCTCTAGGCTAATGTTATGCTGTCGTACAAGATACCAGAAGCCGTCGCTTTACTAAAATCCAAACTCGAGGCAGCCGAGACGAGTCTTCAAAATACTATCGAAGACTTGGAATTTATTCGAGAGCAACTGACGATAATGGAAGTGAACACCGCTCGTGTATATAACTGGGATGTGAAGCGGCGGCGAGAGCGAAGAGAGAAGGAAGTCCGAGCAGGATCGAGTGGTACAAATGCAGGCGACAGTGGTTAGGTGACTTCTGAATGCGATTTCTTTGCTGATCATTCACCTTTCCTTTCAGTGATCTAAATATTCTATCTTGTTACCACTCGGAGGCGTCAGTGGTCCCTCCACTAACGCTATCACATCTTCTTTCATACGGTCGCTCTTCTACGAAGCCCAGAACGGCAACATGAAGTGCCCTAATGACTTGACGTGAAAAGGCGGCGTAACTCAAAACCTCGACTAGCTTTTGCATATCTCATTGATCTTGCAACTTGTTGTCGATATCTGAATCTATAACAAATCTGGACCCTATTTGAGAGTATATGGGCAACGCAGCCGTCTAAGTTTCCTTTCTTCCTCAATAGATCTATCGGCCTTGTAAATTGTTATGTCAAGTCCTCGACTTTCAATGAATTGACAGTCTCTCTCAAGATTTCGATCAAATCTAGTCGCATACGCTTCAACGCTTTCAGGCTGACACCATACGCTGGAGGAATCCAAGGCAGAACATGACCATGGAAATATCGGGGATCGGTAGTTTCCTTGGTCTTCCGGGCCTGCAAACTCCATAGCTTATTACAGCACCAGCACATCTTGCGGCTCAGGCCGATGCAGTTATCAAGCTGCGAAAGTAGCTACGCGAAGGAAGCCCTGATTAGGATATGGCATTCAATGGTGACCATAGTACGGACCTGAGCGGCGTCATCGCTAAAATGATGTTGAGCCTGTAATCGATCCACCTGTTCCTGAGTCGTAGTGGCGAGCTGAAGGCAAATGAGCGCAGCCTCTGGGTGGACGGACCCAGTGACTTTCTGGGCCTGCAGCCACCTTCTCCGTCGCCTATACCACCTCTCCGTGATATCCACAAGAATGAACAACCGGAGTGCACGGTCTAAAGAAACATCATGCATCTCCAATGTCGAGTCATCCGTCGTGAGGTAGTATACCTCCAGCTTGGGATCAGGGAGCCGACGGGTGTACCAGTCATGGATCATGTAGAGCACCAAAGCAGATCCTCGGTAGCTGCAGATCTGATTGAGGTAGTTCATGACGAGGGTATGTAGACACAGGGGAATGGGGTAAGACTGATGTGCTGCTATGTCGTTCATGTCTGTGATGGAAGTGTAAGCTAGTTGGAAGAGAGATCTGAAGAATTCAAGGGCGCACCGATAGATTGTGTATAGGTATAACACGACGCCAAGGCGGGGGCCATTGACGACGCGGCGAAAACAGGTATAAAGTTGGTCGCAGAGAACACCTCACTGATTATAGACATTATAGATATGCAGCTCATCCCTGTACTCGTTTGCTCGTCGCATGACTGGTTGCAGTCCTTGAGCCTCTTCACAGTGATACACAGAATCTTGCCCATCATGTTGATCCACTTAGGCAAGTTCGCGTTTGTCACGATCACTCTGCCGGTGTCCCTCACACGGACCCCAGGGATCGTCTTCTCTATCCTTTCTGCTTGGGCCTCTCCAATATCTCTGATGATACCTCCCTCTGGGAGCAGAAGCCGGTCTATCGGATGGTCCGCCTGCCATTTCTTGAAAATCCCGCGGAAGCCTTTACGGTCCCGCGGGAATATGGCATCAGAAGCTAGAATTATTTGGAGGAATTCGTTTGGGTGGTGCTTGAGGGTACGTTCGAGGAGGGGATATGCGGATTCGAGCTTTGATTCAAGAAGTGGCGATAAGAAACGGTTGATTGATAGTGGCTCAAAATGAGGTACTGGATTTCTGTGGAAAAGTGAGAGACGGATGAAGCAAGGCTCTAGACAACATACTGTTGAGGCACCGCATCCTCCTTGTTCACGTCCATCGCCTCAACGAGAGTGCTCTCTACGGCGAAAGCGTCAAATGAGCACAGGCTGCCATCTGAGAAGATGCTCACCACTGGACGCATCTGATTGTGTAGCCGCCGACTCATCAATTACTGTATCCCCAACACATTAGGATCGTAATAGGAGGTGTTGAGCCAAAGCACAAATACCTGGTTTAGAGACTGACACCACCAACCTAATCCTCTGATCTGCGGTGACGGAGCCAGTGACTGCAACTGACCGATCCACAGTACTAGAAACGTCCGCCAGAGCGGTGTAGAACATCCTGCGCTGGTCTGTATCGGTCAGTCTGGGCCGTGGCCTGTAGTCGAATTCGGGAGAAGTGTATCTCCAGTGCTCGAGAGCGGCGAGGAGTGAGGATAGACAAGTAATGTCGCGCCTGACGACGAAGTACGAGTCGATCTCATTCTCGGACATGGTAGTTGGTGAGTGAAGAACAAGCCAGAAGAAGAAGATGGTGGCTGAAAAAGGAGGCCCAAGCTTGTGCCACTAACGCGACGGTCATGTGCCGACCTGCGAATCAAACTTTCGTTGTTGTTCTATCGTGAACCAAGAACAAGGGAACAAACTTGGACGCTCGAATCGCTGCATTAGAGAATTGACAAAGCAAATTGTGAGCGGGCCGAACGTAGGAATAAATGGAGGATCTGCTGATATGTGTGGAAATGAATGAAAATAGACCTTGGAAAATAGAACCTGAAACAAGTCGTGAGACCAAACATTATATTAGTCTGGTCTGGGTGATAATACCGTATTGAGAGAATGCACCTGCTTGTTATCCACCAGTGAGATACTGCAAAGAAAGTCAACGTAGTTTACTCGCGAAGCCTTGACGAACGGATTAGTGCGGATATAATTTACGAACCACAATTTACGTCGGCCTAATAGGAAGTGTAGACCATTAGATCACCGTTACCAAGCCCGAATTTCCTGTTCAATTCCACTCAACTCGCATTTCGTAGGAGTAAGGGCCACACGAGATAACTGTGCCAGATTGTCCGTGTAGTGAGAACGATGGATTCCAAAGATAAACATGTCAAATATGCGAGGGTAGAACATATAATACTGGACAAGCATCAACGCAAAGAAGGGAGAGATGAAATTTTGAAAGGTCACTCACCGATAATATACATACGAACAAGTTTTATTGGCCTCCGCCACCTTGCAGCGTGCCGTCGCCACTTGATTGTGTGGAAACGGCCTGTGTCGTCGTTGTCGCATTCTGGACTCCTGAGGACGTAATTGGCGCGCCCTGCTCGATGCCCTGCCCACTTCCACTGGACGAAGCTGACGCCGCCGGTATTCCAGACTGAGAGCTCCCTGATACCACAGCATTATTGTTCTTGTTGCTACTCTTCCCTACAGTCCCACCCACCGCTCCTCCCACCACCGCCCCAATCACCACAATAACCGCGATGACAATGATAATAATCCCCTTGCGCGTGCGCCAGAAGGGTATGCGGCGCAAAGGCGAGCTGGATCCGGCGCTAAGCGGTAGGTGCTCTTTTGAAGTCGGGGGCCCGCTTTGGCTCTCGGGATCTGGTTCAGTGTCGCTGAGTACAGGAGGTGTACGATTAGGTCGTAAAATGTCTGGATTATAGCCTTCCTGTATACAAGTGTCAGAGACGTGTTCTCCCCTCCAAGGAACGGTATGTATACCTGCAGCTGGGCCTTCGTCGCAGCCGGCGCCTCAGCGAGGAGAGCCTGGTCGTACCCGCTCATTCGTGATTAATCCAGACAGGCGCTTCAACCGGGGTCGTCGTCGTCGACGGTGAGAAATCAAGCTTAGGGAACAAGTTTCATGGATATAGCTATACTTAAGCGCCAATTGATTTCAGGGCCAATCTGTCCGTTTGACTGATTTCATTTGATCCGAACCAGTTCGTTCCGCATTTGTCCTTCCTACGCCCATGAAGTCTGGATGAAGGGAATCCTTTTTCTTTTTCAACGATACATCTGCTCGACTTGCAGTTTCCATTTCTTCTTCTCACGCGTTCTGTGCGTTCTGTGTTTCATCTCGTGGCTAGTGTACGTATTCCTGTCACAATCAAACTCGTGTCCGGATCCATTTCTGAATCTCATCGCGGTGCAGACCTAGGGGTCCCCGGAGACATCGCCGAACTGTTCTTGGTCTGCGAACTTTCTAAGGTTGTGCCAACGTTTACCTTTTTCAACTACCGTTCACCCACCCTCTTCAACCCTGTCGCTTCCTTCTCAGGGATAAACAACTAGAATAATCCTCTCTCCCTTCTATAATACTTCTACACGCATGATCCTCGTCGTCAGGCTTGGTTCATGCATTGATAGCGATCGACGTCGACAATTTGTCCATTTGTCAGTTCGAAACACGTTACTGTATGATCCTTGATGCTAATCAGACCAGCACCGAGGAAATATTCCAGCAGTTGAACTTTGCTCATAGCCGATATATGCAGCTCCTACGGTGGACGGATCTCTCTATCGGAGACCAATCCTGAATCATTACCGCGTACATAACGCATGGGAGAACATCAGCGACACAGCCTAAACAAATCTAGGCACGAGCTCATGATACGCTTACAGCATGGCTTCCGTCAAACAAATCTGATTTACTTTATATGCGGAATAGGGACAGTGGCGCTCTCTCACTCTCTCCCCACATTCGAGTCTAACATGTTTTGCGACTTGGTAGTGTTTCTATCTGTTCTCGCGTTGCAGAACTTGAGGGGGGCAAGGGCGCAGAGTGACGCGACCTGTACTGACTCCGCATACTCATGGGTAAGTGGATCGTTATCCTGAATGGTTCCACGGGGAACGACGCCTGATCTTTGATGTAGTCGTTCAATTCCCTAGATCAATCTCCTTGCGACATAGGAAAAGCATTGGGAGGTGTATGTACCACTGGTTCGTTCTGTTCTTCACATCGTCGAGAATCAAAAATCCATTTCTTGACAGACTTCACGATCCAGGCGCTTCCATCGGGGTACCACTATTCGGGTATAAGCGCCGGCTATGCGACTGACTGTGTATGCAATACCGTATACTATTCCCTTCTGAACGTGTGCGCTGCTTGTCAGGGTGGTTCCGTCTCAGTGTGAGTTCTCTTCGCGCCTCCTTGAAGGTCAAGATTTCACCATGCCGTATTTAGCTGGGATGAATGGGACACTAATTGCACAACAACATACCAAACGTGCGTTTGCCTATTTTCGATTTAATCTGAGAGCATAGAGTGACCTCTTCGTTCTTCTCAGGTACCCAGAAAATATACCTGCGGGCACTGCAGTACCGCACTACGCCTACCTCTCCCTGCTATCAAATGGCACGTTCGATTTTTCTAGCGCTATGACCGATAACGGAGCCGAGGCGACCCACGTCGCGTCCTTGAGCTCCTCGGCAACTGGAAGTTCTTCGGCATCTGCCTCTAGCAGCTCTGCCCCTGCAACGAGCCAGGGATCAAGCGGTGGTGGTTCGAGCAGTAATACTGGTGCTATTGTTGGAGGGGTTGTTGGGGGTGTTGTGGGCCTTGCGATACTCGTTGGCCTTACCTTCTTCTTTGTGCGCCGTCATCAGCGGTCTGCTGCCGCCGCGACTACTCGTCCAACTGGGGGTGATATCCCCCCTCCCGCGTCTGCTTTCGTGGATCAGAACCTTACGGGGACGACATATGCGCCTGCAACGTATAATAAAGTTTATGTGAGTCAAACGTTATTGAAGTTTTACTATCGAGCTGAAACTGTATAGGATCCCAATGACCCATCCACTTTTCCTACTGCCCAAAACGGCATATCGTATCAGCAGCTGGTCCTGGAAGGATACCCTCAATCCTATGTCCCACATCCGTCATCGTCTCCAGATTCGACTATGATCCCTAATAGGTTCCCAGTACAGCCTAATACCAGTCCACCACCGGCGTCTGCGTATCGCGGTGCACCAGAGGTCTAATTTATGTTGAGGTGTTTGGTGGCGATTTTGATGAACTAACTGTCGTACTTATATATTTCTTTATTTTTCACAAGTTGTGCCGAATTTGGCTTTCGAGTTTCATGGGTCCTGATGAGAGGTAACCCGCTAGGCGTGTAGTGTCTTTCGGTGAACCTATCGAAACACGCAGCTGCTGAACCGTTTTTCTGGTCTTTTACATACTGAGAAGACACGAAAATATCAGGAAGACATCTTGAAGCACGTGCACACCGTGATGATAATCGCGGGCGCGATGTTGACGCTCTTTTCATTACAACCATGGCACTTAGACTTTTTTAAATTTTAACTGGGATAAATCCACGGCCTTTCAGACATCAGCATTCTACATGTGATGTTAGGAATTAGGCGCTTCATTGACACTCAGAGATGGTAGGCGTAGTCTTCAAATTCGTGGGAATCCTAGCCACGCCGCTTTCTTTCGAGTCTTTGAGGGAAGAATATCATTTGAGGGGTAGGTCAGAGTTTTTTTGTTTCGTGTTACAGCTGAATTTTCTCTGCAGCCTGAATCAGCAAACAACAGAATGCGAATCTGTGATACTACAGGTTCACGTTCATGCAAACTTCGGTAGCTATCTAATCGGTCTGAAGCCTCTCCTTTAGGATCTGGACTTCAACGAGAAGCTGGACTACTTCGCCTCATGGGTCGAGCATAATTACGACTAGCATTTAAGCGGTGATTTGACCCTTACACTCACTCTTCGGAATGTGATCGCGTAGCATGCGTGCGATTTGATTGGCCGGTGAGTGTTCCCTATGTTTGCAATAGCTATCGCAACGCCTGCATACCAAACAAAGGCTCATGGTGCGACAGATTCGTTATGGAAAGTAAATGCTGCTTGGGTATATGTTTTTGTGCGGTAAACAACATCAATCGAATCCCGCGGCTCTCAGAAATAGGTTGACCCATCTTAAGTTAAGTGCAGCTTCCGCGTTGATAACGGCAACGTTCGGATGGCTCAACTGAATGGATTGCGTAAGAATGGCCGTCTTTCTGAAGTGGACTATGCCGCGCTTACGTTCTTTGAGTACGGAATTCACCTAAACTCCGATAGCTATGTATAAAGAGAGGGCACGGGGCCTTGTATCGATAACCAGCCCGCAATCAGGGATGGATACGAAGTCGAATATCCAGGTCTCTAATTCCTCACCCACTGATGTCACCAACGTTGCCCTGGATGACATTATGAGAACGAGATCGTGGATGCCGTGTACCAGGCAAAGTCCCGTGTGCTGAACAAGACGATTCAAGAGATTGGTTGGTCGTTTTGTTATAACACCTTTATTTTACAATCTAAAATCGCCGTAGGTATGGGTATGTACCATAAACAACTCTTTGTCTGCGCAGGTTTCGGTTGGTTTGCGTTCGTCGCTAGAGCGTGATGAGCTGCAGATCCTGACCACCTAACCCGAACGTTCAGCGGTAATGTCTAGCCGGTCCGCTGCAGCAGTAGTTCAGGCATTCTAGAACTAACTGACGAAGAATTACAGCTTGCCACTGCTCTCATTCTGACACAGACTATCGCAGAGTTCAACTTTAACGGCCCTTACCTTATTTTGGCTGCCAACGTTGGATTCCTAGTGGGTCCTGCCATATGGAGTGTGGGATGTGATACATGGGGAAGAAAGTATGGTGTTCGAATGTGTCATATTCGTCGTCATACTGACATGGAGCAATGGATGGTCATTCAATCTCACTCTTCTCATCGCCGGGGTATTCGGAATCGCGGCTGGTGGTTCGCCTAATTTTTTTACTCTTGCATGGGCGTCGGCGGTAAGCGCTAGATTTCATGTTGAGGGGTGAGCTCATGGACAAAATCCACAGGCAATCTTCCCGTAGACTCGGCAGTACTCCTAGGTATGAATATACGTCTCCTTGTCCTCCTTCATATTTCAGCGATGATTGACAGATCTCATTCCCGATACTCATCAATATCTTCTTACCCTCTTGAATGTCTGGTGGTCTGTAGGTTCTTTGCTTGGCAGTTTTGTGAGTTATGCATCTTTATCCGTCAGTATCAGCAACTTCTCACATTTTCAGTTTGCATGGCCTCTCATAGCCAACTATTCCTGTCCCGAGAATGCTTCAGTTTGTGAACGTGCGGATAATATGGGGTGGCGCTACCTTTTATTCACGTTGCTGTTTTGGTTTCTCCGTCTTTTCTACTTCGATCTTTTCGAAAGTCCCCGTTTTCTTATAAGCATCGGAAAAGATGCTGAAGCGGTTTCCATCATTCACAAGATTGCTAAATACAACGGAACGACGACCAATCTGAGCGTCGAGCAGCTCACTGAAGCTGCAGAAAAGGTTGCGAATTTAGCCGTCCTCGTAGTCCCCCGGTATGGATTGCAGCATGTAAAAGGTCTCTTCAGCACAACAAAAATGGCTATTTCTACGACGCTTTTAGTTGCGCTCTGGGGTACGTGACCCTTTGTACTCAGGAACGAAAACTCACCGTTTATAGCAATCATCGGACTCGCGTATTTCCTCTATAACAGCTTCTTGCCAAATCTGTATGATTCGCTCCAAGTTCTTTACATATTCCTTTATCTAACTGTATAAGGTTGACAACCCGCGGAGCCGACTTCGGAGATGGGTCGCTTTATATCACGTATAGAAATGTGAATCTTTTTTTCACCACACATCTTTCCCCAACACTGACGCTGGTCATGTTCCAAGCAATTTATCCTTAGTCTTGTTGGCATTGGTGGAGCCCTTGTGGCAGAATGGACTGTCGAGGTATCCCGTATCGGTCGTAAAGGCTCTTTTGCAATTTCGATGGGCGAGTAAACATCTTTTTGATACTTGTTTCTGTTTACTTATTCACCCGCCATGCAAAATAGGGCTCACTGGTATCTTTTTATTGGAAAGTACCACTTCGCGCAGTTCTAATGCATTACTAGGATAGAATTGCGGATATAATTTTAGTCTAAATGTGAGGTTCTTTGGCCCTTGTATGAGTATTAGTCGCTGATGACCTGCTCAGATGATGTGGGGAGTTATATACGCCATTTCGGCGGAGATATTCCCTGCTCAACCGTGGCACTGGCAATGGCTTGGTCAATGTGGCTACTGCTATTTTTGGTGTTCTTGTATGGTGTTCCTATCCTTGAGTTCTCTTCGAGCTGTTCTGAATTTTAATGTAGGCACCCGTCATTGCTCTATACACGAACCTCTCTATATCTGTCCTCGCTGTGTACATATCAGGCACGCTCTTCATTTTCTCGGGATTTTTGGCTTTATTTCTTCCCTACGAGCCTAAGGGTAGACCATCAATATAGAGGTCGGTCACGCTAGAAAAATATACTACTTACGCGTACATGCCACCTTTCTGTCGCAGTACATTGAAGGCAAATAAGTACAATATATTCTTTTCCTTAGATGAATCCTAACCCAGATACCTGTCTACTTCTAACCGCATGACTCGGATGATAGATGGTTGTGTGCATTCTCCTTGTTCTCCGATATCTGGGATGCTGTGAGAGACATAATAAATTTACGCGTCGTTACCTGGTCACCGGTAACTAAAGTTATCGGCATGTCGGCAAGGACGCACCAGCTCCACCGGCAGGCAAATATCCTCCTTGCATTTTCACCACGACGTCCATTCAATCGCTGGATATTGTACGTATCGGTGTATCTGACTATAAGTTGTCGTAACTCTAATTTCTAGATTCAAATGGTCTATCCATGTAAGAAAGGAATTGAGCTTCATTTCTGTATCTAACCTCTAGATACAGCCCGTAAACATGTCCTGAAGACTTTCGAACATCTCATCAAGGTGTTACCAGCCAACGAGCAAGCAAAGGTAGGACAAACTTATCCAGACCTTGTCAGATAAACGATGTGACAGCAAGAATACAGCCACAAATATTACTGCTGGCTGGAGAAGTTACACCCTATCGCAATGACACAGATCGCGAAATAGTCTTTCGTCAGGTAAAGTCTTATTGATCATATAATACAATCCTTACCATTTTTCAGGAATCTAATTTCTTCTATCTTTCTGGCTGCACAATACCGTCGTCGTACCTCCTCGTATCATACCAAGCCGGGACATCTTTGGCGCAGACTCCCTCCATAGATTTGTTCATCCCCAAGATAGAGCTCGCCGACCTTATGTGGTCCGTCCCTCCACCGACTCTGGATGTTGCAAAAGAGACGCATGAAGTCACCAAAGTGGACCATCCAGACACTCTACCAGCCGCCATCAAAACATTGACGAAAGCATTCCCGGACGCCCTCTTCCATACCCTTCCTCGGTCCCCCTTGTTCCCATCCATTCCCGATCAATATACTCAAATTGTTCTGGCTACTGAAGGCGGAGCCGTGACGGATGCATTCCTGCTATCTGCCCTTCACCGAACAAGATTGATCAAAGACGAGGACGAAATTGCCATGATTCGTCACGCGAACCATATAAGTTCAAGGGCGCATGAGACCGTCATGCGGGTTCTTGGCTCTGCCGTGAAAGGAGGTATCCAGCGCGGAGCTGGGGCTGGCATCGATAGGCCGCTTCTCCCGGGGGAATGGTTAATTGAGAAGGAAGCCGAAGCCGAAGCGATATTTGTGGCGTCCTGCAGAAGGGAAGGGTAAGTGCAAGACAAACTTGACAATGTCATTTGCGTTGAATTGAGCATCGTGCGTAGGGCCGTTCATCAAGCATATCTCCCTATCGTAGCTGCGGCGACGCGTGCATCTACACTTCACTACTGCTGCAATGACCGTGAATTCGCTTGGGGCCCAGTTCGGCCGCATGATCATCATAACCATTCCGAGTTCGCACATACTGGCGGTAAAGAATTCGTCCCTCAGGTCCTGCTTATTGACGCCGGGTGTGAATGGAGCTGCTACGCTTCGGACATCACACGGACAATGCCTGTGGGAAACGGCGGAAAGTTTAGCCCTGAGGCGCGAGATATTTATGAACTTGTCCTCGAGATGCAAAAGGTAGATGCTATGGGTTCATCTTGAAAAGAAGCTCATATAATATACAGTCGGCCATGGATATTATAAAGCCTGGTGTGCATTGGGATGCGGTTCAGCTCCTTTGTCACCGTGTCCTCGTCAAGGGTTTCCAAAAACTTGGGATTTTCAAGAGTCCTAATTCTCCCGCATCTGGTTCTTGGAACGCAGAGGAGGCCATATTAGCTTCGGGTGTGAGTAGCGCATTCTTCCCTCACGGCCTTGGCCATAGCTTGGGAATGGAGTACGTATATATATCGTCATCGTCTATTTTTTCCAGGCTCTTACCATATTACAGCGTACATGATGTTCCCAGTGCCAGCAAGCCTGCTGTCAATGACACTATCGGCAAGAAGATTGAATTAGGACACTCGAGTTTCTACGACTACTTGAGGTTGCGCTTGCCACTGGAAGCTGGGATGGTCGTGGTAAGTTTTCATGCACGATTCAGTAGTATTCCACATAACAAATGCACCTCATACAGACTGTGGAGCCCGGCTGCTACTTCTCTCCGCATCTTCTCGCTCCCGTCCGAGAATCGAAGCACATCAATCCTGATGTCCTTAAGAGGTACGAGCCTGTAGGAGGAGTACGAATCGAGGATGTAGTTTTGATTACCGAGGGTGGGTTTGAGAATCTCACCACTGTTAAAAGTGATACAAAGTGGGTAGAAGCGGTCTGTTCAGGTGAGATTTGATGGTTTGAGGTGAACACTGGAAAGACAAGGAACGCAATTTGTACCCTGTACTCTGTACCATAGAACTTTTCGCACTTTCAGCATACATTAAGGGCAGAACATTGTCCCTAGTCTTATTGAGGCTAGGCCTGTGGCGGTAAACGATTTCACACACCCATCCGAGTTAGGCACTGACCAACGTGATACTTCGCTTCTTGGGCCCCACGAAGCAGTTCGTTCTCGGATGCAATATCTACCTACCAATCTTCATATGTTTCTAAGGATCATAAATTGGTGTGCTTCCATCCCTTCTACCGTCACCGTAACGCGTGGGACCCTGTCGACCAGGCAAATTTAATATTGCTCGTGCTCATCCAGCGTGCTGACCACACCCCCAGCAAGCGCAGAAAAACGTGTATTTCATGTGATACCCTTTTGCTACTGTAAATCGATATCCATCTGTGCGCCATCATGACCGTCGCTCACCGCGAATCCACTGGCAATGCCGTCCGCGCGTCAGTATACGATACTATCCTTCAGCTCGGACTCCTCGAGAAGAATAGCATGATGTCGGACTGGATGTTTGAAGGTACCGCTGGTCCATCCACCCAGAATCCCGAGCCGAAGGAGGAAGAGCTGTCGACGGATACAGAGTCGGTATATTCGAGCCCCAGTATGAGAGAGGGTGTTACTACCAGTGCCAGTGAGCCCGTATCTCCTTCCGAATCCCCGTCTCCGAAGAAGTTCTTCAAAGCGATGAGGTTGAAATTTTCGTCCAACAAGAAAGCACCGTCTTCGCAAGACTCCGTGCGGTACGGCAGCCATGCATCCATACACTCCACGATACCATCGTTCAGACGTCGACCGAAACTCGATACCCTTTCTTTGCAGCAGCTATCCGGCTCGCATGATAAGGGTATACACCATGGTGCAGATACTTCGAGGCATGAGGCATCCGGCTGGAGTCCCATGCAAGGGAAGCCAGTTATACGACTCCACGGGAATGATGGGCTAGACAAAGATGGAGATGGACGTTCGTCGTCAACGGAGGATTTGGGTTTGGGATGGGAGTTGGTTCCAGAGACGGCGAAAGCGGCGGCAACGGAGTTGAGTCCAAAAGGCGATGTATCTTCATCAGCTACACATGGCCTACATCATATGGAGCATCATGATAAGCCTGTGGAGCTGGAAGCGAAATCGATCAATGAAAGCGGCGGCGGGAAGAGATTTTACCGTTCATTTTCATTTGTTGGTCCTCGTCGAAGTGCCAGCAGTCCCAAGAAACCCAAACCGTTGCGTAGACCAAAATCGCTACGTCCCGATCCCAGCTCGTCGCAGTCGAGTCCATTTAGACCTCCTCGGTTCTCTCCCACCATCGAGGTTCCTGATGGTGATAATAGTGACAGTGACACGTATAACCTTCCGTTATCCGCATCGAGCGCTGAGGACCCTCCCACACCGGATGCACTGCTTCGTGAATACGCAGCAGGAAGACGTCCGTTGTCATTTTCCTCCCAAATCCAAACAGGAAGGCATCATTCAGATGAAGATCCTTTTTCAGCCGCCCCCTCTGCCTCATCAACGGTGCCAGTAACGCGGCCCCTTTCTTTTAATGGTTCATACTTAGCAGTGCCCGGGGTGACCGCCACCGTGCAGAGATCAGCTTCGGCTATCCACCAGAGAGGCCGCCAGGTTCCTTTCCCAACAAATCCAATCTTCCCTGTCCCGCTCTCTGTTGCTGGTTCGAGTGGTGACCAGAAACTCGGGAGGTCGAGAGATCTCTATAGGCAGGATTTCGATGTTGCAACGGGCGAGAGCATCATTTTAGGCGACGCGAACATAGGTCGTCGTAGATACAGGATACGCCAGCAGGACACGGGATGTTAGACACGTAGTTTGATGAATTGGCTTGCGACTTCTATACATGCGGATTCTATATCATGTTGAGATGGTACTAAAATGAAAAGGGAACGTCCACTCACATATCATAATGTAGCCATTAATGGTGTTTACTCGCACCGCAATAATTACCGATGACACTAGTCACAGACATCAAGGTGTCGCACCGATAAGTTGTTGTAAGTTCCTGTACTTTTGACAGCGCTGCATCAACTACACAACAGAGCTGACGTGGAAAGATTCAGAGTGATGTTGTCAGGGGAACTATGTTCGCACAACAAAATATAAGACCAATACCTGTAATACCATATATTTTGGAGAATTTGATCATCGCCCATTACGCGGTTGTTAAATGGCAAGGCCGACATCCTCGTCGACCGCAACCTCGAGAGCAATTACGAGATCAAATACCAACCACCCCATGCTGGAGCTAAAGGGATATGACGAGTGGGATTTCATCGATAGATATGCTCGAGGTTCCGAGGTACGCCCAGGATCATTTCAGGGAACGGGACTTGTTGATAGTGTCGTCTAGGGTTTGGAAAGCGGGTCGTCAGAATGGACTTTGACACAAGCGACTGATCAAGCCCAATATCCATTCTCAGTGTCATCGAGTACCAACTCAGTCGATAACCGACTTGACGATTCTGAGGTGAAAGTCAATCACCGATGTTCGGATAGAGTCACCCAGTGCGTCAATGCCGAGACAGAGGCACCTAACTCTCCACCGACACTCTTGCTGAAGCTAAGGCGAAAAAGGGCCCTGAAGGAAAGATCCATGAGTCTTTCAGGAGGGGAACAGTACGAGGAGCAGGGGCAAAAGAATAGTCGCCGTTGGTCAAAAATCTGGCTGCGGCTCTCTCGACAGCCTACAGAACGTAACAAGCAATCAAAGAAGTCAGGAGAAGATGTGGCGGAGGGCACTTCAATGGGAGAGCAGGTATCAACAGCAGGGTTCAATCAAAGCCGGTGGAAATCGATACTGCGGACCAGGCATAGACCCAGCACCAGCCTCCCAGAGTTTCGGTCGTTGTACGAGATTAAACCTTTCTCGACGCAGAGTATGAATCATACTAGGTCCAATTCAGAACGACCACCCATTCCCAAACGGCCAGCAGAAGAAAAGTCTTGGGATTTCCTAGACACGATGCCACCATCACCATTATTCCATCGACGGCCAATATACAGCGTCCCCAGACTATCATCCGTCCCAAGTCTACCGTTGTCAACATCTATGTCCTCCTATCCAGGTTCGTCAGTGTCGCATCCGAGTCTACCCCTTCCATCACAACCTAGAGAATCGCCACAACCATCACATAGACGGCAAACGAGCGAGCGAGACCGCGAGAGATATCAAGATGTGACGACGAAGGTCCTAAGCAAGGAATCATCTGCGCATTATCTGCCACAAGAACGCGCATTGAGCCTTCGGAGTCGCAGTCGGGGACCCGCCCGCTCACCTGGCTCAGTGCGACCGACTACTTCCATTCAGAGGGGTCGAGATGTTCCATTTCCTCTATCTCGCGCTGCTTCGTTGGGAAGAAAATCGGAAGTGGGCTCATATTTTTGACGAGGCAGGATTACGAAGGATTTGACATAATGGACATTTGGAGGAAAGCGCCCCCACGTGACCGTCTATTTTGGACGCGTATAAAATTTCAGTCTCCGGAAGATATAAAATTACAACTTTATGTAGTATTAATACCTCTCACAGCCAGTGCATCCCACAAAGCTCACTTGGATCTTGGCCGACGACGAATCTATGACCCGTTCGCGCCTTCGCTCATCGCTCCCTTCTTTCTGTGTGGTTCAGCCAATATTACAGTCTTACCAAGCACGCGGGACGACAAACGTAGAAGCGAAAGATTTTCGGAACAGAAACAGAATGGCTCAGGAAACGGCGCGTTTCCAAGGGCGAAAGGCTATACAAAACTCCCTCGAAGAGCTAGAAAAAAAGGCTTTCAGGGTATGTCTCTTTCTCGCCGGAAATTGAGTTCGAGGATCTGGATGACCATAAGTTAAAAATACTTCCGTCTCAAGTATCGTCAGGCAGGAGATCATTTGCATCTACTTGGAAGATATCTGAAACGAAGACAGTGGTTTTTTGAATTGTAGATACAAGCTAACACGTTTCAGTGCGAAGTTGTTGCCTTCGACAGATTCCTTTCATTATCCCATCAACATCCTCCATCAAGGACAGATTTGTTCATTGCTTTGCTACAGACACATATACCTATGTGCAGATAATAATAATATATAACATGAGTGGAAATCCAAGGGAGATCACTAGGCAGAATAATAGATAGACTGTAATAAATATCCCGAAGCAAAAATAAGCAATACACAAGCAGAGATAAGGCACGTAGGTATTACGATGATATAAGGATATAAACGTCTCATTAGTAGATCTAGGGTAGTATTAAAGAAAATCATAATTCCCAGTCGCGATGTCGAGCTACCTGAAGGTGAAACATCAGCCATCTCAACGACAGAAAAAGTTAAAAAGAACTCACTGCTCTACATCGTACTCACATGTTGCGGATGCGCATACTGATATCCCTCCTGCGTCGTGTACTGCTGTTGCTGGTCCACCATAAACATCCCATGCTTGTCAAATGGCGCCGGAACTGTCGCCGCATGTGTAGGCTGGTACGTCGTTTGCGGTAAGTCTGTCACATATGCAGCAGGACTATCGGTTATGCCCCCGCCAAACTGCGCTGGCGACTCTGTCCGATATATGTCGGCCCCATACGCGGACCCGTGATGCAGAGACAACGATGAGCCAGGCCGTGATGAAGACCCCGTCGAATCCGAACGCATCATCTGCCGCATCTGCTCTTCAACACCGTAGCCTGACGAAGCCCGACTGGAACTGCGTCGCGTCAACCCGCTGCTGCCCGGTAAGCCGACAGGATACACAGAAGGGCTGGACTGTGCTGAAGAGTACCCTGTGTGCGCGTATGGATGATATCCTCGAGGAGCAGGAGACTCGCCGGAAGCCGTTCCAGGGCGTCGAACAGGCCCCGTGCTATCGCCACTCCCATTCCTCATTATCGAGGGTGTCATACTTCTGTGTCGCCGTACGGCACCTGTGCTGCTATCCATAACACCTGGAGGGTATAATGCCGACTGGTCGAAGGCTTGCTTGTGCGACGGTGCACTCATGCTGACATACGGTCCGTCGTCCCCATAAACACTTCCGCTTCCAGATGACGAAATCGATGGTGGTCGGCCATAGACATCGATGGGTGCACTTGCAGGTGCCCAAGGTTCTCCCGTTGAAGGGCCGCCTGAACCTGATGACACATATCCAGATGCATAATACTCCCCAGCTGTTCCTGCTTGCGCCTGTTGCTGCGGGTACGGTCGACTGCCTTGATAGTCGTAAATGGTATCGGGTCCAACAACCAGTCCCTCTTCGTCCCCCTGAACTTCCCTCACGTCACCCGAAACCTCCATCTCGCACATTTCCACATTCAGCCCGTAGTTGGTCATATCGCCGCTTGGTGGGTTGCCAGCCGCTGCTGCCCAATCGCCGTCCGCCCCACTTGTGCCCATGCCCATACCCATGCCGAGAGGGCCGTACATCCCCAAGCCAACGCCAATTCCTCCCTGGCGCGAGCCGAACTCCTCCTCCGGCCCGCTTTCTTCCCCATCACTATGTATCCATTCAACCCATTCTCCGCCCTGATTCGACCAATCACCGCTACCACCCGATGGGCCGGAAGTAGAGACATTCCACTGCCCGTCGCCCTGGGATCCAGACCCGTCAGCACGACCGTGGACTCTTAGGTGTTGCCCGAGGTTATCGCTTCGACTAAACCTCTTCCCGCACTTGTCGCAAACAAACGGCCTCTCCATTGTATGCGTCCGCAAATGCCGCTTCAGATGTTCCATTCGCTTGAACATTCTTCCACAGCTCAATAGCGGACAGACGAACACCTTGGTCTTTGGGCCGGAGGTGGTTGCTGTGGAGTCGGTCATCTCGACGTTCGGAGAAGTTTGGAAGGTCCCAAAAGCATCGTAAGACGATGCCGGGTACGATGTAGACCCCGAACTGGTTGACATAGGCGGCGTGGTAATATTCATCCCGGCACCAACACCTCCTCCGCTGACTAACCGACCCTCGACGTAGACGCCAACATCCCGTATGTCGACTTTCGGCAATGAAGATACCGAAGGTGCTGCAGTCGTTCCTAGTTCCCCCCGAGCTTGCTTTATGAACATGTCGGCGGCGCTGACGGACTCGCGCTTGACGTGAACACCACCAGACATCGGATCATCATGGCCTAACTCGGTTGGATACCCAGTACGGCCTCTCTCTGTTTCCAGCCCCAGTGCAGAGGGACCATGGTTACCCTTCTTCCGCCGTTGTTTGTAAGTGGGACTGCCCTCGAATAGAGAGAACATCGAGAAGAACGGTGATTGCGAGGCGCGACTAGACGATGAAGGTCCCTCCTCACCGTCGAAGTCGCTCTCTTCGGATCCACTGACGGCAGCTGCACCAGAACCAAGGACACCCTCTTCCTCCAGCCGTCTGACGTTCCATTCAAGCTCGCCTTCACCATCTCGCATCGATACACCTCCCATTCCTCGCGTTAGAGAGCCGCTTACACTTCGACTAGACCTACTGGTGGTAGAAGCATTCCGGCCGCCTGATCCTGCATTTTTGGAGCCAGTGAATTGCTCGTAAAGGCTGCGCTTCTTGTCATATACAAAGCTCATGGCAGGTTCCCCTGTTATAGTAGTGGTAGATTCCATGCCCATTTTTTCTCGTTTTAGGTCGCGCTCGAGGGCATCAAGGAATAACCGGTCATGCGGGACAGAGAACCTAAAGAATTAGTAAATAATAAGTTGAAGGTACTTGGCAAAAGTCAAACACACCAGTAGAAGACTTTTTGCTTCTTTTGCGTGCGAATGCATTGATACTTGAAGAGAAGATCAAGGAAGGGCGACTTAAGCACAGAATTTCATTAATCAAAGTAAAGAGTGAAATAAGGCGACGACACACCTTTGGTTCCTCCAGACAAGCGTCCACACCAGGCTTGAGATTCCGGAGATCACTGAAGACGCCCTCCTCAAATTTCTTCAAATTTCGTACTGGGCGACCAAAGGCCTCAAATCTAACAGATAGTCAGCCTAGTCCTATAATAGTGGCGGATGGTTACGGTACCTGAACACCAGTGCTCTGACGATGTCCGTGCCCGTTATGTGGTAAAGGCCATTCCACAGTACACAAGTCACGAATTCCTGACTCGGAAGAAGGAATCGGTTCAGTGCCGGGTTTGCTGGGTCGGGTAAGTATGATGATGCTGAAGATCCAGCTGCATTGCTGCTCTTCTCCCACCCGCTCGGGGCCGTCGCAAGAAAGAACTTGAGTCTGTCGAGATGAGCAAGGCGATCTTGCTCCTGCTGGTTGAGTGGCCTTGAGAGACCTCTGCTCAGCCCTGGCGTCGAAGTCGTGTAGTCGTTGGTGCTCGTTTGTTCGTTATCGTCGTTGCTCTCGGCGTGGTTGTCGAGCAACCACATCGCATGTCGCTGGGCGTTCCCTGGCCGTGCCGTATGTTCTGAAGGGTCATGTTCATGAGGGACAGTGGGCTGAAGGGATAGTTTGTAACCGCTGGTGTGGTTGGCGTCCATTAGGGGACGGAGAACGGGGAAGAGGAGAAATTAAAGTAACCCAAGCTACCGTGCGAAAGTAACGGATCAGCTTCCAGTTTCCGGTCCGGTTTGGTTCGTCTGTACCGCTTTCAGGTCGACTGTTTTCAAATTCATTCTTTGGCATTCCCCCAAATCACAGTAAATATTTCATTTCAACCATTCAATTGACGTATGTATTGTAGGCAGCATGAACGACCGTGCAATCCCTGCTTTCTGGCTGGAGACCCTTTCTATTATTGAATGTACACGATCGTGACGCATTTTTACCTTTCATTCATCTACTGAAAAGAAGCCTCGAGGATTGACTGAACGCGTCAAGTGGCGCATCATAATAAATAGGTTCTAATTTGCAAGATACACCGTTCGGCAAAAACAGGAAGGGGGCCTGCACAGGAACAGCTATCTCAATATATCCTGTCATGATAATTAATACTGAGCGAAAATCTTACACAGAGTTAGCTACCGTTGCTTTGCTCGTAGTCATTTCAAGGCGTTCAACGTGATAGGCATGATGTACGAACAGTCGGAATACATCGTGCATCTAAGCCAAAATATTAGAAAATCGATAGAAGAGGTCGAGAAGACGTACGCCACAAGAGATCCCGGGAATGATGTTTGTACCTCGTGCATGCAACCGGCTCCATTGCCGCGTACGGGACCGAATGTGGCATCTGGCTTTTCGCAAGCCTTCATGAAGGACGGTAATATTTACTACGCACGTCGGGATGCGAGTATCCACCCTTTGAATTCTACTTGATGAGTTAATGGACGCATACATCTGGTTTGGGAAGCACGCATTTGGTTCGCTCCCGGGTACCGCGTGTTCCGTCAAATCCCTGAGTAACGAGCAATCAAGTAAAGGAGTATAGATGACTGGGTCTTAAAGACTCCTGACCATTGTACTAGTCATTGTTGAGATACAGACCGATTCTACATTCGCCTCATCAGCTCCACAGTGCAAGAATGGAGCCAACGGCATCCCGGAGCAAAGCGATACCATACCCGTTGTGGTAAAGAGGCCATTCACGAAATATTCGAGGACCTCGGAATTAGGCGCTAAGCTCACATCAGTCGGACGACCTTCGCACGCTCTGGACGTTGCTAGTATTGTCCTCGACGAGAGGGCAAGCATGCCTTTCGGTAGCCGAAAACCTCGTGGCTGTGTGATCAATCAGGCCTTCAGGACCGACCAGCTCGATTCGCCTAGAGGTGGCGCCAACAGTACGGATCATAATTTTGTGCGTGGACCGGACCTCGTTGCATCACGCTTAACCTAGAGTGAAAAAGTTCCCCGCCATCAAGCCACAACTAAGGAGGAGTCGAGAAAAACGGAATGAAAAATGGCGTTCCGCCATGAACGGAGGAATATCTAATCCCCAGGTGGGACAAAGAATTAAGCAGCAACATTACTCTGTTCTCAGGGTCCGGACGCTGTGCGCGAATCCACGAGTCAAGAGGCGATGCTGCCAGGCTGGCAGCATCTCGTCAAATGGTGATGCGGTGCCGGATCAATGATGGGGTTTTCGATTGTGTTTGAGAGGGGATACACAAGCACCTCCCCTTCTGCCACGAGGAAAAAAGATGATTTAGTATGTCAACGACAACCTATGGAGAACTCCGACATCAACAACAGAAGATTTTAAAAGCATAATGTGCAGAAATGACCCGTCATTCAAGTCCAGGCTCAAGACTGAGCTGGGTCGCACCCACAAAGATAGACGCCCAGGTTGTCCGGGTAACATGAAAACCGTTGAATATTGATGATAGTCAATCTCTGTCCCGGATCCGCTTTCGTCGAAGAAGCATTGAAAGGCAGATCTTGTCGCAGGCAGTGCAAGGATCAGGTTGGCAGCAGAAGGAGGGACACACAACTTAGGCGCATCTCAATCCATTACTATTGAGAGTGTGGCGCTAGTACAGTGATGGGATGCTCTGTTCGTCTCTTTAGCGCCTTCGGAGTAGGGTAACAAGCACAGCACGCACCAAATACTAATCTCATCGCAATGTCCGCCAATGCGGATTGTACCAAGGGACTAGGGACAACGAATGAATGACCCGAACGGGACGCAAAGCCAGACGCAAGGAATACGTACATTTCAGTACACATCTATCATAACCTGTGCAGAGGGTCAATTTCAATTGCCACAATCATAGAAAGATGGACCAACCAAAATCGAGAAACATTCAGCCCGTCACCCTCCTTTCCTCTTCTTTGGCTTTTTCTTTTTCACCCCGCCTCCACTAGCTGATGGCGTTGGAATAGCACCCGATGGTGATATCGCAGGCGCCGCAGCAGTTTCAGCGTGCGAAACTTTTTCTCCGACGTACGATGACAATTGCGTAGGCGTCGATTCCACAACCGTTCGTCGGTTCTGCATCTTTTCCATCAACGACAGATTCAAAGTTTCGAATCTGTTGAGGAATATGGAGGAATACGTTTTGAATTTGATACACTGGTGGTAAACGTGGCACATCAGACAAGTGTTGATGGACTTGAAAAGTCGAACATGCGTACGCTCGTATTATCCGTTATTTTTAACACGAGTTTTCCTTCGGATGCCTTCCACTTGACGCAGTACCGCGTCTGAGAAAATGAGGTCATCAGTATAAGATCCGACGGAATAAGTACGACGCACATTCACAGGAGATTTTGCATACAGAGCTTCGGCTGCATCTTGATATTCCTGCCAGGACTGAATGTACACCATCGCACCATTCAGACTGCGTCACCGTGCTTGACGAGGAAGGCAGAAGTAGAACAGAAAACACGTCACGCGTAACGATGACAAAGGACTGTTTCTAAATTAGTTTGTCACGGTCACACCGGATATTGTCGATCCACGCGGTACGGTCCTCCGTCCTTACTTCTACTTTCTTTCTTCTTTCCTTGACAACGTTCAGGACCTGTTGTAGGCGCCCATATTTTACGGCTCGTTAATATGTTGACGGAGCAGAAGAAGAAGGGTGAACAATCATTCTTATTCTATGGGTAGACTGACTAACCATGCCGATAGCTCTACCTTTCGCAGCGAATTTCGCTGCGGGGGCTATCGCAGGTGTATCAGAGATCTTGACCTTCTATCCCCTCGGTATGATACCTGTCTTTAAGCTACCTTTTTATTCTAAGCTCATACAATCTATCTACAACTAGATGTCGTGAGTCATGACCCTATCTCTCCCCGTGTGGGGTAACTGCTTTCCTGATCGGCGGTGACAGGTTAAAACACGCATGCAGCTGGAAACTGGGAAGTCACAACATGGTTTGCTTGGAAGCTTCAAAAGCATTATTAAGGAGGAGGGGTGAGTCGTAGTGGTTGTTAGCACACGACTAACTAAACATTCGTTAGTTTCGGGAGGTTGTATAGAGGTCAATGCCCCTAACTTTATGCTCACCCTATGTGCCTAACGTTCCCCAAGGTTTGGTCCCACCTCTACTGCTTGAGGCTCCCAAGCGTGCAGTGAAATTGTGCGTTGCATTGCATGGGAAACTCTGGTTCTGTTGAAGCGTTCGCGGCTGACGCGTGTGAGAAACGGCCTGACGAGCTTAAAGCGTCCCTGAGCTTGTCTCGACAGCCATCCAGAGGCTTTCCGGTCTTTTCAACGCACTCTAACACCTTATTTACAGCGCAGCCAATGATTTCTGGGGCAAGACCTACCTAGGACTCACTGGGGAGACCAAAATGACACAACCTCTGTCGGTTTTAACCGGATGTAGCGCGGGTGCAACCGTATGTCTTTCCGACGCGTCATTTTGCACCATTAATCTCTCAGTCGATTGCCTATGCAGGAAAGTTTTGTCGTCGTACCTTTTGAGCTCGTCAAGATAAAGTACGAAGCGCGTTCAGGTGTTCCGATCAATGCTAAAATTGGAACAGGCTTCAGGATAAGACCAGCACATTCAAGGGTCCAATGGATGTCGTCTCCCAAATTATCAAGAAGGACGGTGTTTTAGGACTGTACGCTGGCATGGAGGCTACTTTCTGGAGGCAAGTTTCTCTCACGAAATCTGCCGGAGAACGTAGGAATGGAACGGAGTGCGGAATTTCATCCAAGGCGGTCCGATCTTGGACCGGACTGTTCTTTCCAAACTTCCGGGCTACCTAATCTCCTGCGGTCCGATACCGACTGACACGAGCACGCATTGATTTTCTAGACATCTTTATTGGAATGGTGGCTATTTCGGTTGTATCTTCCAGGTCCGGGCATTATTGCCCAAGGCCGAGGTTTGTCGTTTGTCTATGCCTTTCACTTGCGTTTGTTCAATGCCTTGCACAGAACCAACAATCTGAACTCATGAACAACTTCATCTCTGGTTCCATAGGAGGATTCGCTGGCACCGCATTAAACACCCCGTATGTTTTCCTTTTTCACCCGATACACCCACCCGCTCACCGTTCTTCCACCAGGTTCGACGTATAGCATCTTCAAATTGGCTTCGGCTTCGCCTCATTAATATTGTTTATTTCTAGGTTGTAAAATCCCGTATTCAAGGTTCTGCCAAGGTTCCTGGTGTAACCCCCAAGTACAATTGGACATACCCCGCCTTGGTCACCATCTTCAGGGAAGAAGGTCCAGCAGCTCTGTACAAGGGTTTCGTTCCCAAGGTGCTCCGTTTGGCTCCCGGAGGAGGAGTTCTGCTGCTCGTCGTGGAGTTCACCCTTGGCATATTCAGACAAGGTGATGTTTGCTTTGATCTGGAATTCCAGTCTTTGACGATTATCCCTTCCTAGCACTTGGGCCTCCATATATATAGTATTAGGTGCAGCAGAGTAGAATGAGAAGATGATATCCACATTCAAATTTATTTGATTCGTCGCAGTGAATAGATTGTTCTATGAATATCTACGGGTACTAATCACGGTAGTTTGGAGGTGGCTTGTGGACACACAATGATGTATGGGAAGACGACACAGCCCATGGAAGTTGACTCTGTGGTTTGTGCGGGGAGGGGTGTCGTTAGTCGTGCGTATCCCCCTTCCGTGTAACCCCCGGGATTGCATACCACATCAAAGCGCACTGCGTGTGATTGATCTGGGCCTTTTCCACAAGGAGTAGCAGTTAACATGAAACTTCGGGCTTCTCTGTGGATCTGGGTACAAATTATAGGTCCTACGGATCAACGACTACTGTAATGAAAGGCGATCCAACTTCTGCTTCTCCTACGCCGTGTTCCTAGTGACCCGCCGTCAAGGTGAAACAAACTCCAGTTAGATTGAGTTGCCACGAATATTAAAAGGCCGGCTCGGGTGGCGGTTTTTCATAAGGATCGGAGGATTTGTGAAGGTCGACGAAAGCTTCACAAATATCCCCTCGCTGTCGGAGTGTGTCTTTTTCCCAACGGCGCCTGTCAAGATTTCTAATTTGGGTGTACATAAAAAGACAACGCCGCCTTCATGACTGATGGCAGTTGACGCACCCCGCTCTTGCCATAACTGAAAACCCAGTGATATCACGATAAGAGTGTGGATGGTCATGGTTTGACTGATATGTAGACTATAACTCTCCTAACACATGAACATACACGCAAAGAACAAAAGAGTGCTGGTGGTATTGGTATACAATGACAGTTGAGATGTTACCTATCAAAAACGAGATGGATGCGCTGCGAAACGAATGTATGTGGGGGGGAACGGGCAAAGCAGGTACCAGCTTGTCTGCCATAAGATGCATGGATATCGATGTGATGAAGAGCAGAGGGGGGGGGGAACCTAAAATACATGTAAAGTATGACGAAACCTCAAAAAACCACAATATCCCTACAGAAAATTCTGTGTTTGTTCTAGTCAGTCCATACATACGTAGAAACTAATGAAAGGGACGTACGATGACAGTTCAAAACCGCAACGGCATGCGTCTACGCGACAGCCCTTCCGGCAGCCTCGGTACAGGGGGGATCTCAGACCCAGGTAGCTCCCTCCCATTCTGATCAAACATCGCCTCAATTCTCTTAACGAACCTCTGCCTTGCCACCTCACTTTTCTCGAGGTCCATAATACTGGCTCGGCTGTCTCCACTCCACGTACTCAATCTTCCCGTCGACACCGCTCCACGTTCTAATCGGTACATCGTTGAGCGTCCCACACTCTTGTTCTCCTCCGGATACCGCGAGTAGCCATCGGAATCATAGTCCTCTGTTTGATTATTCCTGTGCATGGCTTCCGGGGACTGGTTACGGTCGAGAGCGACGCGTATGTCTTCCCCAGAACTTGAATGGCCCGACGTCCGCTGAAAACGAGCAATTACATCACGCATCACTTCTGTATCATCACTGGAAGGCTGTTCCTCATCCCATCTATTAGGAAGCGCATACAGATCTCTGTACCGCTTGACCTTGACGCGTGCCTCAAGACCTGGTTGGCTGGCCAAGGTGTTGATCGGGCGTGCAGGAAACGGTGCCTCCTTACCTCTCTTCGGGACGGACGGAGGCGCAACGGCGAACTGTCCGTTCTGACGCTGCTGCGTGGCGAAGTAGCCCTGATCCTGGTCACTAGGGACTCTCGGTAAGGGAACTGTCGGAGGAGGACTGGGAGGAGGAAGTTCGTGATGAGATAGCAGGTGCGTCGGAGGGGGCTGCAATGGCAATGGTGATTGCGACCGAGGAGATGGAACGATGTAATCCATAGACGGTATGACCTCTCCGGAAGCCCCAGAGCGATTGCTTGGTGGCCTAGGCTCTTCGTTGACAGCCAGATGGCCTGAATCTGAAACTGAGTATTTGGGTGTGAGCGATGGGCCAGCACCTGGTGTAGGAGAATTTACGCGTCGTGACAGGAAATAGGGGCGAGGTTTGCTCGGGGAAGGTGCGTGTAAAGACTCGACGGAGGGGGCTATCGACGGGATGTTAACATATGGTGACCAGCCCCCCGCAGATACTGGAGAAGTATCCCACGTCTTGGATGGGCCTCGGCCAACATTGTCAAGATAAAGAGGCTCAGGAATACGCTTGTTACCAGACTGATGTCTTTGAATGAGAGTAGGTGAGGGCGGGGATGGAGAACGGGTAAGAGGGTATGAAATCGGTGGATATTTATTCTGAGATGTAGAAGATGCAAAGGAGGATGCGGTGAGCTTGGAAAAAAAGGAATGATTGGTGCTTGAACTTCCGTGGTGATCACTGCTATCGCTGCTCGCGAAATTGACGCCGACCCGTCTGGTAGACTTGTGAGAAGTTGTGCTATGCGACACGCTCTGAGCTACCCCATGGTCAACAGTAGACTCTGGATTATCAATAGAATCCCTGTCGAACTCTCTGAATCCGTTGAATGTGGCGATGGAAGGTGATGGCGTCGACGAAATTGTAGAGGTGTCGGTGGAGACAAATGGTCGTACGGGTGGTGGTAATGGTGGATCTGTATTTGCACCAGCATTAAGATCCCCCAACGTCGTGGCAAAGCGAGCGGCAATAGGCAGACGGAAAACAGGTAGCGGCTCAGGAAGAGGTGGTGGAGATGGCTCGTGGAGGTTTGTCTTAGACCTCGTCCCCAATCGAAAAATCCTAGACTTGGATTTTTTGGGGGTCGTTGGTGCAGCAGACGCATAGCCATCATCTGTTTCGTACCCCGCGCTAAATGATTTCTTCTTCTTCAGTAACTTTGTGCGAGACCGTCGCCCATTGGAAGGAGGAATGGAGTCGGTCTCATAATAACTGGCGTAGCCTTGGTCGACATTGTCGACGGCTGCCTTGTTTTGTCTTCGTTCATCGCCCCTCGACATGGAAAAGAATGAGTGGAAAAGAGTGTAGCAGTAACGATGGAAAATGCCAAAGCCAGCCTGGGCAATGAAGAAACGAAATTTAACCTTGTTAGTTAGATACCTTCCAAACTGACCAAACTGACGTCACAATGTGACACATCCCAAATCGGGAAGTCGAAAAAGGGTTGGAGCGCCATGACAACGTACAACATCTGTCTCCGTCTGTTCCTTGCCGTTGAATAATATGTAAAGGCGTAAACTCCTCTCTCTTATGTCCTCACCTACTCCCTGAGAAAAACCCTCTGCGTAGGGTAGACTCGAAGGTAACAATGTCGGATGTTCCAATGGAAGAATGCATGCTGCCAATTGACCTCTTCTTTCTCTTATCTTCTCGTAAATTTCAGATGAATTCAAGCTTCTTTATGCCGTTTCGCTAGAATTCGCTTTGTTTCGTTGCTTTCTTAGACGTCCCTTCTCAATGTGAGTACTCGTCTTCGGTCCTTACCTTCGGATATGGCTGACGCCTGTGCCTGGATTACGGCAGAACCATGGAAGAAAGCCACTTTTCACTATTGATATCTCTCATAACAAACCCTTCGTGTGGTAAGATTTCCCAGGATTTCCCCTGTCTTGCGCAGTTCCAGGGCTCCAATTTAATGCACATGGAATATCTAGTTCTTTGTTGGGGATCTCACGTCGGTCCCGACGAACCCAACAGACATTGAAATGCGGTCGGGCGATTCGCCACTTTATCTGCTCCAGTTCCAAGTTCGAACGCATAGTCAATTTCAAGCCGGGCCAGACTCGGCCTGTCCCGCCAAAGAAGCATTCGCTACGCAAAATTTGTAAATGTTCGGTTGTGCAATTATCGCAGATTCATGGTCACTAATATTTCAGTTTCGAGGGGGGATTTGCCACTGTGACAAGTACACAGACTGATTCACACGCCAATTCTTACATTCCCTTTCCTCGTTAGCGTTCCTGCCGTCACTAAAGTAAACGGACACTGATGAGAAGCGTAATCCCTGTGCCTAGGCGCCCTCCAGTGCCTCTGTTGAAGTCATACATGCATCATCGATATCGTTACAGGGCCTATTGATACCGCCACTGCGGTTCTACATTTATATAGCTTAACGCCAAATCCTCGTGGCTACGAACAGCTCCCCTGGATGTACTCCTCATGATCAAACGCCCCCCCGAACTAGGCGGGTCTGTCCTTAAACAATAACTATACAGTCCTCCGAGTTTGAGCAGAAGGAGGGACTTATAGCTGATTCGATAATCTGCTCTATGAATGCTATTCACTCAGTCAACATCCGTGGTAACAGTCTATTCATCAGATTTGTGCATCAACTGCTAATTCTATGCATTACAGCATTCATAGATTGTGGCATAGATTGGTAGTTGGCGAGAAATTCAATGTGAAATTACATTCTTCCCAAAAAAACGTCGTTCCCACCTGCGTCCTTTCAGATACATTTGCCTCTGGGACAACCACCCTCCCTTCCCTGCCATGCTATTTGGACCACCGCAACGCTCTTTCTTTTTCCCAATCCAAAGCTCATCATTCCTCCTTAGGCATGATGTTTGTATTAGTGTTGCATGAATCTATTGCTACATCTGGCCGGGAAAAACAGTGATGGCCTCTTTACGCTGATTTATCCACGCAACCATCGGTTAGCCAGCCGTGCAATTCTAAAAGCTCCATGAAACTTTGTTACTGTCTCAACAGCCTATCTGATCCATCTCGTCGTTGGGAAGGTCTACTCCAGATGCCCTGACTTCAAGTTGACATGACTCGAATTTGAACTCGACTATATGGGATTTCTTTTGTCTCCATCATGTAGGAAATTTTTCAGCAGCACAGTTGAATTCTCACACTTCAGGTCGAAGGCCGCCGTGGTTCTTGTAATACTCGGATATCTCCTAGAAGTAAGTACGCTAAAAACTCGAATAGGCTCATGTTGTACTTATTTTAAAAAGTTTACTTCAAAATGGAGTAGCGCCAGCCTGATTTGAGCCGACTGCTCTTTGCACCCACGGCCGGAAGCTTCGGACTTACGAACCTTACAATACCATATCTGAATCAGATTTCCTTACGCTCGCGGCTCCTTGCCTTTTCGATTGTTAACCTCAGGGAACAGCCCAGCGTTACAAAAGGCTAGCATCATATGCTTTATGTTTCTCTTATGGCGCAAGATGAAGATCGTTGAACGCTGTGTTCTAAGCTCAAACCTCTAAAGTGCAAAAATACAATCCGCACGATGTGTGCGGATGTTACATTGGTCTATTTTAGTCGATAATGTATAGCGGCTTACTGTTATAACACCGCGACAGACAGACAGTCCTAGTTCCTGCCCGCGTTGTTCCAGGCAATTTTCCATGGATCCGGGCTTTGCGGCACGAGTTATCCTCGCCTTTCATTGAGCCCATGGAATTTCTGACATTTCTATACAGCGGAAAATCATCCCGATGGCGGCCCTCGGTGCTTACAAACACCAACGACCTTTCCTCCGATTCCCAACCTGCCTATGCCAAAAGCTTTTTGGACCAGATACGCGACCCATTGAAAGATCCGCCTGGTTTGGTTTTTTCAGACAAGCTTGAGCTCCCACAAGGCTATTCTTTCCCCTGCCCGTCACCTTCCAGTCGAAGTACTCGTGGAGATATTCCTCTACACACTCAAGGACTATTTCGATGTCCTACAAGTTACTAACGGCCCTTACGTGCTGTCGCACGTCTGCCGTAGCTGTCGAGCAGTGTCCTTGGCTTGTCCAGAACTCTGGAGAAACTTCGTGCTCCCGTGGACGAATCTCTACCCTCGCATCACCGATCCGGCCTATCTTGACACGCGGCCAGGCCAACATCCGCTTTTCCATCATCTATATCCCGGAGAAGGCCAACACGGCAATCAAGTTCTTTTATCAATACCTCCTCTGGGAATGTCATACTCGGACCCTAGTTCCAGTCGAGACATTTTTGCACAGAACATATACGCAGTGTCGGCCATCTCATCTAACTTATGACTAACGTCCCTATCCCAATGGGGTCTTAGAGATCCTCTGCGTTGAATGCCACTACTCGCGATAACCCAGTGTTGAATGCCGCTACCCGCGGTATGCAGAGTCTGTCTGGCATCCTTAATTCGCTTCACTCGTTGTGTCTATGGAATCTGTTGGCTACCTGGTTCTCCCGACTTTAGACAGTGAGAAATCTGGACCTGGATAACAGGTATTTAAATAAATGCCTTCCGCGTTGGAAGGGTTTATTCAGCATTGGGTTGCATGCTTAAATAATTGAGGATCGCCGGAGGACACCCAAAAGAACACTTCAAAGCTCTCCTAGCCACGAACACTATCACGGATCTGACTATTGGATGAATCGTTTGCGGAAGAGAGTATGCTGTAACCCTTCTCATAATGCTTACTCATAACGTGAAGAATAACGCGCTGCTTCCTCGCTTGGAACGTTTCTCTCGGATTGCCGATATTTCATCGTTCCGATTTGATGGACGTTGTTTGGTGGATATGATAGAATCGCGGGTAACTGGGGGAGTTGGAACGCGATTGCAGTTTGTGAGGGTAACATGTCGCCGGTCGGACGTGGCGGTCAAAGTTGAGTGATGCGCCGTTGAACCAGTTGAACAGGATGAAAGAGGATGAGGATTTATTAGACGTCCAGACGGTAACAACGAGCATTCTACTGATGCCGGCCTTAGACGTCACTGTCAACAAGACTTGGGTTCCCTCAAAAAGTCCAAATCACGTTAAATAAGGTGGATACTTTCTCCGTGCAAAGAATGGGTGTAGCGACAGTAAGGCAATTAAATACCTATCCGAATATTGAGATACCGAGTACAGGAACAGTGTTCATGTACTTACGGAAAATCGCAATTGCTCGGCATTAGATCGAACCTGCCAAAGACTGTACTTCGGCATAAAAAACTATGTATGTAAAGATTTAACCATGCGCACTCTCTTCTTATATAAAAGATAGTGACACGACAAGACATGATATACTCAAGTACGACTGATTAGTCTTGTTTGACGAATTCTAGAAGTTGTAGTTTTCAACTATGGACTGGGTTGAGGATGGTTCGTAGGTGTTCTTCGTTTCTGGAATGAAGGGGTCGTACGAGATATAGCGTAAGGTGACCAACCTGGCACGTTTACGCAAGTCATACAGCATGGTAGCAACCGGCAAGGAGGCATGAAGAGGCAACTCTAGGAGAAGAGGTGGGATAAGAAACTCTTCATGCTGCGTAAATCTGCGCAATTCTATTTCGTTTTTACCGCAAGAATTATTGCATTCACTATGCAGCTATCTCGCTACGTTGCCCAGCACTCACCCTAACATCAGAGCTACAGAGTTGCGCTGCCATCAACAGCTGAAAGTACTGTTGATACCTGAAGGGAGCAAAGTAGAGACGACGTAATCCTGGAGTCGTGCGCCGTCACGGGCAACTGGGATTCAGACAGGCGAAAACGACGTCGCCGAGTCCGGGACGTGCCCTGTCCGGGTAGAGGATTATGTCTAGATGGATAAGGACACCTGTCTTCCCTTCCTACGACTCGGGTTGTTTTCCATCAATGAACCTTATGTTCGAGTGATTTCATCGTAACCATCATACATGTTACAACAAGGCAAGTGTACCTACTCCGCCGCCGTGACTGCAGACGTCACAAAGCATCCAGCATCATAATATCGTAATCTTTCTGTATGAGATCATACTCCAACGCGCCAGAGATCGCGCTTATGCAAGAGGCCAAATGAAGAGGATACTTGACGTCCCCAGCCTTCCCGGCCCAGTCAAAATCAATAAACCTGACCCTATCACCCCTGTTCTCTTCGCCGGTCGCATCTGCAATCATGATATTCTGCCTACGAAGATCTCCATAAACAAGGTCTTGGTTGTGAAGCGCATCGAGACCCTTGATAGCCTTTTTGATGTCCTCCGGTAGGCGTCTGCCGCTATAGGCACCCACGAGTGTTTGATCTTGGATGTATTCCATAACAACCATCTGCAGCTTTCCGTACGAGACGCCGCACCCGTCGATTGGTCCAACGTACAGAAGCGCCGGTGCCAGCTGAAGCTGCGCCAAAAGTTTGTGTGCTTCTTCGCCATAATGCTGGATGAAGTTGACCACGACCTTCTTCTGCCCCTCCGCATTTAAAGTAGCTAGAAATGTCACATTTTTCCTCCAATTCCAGTGGCGAAATGTACGTGAAGCTGACCTTCTTGTTATTGAATCGAGAAGAGGTGATTGAGGGGAAAAAGCGAGGATGGGGCTTGTTTTCCTCAAGAGGCTGGGGTTTCAGGTTTTTGTAGTAAGTTTGAAGCTCTTTGATTGAACGTTGGAGGGCATAAAATATGCGAGCGACGCGAAGAAAGTGGTCGTCGTCGTCAACACGACTGTTTCCAAGCCACAAGTAGTCTGTAAGACGTTGAACGATGACCTGGCTGGTGAACACAGCTCCTACTACTATCAGCCACGGTCCTGCCAATCCAACAATGAAAGAGGGACAGCAGCAGCCCTCACTAATTTGCCAATGCTGTGTGAGAGAGTACAGTCAGTAAAGACCGCAATACAAGGTGATGTAAAAAGCTTACCGTTATATCAGCCCAGAATTTTATGTAGGAGAAGGAACCCTGGACGGAGGGCTCTGATCCACCCTCTCCAAGTTCACTCTCCTTCTCTACGATGACGACCGCAGCCGTTTCATCGATGGTCGTGCCTCCGCACAAAGCAATGTGGTCCTCCGATGTACGATCCAAGTTAACGGCCTGGAAGAAGGATTGGTTAAGAATTTTGGATAGCAACGTCCGGTTCTGCTGGGTACATGGTTGTTCGGAGACCTGGATGGCAGAGCTGGAGCGCATGAGGCTCACGGTATCACAAACGACAGCTTCAGGGATGTCCATCTCTGTGTCCACAAGCTTGGAGCGAAGACAGGATGAAAGAATTCGATAGGTGGCGCAACCGTTTGTTTGCTTGCGGTTGCATTGTAACATCCATCCAGAATGGGGAACCTGTTACCCTGATGAGCATTATAAGAGTGGGATTGGGCGTTGACCGACGGACTTTCGCTCTTACTGGCACCGGCGACGACACAATCGTACTCTGAATATGAAAAATCAAGATTTGGAACGTGCCTATAAAAGAAAGATTAACACACTGTGAATGAGCACTGGTACGAAGTCATCGAGCTCAGGCTCTTCTTGTGGCGATATGGGGCGGATTCGCGAGGGGCGAGTTCGCGAGGCTGGCCGCTGAATGTCGATGATTATATGTGTCTTTTTGACTTGCATACCCAACTGATGCCCACTGATCTCAACAATAGATTCAACGGTTTGTTCAAACTCTGCAGGTTTGGCGACGTCACTGAGCTTGCGGCCTGCCAGTCGCGCCCTCAAGGCTTCTGGCGCTGAATACCCTGAAATAAGGAATCCATTTGGCTGTAAAGGAAGGTTAAGCGGAGTACAACGACAAGAAAGAGCCGAATATCCACGCACCAGCCAGACGACAGCGCTGTAAGCTGGTATACCTGAGTATTCGCTTCGGAACTCCTTTATGAGGTCTACCATGTCCTTGTCGTCCTCAATCTTGACTTTGATTGACTTTGATGATGCCATTCAGGACATAGCCATCCTCTATGACCACTGCGTAGACTGTCCGCTCTGTCGGCGTTGTGTTGGTGGCGGCCACTTGCCACAGGTGGTGGTCGTGATTACCTTGGCTGTCAGTACAAATAGGTGGCTGTGCTTAAAGGATGAGCGGCTGGGTGCTATCACCCGGCCCACCTTTCTCGTAGGGGTGCATGGGAATTCCTCATCTGCTGTTCATGCCTCCGATAAAACTCTCAGCTGTTAACGAGATCCTCAATCCTGATGGATCTGTACGTAATTATCATTGGGCCCTGAGGGCTTTGGGTCCTGTTTTTCAGTGTCGAATGATACGTGCATAGAAATTTTCTTCAGTGATGACCTTGGCTTATCTGTCATAAGTTCTATACATACACCGATGAGTCAAAGGTTGAATACCTCAAAGATTTTCTGGGTCAGCATCGATGAAGAGGAAGCGTATTACACTGTTGCCAACTCTGGTCAATACGATGAACTGCTGTCTCCTCCTCAGCGAAACCGTGTTCACCCATAAGTCGGGTCCTCCTCGTCCTCATTCACCTGACTGTTGTCATCGAGCTAATACAGAGAACCCCTTGCTCTAAATGCAAACAACTCTCTTAGCCACAATATTCAAATTATCTAAATAGTTCATCCTCGGGCCAGGGATTTGCTCGGAGACTTGAAATCTGTGAACTGGGAAATCTCTTCCAACAAAGAGTTAGTTATGGAGTTCATCGGAATTATCCGGAAAATACCACTGGACATACTACATACTACGACGTCCTAGTGTGTCTCTGCTTTTTGCTGCTTTGCACCCTTGTTTGTTGTTGCATTGTCAGCCGAAGGGGATTTGTTTCGTACTACAAAGCGGCCATGGTCATGGTCAATCTTTGTTATCTGTTCCATGTCTCTCGTTCATTCCCTCTACAAAACGCTGTCTGAGACCTTTGTAGAATGACTTTGATATCCGGTCTAAATGAAAGTGTAAGAAGGGTAGTCCGTACGATTAATACATTCTTGTAACATTTGCGACATCGGCGGCTTAGTTCTTATCTCCCACGGCCTCAGGAGCATGCCAATCATATTTTATACAATCCTACTAGAACTTTGATAGTGCAAATCTGTAAAACCTCCATAACCAATCTGACTAGGGGCCTGAGATCAAAGAGAACGCTTTCGCCGAGCGCGGCTTCACGTTATATTTATAGGGCTTGGGATGACTGACACTAATTCAGTGCAAATTCCTCATTTTCACTGAAGGAAGTCCTCACCTTATAGTCCCGTTCGTATTCTCATGCACAGGAACCAGCGGGACTCCGTCCTCCATCGCATACGTGATATCAAAGACAGCTAGAGACATCACGATGCAGATGTACAATGATGCATCCGCGAGATGCATCCCGGGACAGACACGACGCCCAAAACCAAAAGCGAAGTGTCGAGGATCTCTCTGTGTCTCCTTGCCGATATAGCGACTAGGGTTGAAAGTGAACGGGTCTGGGTAGACTTCCGGGTCGTGTAACATATTCCTTCAATGACAACGGTTGATATGGCTGGAGGTGGACAGTCGGGAAACGCACCATAGATTAGCGATGATAATAGCGCCTTTGGGGATTAAGTATCCATCGATGACGCCATCTTCTGTAGCACGATGTGGAACACCGAGTGGCGCTACGTTGTGCCATCGAAGCGATTCTGTCACCACAGCGTTGACGTAGGGAAGGTGCTCGCGGTCAGCATAGCCGGGCAGCCTGTCTGGTCCTACAAAGGCGTCGATCTCGGCTTGGGCGAGCTTTTGGACCTCTGTCGAGTGTTGAAAGATTATGAAATTTGGGGCCAGTGGATCACGCACCAGGATGCAGGACCATTGCTAAGAAAAAGCCATGCTGTGCGGATACCGTGGTATCCGCGCCAGCTAAGAGAGGACGAGGATTTTAGGAGAAGTTGAAGCAGAAGCATTGGAGATGGAATAAAATGAGGAACTCACCGCCGTAAAGCGACCCCGCAGTATGCTTGATTTCGTAGATGTATTCTGAAGTTATTTTTTCCTCGTTTTCGAGCGCGGCTGAGACGAAGGAGCGGGGTGCTGTTCCGGTTAACTAGGCAGGGATTTACCTTTGGAGGATGATACCGCTGCGTAAGTAAAACTTACTATCTGCTGCCAAGCAACGTTATAGGGGACGTCGACCATGTCGTTGAATGCTTTGGACCATTCCCGAGCTAAGGTCTTGAACCCTCCGCCAGGGAACCATTCTGGTAAGAAGCGAAGTACGGGAAACACATCTACCAGGAATTTACCAGGAGTTGACGCGATATTGAAGTTATTGTTGGCATCTTCGACAAGAGTGACGAAGGGATCGTTGTTTGCTAGAACTTCGATACCGTAGGTCATTTTCATGATCAGTGAACCGGAAAGTCTACCGTCGTTCAGATAAGAGGTCTGTATAGAATATAAAACGACCTACTTTCGAAGCTGCGCACTGAGCTCATTTGGAGAAGTGCTTAGCCGTCGTAAAAACTTGCGTGTTTCCTCTTCTTCGATGTCAAGGTATTTCCCCACAGCACTAGCAGAGCCTATAAGCCGACCGATGTGTTTGCGGTAGTTCCTGAGCGCCGCTCCGTACGGCATCAGCACAACCGTCTTGGAGTAACCCACAAGCTCTCCACCCATCTCGAGTTTGGGGCGGTCCGAGTATGTGGCACCCTTTCGGTCTAGATCCTCCATTGCTCGAGCAGAGTTGAGGATAACCAAGGGCTGGCCTAAGATTTTGACGGAGCATATATCTCCTACGATTTACCAAGATAAAGGAAATGCAGTTAAAAGAAAAACTGTTGAAGACGCGGTTGTGATAGTACGCACCATATTGACGGCTCCATTCAGCATATGTGAGCCACTGCTTGCTGTTCGGCATGTCGAACACATTCTGGAAAAAGGATGCAAGTAGCTATCAGTAACGGAGCTTTTGACGGTGGACAGATATAACTGTACTCCGATGATGGGTAATCCTCTTGGACCGGGCGGGAGGTATGGGGTGATAGACTTCCGATAGGCGAGAATACGGGAGACCACTAATAGAGCAACAGCTAAGCCTGCAGCTGCAGGGCCCAAGACGGAGAAGGACATCTTGAGAGACATAAGGTTCTTCAAAGCTTGCTATCGATCGACGCGATTAAAGCGAGTTATGTGCAATTCCACCGCCACAGGGTCGGTAGACTACAAACATATATCGTAAGTATATATATTATTCTAGTCCATCAGATCTCTGGGAGGATGGCAACACCTTGGATTCCGATGGAACCGACGAAAGCGTTAGGAGCCATTAGTAGGTCAGGACCCGGCCCGGGAACGAATTCATAGGCGCCGATGGTCCCAAAAATTGTCCGGTGGTTCAGAATGGATAACAGAAGCATAGAGACAATCTGAGCACATGAGAGCTACTTGTATTAAAGTGAGGCCTCGGTTATGTTGGTTTCAACTTGTTGGTCCAAGCAGGATGTCAGTTCAACCACGTGGCAACGGCTTCCCTCAGGGCCGGCTCAGGTTCGGAATCTTACTTTTCATTTTGATACGAACGATTCACTTCACTCACATGGACAGGCCCTAGGATTCACTAGAACCGACCAAATTTTCTAGCATTCCATATTGTCCTTCCTCTTCGATAAAACTTTGGGAATGTATCACCATTGCAATCTAGGCGGATGTACTGTATTTGCGATTTTTCGTCAGCACACTCTTAATCTAGGATTTATCCCCTTGGTTTAAGTCTGCCATCACCTTCTGGGGTTTTCCGAGCTTCTGTCAATGAACTCTCAGGTCCGACCAGTGATTCATGAAGTCGCTCTCGTTATCTGCGGAGGTTTCCGATAATAAAAGAGAAAGAACGCTTCCAATTCCTGTTGACACTTCCTCTGGCCTAGGAAAAAAATCTCTTGCCGGTCTTTACAATGCCTGCTACCCTTCAGAGTCCCGGAGAACATGACCCATTGGATAACACGTACGTCTTCAGACTTCTATAAACAAGCCTACTTGAAACTTATGACCATGTATTGGGTAGTATGGGTTCGATGCTAATAGGCGTCATCTTCAGCGCAATTCTCTTTGGGATATCTGTTGTTCAGACCTTATACTATTATAGCCGTGAGTAGCGCGGTTTTTCCGGGCATGATGAAGACTATTGATGGTCCATTCATAGAGTATCCCAAAGACGCATGGTATCTCAAGTCATTGGTTAGTAATTCTGCTTATAAGTGGACATGTTCACCAACGTCGATCCAGGTGGCGGCAACCATTTTTTTCGATTTAATACACATGTTGTTCATTTCCCACACAAGTACGCTTACCTTCTCGGCTCTATTCATAACCGATGACCGTTCTTCCCGCAGTATACCACTATTTGATAACAGGTTATTAGTACGTATTCCCTCTTGTATTAGCGAATTGCTTGCCGCTCATCGCTATATGCAGCGACCAGACTGTCCTTACTCGCATAGTGTGGTCAGTAGCTTACAATCCTGTGCTTTGACTTTTATACTCAAGGTTCGATTTGATAGGAGCGTTATTGCAAGTAGTTCCTGTACTGTCGACTATCATTTGTATTCAAAGGTTTTCAGGTGGAGGCCATTCCAACTGGCGTCACAGGATCTCTGGTTCAATGGTGGAGTCCTTTCTCCCTCTCAGTGCAATGGACTTGACTCACAGTGGCCCACCAGTTTTTACACCGTTCGCGTGTGGCGTCGTGAGTCACACTTTCATTCTCCACGCCTATATCCTGAAGTTGCTTCTAGTCAGCAGGAAAAGTGTTCTTTTGACGGGCACAATTTTGGTCTTGATAATAGCTGACTCGAGTGAGTATATCCGATCCTGTTTCTCATGCGTCTTGATTTCAAAATTCACCACCTTTAGTATGCGGCACTGGTTCGTGGCGATACTTCCAAATCGACTTCCTTTTTTAACTCTGTTGGCTTTCTCTTCAGTATGGGTAGTGTTGGCGTAAGTGCATACATTTTGTCAAATAGCTCACCTTATAGACCCCCAAAATCAGGTTACTGAGACACACATACACCGATCTCCTTCATATTTCGGTTCGTACATGCGTGCTGTATCAAGGTTATACGGCGGCTCAAGATGTGACAGCCTCTCACTATATCAATTAATGGCATTTCCGCCGCCGCAGATGTCCTTATTTCGGCAAGTCTCTGCATAATTCTTCAACGGTCAAAGACGGGATTTCGAACGTGAGTTCTGTATTATACTTCTCAGGGCATTATCCCTATTTTAAAATGCTCTTCCCAGATCTGATACAATGATCACGAAACTAGTGAGATTTTGTTTTAATATTGAACGAGGCGAAGCTCATTCGATTCTACGAAAGATCTTCTTCTTTGTGAACACTGGACTGTATGTGATTTTTACTCAACTTACCATAAGGTTTCTGATCATCTTTACATGTAGTCTGACGAGGTAGAATCACAACATTTTTCTGATCCCACAAAATCCACTGATGATGAGGCTAGCCTCTGTGCAGTAGGCGCATTACTATCAGTAAGGCAGTTTCTTCCTAACTGATTGGTCCATCTCATTCAACTTGCATCATTGTCAGCTCGCAATATCTTCGCATACGCTTATCTACGCGTCGTGGTATTTCTGCATTGGACGGCGTGAGTCTTTCTCATTACGCGGAAACAAATGCATAGGACTGACCGTGGTGCCTGTAGTGTACGCCAACTCACTCCTAGCGTCCTTGAATGGGCGAAACACGATTCGTGGACAAACAGAAGACATTGATCATATGCTTCTTTCTATACCAAGTGCTGTCCTCTCTCCAAGTAGTAATCCGGGGTCGAATGGCCATAGACCCAACGTTTCCATCAGGGTTGAAACTTCGACACGGAAGGACGTTGAAGCAGATGATTCCAGGCAAGACGATGATTCACTCGTAAGTCCTTTGCCCAGCTTTACGGCCATGTCTAAGGAAATTCAGGTCAACACGCTGGCTAATCCGTCGAAGTCGTCTTTGTGATACTGTCAGTGGTAACCCGTCACTTCGTCGTCACGCCAGGTCAGAATTCGAGTCACCCTACTATTACTGTCTACTTGCAAGCAGAGTGTTCATGTGAAATGGACATCAGAGATATGGTTCTGCTTCATGAACGTATGTGGACTAGGTCTGGAATTGTAAATTAAGAGCACTGGAATTAGTCAAGGAAACTCACGTTCAATCCTATGCGATGACAGTCTATGGAGCCCTTAGATCCCAGTGATGGATGCGTTTCGGGGGCAGAAGGCACAGCCGACGAACCCTTGGTGAGAGAAACGAAAAAGGAAGAGGACAGTGTTCACATATCATCTCCGGCATCTAACCCCGTTGGTGATGGCCCTGAAACGTTATCTTGGCATCGAAAATATGGCAATACGTAGAATAGATGCTTCGAAAGATCTTGCAGTGACAGAGCCATTCTAAGAGGAATTCGCTACTGATGCATGACCATGATTGATGTTGTGCCCTTCGATTCACATCCTTCAAGTTGACGAGGCATTGGATCGGAGCTCTTGGTCGGAAAACCACAAATATGTAACGTTCAGAAGTGGCTCTGTTCGGCTAAGGGGTGATATGATGGAGACAATCGGCTCATATCTGATGAAACTACGTACTTATACCTACGGGGTATCATTACCGATTCCTTAGGGCAGTCTTACTCTACAACACATAACCGTTTGGATCATGCAAAACGTCTGTCAGCCATTTCACCCGATATAAACTTGCAGTCTGAGCGTGATCTGTTCAGTCTCCGCCGCTTGTCCTGGCTCCAAGCTGGTCAAAACCGGAAGCTTGTAGAACAACGTCTACAAGATCGCGTAACTTGATGAATGAGAACAGACTTTACGGAAGTCGGAATTCTCCAAATAGTTCAGAGGATTGAAGCTTGAAGCAAACTAAGAGTTGCTATTGAATCCTTTGTCACACGAGCGACGACAGAAACTAGCCTGCAAAATCAAGCCAATGAAAGTTGATCGATACGACGGCCTGTCGGTCCGTATTTCCGGTTTACTCTCTGCAGATGCGCAGGTGACCTTCATCGTGGGTCAGGAAATGCGTAGCAAGGATGTGTCTATATCTTAGATGAACACTATGGCTTCTCTCAGAGTTAAGGGAACGCAGCTCTTCAATTGCAACAATGCCCAAGTTGTCCTTCGAGGAGCTGGCTTAGGCGGATGGATGTGGTTTGTCTCCTCCGTTTCTACTTGAGCTCGTGCTCAGTAATGATAAAATTCGCAGTATGGAGAATTTTATCTCAGGTACATTATACCTTTCGCTCACTGGCGCGAGTAAGTCACTGGTAGTCGGACCAAGGTTATCCTGGATGCGAATTCCAAATCCGAGATGCTTTGAATGATGTTCTTGGGGAAAGCAAGGCGAACTTTTTCTTTGACAAAGTACGCGATTCATATAGTCTCTCCAAACGTACATTTAAACCATGAGTATCATCTAGTTTTTGGAACACTTTTTCACGGATGCAGATACGACATTCTTCCGCTCACTGGGTTTGAATTGCATCCGAATCGCCGTCAATTACAGACATTTTGAAGGTAAGAGTCTGTTCCTCTCGGACATACTTGTTGCGGTACGATATCGACTTTTACTGGCTCAGATGACCTCAATCCTCGTGTCCTCAAACGGGAGGGATTTCAACACCTCGATCGTGTCATATCCTTATGCGCGAGTCACTCTATCTATACGATCATTGATATGCATACAGCTCCTGGCGCACAGAGCGGTGGATGGCATGCAGACGGGGGAACGCACATCGCCAATTTCTGGAAGCACAGAGACTTCCAGGATCGATTCGTCTGGTTATGGACAGAAATCGCATCCCACTACAAAGACAATGAATGGATCGCAGGGTATAATCTTATGAACGAGCCTGCCGATCCCCATCCGACAATTGCTCCTTTGGTGGAGGTCTACGATCGGTTGTGCAGCGCGATCCAATCTGTTGACCCGAACCACATCATCTTCTTGGATGGTAACACGTTCGCCTCGGACTTTACAAAATTTCCCGAAAACGTCAAGCAGCGATGGGGGGAGAATGTGGCGTATGCTATCCATGATTATTCGTTATATGGGTTTCCAAAGAGCAAAGAGGTCTATTTGGGGAGCGACGACCAAAAGGCCAAGCTACAAGCGGTGTACAAAAGGAAGCGACACTGGATGGATGAGCGCGGACTGTGTGTGTGGAACGGCGAATGGGGCCCGGTGTACGCGAGAAGGGAGTACGACGGCGATGCAACAGACGAAATAAACAAGGCAAGGTACATGGTTTTGCGGGACCAGCTAGAGTTGTACAACAAGGTTTGTGATAATATTCATTTGCTGTTTCCGAGTTCCCATCAGTTGTTTGATTTCCTGAAGGATATGCTGAGCTGGTCAATATGGCTGTACAAAGACATCGGATTTCAAGGTATGGTGTATGTAAGCCCGGATACATCGTATATGGAGCGGCTGCGACCATTTTTACTCAAGAAGCATCGCTTAGCGGCTGATGCTTGGGGCACGGAGGATTCTGAGGTCAAGCACTTCTATGATCCCATCGTGAACCTCATTGTGGATGCAGTTCCGGACGAGACGAGGAGGAAGCTATACCCCCCTCTCTGGACATTAGAGGATAGGGTTACGCGCATAGCACGTACTATGTTGGTTGCTGAGTTCCTGATAGGAGAATGGGCTGAAATTTTTCGTGGGTTGGACGAAGAAGACTTGGACCGGCTTGCCAGGAGCTTCCGGTTCGAGAACTGTTTGAAGAGGGAGGGATTAAATGATGTGCTGAGGGAGAACGCCAAAGCGAGCAAAGCTGTTATATGACAATTAAGCTCACTTGCGGTCGCATGGGTTGAGGTATCTCGAAGTGATGTATCTGTCCTTGCTTGCTTCTATCTATATTAATAATTGATTCCGTCAGTTAAAAGCTATGCTTAAGATACCCATGGTGAAAGAGTGCAGGCAATCGATAGAATATCGCAGAACTGTGTGGGTTGCCTAACACCCTTTGAGCTTGGTGTGACTGCTTTGATGTCGACGTGATAAATCCGTACCAAAAGAATTCAATTTCTTGATTTGAAGGACCATCGAACCTTGGCTTGCTGGGAGTTTGCGTTTCAAGACGCTACGGCGGCGGCGCACTCACCATGACAGCAGTATCACCCGTCCCTGTGCATCACAACCGGGGGTTAAGACACGGATCTGTTTTATACTGATGGATTCACGCTCTAGGTAGTGCCTCGCATTCATAAGCTGCAGGCGGCTTTGTGTCAGGTCCTTTACTCCCAGTTTTGTCGATGTTCGAGGACAGGAGTCGTTCGTCAAACACCTTCTATTCCCTTTCTGCCCCGCGTAGCGTGTCCCAGGAGAGAAGGCGGAGGGACGAGGGAGACGTAGACGCAGAGAGGCGTAGACAGGGAAGTAAAGACGAGAGAGAAAGCGAATGGTTTCTGGAGGATGTTGCGGATGGTGAGATCTCTCCCAGGTGGCATCCATCAGAGCCTGGTGGTGGCGGGTTCGAGTTTACAGTCAGACCCTTCACAAGCAAGCAGAGGCTAATGCCCAAATCAACTTCGTCCGGGGGGACAGAATGGAAAAGCATAGCAGACGAGGAGGAGGGGGACTTGGATGACCAGCGGTTCTCACTTGTGTCGATAATGGAGCCGTCGAAACGCGACTTGCCCATTGACCTGAAGCGAATGTCCATGCTTTGGACGCATGGAAACATATTCCGTGCTCTGCCCTCCCCAACGACGAATTCACCGCCATTGAGCTCGGACAGCGAAGTACCCCCCACGCAGAGCATCCCACTGACACCAGCAAGAGCCCCACAATTGAACATAACCACAACAATCACTGTGCATTCACCGTCTCCCTCGCCCATCTCAGCCGTCGTTTCAGCTTCGGCTACATGGAGTATTTTGGAGATGTACGGCGTCAGCCCCGAATCACCCATGACCGAGCGGCCATCCAGCCATCAATTTACGTCGAAGCCAGTTTCGTCGCCATTTCCGCAGGTACCCAGTGCATCAAATGAGCCAAGCCTCTCCATTACCGCCCAACCGCCATCGAATATACCACCCGTCCCTCCCATCCCTCCACATCTTCGTTCGTGGTCCAAACAGTCTATTCGTCCACTTCCCGTTGCTCCCCCTCCTTGTCCAGCTTCCACCTCTAAACACGTTCCGTCGCAGCCACAGCTGTCTAGGACACTTGTCCTTCATGGACCACGCCCACGATCGAGTACGCTGCCGGCGAATCGTCGACAGGTGATGGAAGCTATCCAGATGCCGTCGCCTGGCATCTCTGATCCTGGTGGACGATGCATCGCATCCACATTTCCTGACACACCGGAATCAGCAACAAGAAGACGGGGCCTACTAGCGGTCAAGACAGGGGATCAGCGCGGTTGATGTGCCTTTCCCGGCTCTGAACAGGACACTTCCTGCTAGTGTTGTATGACGTAACAAGAAGCTAAATATATTACTCTGTTCGCTTTTTAGTGGATTTACTGTAGCGGATCGAGTACCGGGGTATAGGTTCAAGGAGCTTCCCGGTTAGTAATCGACGTAGCAACCGAAGCGGATTATAGTGGGACGCCAGGCGAGAGGACAAGCGAACTGAGAAACGTGGTCGGTGAGATACGATTATTCTGTGGAAAGTGGAAAGGAGAGACGGACTATACTGGAAGAATATGGAAGAGAAAGGGACTGGCAGGCTTTGGATAACTAGGACATGCTTATTTCTTTCAAGGATAAAATATATTCCACCTAAAGGGATATCAGTAACACAAAAGGAGACAAAACCGAAGACAAAACCTGGAAGTCGCCACTGATCTTTGACACGAAGCATCAATGCAAACAAAGGAAAATGGTTCATGAAGGCCAATTGAGTTTCCAGACATGCCTGCACTAGAATGATTGCCAACCGCATCTAAGACTAGTATCAACACATGACAATCGCAAAGGACAAAACCATACCAAAGCAAAAAGGGAGTAGTACACTAATATCGTTGGGAACAAAAACGCCAAGAGTGTGAACAAAATTGTACCAAAGACAAGTTGATCGATATCGTACTCCCGAGTGTCGGTACGATTGCGTAGGGTGTTGTATCGTTTACCTATGAGCACGTCCTTAGCAAAACAATGACACAAATAATGATGGGAAGGAAATACCTCGGGAAAGATTCCACAATGATCCAGCAGCAGTCAGAAGCCTTGCGTAGACAGCATTGGATACGAAATAACAGACATATATGTGGGCGGTCAAGATGGCCAGGAGGTCGGAGAATAGTGAAATAAACAAAGTCGCCCCTCCCCAGCTGGCGATACCAAAGAAGTATATAATCGTCGGTAGATGGGGAGCTCCTGATTGGAGGACGCCTGCGGAGAAGGAAGTCCCAAGAAGAAGAGAAAAGCCGAATTCACGTACGACCCCATATGGCTATCAAATCGATAAAGGTTTGCGAATAAAAGCGACTTAGCTCCGTGTTGAGCTTGAGACCGGCAGGCCATGAATCTAGCCAGTGTAAAACCCATTGAGTCCATTGAATGAGAATGTTCTAAGCATTGTGTTAACAAGGGGTGAGAAATCAGGGAAGGATTTAATTTACATCCACCATTGAGTTAAGCATGGAAGCAAGGACGATGTGATTGTCGCATAGAAAGGAGCCTATAGCTGATCCGATTACGATATCATTAAGCAAGAGCCACACGGTATTAAAAAAGCTAGAACCTGTCAGAACGAAGACGTGAGAGAAGAAAGACAACAAACTTGATGTATCGTGGTGAATACAGAGATGTAGGTGTCTTGCCACGGTTACGTAGCGGAGATACTTCCGCAGAGAAAAAGTCGGCTTGTTCTGCGCGGACATCTATTTGTTGAACTATAGGCTATATCAGTTATTGCTTTCTGCCGTCAGAAATTAACGATGACGCACAGATGGCTGAGAGATCCTTTATTACAAATGATAAGAAAACAGGCGCATTGCAAACTGCGTTCAGAACATTAGAGAAGAGCGCTAGCGAGAGTGAAATCTTCTTCCAGGACACATCAAAAAGGGACCACAAGTGATCTGTTTTAAGCAATGGTTCCGAAGGGTAGAGATAGTTCCGTAGAAGATCTTCTACAGTATGGGCAGCATTAAACTAGGTCATTGTAAGCAAAAGGAGACAAAAAGTGATTCTCGACTACCTGATCTATGACCATATCGTTGATGCCGGGAGAGAAGTCAGACACACGGAAAGCCGCGTAATCCAAGGCAGAACTATTGGTAGAAACAGAAGCACTATACTGTTCCTGAGCATGATAGTCAAGTCTCAAAGCTTCCAGAGAATAGAAGCGGAGAGTCGTCGGAAGGTGGCGGTAATAGTAGACAACAACATATTCCCTGTGCCATGTGAAGAATAAAGCGCATGTATTCCAAGAAGGCTCACTTAGGGACCAGAAAATGGAAAATCGGAACCGTGATCTTTTGATTTTGTTCACAGGTGAATTTGCCGAATACGACTGGATCCTCCCCACAGGTGTTACGCAAGGAACGGTACTCAGGCGAGGCTGAAACGATCTCGACCGCGGCCGTTGCCTCTGATAGCTGTAGAATTGTCAGAAAGAAGTCGAAAACCCAAGGCAACGGTGCTCACCGTGTCCACAGACAGACGCCCTGCAACACACAAAGCGGGCTTCCTCCAACCGAAGCAAAATCCCGGCTCGACAAGATCTGTAGGCCAGAAGATGGTCGTCGGTGTCATCCTAGTATTGCCGTCCTATCGTCGTTTACAATGACCGTATATTCCTATCGAAATCGAAATCGCCGACGTCGGATGCATGTAAGATGGTGGTGGTCAAGAAAGAAAAACGGCCACGTGACATTGAGTGTTGATGGTTCGACCCACTTTGGAGCCGCCTGTCAGTCGACGACCACCATCCCGCCTCAGCTCGCCTTCCCTCGTCTTCCCCATTCTATCCCCAGTGCTTCGCTGCCGGGCCCTGCGATGGATACCTCTTATCAATCATCACCATCCTCTTTCCCTCCCCGAAGGCCTGATCTCAAGCGAAAGCTTGTAGTTGTGGGTGACGGTGCGCGCCAACATTGCTTCTGGATCATCAACAAACTCACTTGCCATCAAAGGTGGATGTGGCAAGACATGTCTTCTAATTGTGTATGCAGAAAATCGATTTCCAGAGGTGCACTTATTAGGGTTATCTTTTTGTTAATCAAAGCTGATATTTGTAGGCCTATATACCAACAGTGTTCGAGAATTACGTGACTCAGGTGCATTTCGAAGGCAAGGAAATTGAATTGGCGCTATGGGATACTGCGGGACAGGAGGAGTATGATCGATTGCGGCCACTTAGCTATCCAGAGAGCAATGTCATACTCATTGTTTTCTCCATCGATTTCCCAACAAGCCTAGGAAACGTCCTGGATAAGGTGTGTGGCTGATGTCTTTGATGTTGAGTTGAATTCTGACAGTGTAAATTGCCAGTGGTATCCTGAAGTGGCCCATTTCTGCGAGGGGACGCCGTTGATCCTAGTGGCGACAAAGATCGATCTTCGGAAGGACGAGCAGACAAAGCGGATGTTGGGCGCCCAAGGTCAAACACCTGTCAGCTTTGAGCAGGGATCCAGCGTGGCCAAAGAGATCGGCGCAAAATACGTAGAATGTTCTGCGAAAACGGGAACCGGCGTCCACGATGTGTTCAATGTGGCTTTGAAAGAAAGCTTAAAGGGAAGATGGGGGAAGATCGTACGGGAACGACGATGTGTTGTGATATAGCACAGGCTCTCTTGGACAATAGGCAGGGACTACTCTACTGATATTCGTTTTCATCTCGTTCTCGAGTTGTTCTACTAATTATTTATTATTTTTGCATCAGATATGTATCAATGTACGCATTTAGTTGGTGAAAGAAGCAAACCTACGAGGCCAGACCCGTACCCGAACTGTACTTCAGCTACAACCCAATATTAACGACCCAACACACTACGTGCCCCCCCTCTCATGCTACTCCCCCTACTGTATTTACAATGGACTGGTTTAACAACGTACTACGTAAAAGGTTTAAGGTACAATAAAATGAGAGCAAGATACATAGTCCATAACTTAATTTAATCGGTGTGGCTGCTTAAGAGGAATAAGTTATCGGTATGAGGCACAAGCATAAATATCATAGGACCCAGGGGGCATTCATATCCTACAGCGAACAAGTCAGGGAACCAGCAGATAAAGATAAAGACCAGAAATCATACCAGGGGTTTGTGACTAGAGAGCTGTGAAAGCATGCGAATGAAATTTCGAATGGAAAGACAATCCAGAATGCTAACCTGTGGATCTTGGAAGTTGTCCATCTCCAGAACAGAGTCCGAGACAGACACGGTTGCTTTTTGGCCTAGCCTTTCCATGTTTTTGCGCCACTCCTTCATGCTCTTTTTGTACGTCTTAACGTTCTTGTGCAAGTTTAAGGCAGCCTTATGTACTTCGTGGCTAAGGCGACACGATATTAATGCGGCGAACAAAATGAGGTGGGGGCATACATGCCGCATACCTGACATTCGTCATTAGATCTTTCAACGATGGGTGAGGGTCTTTTTCTGGCGGAAATACAATCAGATACCCCCACACTTGACGTTTTATGGCAACGTACTGAGGATTTCGATAAGAGCCTGTGATGGAGCTCAGCATGGGTACTTGGGAGTTCGGTCGGTATCACTTACTTGAGTCATAGAGGCTCCTTCGCTGTCTTCCCAGGATAGCTGGTCATCCTTGCAAGCTCCCAAAGATATCTGTGACCACTTTGAGATATGCTCTATAAATTATTAAAGTAGCGATCCTCACCACAAACGGAAATTCCGTGTCGGAAGGCTGGCAAAATCCTTCACAGGGCCATAACGCAATCGGGGAATCACACCTGGGAATAGGAGATAACTCTGTATCGTCCAGCCATCTATCATCCTTTGAGAAAGTCGATTTGATTGACAGACGTCGGGTGGCTTTGATATGAACATCTACATTTGCGTCCGCAATTCTCCCGATGGAGGTTTTCTTGGACTTGACAACCTTCTTACTGACACGTTTCGTCTGATACACCGACCTGCTTAGGACCATGGCTTGACGTCGCACTGTGTGGCCGGTGCTTAGAGGGCGCGCCTGCAGACGTATATAAAGATTCGCACCATTACGGTTCCACAAGGAGTCGGACCTGCGGCGGCCTTTAGATATCCAAGGAACGTAAACTCTGTTACAGCGGAAATGGTCGAGATCTGCAGTAGCAACGATTAGTAGGAACATATGAGCACGCTTAAATAGTATGATAAACGCACCCAAGAGCGAAGCGGAATGGCACGAATCAAAGACGGCCTACAATCTATGTCAGAACAGTAGCGTCAAATGGATGGAACACAGCGTACAACCAGGCTACTTCCGATTGGTAAAGCATCCACGAGATGCCGTCGTAACTCCTGAAATTGAAACCCGTTGGCTTTGTGAAATCGACGTGATAGTTGAACGTTGAGCGACGTACATTGTCTGTGATCTTTCTCGAATTGTTATGATCATGATCACAAGGGATCAAGCCTACACCGATGTGAGGCATGTAAGTAGAACTTCGATACAGAAAGGCGGCACGTACATTCATCCATCCCGTCCTCTTCGCTGTTGGTCTTACTCTCTACTTGTCCGACATGACCGGAGTCTGTATCCCAAAGTTGACGAACTTTAGTTGCGCAAAGCAGATGGACTGCGTACACTGAAAGAAGAAACGGTCGCCAGACTTCGCGTCTTGGACAAGCTTTTTGATTTCACGAATCTGATGCGAGTTCTTCGATTGGCATTGTGACAGACAGGCAGATATCGCGGGATTTACGCACAATGTTTGACTGCGTGGGTTGACTCTCGGCAGATTTCCCGTCATCCAATAGTATGGTGATGTTCGCGTCGTCATAGCCATAATTCTCTGCGAGGGCGGGTGAACATGAACGTCAAAGACTTCTGATTGGGCTAAGGGAACATACTGATGAGTAGATCCTTCATGTCACGAACATCGCGATGGGGTGTTTGCAGCTCGTACTGCTCGTTCCCAGAACCCTTGCCCGTCTTGTAATTGATACCGATCAGCAATGCTTTTCTGCACGGACCGTCATTCTTCTCAGCAACCGGTGCCTGGTATGGGCGCCTTGGACCTCGATGCTTGATGATTTTCATGCCCACAGCGATGAGGAATAGAGGGTTGAAGGGGAAGTTCCAACTTGACATTTGCCTGGTGCCAGGTTGGACGGCGCTGATATAATGATTTCTGACACAGATCCCTCGATCAGCGAGGCTGATGTTCCTGTAACATTGCATCGACATCAGGAAACGATGGGCGGCACTGCAACGTTAGAACTGTAGATCAGCTCAGCATGCGCATTTGTTACACACAAAGGAGGGATCGAACCGCAAAAGTCAGGAGGATTATCAAGCTGTAGTAATAGCACGGGGGTCAACGGATGTACTGATGGTCCTTGGTATGTCTCTTTTCAAGCTGTGACTTGCCAGTGTATGCGAATGCCTTACAATACAGCTACATATGTCTTGGTATCCACAAATTCATCCAGGATCCTTGCTTGATAGATTGCATTTCATCATCCTGAACGATGAAAGAAACTGATACGATGGATGTTTCAGTGGCTGATATGCAAGGGGGAAAGGACATCAGCTCTAGATCAAAATCTAGGACCATCTACAATGCTCTGCAAAATCATTAAAATCCCGAGCAATGCGAATGCACTGCCGGAGTCTTCCCTGGGACTAAGACAGCCGCCTTATTGTGGACTCGGATATATCGTGTAAAGTAAATATGTAGACGGCCTACAAAAATTAGACAGATGGAAAGAGATGGGAACAAGACCTAATTCAGAGCTGAACGTTATCACGCGCTTGAACAAAGGCCTTCATTCGCGTTTTCTGCTTGATGTGCGTCCCCAAGGAGATGTTTGAGTCAGTGAACTGGCGATGGCAGGTGATATATCTAAAACTCGGTGTGCTAGCTCGGAAGCGATGTTGCCGCGGTACATACCTGCAGCCGCGGCATGTTGGTCCACTTTTGCTTTCGACCTTGCTCCAATTCCCTCGCTTGTCGAAATAAAGCTCGCTCCGGTTGTATCTCAAGTCCGACTTTATCTATGGATTGGAATCCTCTCCGAATCTCCCGAGTCTCCCGCATAGTATTCGATTTCAATCGTTAACCAGATGGTGCGCGGTCCTTGTCAACGACCTTGATAGGCCGATACTACTAATATTATACTATAGACTTTATTTGCAACTTTGGAGCTTGGCCTTATCGGATATCTCAGAACGTCATGTTTCTCCGAGTACACACACGTTGTACCCGGGCCTGCCTTGCTCCTGGTCCATGTATATTCTTGCTTCGTTGGGCATTATCATGATCATAGGCTAAGTATCATCTGCCTCGCTGGTGCCTGTCGAATGGTTATGGCGTCATTTTTACCTCGCTTAATGCCGTTTCTGCTCAGCCGCTACTTACGAGCTAGAACCCTAAATTCGGATGCGGGTGCCTACGTTTACCACAAGGCCTAAAGCCGCGTTGAACCCCGAATAAGACATGCTCCGATAACGTGGTAGCCGAACATTTACTACGCAGTGGAGCCTAGTACGTGAATCAACTTGGGGTGCTTTGTCAATCGGCAGTTGACAACTGCCTGCCTCCGTTCCTTATACAGCCTCTATTTTCTGATGGTGCTTCTGATGATCTCCGGTGCGGGATTTTGTCTCTATACGCCCTGAGATTGATATAGACTTCACTTCAAGGTACCTCCATGCGTGTCCTCTGATGAAATAGCAATCCCTCATGTTCATGAATGGCAGGTGCTTCATTTTTCACAAGTGTGATGTTCTTTTTAGGGCTTCGGAAGTATTAGGCACACTTTGACCGTGCCTCGGACAAAGGAGATAGTCCATGACCTCACTCGGAGGGGATACGAAATTGGATGCGAGTATAAAAACACCTACTTCATCGTGAATTGCCCCCAGCTTTCAATCATGCGACTCACGCTAGCCCTCCCTGTGCTCTTCGCCTTTGTTTCTGCCTTCGTCACTGCTTCACCCGTTGTAAGTCTTCAAGCTTCCGAGTAGCGTTGTTCTATGTGCTTATGTTGGTTCAAGGTCAAAGAGGTATTGCCTGATACCGTCCCTTGGTATGTATCCATGCTCATCGTCCATTATAGCGAGTCGCAGTTCCCGGCGCTCCTGGATGGAAGGTAATTCACATTTTTCTTCGTAGGAGTTCTTGGTCTCATCATTTCCCTGTTTATAGAGAGTCATCACTCCCCCCAGCCCCGCCCCAGGCTGGCGCCGCACCGAAGTAGACGTAAGTCATATCACTCATCTATTCGATTATAGTCAAATCCTTTTATCGCAGAGAGCTGTCTCTCCGCCCAACCCGGCCCCAGGCTGGTAAAGGAGGTGTTACCGCGTAAATATCGTAGCCTACATTTCTGATCGACATAATCTGCGTTGGTCCCGGGATTCGATTATGGTCCGTTTTATGGATGTATAACTCTATATACTTAATCGGTTGTTGAAGGAGATTCTGCATGATGTAACGAAAGCTACCTATCTACCTACATACTATGAATTGCCATTCTCGTCAATGAAAAATCAGCGGTGATGAAATCCTGTATGCATATGCAATGTATGCAACTAGGTGAACGCGTGCGGCTCAACTCATTTGCCTTGCAATGAGTACTTACTCCGAAATGCACCTTCCATGCGGAAGCCACACTGCAGGCTCCATATCGAGTCAGATCTCTCTGACCACTCTCCCAAAAGGCTTTTCGAGTCAGCCCTGAATCAGATGTGAGTCCCTGTGATGCTCGTGAGACGAAGGAGAAGGAACAGAGACACACCGATGCTAGAATCTACGGAGTAGGCGAACAGTGTAATATCCATCGCTCATATTTGTATAAGCGCTTCCTCCAGAATGCGACATATCGTAAGGTAAGACTACGACCTACGCAGCCCGTAGTCACCCATTCCGTTAATACCCATTGTGTCCAAATTGCGTCCTAGATACTCTCGAAATAATTGATCGCATCATACCCTAAGATTCTAGAACGAGAATTTCCAGAATGTCTCCAAGAAAAGTAATAGAGTGACATTGAAAGATACCAGACGGTGATGCAAACATTCAGAATGGCGGCGGCGGCCACGGTGTACGGCGGCAAAGTGCAGATAAAAGGGCATGGCTCGACTTGCTTCACCAAGCCGACCTACACGGACAGCTCTGCAGATTTGGCGATGATCAGGGCTTCAATACCAACATTGGCATGCATACTCACTTGCGGAGATGTCAGTCGATACCGAAACCATGATAATGTCTGGATCTACAGGACCGACCGACGCCACAGTTAAGGTCGCCAAATCCACTTCTTGGTCACAGAAAGTATCCATCGGATGCACCGGACGCGCCGACGTCACGGGCAGAAGAGTATTTCATCGCCACTAGATCCTCCTCGGTTGCGGAAAGCTTGCATTTCAAAGACATGTTCTGTGGTACCTTTCAAGAGTAGGAAACTCCAGAACCAACCAGGGCATGTAGATAAAAAAAAAATTTGACTGTCTCTGACGTTCTGGGCATAGAGTGTATGGTAATGACATTCCAGGTGTCGAACCTGAGGAATTCAGTATCAAGTCAGGCGGACGTATGTGGTGACGGAGACGGATAACTGAATCACGGTTGCATGGAAATTAATGCAAACAACTTGAAATAGATCAACGGATAATATTACTTGCGTACAATCATATTCACACTATTCATAATGAGTGCTGAAATTCACAACAGTTGGTACGGTACGTACCACGTAAAAGACCTAGAGCGCAACTTAAACACGAACAATGTGTTTCGTCCACAAGGCGCTTCAATTCCGCAATCTCATCGTCCCATCCACTGACACACAAAGGTGCCTCAATCAATCTCAGCCGGCTCGGACGAGATGTGGTGGCGAATGGTGGCTCTACCACCCCTCCACGGGCACCTGCTATTGCGATAAGATCCACAACCTGCACGTCGCCTTCGACGAAGAGTTGCATCAAAGACGGACAGAACCAGTGTTCTCCATCAACCGGCTGAGAAGCCAGTTTCTCCATTAAATTGGCTTCCTTGCACCGGAAGAGGGCGACGTCGTCTACTATGAGTCGCACGACGTTCGGGAGAAGCGTCAGCCATCGAATGAACGTTGGTACATCGGTCTCGCGCAAAGAAGACCGGATCTCGAGGGTATGAAGATTCGCGGGAACAAAACTCGGTTGGCTCCACTGCATGAAGACTAGATTCCAGTGCATATGGTCCTCATCATAAGGGTAGCTGTCAATGAGACGAAACGTCTGCAATGAGGGTGCACGAAGGTGAGAGGTGTGGAGGGCGAAGCATCGAAGCGATTGAATATGAAGGTTGAGCAAATTTTCCATCGGTACCGACGTCACCGACTCACCAGAGGGTTGGGGACCTTCGAGCAGGAAAAGGGATTCCAAAGTGATTGAGCTCGCGTTTGGTATGAGGGTGAGCAGCTCGAAAATTTGGGAGTTTGTACACCCATCCCAGCGGTCGATATTGCGGAACTCGAATTGAATCACACCTCGGCTCAACACGCTCTTCACCAACGAAGAAGAGACAGAGTTAGCCCCCAGAACTCTCAACTTGGACGGTACCGCACCCCACAACTTCTCTTTGGGAGAATCCTTATCCCCACACGACGTGACATGCAATTCCTCCAAGCTGCACAAATCTTCTCCCTTGAGGGATTCCAACGTTCGTGTAGGAATCGAGGCATAGACCCAATTGTGAACCAACGATAAGAGATCCTTTTCGCATTCATTGTACCTTCTTCGTTCCGTGGGAAGAGTGAGGTACAAAGGCGCCGATTTGGCTTTGGAGAGTTGGACGAGACCGCGTCGCCTGGAACGTGTAAAGTCGATGATCCCATATAAACGCGGAGTGGATGCAACGATTTCGTTCCAATCACTGCACGTTAAGCATAGTGGGGGCAGGAAGCCTACTCCCCATTTGTGTACACCAACCTCGAATATATGCGCGTATATTTCTGGTGGCAGCTGAACAGACATCTTGGCAGTTCACCGTGGGATTCTGCTTTCTTGCAATGGGGTATCATGCTTTTATATACTCGTCCTAGCTGGCAATAATTTGTCAGTATGTTCACTGTTCATGAGTCATTCTGCATGTACCTTACCCAACGGTACCGGGAGGATTGTCGGCTGTGGTCATTGATGGTCAACGGTGCCGACGGTGCCAATTGTGAGTTCTTCGGTAATTAATGTTATAGGAACTTCGAAAAAGCGGTCACTAACGACTCACTATATGTTTGGGCCGACAATTTGGACGCAATCAAGCCTATGATTGGCCTCATTCCCAATAGTAAAACACCGTTTTTCTGCTGCACTTGTCATCGTGTTGTATGATACTTGTATGACAAGATGTCTCCATGCTAGGCTCGAGAATGGCGGTCGAAGTGGTGGTCGCTGCTAAGGGCGAGATTGGTCGATCACTCACTCTTTCATTGTGGACTTGACTTTTTGTCATGCTCATTGCCATGGTGGATAGGCTTACAGTACGGTTAGCCGATTGCGCTCGACCGTACAGGACACTGGGCGTCTCTGAGCTGGAGACCGGCGGCCAGGATGATGGTGATCGACTGCGAAGGAGCGAAATTGTTAATTGTTGACGGTTGCCACTGCCTCATCTACCTCATCGCCAATTGACACGTTCAATGCTCAGTACGCGGTCGCCGTCGCTGTGATTATTGCATTCATTGCGCCGTCGTACTACAAGGAGTAATACGGGTGAGCAGGAGTCATCTGACCACGACGTTGACTAGTTTCTTATCTTTTTTCTAGGAAGAATTACTCGGACCGTGTGCTGATTGACGACGAACCTGAAAAAGGAGCTAAGATTCCCCATTTACGTCCATTATCGTCGACAGCGCCACCTCGGGCGGATCTTGCAACTGAAGCATTGTAGATGTAAGTGGGGCCAAGACACGACCATTATCAGCCATCATGAAGGCTCTTTCTCGCGCTCTCCGACCACTGACTGTTGGTATTCGCCGAGAGGATCCCGGTAGAATATGGGAGAGACGCGCACCCCTCACGCCAGAGGCCGTGCGGGACTTGATCACGAAACAGGGTGTTCAGGTGCAGGTCGAATCTTGCGACAGACGCATATTCACCGACGACGAATACATAAAGGTTCGAGATAATCTGTGTGTCCATTGGTGATGTAGTTCTGAGTGGCATACAGGCCGGTGCCAACATTCGGAAGGACCTCTCTGCTGCCCACATTCTACTTGGTATCAAGGAACCTCTTTTAAGTTCGCTGCAGCTCTCGCCGGTCCCTTCCCCAATTTCTCCAACCGATGTCACCCGTACATACATGATGTTCTCGCACACTGCCAAAGGCCAGCCATACAACCTTTCGCTCCTGTCATCCTTCCTTGGTCATAAAGAACTACCTCGCCTCATCGACTTCGAGCTGCTCACTGATTCCGTGACCGTTAAACGGACCGTCGGATTTGGGTGGTATGCCGGGGTGGCTGGCGTTTTTGAAGCTCTGTCCTCCTTGGCTCAATCTCATCTTGAATTTGGGGTTGCTTCGCCGTTCCTGGTATGCCTCATTGATTTGTGTTTCAATCATCGACTCTATCTGCATTTCAGTTGACTCCAAGACCGCATACTCAGCCGTCTTTGGATCATCTGCGGGCAGCTCTACGCGCCATTGGAGCGCGAATTGCTGCAGAGGGCACCCCGAAAGCATTGGGTCCATTCATCATAGGCCTCACTGGGTAAGTTCCGTGTCAGTTTCAATCATACATATTCTCACATGATTTTTTAGGACCGGAAATGTTGCAGAAGGCTGTCTGTCGGCTCTTTCGGAGCTGCCTATTGTCAAAGTCGCTGTGAAAGACCTCCCGGCCCTTGTCAAAGATCCGGATGCAAACTTACGAAACGTAAAGTACACCGGAGATTAGACATGGTATTTTAATCACCCATTTTCAGATATATCTTGTACATGCTTTACCATCTGACTACTTTACGCGTCTTGATGGTGGTAAATATACACGAGATCACTATTATACTCATCCCAACGAGTACTCGTCAAACTTTTCCCAAACAGTGCGTCTCAGATGTCCGTTTTCTGCGAAACTAAGTTTTCAAACAGATCGCCCCTTACCTCACTCTTTTCCTCAATGGCGCAGGCTGGGCTCCCGGATATCCACGAATCATGACAAATGAGCAACTGGCGATCTCACTTACACTCGCACAGGAGGTTGGCGGAGCCAGGTTCACGAACATCGGCGACATAAGTTGTGATCCCGAGGTACATATCACAGTTTCCCAAATAATCTCATCCTGATATCAAACTCACAGGGCGGCCTTCAATTTCTAACGCATGCAACTACGCTATCGGCACCCTTCTTCAAAGCCCGACCCCCTTCTCTTCCTCAACATTTACCTTCTGTGACAATTATGTCGGTGGACATTCTACCATCATCCATTCCTTTGGATGCTTCACGGGGCTTTTCTCGAGCATTGTTCCCATACCTGGAAGCCCTGATCGCATCGTATAGCGGCGGCGACACGAGCGGTGATCGTATTGAAGCTTTACATCGAGCGACTATCGCGAACAAAGGGGGGTTGTCCCCGCAACATCAGTGGCTCCAAGAACGCGTGGATGCATGGCGCGCATCGACGACGAAACCTTCAACATCTTCCCATGGCAATCTGAAGGCAAAGCATGTTTTGATGTTTGGTAGTGGCATGGTGGCCGGCCCTGCTGTGGACAAGCTTGCAGAAAGATCTGATGTTCGACTTGTGATTGGTTGCCTCTTTCTCTTATCGTTATTATACCATGCGTTTCTAAACTTTCGTTCACAGCTAGCAATTCTCGTTTGGAGATGGAGAAGCTACAAGGCACTCATTACAATGTACAGTACCGTGAAATCGATATGGGAAAACACGCCGATGTCTCGCGGCTTGTGGAAGAAGCAGATGTTGTTATCAGGTATGCTTGTTCCGCCAGTGCTCTTCGACGTAACCTCGACTATTAAGACAGTCTTTTGCCGGCCCCCTTTCATCCTGCAGTCGCTGAACATTGTATTCAACACAAGAAGCACATGATAACAGCGTCGTACATCTCTAATTCGATGAGCGCTTTACACTTGCGGTATGGCCATCTTCTGTTACTTTGGTTTCGGTGCTGATACTGATACAGCGCACTGGATTCTGATGTTCTTCTTCTCAACGAGATTGGCCTTGACCCCGGAATTGATCACTGTTCTGCGATCTCCCTCATCTCTAGGCTTCAAGCTCAGAACAAGAAAGTAGTCTCTTTCATCTCGTTCTGCGGCGGCCTTCCTGCACCCGATGTAGAGGATATGGGTCCACTGAAGTATAAGTTCAGTTGGAGTCCGAGAGGAGTTTTGACTGCCGCACTCAATTCAGCGAAATTTAAGCTCTTTGGTGAAGTACGCTCGCCTGGATCTGAATTCGAGGATATCATGTCATGCTTGTACTCTTCAGGAAAAGAATATTTCGGGAACCAATCTGTTGCGCTCGTATTTTGCTCAGGTGCCCGTGTTGCCCTCAGTGCACCTGGAAGGTTATGCAAACAGAGACAGTCTCCCGTATGCTGCCGGCTATCACCTAGGACCTCTTTCGAAACTGCGTACTCTAGTCCGAGGGACATTAAGGTGAGCATCAACAGCTCTGGATAAGATTGTTTAACTGGCCACAGATATCCCGGCTACTCAGAACGACTTCAATTCTTCAAAGACATCGGGCTTCTTGAACTGAACGGAATCATCGAACTGAAGGATTGGATAGACTTTATTCCTCTTTCGCAGAAGCTGAAGCAAGAACTTCATCCAGAAGACAAGCATATCAATTTGCAGTATGCAGAGGATGATGGTGGGCACCTCGAAGCTCTGCGCTGGCTCCTTGCGGGTCGCACACCACCTCTGCCCACTAAACCAATGGCTCCGCTGGACATATTCACAGTTCTCTTGGCGTACAAGCTCCAATACGCACCTCATGAGCGTGACATGGTTGTCTTATCCCACGAATTCATCACCAAGTCAGTCTCAGAGCCATTGGCACCGGAAGAGGTGCACACGTCATCATTGGTCGCATACGGTGACGACAAATATTCCGCTATGTCGAGGACGGTTGGATTACCTGTGGCCCTAGCGGCGCTGAAGGTGCTTGACGGGAAGGTGTCTGTGAGAGGAGTAGCGGGTCCTGGAGATGCGAGTATCCGGGAGCCGGTGCTTATTGGAATGGAAAGTGTTGGCTTGGGGATGGAGGAGATTTCTGGGGCTTCGGAAACAGTAGAGAAGGCTTTGAAACTTGGCGTTTCGGACCCATGAATTTCCGCAAATCATTACATTTTCCCCATCAACTGTACTATAGCATGATTATTCCTGCATACAATACAAAGATCTTTATCTAAAGTTGTCTTCAAGGTCCTCACGCGGTGTGTTCTTCTGGCAACGGTTTGCCTTGACAGTCCGCCGCGATGGCATGGTTTCATTGTCAGTCTACTTCATCACCTTCCATGACAGATAAAAGTTCAATGAATCCATCATTGATGCCAGGGTCTATGAGGAATGTGAGAAGTCTGTCTACCATAATCACAACCAAAGCAAGTTGGTCCTGCCACGAACTCGGTTTTCCCGGTGAAGTGTCGAGACGAGCAACAACGTGCGTTACTACGTTATTACCCCTCCAGTACGAGCACGGTCGCTTCCTTTCCATCTATTGCAAGGAAGATGAGTTTTACACAAATTAATCTTTATGAACGGAAGCGCTGTGACCATCCCTCCGAGGCCATCCCTTAAGCTAAGGCTTGCTTCTTTGGATTTGAAATTTAAGGTCCTCTAAGGAATCAGAGAACCAACCAAATGAATTCGGTCTGGTAAAATTGACGTTTCACTTTTCTCGTTTCACACGAGATGTCGTTGACTGTTGGTTGAAGTCCGATCGTGATTGGCACGTGACCATTCTATATAAGCGTGGGATTCAAACAGCTCAGCCTCTTTGTCTTTTCGCTTCCATCATCAAATCTCGACCTCGCTCGATAAGCAAAGTCGTTTCCCCAGCAAGAACATCTACCACCTCACTACCTTATATTAACAATGTCTGGACGCGGCAAAGGTGGGAAGGTGCGAGCCAGCAATGTTTGTGCTGCGGCTTCGGTGCTGACGATGCCTTAGGGACTCGGAAAGGGTGGCGCCAAACGCCACCGCAAGATTCTTCGTGACAACATCCAGGGTAGGGCGATTTTGCTGTCCAAAGTCGTATACCCTTCACAATGGTTTCTAGGTATCACCAAACCTGCCATTCGTCGTCTCGCTCGTCGTGGTGGGGTGAAGCGTATCTCCGGTCTCATCTATGAGGAGACCCGTGGTGTCCTGAAAATCTTCCTTGAAAATGTCATCCGAGACTCCGTCACCTACACGGAACATGCTAAGGTGCGCTACATTGTCTGTTGCTCAATACATTATGCTCACGAGAGCCTGTATCTAGCGTAAGACCGTTACTGCGCTCGATGTGGTCTACGCCCTGAAGCGCTCTGGTCGTACTCTGTACGGCTTTGGTGCCTAAACTATATTCATGTCAGTGAGTCAGATCTCTTTTTATTGCAAGTTTGTGGTGTAACTAACTGTTTTGGCCAGTTCCATTATAATTTATGTCTACGCTCGATTTGTAACACGATGTAATATGACTCAGACTTTTGAATTACGGTTTATAGTGATTCGTTGCCTTCGTCCATTTGAATGCCGGGTGATCACGTCAATGCTTTTATCGATAAACACGACCATCGAATGGGCAGGCACTGAGGTGTATACGAGAGTGATTGGTTGAATGTTGTCCTATCTACTGTAAGCATGATTGGGTCATGCCGCCTGTTGCCCGAGAACCTATATATTTATGCACTCTGCGTCAATTGTGAGGAAGTTGTAATATGCGTTGTTCGGTGGTGCACGCGTGATTGTGAGTAAAGTTTGTCTGATTGTATTATTAGTTTCGTAACTTGGGTATGTTACCAGACCCGCTGGAGAAGCAGACCTAACGCTGCCTACTTAACATTAATAGTGTCCCTCACATCTTCCACCACGTCGAATCAGCTCTAAGATGAGCCGAGACCTGCGCCGCAAATTGTTCGTCCGTCAGTGCACCAAGGTGTCCTGAACCCTTTGCACTCATTGCAATAGACTCCTCGTTTGTCCAGAAACCACCGCGCTCAATCATGGCGCCAGGATCATTGGTCACCCAGACCTTCACGGTGATGTAGAGCCTTTCGCTCTCCGCTAAAGGATTCATTAATAAGATGTTCATTTGCTGCAGAGGGTTGCACCTACATGGGATCCGACCTCCCTTCTCTATGAAAGACTTGAACTTCACATACAAGCTTTCGGTGTTGGAATAAACCTTGGCTTTCCAGTTTTGAATGGTTGATTTCTGCACCTTTAGGAGCATGGATGGCGGATGCGCCTGGTCCCGAAACCAATCAGCGACATCATCCATGCCGCCTTGAGATCCGTAGGCTGCCTGTAGACCCATCGCTCTGCACATCTCGTGCTGGAACCACACTATGGCATAATGTTTGTAGCAAGTCGTGTATGGACGCATTTGAAGCTTGCGCACAATCAGAACCAGGTCGGCAAACTCGGCATTCCACATGTGACGGGGCGGTGGATTGCGGTAGCTGCGTGTCCATGACGCTGTCGCTGGAGGTCGCAGTGAGGTCGAGGTATACAGATAAGAGTTTTCTATGGGCGCTACGTAAAATGCGCTATCAGGACCGTCTTGATTAGCCTGGAAACATCATTAGTGTGATGTTCGAAGATCGTTGCAATAATAACTCACTGATGCTGCTTGCGTTTGGTCCGTCAAGGATGACTGAATAGTCACTACGTGAGCACAAACATAGTCAATTGCCTTTTCTCACTCACTAAAGTTCTGGGAGTCTCAACGATTGCAAAGACGACAAAAACAAGGCTTTTATCGGGATCTATATGCAACTGGTTGCATGCGTTGCGAGTAGCGATATGTGTCGCGCTTGCAGGGTAAACGTTCCAAGGACAGCCCGTTCGAGGACATGGAACGTCGGCAGGGTAGGATTTATGTGTACCTAGGGGCCGAAGCTCACCCCAGCAGTCCTTATAAAACGCGGGAAAGGAGTTGGTCGAAAATCCGACCTTTTCATGTCGGCGAACGAAACGCAAGAAATCGGCCATCCTTCGAGGGAATGAAGCTGTCCCTTCCAGGGTCAACCGGGCCAACCACCAGTCCAGTAGACGGTCTGTCGAACTGAGATCAGCACTTGAACGTCCGCAGTATCAGAAAATCTCACCCATATGAAGCACTGCTTGGTCATCCTGAATCTCGAGAAATTCATTCGTGATTTTCTCGACCAGATTGCTGTCTTGACTGGACTCGTCTCCTTTGCCGTAGAATAGGATGATGTAAGGGTCTTCGCTGAAAAGATTACGTGACCGAGAATCTCGGACCTGTCCCTGCTGACTCGAAAAAAAAGACGACTGAGAAGCAGCATGAAGGCGACTACCGGACGCTCGCACAACTGGCGCTATCCTCTCACCCAGAAAAGATTGTAAGCCATTTGTAACTGAACGTTGCAATGAAGAGCCTGCTCTTACGGCAGGTCTACTGTCGAGCTCACCTCTCCACCAATCGAGGGGAGAGCTCGACAACGTACCAAATTTATCTGGATGCTCTTCGAAGAACACGACAGGGTCATCTTCATCGTCCTCGAAGTGGTCGTGCCCATCTTCTTCATCGGACTCCTCCTCCTCTGAGCTGCTCACAGGTACACTAGCAGGCGACGCAGGCAGAGAAGGGGACTGCTCGCGCTGAACTATACCTTGAAGGGGCATGACCTGAGAGGGCTCAGGATTCAAGAGTTGGTAAACATGTTTTACGGGTCGACGAGTCTCTGCTATGAATGTAAGAAATTTTTTTCACGAGCGAAGATTATACGCGTAAGACCTACCATGGTTGCCACCAAAGTCGCCATCATCAGCCTGCGGGAAGTCTCGAGGGTATGGATGAGAGCGAAGAGAGCGCGTACTGTTCAATCTCTCAACCTTAGGCATAGTAATGAGTGGCTCAAAAGTGCAGCCTCTGCGATGGTGAAGGACAAGCTATGATTGGCGCTGCATAGTTGTCTAGATTTTGGCCTTAAAAGGCCCTTCCGGCCGGCATCTTTTAGACTGTCAACGAGAGACGTATGGCACATTCTGCCAGAACTTGCCATTTACATACATGATTCCTGCCCCCTTTGTATCACCGTCAAGGTCGCCTAAACTGCTTCTCACATCAAGTAGAGCTGGCGCTGAACCAGATCTGAACCCAAAAAAAAAACATGGAGACGCATCGTTGGACGGAATCGGAGGAAGAGCGGCAAGATAGATTCCCGAAAAGCAGCTGAGCAGAATAGTGGTCCGTGTAATAACTGGTCCTCATACGGGAGCGACACCGTCGTTTACTCAACTAGACACACCGGAGCCCATAACCAGTCATTAGATCCAATTAACCAATTTAAATTTATGGGGACCAGTATCTGACTCACTGGAAAATAAAAGTCATATGATAGTACACGTATGCTAAAGATAAAAGCCAAGTCGTTATCGAAGAACTACCTTGTAACGATTTTATAGGTATGTTGGATAGAAAAGAGATAAAACTACAGAAAAACGAATGGTTAGTAAGCATATATGTCAACAAACTGGTCATGAAGGGTTCTCCGCGACGCGGTTCTGTGAAAAGCGGTCTGCATATGGGGGAGGAAGCTCCCGTACAGTTCCACCATCGCGGTGTTGGAATATTATCTCTCCTTCGCCTGTCGAAGTAACATTCTCGCGTCGCATGCTGTCCGATGCCGGCCGCTCAGGCCATGGACCGAACGCCCCCCCGTTTGACGAAGGCGGCATAGCCGATTGTGAGCGCTGTACGTTTTCCGCTGAACCGGTCGACTCAAAATTCGATGGCTCCATTTGTGCGGTGCTCAACCCCAATTCCATAGTTTTCTGACGGATAGATGGCGAAGGGAAGGTGGCGAAGCCAGGTCGAACTGAAGCAGATGACCCCGACGATGAAGTTTGATATATTCCCTCGGTTCCATCTTCCGCCAAACGACGAGGGTCAAAGGGCAACGGACTGACACCGGAAGATGGAGATGTGGTTATATCAGTCATTGCGGTTGTCCTGTTGCTGAAAGAAGATGATTTCGGAGAGTAGGGCATAACGGGGGTGTGGCCGACAAAGGCATTGATAGTCATCGCCTGGCTGCCGTTAGAATTCGTATACGGAATGATGTCGGGATCAATCTCTGCGTTCGTCTTCTGGGCTCGCCGTCTTCTGTACCAGAAGAACGAGGCTACCGTAGTTATCAGCAGGAAGCCCAAAACTCCCATGACAACCCCAACGATGATTCCTGTCCGTTTCTTGGCGTGCTGTGCATTTTTTTCTGCTGCAGCAGAGGCGTCCAAGGCAGTGGCGTTTCCGCTTTGACTTTGAAGTGAACCACAACCAGTGTTGGTAATACCTAACGGGGGTTATCAGTCTTCACCTTTTTTACTCTTATGACTACCACCGGGCTTACCGCTGGGCATAACAGATGGTGTCCCCCATGCAAATGCGCCCGTGCTAATTCGTCATCAGCTGATAAAATCTGTCATCTGGAAAGGTACGAACTCACACATCAGAAACAGCAGCTGTCAAGAGTAGATTAAGATAATGTTTTATGATATGTGAGATGAAACAAACAAACCTAACATGATTTGTCCGCTTGTGGCCCGATTGATATATGTGTAGGCATCATCGTCTCCTAGCGTGGTCACATTTGTGATTACAGTGGAATCAACCTGAGCAAAAGAGATATTGTAGGGAGGAACGCCTCCTTTTATTCGCAGGCCCCATGGCTGGCAAGGTTGTAGGTCTCCCGTGACGTTAGACTTAACGGTAAAGGAGGTGGTATCATTTCTTTGGACAATACAGTCCGTTGATGAACCAGCTAGGATAGGTATAAGCAATGCACAACGAGAGAACTGAACACAAAGCTTACTGCCGACCGTGAATAATTTGGGCGCATTTCCCCCAGAAGATCCATTAGCATCGATGACATTGAGTAGCAGCTGGGACCCTGAATTTTTGTTTCAACGTTGATACAGCGCTGCTGTAAACGTCAAAGGACTCACCCACAGGATTGTTGACCGTCCATGTTAGATTGTCCTCGCTTTCTCCCAACAGCGTAGTTAGCAGTTCTCCATTCTGCTCGTAAGCCCTCATATAAAATGGTGGTACACCATGAGTATCGTTATTAGGATCGTATGGTTTGACGGTAATACTGAATTCATGGCATGAGTCTAAGGTCGATGATACAGACTAGACAGGATGGTCAGTATAAAAAAAGCGACGGAAGCCCAAGCGTACATACATTGCTGGCGAACGCCCATTGAAAGATTTCCGAGCTGGCCTCGGCACGACACGGATCTAAAAATAGCAGCAGAGAGAGAAGTGCGAGTACCGGCAGCGAAAGCGAAGGTGGATGACGAAGAAACATCTTCGCAAGACGAAGGAAAACGAAAAGGCGACCTGCGATGTTGGAGGTAGGAGGAAGAGGTAGACGCCTGTACTCTAATACGGCCGACCTCCACCCTAGATCCTACTGGATTTGACGAATTGTCTGGAGGCTATGTCAATGCCGCCCAGTTCGGGTACTTGGCAAATATAAATGGGCAGCCCACCGAAAGGTTAACGAGTGGAAGATTCCTCTGCACAGAAGAGAGTACTAGTACTGGACGAAAGTCACGGTCAGTAGATCAGTTGGTGGTTCAATTGAGAGGCGTCCCATCCATCTATGCCCTTCATAACCAATGTTGGGAACCTTGATGGTTTATATTTATTTCCTCGGACCCGGAGCATCACTCACGTTAAGAATACGATAACGAGAGTCGGCAACGCACGAATGTACTCTGATCAATCCTGTCCGTGGGCGCTAAGCCGTGATCTTTGTCACCATCAGGGCCGTGTTTTCCATTCAGTCATGAGGCCGGCGTTTTTAGTATATTTATTGGCGGTGCGAATAGCGTAATATAGAAGACATACAAGGTAAGCTAGAGACTTGGCTTGAAACTTGAGCTTGAATGGTCGAACAGATAGATCATGACCAATGGCAATCGTGCAAGTCACGATCGTATATCGTGGGAATAACCACTACCTGCTGAAGAACCCTGATGCACCACTTGGTTACCGAAGTGAGCAACATTACATTCATTGATTATCGTATGTGCCTGTGGCAGCTACATAGCAACCCAGGAACAAAATGCTAGAATGACAACATGAGCGAAACTAATTATACGAATCATCATTGCGTCTGTGCGCCATATCCTCTGATGTCTTCGGCAAAGGACCATATCGTTTCCGCACTACGCGACTCTGAGATGGATGTGCCCGCAGCCGTGATTTTCGCAACTTGGTACTGTGTTCAGCTGGTGAGCAACAGCGGTCTTGTATAAAAATACAGAAACTGTACCTTGTTCAAACTCCTTGCATCTCGGTAATACAGCACTTTCATGCTATCTTCGATAATCTTAAGCGCCTCTTCCTCGGTGAGGACGTCCTCGTACCCCTCCACCGCCTTACGTAGAAGAGGCTGGGCAATGTAGGAACCATAACCAGTTGCCAGCGTTGACGCACTGTAAGTGGTCCCTAGCAAGTCGACGTATGCCAGAAATCTGCACGGACAGTCAGACAAGATCGGCTCCAAGACACTGATATCGCACCGCTTTCCGTCTTTGAATCCACCAACAAGCAGTGAATTCCATAGAGGGTTCATCTTCGACCTCCGGGCGTACATGATCTGAGAGAGGTACTCGTGGATTTCAGCTGGTCCAAGGCTGTGGCCATCGGCCGCGGTGAATTCGTCAACCATAAGTTCGTCCAGCACAGTTTGGATATATTGAAAGTCGGACATGTCCCCGCTAGCACCAATGACGGTATAGTCGCCCACTGCCTGAAGACGTTGGACATCCTTAAAACGGGCGAGCGAACCATAGGAAGCTGTAATTGTCGTCTTTATTGAGCGGCAAATAACTATACGAGCCTCATACGCACCGAGGTTGTCGGCAGCCATCATTATCCCGTCCTTGTACTTGATGGCAAGGACACTCGTTCCTGTGACTATTGGTTGTCTGAAGGCAATTAATGTCGCTGGATTTCGACGATATAGACAAGAAACGTACTGTGTATGCTGAACACCAGCTGAAAACGAGCCTTTGGATCCGTTGTAAGGCCGTTGTGGGATTGGGTACGTTCCGTAGAGGTCGACAGCATCGTTTCTCTGAAAACTGCCATCAATATTCAGAAATAAGAGGAGTGATAGCAAAAACGCACTGGACGGCCCCAGTTCATAGGAGAATGATCCATGGTGAAAGTGAAAGAATGGTTCTCACCTGACGCGCAAGCCAGGACGCGTACGTGGCTTATGTAAGCCAGCTGATAAGATCCATCCTAGATAAGATAATGCCCAATCGATATCCGATTTGTGAGGCAGTCGGAAACTTAAGATATTTTTATTCCAACTTACTACTACCGTCAAGACAAAGCCTAATAAATTGAATAATTCAATAGTTAAGGTTCATGTCGTACAATTAAATCCTATGGGAGCTAAAACGTTACTACATGAGATAATGCGACTAGTACCAGTTGTTGCTATGCCGTCAAATCCGTCCAACTGTATCTCAGTACACGGAGCGGCTCCGCTGCATTGCATCTTCGCCAGATACCCAGAATCGACATTGCCCACAGAAGACGCCCAAGTAACATCGGAAATTTGGAACAATGACGTGTCACATTCTCCCGTAGCGCCAGAGAACGACGTACACTGAGTAATATAGGCTACAGAATCGGTAAGGTCTTGGAGGATGAAGTCCCGGAACGCTTTTCTAAAATCAGTTTAGCGAGATACAAGTGTCGCATTAAACTTAACTGATGTTCCTGGCGTATCCGAGACCGCCACCTCCACCTATACAATCCAACGTAGAATTCAGTTGGTCAGGGGATAGGCAGCAGCAGTACAATGTTCACAGACCATTTGGCGGATAACCCTGCTGGACGCCCGTCCACGTCTTGATGTAGCCGGCGTATCGGGTTCCAAGGCACGTTACTCTTTCAGCGGTAACGTTCTCTATCCGTTCGAACACACCAGGATATTGCCCAATAGATCTGTCTCCGAATACTAATCAGATTCGGACTTTGGCACTGAAAAGCGTCCGCCCTTACCCAATAGCAACGCCCAACCCACCATGGAATACCGAGTCTTGGATTAAAATGTTAGTCGAATTTGCTTTCATGGACATATTATCGTCTCCTCCAGTAACGGTCCAATTTCGAAAAGTGATCCGGTTTGAATAGAACGTATCCACACCGTCTGTGTTGCGTGCTGGGGCCTGTAAATTGAATTTGTGCCTTGTCCAACTCAGAGAACTAAGGAAAACTAACCGAGCTGTTGCTGGTGGAATTCACATATATACCCTCCAGCAAAACATCTTCCGAGTTTTTTATGGCCATAGTCCAGAACTGAGATTGCACAAATCGGATACCCGAAAAGAGCGAATTTGTAGTGTTGGTGATCATAAGGCTTATAGGCCGACCTGGTAAATTCGATACACCGTTGGTAAAGTCGTACCTACACGGTCTCGTCAGTCACCGTGACGACGGCCGCCATAGAAATTCAGCTCACCAAAGCTGTCCGTTACCGTCAAGCGTCCCCACCCCATGTCCTCGAAAAATTACTCTGTCCCCTCCGAACATCCACGCCGTAGTCATATTCTGGTATGCCAATGGCAGCCCATTTGCGCGCCAGTACGTGATATTGGTTCCCCACTGAAATGACAGAGAGTATAAGCAACTGCTTGCACAATCCATGCGGAAGGACCGACAAGCATGATCCCGCGGAGATCGACCAAAACATCCCGAAGGTTAGTGGTGTTCATCACCGACTCTACGTGGTAGAGTTTGTCCTGTAACACAACTGTTCCGCCTTGTCCGCATCGATCAAAAGCAGAGAGGATAGCAGGAGCATCATCGGAAGAGTCGTTGCTTGCATGAACATGGCACACGGCCCCTCGCTGAACCATGTAGCCAGCCTGGGCCGTCAAGGGTAGAGTAGCCAAGACAAATGTCCAGAAGGGTTTCATCAGAAATATGAGAAGACTCTCTTGCAGCGCACATGCATGGTTTTATGGTACGAATCAGGACCCGAATTGAATGTTGGACGTCGAATGCCCATGTGAACTGACTTCCATCGTTGCAGCGGGCCGTCCGGATTCTTTTTAGAGAGTAAAAGATCACAAGAACGTATTCTAGGACAAGGAGCATCCCAGTATCAAGAGTACAAACAAGTATGACTCTATCTAGGTCAAATTATAAGTGGGTCACCAAAATAACAAGACAATGTCGCGAACATAGTCATCAACTGAAGAGGCAAGACGTTGATCAATTCTTTCTGCGCTTCTTCGTGTCTCTCATGTCTCCATTTGCGATGTCAGTCCTCTTCCCAACCTTGCCTGCCTTCTTGTTGACCACGCGTTGCAACGCGCGCTTGGTCTCGCCATCCGGAAACGTTGATAGATCAAAGTAGTTCTTTGCATATTCTAATAGCCTACAAAGACGATTCTTATCAGTCCAAGAAGTCCAAATAGAAGATGCGAACATACCATTCAGGGCGAACATCGGATACCGTGCGAATATAAGGCCTCTTCGTCAACACAAATTCGTTGAAGATGACCCATTCGGGTTGGGTGTCAAGGCCACAGGACGGGTGAAGCGCCACAACCTACATACAATATCAGTCACGGGGCCTAGAAGGCAGTAGAAGGACTATACGAACCTGGTTGTCCTTGACCGTAAGATAATTTCCTTTCTCTCCCTCTTTATGCGCCACTTGCATGAAGAACCCACAAACCAGTACTTGACGAATGCTCTGGTACAGTTTCTTCTCGTCTGAGAGTGAAAGCAATTCCACTTCGTATTTGGCCATGGTTCGCTCCAGCTGGGCACGGACGTTGTCTGCCTGCGCAAGAGCCCGAGCAGAGAGGAAGTGGTTGTATAACCAGCTCTTGTCATATTTGTCTGTAGGGTTATATGAGCGACCTTTTTTGGGAACAAGATGGACAAGGACGTACTCTGAACATATTGATTGTAGACATTTAACATGGTAAGATGGTCGCCATCGGGGACAGTGAGTAGGGCTTTCGCCGCATCGGCTTGGTTACGTGCATTTGGCGGTCGTATCCACACGTTAGGTACTAAGCGTTTCCGTTAGATGACTGATGGATAGACAGAGGTAGAATGGACTGACCGGAAAGCATAGCGGTGATAGTAAGAATTTCATTACTGCATTTGAACTCTGGGCTTATGATAAGCATTTTTGCGAGCTAAATCAAAACAAGAAGTTAACTATGATAACTGCCTCGCTGTAAAGTCGGACACACCTGAGGATCGAGCGGGAACTCTGCCATCACACTACCCAATGGTGTTAGGTTACCGTCGTCATCCAATGCGGAGAGGAAGTTCAGTAACTCCAAAGCCCGCATCAAAGTCTCCGGAGCCGGAGCATCGACGTAGTCAAACCGTACTAAATCCTGTAGCCAATCAATCAGTGTCAGTATTTTGTGAATGGGGATTCTTACCTTAATACCAAGCTTGACAAGCTCCAAGACCGTGTTGCTCAAATTACACCTCAAAATCTCCGGATGAGTTTGCTCTTCGAGCTCGTTCATGAAGTCCTTCTCCGTATAAAGCCGGAAGCACTTCCCTGGCCTCGTACGGCCGGCACGACCCGCTCTTTGTTGGGCAGACGCTTTAGAAATAGGGCTAACCAGCAGACTTTCGACTCGAATCCGGGGGTTGTAGACCTTTTGTTTGGAGAAGCCTGGATCAACGACGTATACAATTCCGTCTATTGTCAAGGATGTCTCGGCAATGTTAGTTGAGACAACGACCTTTCGGCCGGGAGGACCATCGGAGGTTCGAGGAGTCGGTGCAGGGTCGAAGATACGCTGTTGCTGTTGAGGGGGCAGGGAAGAATAGAGAGGAATGCAAACTAGAGGGCCGACAGAGTCTGGGTCCTGGTTTATCAGATCGTCCGCTTCAAGCTTGATTTTTCTACAAGCATCCTCTATCTCCTCTTCACCGGTGAGGAAAAGTAAGACGTCGCCAGGCTCTTCAGCACGATGGATCATAAGGACAGTTCGGATGGCAGCCTCGACGTAGTCGGGCTCGGGTTCCTGGGTATAGAATACCTCCACAGGATGTGTGCGACCTGGTACTTTGAACAGAGGTGCTGGTGTACCAGCGGTAAGGCCAAAGTACTTTTGGAATTTGAGAGCATCGAGGGTCGCAGACATGATGATGATCTTGAGGTCAGACCGGCGTTTTGCGAGGTCTTTGAGGAGACCCATGAGGATGTCAGTGGCAAGCGTCCGTTCGTGCGCCTCGTCTAGGATGACAGTGGAGTATCGCTCGAGATTGGGATCATTCATTGCTTCTCGGAGAAGCATACCATCGGTCATATATTTGAGGAAAGTCGTCCCAGGCTCTGTCATGTCTTCGAACCGAATCGAATAACCGACGTGTCGACCAAGCGAGACTGGGGGCAAGATAAATTTTCTGGGTAGAAGTGTGTCAACAACACTCACCATCCATTTCATCGGCCACCCGCTTTGCCACCGACATTGCCGCAACACGACGAGGTTGGGTACATGCTACGACCTTGCCTTTTGTGTGAGGTAGATCTGAGTACGCGACGAACTGAGGTATTCTATTGCGCAGAAGTGAGACTCCGTATCATAAGAGAGAATGAGCAGTACGTACTGTGTCGTTTTTCCTGACCCAGTTTCGCCAACCATAACAATGATCTGATTCTCATTGAACTATTGAAGACATCAGCTGAGTCGTTACTTGAAGAAGAGGAGCGCTATTTGAAGAGGGGTCGGCCTATTCCTAAGGGCAACAGAACTCAAACCCCTCCTTAAATCTAACGCGCATTTGACTCACCATCTTGAAAAAGTCATCCATCTGTGAATACACGGGTAGCTTTTCTCGCGAGGAAAGGATTTTCTTGTACTGTGCAGAATGTGGCTGCTTCGTGAATGGATTAATATCGTGTTCCTAAGTGCGTACTGTTAGATAGAACATTGGACTCGCAGAGGACCAAAACGTACCAGCGCCTTCCGTGCCTCTTCTCCGGTGACTTTCCTAGGTATAAAACCAAAAAGTGGCTCATTTGAGGTATCAATTTTGGTGTTGGATGGTCCGGCGCCCCGCTGAGAAGGAGGCAGATGAGCGAGGTATGGATTGTCCATAACTTTTTTCAGAGATGGCGGTTAGAAGGATAGCAAATAATGATTAGTCATCAAAACATCTACAGATTTATCCCCACGGGTGTGCGGTTCACCTCGGCTTGCGTCTCGGTCCGCTCACCTATGTCGTTATACCAGGTGAAGTTGGATAAGAAAAGCTCTAAAAAGCCGTTCTGATAAGTTGAAAAAAAGTGGACCAGCGCCACGTCCCCAGGAAATCCCGCCTACAGTCGATTCTGCCCAGTTATGAGCGTATCACTTCAAAAAACAACTCTTGTCTGTAAAGTATCATTAGATTACAAGGAATATTCAAGTAAGTAGAGGGTGTCAGATCTGCTCTACGGGTACACAACTTGGTTAAGTCTGCTCGCAAAATGCCTGGCCAACTCTCCTTTATGAAGTTTATTCAGGTAATCGATCCTGTTCTTCATATGTTTTCTCGCTTGGCCACCAGACAATAGATGGAATCCCGGCGGCGGTTCCCTGCTAGCACTTTTCACCAAAACCACAGGGGCGACGTCCTGGGGCTCTACAAGATATCCTTCCGCATCCCTCACTTCCTCTCTCGCAGGAACTAACACATAAATGGGGTCGGCAATTAGATCCCGCTCTTCATCCAAAGCGTTCACGAGCTCGCTGATCTCATCTAGGACATCCTGAAGCTCTGAGGGAATCTTTAAGGTATCGGAATCCCCCTGTGACTGCCAAGGCAGATCCTTCCTTTCCGTTCGGCCGCTCTCGTCAAGGTCATAGATCAGGAATGCATCGTTTTCGTCGCCAGGGAGATACTTTTGCTTCACTTCCTCTTCGCCTTCAATACGATATGTTTCTTTCAGCTCCTCTGCACGTTCGTACCACGATCCAATACCAACACCAATAACCCTCTTCTCCCAAGGAATCGGAGCATCCAAACCCTCACCATTAAGACCTCGTCCTCTGTCCTCCGGGCTGAATCGTATTCCAACCAATCCGCCCCTCGCCCCAGCAAGGAGTTGCGCCATTTCAACCGCAAGATCCTCCATCCTCTGCAATCGGAGACAACGGAATCGGTTACCCAAGGTCGCAGTCGACTTTCGGTCGTGGTTATCAAGGGTAGCGTGGAAGGGCAACCCACGCGATAAGGATCTTGATAGACGCACAATCGATGCCCCCATCGGACGCGTGGCCACCGTCAACGCAAGGAGCGGACGCCAGAACGGCTCATTTTTTATCACCTGGGAATACTCCTTCCTGAGTGTAGCAACAGCAATTTGGTGTTTTTCAACAGCATCCTTGTCCGAGTCCGACGCGTCGGATATGACGGTGTGTGTTAAAGCTTCGGTCTCTCCTCGAGCCATAGCAGGAGTGGGAGGTATGAAACCAGATGCATGTTGTGGAGGCTGAGAAGAACCCTGTGTGACAACACCGCTTACTTCTGTAGGTATCTTCTCGTTCCGTGGTTCCGTGTGTGCGACGACGTCACCAACCATCGCGCTGGCTGTCAAGTCTGCCATGAGTGCGCCATCTTTGCTCTCCGTCTCTCGAATAACCTTCCACTGCTCAGCATCCACTGCGGCATCAGGATTGTTGGATCCTTGACGGACCGGGCGCATATCGACTGCGTTGGGAGGAGGAAGAGGAGATTGAGCAAAGCCATTCGCAGAGGTTGGAGGCTGAAAACCGCTGGGATGATGGAAGGTGCCGTCGGAGTGCTCAACTTCGAAGGGAACCTTTTCCTGCCTAGATATTATCTCCGCGTTGACTGTACTAAGATCGGCCTCTCTATGCCGCTGAACTACAGCTTCGGTCTGCTTCAGTTTATCCTTTGGACGTTCGGGGCGCTCCCGACGAGGCGGTGTGGGGGACGTCGCAAGATCAGCGGCAACATTGGGCGAAACAACGGGCTCTTGCAATAGATCGTCCTCGTCCTTCTCTAAGCTGCCCTTCAGCTCGTTGTTAAGGTTATAAAGAACGCGCTTAAGTCTCTTTTGTGGTGTCCAAGGCCACCGGGCGTTGTCCATGGATTCCAAAGCTTCACTAGGGGCTCGGAGCGAATTGTACCTCTTTAAGACAGCGTCGAAATCAACGGCACGGCAGAAAGCAACGATATGGTCAACACATTCCGTGCGGCCGACGCCAAACTTGATAGGGTAGCGAGATTCCAGGAGAAAGATGGTATGGGGTTCATATGCCGCATGGTGGGGAGTCTCGTACATCTTTGCGTTGGAAAGGTAACGTCCACCACTGAGCCAATTGCTCATCCGGAATTCTTTGGGCCTCGTGAAACCACCCATATAGCTAATGAATTTGGTAAAAATCAAGCACGGACGGGAAGAAAGCAGGTCTACGCACGTTTTCACGGGGGTCAAGGCCATCGTTATGTCCATACGTTCATCTTTCTCGGCCTTTTTTATACGACGAGACAGCTGCTTTGCCAATTCCCGCTCTGGAACGGGAGGAGCATCATTGAGGATTTGGCCGAATATATGGCCTTTTCGCCCAAGACGAGCAGAACGAGCAAGAGTGGCCTTCATGATGCCTGTATTGGATGGTATTTCATGTACCACAAGGCAAGGTCGAACACAGCAACGGCCTAAAGTTGTCGGTCTTTTGAAAAAGGTACAATTATCAAATTTTCCAGGATGAGACCGTGTTTACGGAAGCTTGGCTGCAGGCTCTGCATTCCCGGGCACATATTCCATTCCCCGAAGAGCGAAAAGATTCCTGAATATATTCCGGTACGATAAACTAGGTCCGACAATGGATAGGAAATTTTGGTGACCTGGTATTCCCACCTCCTCAAAAGGAATGTACGTATGAACGTTCTTGGGGTATAAGTAAGAAGCAGACAGTGACATGGCACAGAGGTAACAAAAGAAGAGCCGTATAGGAAGAAAAATGAATTTCCACTATCTCCGGCTAGTGCCCCGTCCATAACCAACCTGAAGGTTGTCTAATTCGGCCTCCAGCTGTTTGATGGCACCATGGGCGAGCTCCAAATCCTTGTTGAGACGATCGCGTTCGGCAATAAGCTGCGAATCAGGACATCAGTATACATCCGTTGGTTTCACACGGGGAACTGACGTGTTGCTCCCATTGCCTGAAACGGGACTCCTCGGCCTTGACCTGCTCGGTGAACCTCTTGCGCAGCTGTTCTTCTTCTTCCTTGAACTTGGGGTTGTCCAATTTCTTCACCTTTGGTTCGCCGAATTTACGTGTTTCCATCTGTTGTTGACGGTAGTTCTCATAGTGAGAGTCTTCCGTCGTAGAGATGAGATCCAGCATATGTGTTCGAATGAGCAGAGAACGGAGCTTCTTGAAGTCACAGTGGTTCTCGTTCTCGACTACGATGAAAGTCAGTAATGAGGAAAGCAGCCAAACTACGTCAAAGAGACTCGGCCCCGTAAATAAACGCAACCCTTCAAGTCCCGGGCTCTAGAGCCTGACTGGACCCCGAAAAAACAAAGAGTCCGAGACGCAAGGAAATCGACGAGCGACCCAACTCACCTTCAGCAACTCCCCAAAGGTATTCACGACCCTTAACAATACGACCATCAGGAGTTTTCACGTCCTCCGTTGAGCCGATGATAGAGAATGGGATGGCATCAGTGAGAATGCGTGCGTGGTCCGCACTCTCGTCATCAGCCTCCACAGGAGGAGTGTAGATGCGGATCCCTTGGGCGGTAATGACCTCACGAATCTAAACCGGTGTAAGCGCCCGTCTACAGCAGAAAAGGCAGCAAAAACATACGCGCTGCTTGAAGAGGAACAGGTCGTTCTGCGTCAACGTATCCGCCTTTGCAACAACAGGGATAAGGTTAACACGGGTGCCGAGGCGCTTCATGATTTCGATATCCAGAGGCTTCAAGCTACAAAATGCAAAAATTTGAGTAAAAGGTGCTGCGTGCACGTAATGGTTACACACGTATGGCCAGTTGGTCGGATGAAGTACAGACAGGCATGCACCCTGAGATCTGTCTTTTCATGACGCTGGGGTTGCTGCTCCTGACGCATATAGGCTTCATGCTGGTCGTCAATAAAGTCGACAATGGGCGACCAGGAGTCGCGGTTGTTGACATAGTCGCCAAAGCCAGGAGTGTCAATGACGGTGAGCTTGACCTTGAACTGCTTCTCCTCGAGCTCAGCCTTGATGATTTCGACCTCGGTGAGCTTGTCGAGCTGCTTGTGATGACGCTTGTTGTAGTTTTTTGCAGGCGAGAGCTCGGTCGAAAAGAGCGTGTTGATGAGGGTGGTCTTGCCAAGTCCAGATTCACCTGCAATGATAAGCAATCAATAACAGTACCACAACGCCATAATGATACTACTCACCGACAACCATTATCGTGAAATGCGCCCCGCGCTTGGCGACGATCTTGTGTTTCTATTTCCACCCGTCAGTACGATTATTCAACAAAAATCCATCCAACAGCAATACCTGGTTGGGAAGATTGGCAATACCGATGCCATCGAGGAAGGGAATGGGGGCAGCCATTGCGTGAGCGTGGTTCAGAGGCAAAAATTAAGCTGGCGTCGTTTGATGGGCCCCTCTATTTGACTCTGTTTACCTCTCGTGGCGTGTTCGGTCCGCTCTTGGGTCGCACGGGCACCGACGCTGGAGTTTACGAGGACTACTATTGTGCGGCCATAGAATCTATTTCAAAACCAAAATCCTCAAGCGGTTTTAGGATCTAAAATGGCTCGATTCTGCTTCACAGACGCACACACAAAGCCCGAAAACAGGGGATAGAAGAACATACAAAGAAATCTGTGTACGTACTACCCATTTTCCGCATTGCGGACCTGCAGATCTGGTTTCGAGCGTGTCAGCATTCAAAATTCACGGGAAGACGTAGAATGAATACCGATATCTGTAGCTGCCAAGGCCAAAATACGACGGCAGGAGTCCAGGTCTACGCAACCGACAGTGAATTATGTTCAATTACTTTGTCAAAGGTAAAATGAGTTACCAGCCTGATAGAAGAGAAGAGAACCCAAGCAGTGACAGGCAGCTTGATGAGAATTGTGATACAGCGAAGCAATCTTCCGACATTCATATCGTCATAGGGAGCGAAGGAAATTTGCTGTCGCTTCAGCGCCTTGATACAGTAGATAGGGTGCTGAGGCCCTTCTTGGGCTTAAGATGTGAATTCGGCGCCAGTGCGGGCACAACGGGTAAATGTTAACTGACTCTTTCATAGAATTCGTATATTGCGAAAAGCGTGTCATTATTCAGGACGATAACTAACATGGAGATACGAAATGGGTCCTTCTTCCGGATTGGGAGTGGAATCACTTCGCTGAGAAAACACATAAGCATCTTATAGAAGACAAAGGACAAGGAAAGCTCACCAAAAATGATCATGTCAAGCAGTTGGGGGTTACTGGATGGAAGATTGGGCCAGCAGGATGTGTGAAGAGCATAAGTTTGCATAACAAGTATTCAAGCGCAAAGGATTCCATCGCCATATAGCTCTTATGTCCAATTGGGACCGAACAGGTATGCACCGTGACGAAAATACGTTCGCGAACGCTAATAACTTTCGGGACGCATCCCCCACATAGGTGCTTCACTGACCGGGTTCCATCCGCGACAGACAAAGTAGCTCTCAGGTGACTCCGACCTGCTCGATGGCGGCTTGATGTATTGGACGTCGCTGAAATGGGGTTCCAGTTCCTCTTTCCGAAACTCGTTCATAGCCTCAAAAGAAAAATGCTTCAGCCTACGACGCGTCAGTCATACAAGAATGAGCTAGAGAAAAGGAATATACATACACCAACACGCCTCCGAGTCGTCTACCAATCTGCTTCTCCGTTCGTAAATGGCGCGCCGCAAAGTCTTGCACCGCTAGACAAATTCTATACGACTGCTCCGTGTCATGTAAAACGTTTCCAGAAAAGTCGGGGGCCATGTCCGAGAGCACGACGTCCACCAAGGCTTCACCCATCTTCCGTCGTCTGAGTCCAGGTATGGACGAATCCAAGAGGTCTATAATCGCATCATCCGTTTTGGTCTCCAGGAAGTCCATCTGAAGAGATCGAACGCCAGGAATGGGGTTCATTGGAAGGAGATCAACAGCAACGATGGTCCCACGACCTTTGCTTTCACTACGAGCAATCTCCTCTTCCATATTGTCGATATTGAGGGGGTCGTATTCACTGCCAGGACGTGACGACTCGTGTGTTCGTTTGGGTCGTACCCGGGGAAGTGTAGACGGCAAAGGCTCAGTGTCTTCGTCAGACCCATACCCCAAACGCTGAGATACCACTTGGCTCCACCCTCCAGGCGCCGCACCTAGGTCGAGGACGACTTTTACATCGTCATGATCGAGGAAATGGAGCAGGCCATTGAGTTCGAGAAGTTTGAACGCGGAACGAGACCTGTAAGACGAAGATGCTCGTTGCTTGACGTAGTGGTCACGACGCTGACGGGCTATCCATTGTGTAGATGATTTTTTAGAGAGAGCGGCGAGGGTCGGACGAAACGACATGCAAGACGGCTGGGAAGAAAATGCCTTTTATTTGGTATAATAAACAAACGCGCTTATGTCACTTTGCCACCAAGGGATAGCAGATTGAAGGTCTACAAGTCATTAAAGTCCTCTTTACGCAAGACCCTTCATTAATATCATTCGCGTGGAATAATCGTACATACAGTTCCATCGCTGCTGTTCGAAGGGATCGATCCTTACCGCGGCGGAGCGGGATGGGATCATCGTACAGAGGATCGCGGTTGCTACTGAATGTGAGGAACATGCGTCTCTTATTTTGAGTGTTTTCAGTAATCTACAGTCCCCCGACTTTCAGTCATGAATGACCACCGATTCGAAGAGCTTGGATATCGGGATGCTCGTTCCTCACGTTACGAGTTGAAACAGGAGTCTCTCTATTAATAGTGTTACAGCAGGTACGCTTTATCGTGATATACACGAAACCTCTTTTGCTCAGAACATGAAGCTCAGAGCGGTCAGGATCGTCTTTGCACTCGTCACGGTGACTTTGTCTGGGTCCTCCTCTACTGCAAGAGACATAACTTGATTGTCGTTGACAATCATGACATAGCGCTAGACCGTCTTCATGAGCCCGGAAACAGACGCAGGCGGACAGGCATACCTTGGATCGAGGGGTACCTAGCAAAGGAGTCGCATCAAAAACGAGGCCCGTTGCACCGGTGAACGTAGCTTGATCGTCAGCCAGAAAGTGTATAGCTGCGGCGAACGACGGTTAATATATCCCCTGTCTATAATCATCGGAAAATCACGTACGGGTGCTGTTGGGAGCGAGCTTCTCCTTCCAAGCACTACGCGTCGAAAGGGTCAATTCTTGTATGTAGATGGGGGAGAAAGAGCCCACTTCATCACGAACTGATCATTAACCCCCACAACATATATCCCCTCGACTCCTTTAGCCTTGAACGCCTCGTACTCCTCAATATACCCCGGAATTTGGGCGCTACACGTTCCCGTGAACGCTCCTGGTACACCGATCTACTTGTCTTAGAGTCAAAGCATGACAGAAAAATGCTCTTACGATGATGTTTTTCCCAGTCAAAGACACAGTTTCGGCGTGTTCCGGGGATGTCTCCTTCACGGTCAGAGGCGGAAGAGGTTTTCCTGGGGTGATCTGAGAGGCGCTGAGGAGGGTCGCAGCGGCTGAGTTAGCGATTGGGATAGCTCCTGTAGTGAGAGACGACATGGTGGAGGTAGAAGGAGGGATCTCAAAATTGGGAGTCTGAGGAGGCGTCTTTATGTGAAAAAAGCGAACAAGAAAAAGGAAATACGTCTGTCTCCTAAGTCCCTGATGTCGATCAGGTGGTCGAGTTTGCTGGGAATTTACGGATTTATATTAATTATAGTTGTACACTATCCATGCGGGTGCTAATCAGTGCAATATAGAAAGTTAATCTATTCAAGCTTGCTACAAAAAATCTGCATCAGATTATATGCCTGACCTCTGGGAAAGTTTTACCTTCGCAACTATGTCCACTGTTGAAACATCAAAAGAAAATTTGTCTGGAGGCAGGATATCAATGGTCTTCGTGTTGTCCTTATCTTCCTGATCACCCTCAAGCTGCAAAGGAGATCCCGGACTCGTGTTGTTCTGTATATTCTGAAGCTCGACATTGAATCTAGCATCTGACAGATCGAAAGACTCGTGTGCGTCAAGACTTGCGTCCTCCCTCCCTCCACGGATCCGCCCTGCCATACGGCTGTTGCAAACAGCAAGGACGGTATTCGAATAGAGCTTTGCCAAGCAAACTGCTGGGACACTATGGTAGATGTCATGGGGACAGGCGAGGAAAAGCACTATGTCAATGACAGCAAAAGCGGCTACCAAGGTGGCAAATAAGCCAACGTGATCCATTTCTTGTTATACTATAAACTAACCTGTTAGTATCCCGGTTTCAACGGTCAGACGTATCAACCTAGAAACAAGTACGCGAGTAGACATGAGGCCAGTACTAGCAGCTCGATTTAACTATAAACAGCAATGGAACAAATCAGCCGAAAGATGAATGCTATGACCGAAGGCTTACATGGTAAGTCATGCATAGTGCGATGGCAACATCACACAAAACGCTCGCACTCAACCACACCTGCGAGTAGTCGGTAGAAGGGAAGACACAGTGACGACTTACTCACCAGTATAGGCACCTTGGCTTTCGCATAAAGATCTGAGAAATAGCCATATCTCCGTGCTTGAATGCCACAAGCGATGGCACCCGCAAATTGAGTAAAGGCGATCTTTGATTGAATCAGTTTTTAGGGACCCAGCGGGCTGTCGTATGCACAAAGCTTACCACTGAAAGTATCATACTTAACCATGGTGCCTTCTTACTAAACGCATACATTCGCCAGGCATAAAATAATTGAGAAATACAGCCAACTACTGGTGTTTCAGAAACTCGAAGCATAAAGCATATGTGAAAAGGTGCGCACTTAATCCAGAAAGAATAGGAACGGAGAACCAGGTGAGATTGACTTTATCAAGGGCAGGAAAGTTCCCAAAATCGAAACAGAAGATGTCAAAAATGACATAGGCATTGAGGATAGTCTGAAGTGTCTCGGTGAACCAGAGAACATATACAATGCCCTTGGACGCCAAACGATCCTTTGGAAATGAGATGTAGTATATATCTTTGAACGAGGTGAGTAAACAATAGGGAAGGACGCGCGTGCAATGACAGGACCACTAACAGACTTGAGTGCACAGAACGCCGTATAAAATGAGGTTCAAGAAGCAGCCAATCAACTGCATGAGAGCTGAGCGACGGCCTTTCCAGCAACTAGGTTTGAAGTCATACCAGAGGACCCGTTCTGTGGTGTTTAAATCAACAGAGAGAACGGCATGATAGCGTAGAAGCATCACTGACAGTTTATATGCACCTGAAAGTGCTGTGTCAGTGCCTTCCGCTAGCGTGCTACTAGGTAGCGTGGACATTGAGGAGTATGGAGGTGGAAATGCCTATGCTCAGAACGCGGCTGAGGTTGGGTGGAATCATCCAGCCTTATAAGACGAGCGTGGAAGAATTCAACGCGGGTTCTCCTTCCGCGATGACCCTAGAATCCTATTAGATCGATCGCCACAATCCAGAAATCCACTAAGAGCAGTATTATAATATAATAGAAAGCCAGTGCCCTTATCTCTGCGGAGGCCTGGGAGCAGATGAGGTGAGCGTGGAACCGCGGCGGACGTTTCTCGAAAAGGCAATCTGGATTCAGTGGACGATCATGGTTGGGAACCTTCTGCGTTTTTTCTTCCATTAGGAAACTCCAGGAAACCGACTCCAAGTGACGCGTGACGGAAGTGAAATTTGGAAACTGATTGAACTCTGAACGGAAAAATGTTCAAAATTTGTAGTGTTTGGACCAAACTTTGGGGCCCGTCACTGGCACGCCTAACATCGGGAAACTGGCCCTCCACAATGCATGATGGAGAAGAAATTAGGAAACGAAACCCAATCGCCGTGATGCATGATGGTTTCCTCCCTATATGGTATAAAGCAGCTTGCCAGGCTACGGTATGATTAGCATTCTGTCTTGGATTAAACTCCATCTATACTGGAATAGGTCTGTTGTGTAGATTGCAGGTGTCAATGGATCGACTCGTATCTGTAGATATCAACTCGGGCCTAGGGACTTTCGATTGCGAACTTCAAGTTCGGGACTAGCTTTCCGATTGTGCTTATTGACTGAAACTATGGTGGCTACCACGATGCGACGGTCATCCTGGTCGAGAAAGTAATGTACCTGTCGACGGCGATCTTTTGTACTCAATTGCGTGAACGATATCAGATTCCATACCATTTCCGATGGAATCCCGGATCCGATTCGTCGCAGATATTCTTTTAAGATATGTCGATCTCTTTTCCAAACGTTCGTCAGGCCAGGACTGTCAGGAGCGGAGATCTATTCAGATTCCTCAAGTATTCTAGAATGCTCACGGTAAATTTGGTAGTAAGCGTTCATGGCGAGAATATAATAATAGCTGTCTCTAATAATATATTGGAGTGTCAGCGACACTTTACGGTAGCTGAACCTTTTCTTTTTTGTCACCGGAAACTCAGTTCCGAGATGGTGATGGAAACTGGATTGAGTTTTGGCCGCGTTTATCGGAACTGATCAGCCTTAAGTGAATATATCGGAGTACATAAATGTTGGAAAATTAGCCACGACAAACATAAATCTTAACCCAAGACACGCTCGCAAAGCACCCCAGGCTTTAGCCAACCGCAGAATCAAATGAACCAATTAGCCCACCATGAGGGCGCAAAATACCATACATGTCCATTACTCTACTCCACATTACATGCCAAAACACCCGGGGAACTCAGAAGGAAGAGTGGAGGGACTGGAACAAGAGGGAAGGAGGATCCTGAGGCCTTGCACCTCCACTGCATCTTAGTAATTAGCTTACTTGTTGCGGTTAATCAAATGCTGAAAACAAAAAAAAAACATAAATCTTGTCCTGTTTACTGCCAAGTCATACAATTCAGTGAAATAATCACTTGAATAGATCATGATGCCTGCAATTCACGACGGATAACCATTGGGCTCAGGGGGGGTGGTTTCACCAGGTTCGTCCTGGGTAGAATTTCAGCTGCAAAGACAAGCTTTCGGAATATCCCTGTTAGATTCCCGGGGTAACCCAAGTACCTTTCCTTCGTCTTTGGGGCCTCCAAATGCCGAGTGTACACCTTCTCTGCTGCATTTCTTGACACGCGTCCATGGACGATGACTGAGCCCAGACTATATATGACATATTCTCCTTGACGTATGCGGAGATCTCTTTCTGGTGAAATACTCAAGTCTGGAAAATGTCAGGAGGAGGAGGACATTTTATTCTGGTCACTGTCCCTGAGAAGGAATCTGTTTACGTGTGAGCCACCTGCCTAAATCACTACGCCACCCGGGTACCGAACGGATGTCGGGCCTCACTGCAGGACCAGCGTCAACACCGTGAATATACTGGATGTACATAGGTATCTTCTCCACGATGTCTAATACTTCAAACACATGGCGAGCGAGCCTCGGTAAGAGGTCTAAGTATAGCATATGTGGTAGATCCCTCGGAGAATAAGATCTCCTTCGGAGCGCAGGGTAGGCTTTCCATATCTCCGTCCAGGAAAGCCGGGCGCATCCGAGCAGATGAATAATACACGACCGGAGGAAGCGCCGTAAAAACTTGACTTGTACATCTCCATGAGTCAGATGTAGGTTAACTTTACTCTTGTATAGGAGGGCGATCACCCAGATAGTTCAAGAGCGTAAAAGTGACCGTCGTCCGTGCTGACATAGCCATCGGGCATCATATCTGTGTGTGTGAGAGAGAGAGAGACAGAATCGTACGCACGTGTGACTAGGTCCACGAACTTGGAATCCCCCTCCCGATGATGTCCTTGAGTGCCAAGGCTTGGGCTTGCAAGGACTGAATGAAAGATTCAACGCAAAGGAGAGCATTCTTCAAGTTCATGCTAGGAACGCCGGTAAGAAGCTTCTGGAGGGTGCTAGCGCGTCTGTAATACTCGCAGGCATATTCTTCAAACTACCCGTCTGCCTCTGGGTAAAAAATAGTTAGGCGTATATCGAGAAGGAACACTGGAGAGCGATGGAATAACTGTACCGCGCTCTGATACATCCCACGAGGAGGGGGGCCACATTACGCAAATAACGCGCACAGCCACTAATACACCTCAACACGGACCACCATCACCCTCGCGTCGGCAAAAACCTATCCACGATGGCCTCTGATCCCTCCTCCTCCCAGGCCGGCACATTCGAAATCGGCGAACGGATCCTATGCTACCACGGGCCCCTCATCTACGAAGCAAAGGTTCTAGAAGCCCAAAACATGGAATCACCAGCGTTCAGCGGCATACACTACCTCGTGCACTACAAGGGGTGGAAACGGACGTGCGTATGCGGCCACCTGGATTTTTTTTTTACCCCTTGGATAGGGTCAACTCATGTTTGGTGCATGCAGGTGGGACGAATGGGTTCCTCTGGGTCGGGCCCTCCCGTATACGGAAGAGAATCTCGCAAAGCAGAAGGCCCTGCAGAAGACGAATACGCCTGCGAACCAGACTGCTGCTACCAAGACGAAGAGTGAGTCTCGTGCCTTTGACTGCTGTGCTCGGATGACGACCATGCATTTCAGCGCGGGAGACGGCGGGGCCTTCGAGGACGGCGAGGAAGGATGGGACGCGTGGGACGAAACGGGGACGGGACGACGTGCGTGTGATTTTCTTTTTTGGTCCTTGTGGTGTGAAGGATGTTGTGCTGAGTTGCTGCTAGGACGAAGGAACGAGAAAACCCGAGATGAAGCTGACTGTGCCGGAATCTCTCAAGGCTACGCTTGTTGATGACTGGGAGGCGGTCACGAAGAACAATCAAGTACGCGTTGCTGTCCCCTTCTTGTCCCCTTTACCAGACTCATTTTTTCCCGCAAAGCTCGTCGACCTGCCGCGGAACCCTAACGTTGTCCAGATCCTGGCGCTATTCGCAAAATACGTCCTGGAGACCCGTCCGGCAGAGTCAGTGTCCGTTTTGTGTGGATGCTTTTTTCCCCCCTGACCTTTGGCTAGGTTGAGGCAACCAGAGATTTTGATACATACGATCATCTCTGGGCTCCAAGTTTATTTTGACCGTTCGTTGGGTTCGCAGCTGTTGTATCGGTTTGAGAGACCGCAGTATGCGGTGGTTAGGCAGACGTATGTGACGGGTGCCGATGTGGATGTGAGCAAGATACCTGAGATGAGCGCTATCTATGGGGCGGAGCATTTGTTGAGGATGCTTGGTGCGTGGGCTTGGTGTCTCTCTTTTATCGTTATTAATAAAAAAAATGTTCAGTTTCGCTGCCGCAAATGGTCTCCGCTTCTCCGTTGGATGCAGAATCGGTGGGACTGATACGGGATTATGTGAATGAACTATTAAAGTGCGGTTCTTGTCCTTGATTCTGTGGACGCTTCTCATGGACTTGTTTAGCTACTTGGCAGCCAACAAAGCTACGCTGTTCTTGCTGGAATACCAACCTGCGAGTTTGCAGTACCAAAATGTTTCACGGTCATGATTCTCTGTGAACGAATGTAATGTTTGTAAATGATATTTTGATATTTCCTTTACTGCAGTTGCAGTTGTATGTATATAATAATAATAATCAACGTGCGTTCCATTATAGGATCCGGCTGTCTGATCCTTCGTCAGGTTTCACATATGATATGGAAGGGCACTGGCACAGACCTTGCACTGAGAGGAACACGATCAACCCCTCTCGCTGTAACTCTATCCATTTTGCCAGCTGGGTATCGCTGGGACCTGGGGGTCTCTGGATCCGAATGGTGATTGCGCGAAGCCTGGAGATGGGTGATCCTTCGTCCAGGTACCATCTCGACTCGACAAACTTGATGAGCGTCTGCACGACATCTGCGACATTTATCACTGTATAGCTGATAGGGACGACCAGGCTCTCTAGACAGGGCAGCAAAGGATTCTTGTCGTTGTCCGAGTATATCAAACGACGAAAGAGTGTCTCTGACTCTACATTGTTCGGTATCGTGATATCTAATTCTGTGAGGGCCGGGGTGACGCTACAAATGTCGTGTACGCCACCAAAGTAGTTGCGGATCTCGAGTTTGAGAGATCGAAGCTGGCATTGTGAGCGGACGAGGAGATCGCATAGGGGATTGGCGTATGCGATGACGTTTGGGAAGAAAAAGTTGAGGGACTGGAGGGAGGGGAGGACGAGCTTGTCTAGGAGGCGAAGGTCGTTGGAACGAATGCTGCGGAGGGAGGTGTGGATGATGCGATCTTCTTCGTCGTCGAGAAGGCGGCGGGAACCGGAGAGATAGGATATGCTGTCTAGGTCTTCGAGGTTGTCGGCGCGACGGAGGATATCGAGGTAGTCTTTGGTCTGGCCGGGGAATGTGGCCAGTCTCGTCAGGTGGCGCCATTCGAGGTCGAGTGCCATGGGATCCACGACGAGGGGAAGCTTCGCCTCTTTGAGTGACGGCGCGCGCTTCAGGATGTGGTTGAGCGTCTCTGCGCTGCTTGGACCCGGATGCTTTCCTGCGTACAGATCGAGGCGCTCCAGTGATAGCAGCTCGCCCGATATGTCTGCAAACGAGGTGCATACATCCGCGTCTACGGTTAGCTCTCCGCTTCTCCATCTGTGGCTCTCCCTCACCAGCGCGTCCATGATTGCGCGTTCGTTTGGGCCATTGGACTGTAAATGGACCAGGAGGGTCAGCTTCAAGGGTCGGGATAGCCTGAGAGCGGTCTCTAGGAGGAATACGGAGCTGTGGGTGATGATTTGGGAGGGGAAGATGCCTATGGAGGCCCACACAGAGGGGAAGGAAGTTATGAGTTCCCTCCATTGGCCACATACCCTCCCGATGAGCCAGGGGCCCTGCGTGAGGTCGAGAATATCGTAACAGGTACTGATAGCTCTGCCCCAGCACATCAGGGAGAATATGTGCATCAGGACCTCGGGTGGAACGCGATTGATAGCAGAAGGGGTATGTGGGACCACGACCGTGTCTTCGTCCGAGTCGGAGGGTGTCATTAGCTCGTCGTGAGAGCTTCCTCGATGTAGGGTCGAGCGAATATATACTGCGCTCACTATGACAGACGACGGGAAACAATCAGACGCTGACTTGACTGTCACTCGCCCGTCTCCGGCAGATCAAATTATTCGGACCCTTTACTTTCTTCAATGACGCCATCTATCCGAAATTACAAGAAGACGTTCAACTCCCAGTGCGATTAAATCCTCAGTAGTAAACGTCTCTCCTCATCCAAGTCTCCGTCGCGCAATTCTCCTTCCGTCGCTGCTCCTCTCCACATCTTTCTTCACCCGATCTCTAGTTGAGGGCCCTGGCCATGCATCGGCGCTGTTATCATCCTATCTGGACCCTCTACCGGGATCTAAGCTGGCGCTTTTCACTATGAAGATGCAACCAAACCAACATGCAAGTCTTCCTCCTCCTAGCTGCAGCTGTCCATGTAGCTGTCGTATCTTCAGTGGTCGCTCCGTTTCTACTGGCAAATTGTGCGTCGTACCTTATCGCCTTGGCTTCATTCTCACTCCTTTCTCTAGTTTCGCGTTTCGATATTTGGCTCCAAGGTCGATAGCAGTCTTATCTAGGTAGACTCCAAGGCTGTAAAGCTAGCCACAGTCTCCTGCGCTTCCACCGAGCAGAGAGCCTTGATAGAGAGATACCCCCCTTACCAGCGCCTGTTGAAAGTTCACATCGAAGCTTCCTCTGTATCTCATCGTAACCTACTGCCGGTCGTAGGTACCATCATGTTGCGGGTGTTCTTTCTCCAATCGAGGAAGATTGCGCAACCATCGTCGATGCGATCAACGTTCGAAGACTTCCGTCGCCGACTTTGTCTGTGATATTGATTTTTCGTTTATGCTGGCCAGATTTTCTCCACCAACGCGGCGAATAACTTTATCGTGAAAGCTGACCACACATTGATGCTCGCCTACGGAAGTAGCAATTACTTTTTCGCCTATTCTGGGAGCGTGGAATCCGATCTCCTGGGTCACGTTCCTCTTCATTCCGGTGGGGTTTTTTTTCCAACACGCATCTTTTCTCAGGTTTACTCGAGCGTGTTGGCCGGTAAAGCATGTTTCCCACCTGTCCTGCCTTTCTCTTCGGAGGGCCTTTGTACGGGCTTGGATGGAACCTGGGCTACTGGGTGTCAAGTTTTTCGCTCCTTTGTTTTTTGTTGTTAACGATTGGAAGCAGGGCATCGCATTCCTGAACGTGGTACGGAATACAATCAGGCCTTAACGGCAATGGCACATTTATGGTATAATACAACAGGCGATGGGAGAGATGGGGCGTGTCTCCCTAATACAGTTGATAGATCTGGGACTATCGCGATGATCGACTATGAATCATCTTGTTTAGTATTCGTATCGGTGGACGTGAGAGACGCATCGCTCGCGCCTAGGGCCAAATATCAGTGCTCGCCCAAACAGATATATATAAAGAACAAAGAAACATACATTCCTCCACCTCTGCATGCCATTTCCGATGTCGTTCCTCCAGCGCTTTAATCTGGTTCCCGATATTCGACAACCAGAGCTCTACCTCTTCGAGAAAGGCAGTGACGGAGGACGACGTGTCTGGAGAGGCTGATGACATGTGGATCCAGGTCAGGTTGGAGCCGAAAACCCTTTTTTTCATTTAACGATATCAGCCGAGTTGCCATAGGGAAAACAAGAGTAACCATGAAGGTTAAAAATGAAATCCTCACCTAGATTGTGCGCGGCTACTTAGTGGCGGGTTGGAAGAAAAGGAAAAAAAAAAAAAAAAGAGTACATCCTTGAGAAAGCTGGATAGGGGTCCACGTGTCGAGACCTTTTCGACAGTGATCGGACCGATCGACGGGGCATTTATTCAACATTTGAACAGAGAAAATCTCGCGTCCATTCTATGCCATTACTCCTTACTCCCCAGCAAGCGGCCTCGTCTTTTCTCCCACCCCATTTAATGGTGTCTTCACCATCCCCCGCCTTCCTCGGATTATCCACTGATGGCATATCCACATCTGTGATGATCCTCTAGCCTCGTATGAATGAACGATACAACCTGGAGCACGCCAACCATATCAATCCCCATCAGCTGCCTGACTAGGTACCAGACAAAGAGGAGGATGGAAATGAATTGGCCCATAAGGAGCTGAACAGAACATGTCAGTTTCTAGGAGCTGAAGTGATAAAGGGGGAGACTGACTGGTGTGAGGTTGATCTGAGTAGGATCAGAAGGGTACATATATATTAGGGATAATCGACGAGGTAATGATGACGCACTATCAGCCTTCTTATACCACTGCTGTTCAAATACAATGCTAGGATAAGATTTGAAATGAAGAGAAAGACAGACCGGCTCAATCTGATGCCACTATCACACTACCGAGTGAATTCTCCAGACCATGCAGAGTAGCTTCCATGACGAACCTACGAGCAGTGTCAATATCATGATGCCATTCCACTGTCACTCGGCTGTCTGATAACCACTTCCAGTTTTGTTCTTTCTGTTAACACATTCACGAGCAGTCTTTTTTTCACATCCAGCTTGACCTGTGGATGATTATCGAGGTAGCGACACAGTTGCATATACGAGAAATTGGAATATATGTAGCACCGGGAGAAAAAATAAACATCATGTGTGTTGTAATTCTTCGACTAACGGTACAACCACTGCATGGACACAATCACAACAGCTGTACAGTAAGTGTATGAACAATTCCTTGCAGAAAAATTTATATAAAATATGCCTTCCGGGATCACAGGCCACGACTTGACGAGCCCCGTCATCCCAGAATGCCAGAGTAGTCTCCACATAGATGGGTCGCTTTTGGTTCTAGGCCATGTGGCTTTGGAGAGAAACATTACTCTCGTCTCCCGCATCCTGGGCTCAGAAAGTTGTAGTGAGGACGCCTTTCCCTACGCATGGCCGTGCGATCTTGCAGATATGTCTCGAGCGGACGGGTGAGCATCCTCTCACTTTACAGATGGTCAGTAACAATATTTATAAAGAGTCTACGGAGAAGAAGATGGAATCACATTGCTTTTCATCCAAGAGTAGTGCCATCGCTGGAAGGATGTGATTGTCGACATTAGCATGAAGCATATGCCCCGCCTGGAGGGGTCCATATCTCACCGTCCTGTCCTTCAGACGATCCAAATACATGTCGTCGACGGCGATGATGAAGATTACCGCTCGGATATATGCTTAATGGCTCCTCAACTGCGGCGAGTAACGATTTCAAGTCAAGGGATCTCACAAGTGAAGCTACCGCCTTATATCACTCATTATTTGGGGTATATGTCTTGTTTGGGTGATCTGTTGCATCTTTCTCACCTACCAAATTTGAGAACAAGCTACCTCCAGCTGCACCGGTTGCCGTTCTTAATCCAGGTACCAGTGGTTGTCGCGCATATCCAGCGCCTCTTTGTTGAGCAGCACTGTATTCTAGATTTAGTGACTTGCCCACAGCTCTTGTCCATAGTTACATGGGAACTGTGCTTCGGGAATCGTTTCGATGTCTCAATATGCATTACCAGTTTCCTTCAGCGATCAAGATGTGATCTCAAGAGCTTCAGCGTGGGTCCGCAGATATTGGCCTACCTGCGGCTCTCCATCCATAGACTCCTTTTTTCAGATGTGTTTTTGACACTTTCGTTCTTCAAAGTTAAGCTTCAACTTGGCACGGGTTTGGCTGAACATCTCGTTCGGTCGCTCGTCCCTTGCTTAGATGCTCCGGTGCTCCTACCTCCTATGTCCCATCTTGTTCTTTGCCTGGCGCCAGTACATTCCCTAAACTCCGCTCAATGGCTTCGCATACTCAACATGATCCGCTCCCACCGTGATGCAGGGTTGCTGAAAATAATCGAGATACAATTCAAGGACCCACATTTTAAGCATGAAAGAGGATACTCGGACTCTCGCTGGTGAGAACTTGGAGATGCGTATCGAGAGGTGGAACTTTCCAAATGAAGAACACTGGTCCCTTTGGGATTTGCCTCCGAGTCGATAAACTAGATACTTGTCCATGAATATATGATATTTTCCGCATGGTTGGGATGATACATTCTACTTTTGGTGCTCTTTAGACTGCCCCCGCTCCCTTTGATGCTGATCCCACCGAATCGGCTGACATACATGCCGAAGAATCGAATCAACCTCACTCCAACCCGACCCTCCTTCAACGCGCACCAAGAATGGAAAGATTCTATCCAAGAACCTTGCTATGAGAGCTGGCTTTTTCGTTGTTGTATTCACCGACTTCAACGTCTGCAGCCGATGTGAAAGCACATCTTCCGGTAGTGCTCCTCCATCACTGGGAAACTCGAAAGGCATGGACAACAACACGAGTCTTGGACAGCACCTAGCCAAGACGGACAGCATCGCACACGAAGGTATGTTCCCTGACAACTGAGGGATCGAAATCAACTCGATATGAGGCCATGCCGGCGCGAGACGTGTTTTGATCGTCTCATCATCCAACGCCAGCTCGCCCACAAATTGTATAGATCTCAAGCGATGCAGCTCGTACAGCGGTTCGAACACCGCTCTCGAGGAGGCCCAGAGTGCTCTATCGAGCTGTGCTGCACGGTAGTAGGTAAGCGAGAGATTGTGCAGTGGGAAGCGCGCTAACAGTTCACGATAAAAGTCCATCATGAACTCTGAGTTGGTGCGGAAGGCTTCGCCGGAGGTATCGACGAACGTGAGCGTCTCGAGCGTACCTTGACGCACGAGTCGGAGGATACGCGGCATTTCTGATACTTTGGCAGTGATATGGAGAGATTTGAGGGAAGGGAAGCCGCCCTGGGCTTGACGGCTGTCGCTAGGTATGTTCGATGTAGTTTTCACGCAAAGGTGCTCGAGGTTATTGAATGCAGAGAGCTGTACGAGGGCATCGTAGTCTACCAAGTGGGATTTGATCGTCAAAGCACGAAGACCTTTGAGGCTCGCGAGATTGGTGAAGGACGTGGCACGATACTGGCCGTTGTCGAACTCTGGACAACAGATATAGAGTGTTTGCAAGGCAGGTACCTGCCATTTGATGGTACGGATACATGCCGACGGCGTGGTGACGTCGGTCGAAGGGCTGAACGTCAATTGTATTTCATTGAGCGTTTTTGTGGGGAGGAAGAGAAGGATGGAAGGAGAAGCTACAAAGGACACGTCACTTCTCAAACATTGTAACTTGGGAAAGATGGGATTCTGATATTCGGCCAGGCGAAGAAATATGGTCGAAGAGAAGCGGGCACAACTGGTGGGATCAAATGCAATGTAACGAATGCGACTTGCGTACTGCCGGAAACGGACCCATGTCTCGTCTGGAATTTCTTCCGGTAGTACCTTCATATACCAAAAAAGTGAATATAGGAATCTCACTAGACCAATGGCAACCGACCTGCAGACTTCCTGAAGCGGCAGACGGAAAAATGCGCAAGATGGGCTGAAAGCCATATTCTTGGATATCTCTCCATAGTGTGTCCAGTGCCAGCGATGACACTGCCTGACACGTCAAAGCTAGAGATAAAAGTGGGTGCACGCGACTGCCGTTGGGTCCCAATGGACAACCATCAGTCTTCACATTGTCCCAGAGGTTTCGACAGATTATAGCTAGAAGATCGGCGTTGAAAAGAACATCTGCAACAATGTTTTCAGTTAGGCCGATGTGCGTAGCCTCCATAACCATAGAATGTAGGGCAACGAATCAGAAACAGAAGAGTTACGTACTTTTATAATTATGGAACAAACAAACCACTGGTGATGGTTACATAGGTGATATCTTTTTTTCTCTTATAGTAAGTATAAGACGACATTTATGTATTCGAAACCCCTGTTGAATGACTCTGCCTTCATCAATTGTGCAGAAAAGCACATTGAGAAAGGCACATTTTTCATCAAGAGCGCAATGTTCACGTCGACAGCACATGCAGGGCGGTGAGCCAACGGTAAGCTGTCACAAGCTACACGGAGTAAAGCAAAATCCATACACCAGTTGTCAAAGCTCCTTGGGCTTTATAGCACCCTTCGATTTGCTGAACAGCTCTTGTATCAATGCATAGAAAATTGTAAAATACAGAAACCCACCATAGCGTATCGTGAGGTCCAGACCATCTTCCTGCATCTTCCTAATCCTCACCACGTCGTCATCAGCAATGTGCCAAAAAATAAAAGGCGCAGAAATATAGCAGGACCGCATTGTACAACTCCACCGTCTCTCTATCGCATCGACCAATATGGTGCTTGCTTCTCGAGAAGGTGTAAAGTTGCCAATAGTCAACGATACCTTCTGCAGGGACAGCAAAAAGTCTTTGGTTTGAAGGAAGTCTTTGACAAACCATTCCTCCATCTCTGGTGCTTCAACAGTGAGCTCCGCTAGCTCGGGCATTGCCTTCAGCGCGTTCATGACTCCGTACAACGACATGTCACAAACAACCCTGAACTTGCGGAGGATGTTCTTTGACCGAGCGATAAGACTGCAGATGATATCGGCACATCTCTGCTTATTGGTGATGCCAACGAGATCGAGGTCATCGAGAGCGGGTAGGATAAGATGTTGAGGGATCATTACATCGGATACCTGCAGCCTGCGGAGGGAAGGATGGGGCACGCGCTCGAGTGGGACTGCCCAGCTGTCCTGTATTCTTGTGCCAAGAGCTTCAAGAACTTGAAGGCGTGGAGAGAGACGGAGGAGACGAAGGACTTCAGGGAGGGTACCACGGCTTAGAAGGGCGAGGTGTGTGAGCTGGTGCCATGGAAGACCTGCTGTCATCAGAGATCCGCCATCGTTGATCAGTGTAAGGTTCGTCAGGCGCGGAGAGTTGTTAAGAGCGTCGCAGGGGTGGTCGTGCATGCTGTTGACCATGGAGAGAGAGAGCTTCTCTAGGGCGGGGAGACCGTCTTTTGGAACGGCATCTAGAGGTGCAAAGGAGTCTGCCATCTGGAGTCTGATGTCCTTCCAACGATGAGAATGCAAAGAAAGATGTTTCCAAATATCCTCCACTGCATCCTTGAGCCGGCCTATGGACACATCGGCGTATATGCAGATGTTTCGCTGGCCTGAGAGTCGAAGAGCAGTGTCAAGCAGGGAAATGAGCACGGTAGGATTGCTTAAGAGGCGAGGATTACCGCGAGGGAAGAGAGTAAAAACGGACCATAGCTCTGGAGTGGAGAGGACGACTTGTCTCCATCGGCTGCACACTTTTCCCAATACCCATGGCCCTCGCGTAATAGAGAACAGGGTAAAGTGTCGTCCAATGCTGTGGAGGAAGATCTGGATCAATATTTCGGTGGGCAGGCGCCGTACCGGAGCGAGAATGGTGGCATAGATGCTCTTGGTTTTGACGAGTTCTTTGCGTAGCATCAAGGCTTTATCAAGCGCTGTGTGGTAGCGAACGACAGTTTCACGGAAATCGTCCTGCAGAGCTCGGATGCTGTCGCAGCATTCTGATAGCCGCTCGTCTGTTCGTGTTAGCAGAAAGGCGATCCTTGTCGTGTCGTCGTCGGAAGGACATTGGTTGGAGTTGCTGAGAGCGTTTACGAGGTCAGCCAAGGTATTTTCCTGGTGAAATGTCGATGATTGCTACAAATGCACAAAAAACGACGTACCATGGTTGCAAAAGTGCAGTGGTAGGATAAATCAATCTTCCATCACGCGTCATGATAATGTGCCGTGTAATGAGGGTTCCGAAAGAGGACCTTCTATTTGGCGTGTTGTTTACCGCGATGTCGCTTTGCTCAGGCTACCAAAAAGTCGACCAATTCGGACCAGACGACGAATACGAGGATGAAGAAGAGATATTCTATGTTACGCTCGAACTGGGACACGTCGAGCCAACTCTCATCGCGAGCTGTGACAGTTACCAGCTAATTGTCGGTATTTCCTTTCTATGTTCATAGAGCTGCTATTTCTTCTGTTTCAGGGTCTGGATACTGCGACGCCATTTCTGCAGCTGGCTGGGACGGTTCTCAAAGGCCGCCATGAAACTTTGCTGGGTACAGAATTGCTGTTCTCGGACGCGACAGGTGTGCAATACTCATCGCCTCTTGAGGCTACATCTGAGCATCAACAGACGCGTCTACTGACAGTGTATCTTATGTGAAGAGCACACGGCAGCGTATCTACTTCCGAGAGGTGCGGCTCGAAAAGAAGAGCAAAACCAAGGAAAAGGTTGATGTTCTGGATCGCAAACTCGCCCCGCGCCGAAGCAGAAGTAAAAAGATGGAGGTCGTCCCTGAGGATTACTGATGGAGGATGTGTGACGTCTGCATAGGATCTCGAAGGATTTTTAAGGCTGAGGCTCATCTTTGCATCACTGGTGGCTCGACAAAACATCGTACAGTCTGAATTCCTACTTGTACATGCATCACTTGCGGCAGCCTACAGCTGTGCCAGTATCGTCTTTGCATCTGTAACGGTGATTTTACTTGGATCCTCTTCAACCGCAACTGAAGCGACCTCTTGGTTCTTGACAATCATAGCATAGCGCTACGGGTAACGTCAGTTTGGGGACCACAATGTAAAAGACTGTTCCTACCTTTGAACGAGGACCTCCCAACAATGGCGTAGCGTCGAAAATCAAGCCTGTAGCACCGGAGAACTCGCCTTGGTCGTCGGCTAGGAAGTGGATAGCTAGCAGGCAGTTGTGTCAGTCCACAGTCTATGATTGGCAACAAGTAAGACATACCAGTGCCTTCGGGAGCCAGTTTCTCCTTCCAAGCGCTGGATGAGGGTCAGTGCCAGCGCATATATCAAATGGTCAGACCTACTTCATGACGAACTGGTCATTGATAGCAACGACGTATATCCCCGTCACACCCTTGGCCTTGAATGCTTCGTAGTTGTCGATGTATCCTGGAATCTGTGTGCTGCATGTTCCAGTAAACGCTCCCGGGACACCGACCTGTTGTTATTTAGCGGATAACATACAACACAAGCATGGATTGCTCTCACGATGACGCTCGTCCCAGTCAAAGAAATCGTCTCAGCGTGCTCCGGGGACGTCTCTTTCACTTTCAAGGGTGGGAGCTTTTTTCCGGGGTGGATTTGGGCTGAGCTGAGGAGGGAAGCGGCTGTTGAGTGTGCAGTGTGTGCTGCTCCTGTGATGATGGATGCCATGGTGGTTGTGAGAGAAGTCGTCGAGTCTGGGACGCGTTTAATAGTGTTCGGGTACTGACGTCATCGGCGTGTCATTGAAGACAAAGAATTCGTATAAAAAACACTGAGAATCCCCTTCCCAGAAACGCCCAATCACCACGACTGAGCAGCAAATTCGATTAACAGTGGGGTGCTAGTAGGTAATAGGTACATCAGGTTATACACGCCAGAAATAATATATGTATGGTAATCCACCAACAGCAATACATACAAGACTACAAGAGAGAGACGTAGGTAAGGCAATAAATCAAAAAAAGTTATCCAGCAAACAGATTCCCTATAATACAGGAGGGATTTAAATGACGAACAAACGCTCGTCGATAACCGATCGCAAGTCAGTATAACAGGTTTTATACCTAGATGCATATGTTAGAGACACACCAACAGCATCGTAAACTTACCCGTTCAGGGTGTGACATGGTCATGTCCTATCGATTAGATTAACAAACCATATTTCTCCGAATTAGAACGGCACATACCAGGTGGCTTAAAGACTGCCGGGCCAAGCGAGAAAACACGCGACTCCAACGGCGACGACGAACTAGGTTCTATGTCAACATCGGGGTCAATATCTCCCTCAGCATCAGCATCAGCATCGGGTCCAGGTCCATTGACGTCTGTTGGAGGCGGTAGAGGGGAGCATGATTGTCGAAGAGCCTCACCCCTCTTTTCTTCTATCATTTTCCCTCCGTCCTGTTCTCCCTTTGCATCATCGTCCTCACCTCGCCTCCTTGCTTCAGGCCGATCCTCAATCACCCTCGGAGCAGGAGAAATTATCCTAGGTGCAGCAGGTTCCTTGCCCTTCGCCAGGCGCGCTCGAGTGGCGCGTGGTCTCCGCGTACCAGTCTGTTCCCCAGCAGCCTCTTTCTCCTTCTCCTTATCTGCAAGATCCCCAAAAACCGCAGCCTGATCCGCCAGCACGTCCAATGCACTGCGCATCCGTGAGCTTGACGCCGCTCCAACACTCGCACTGGCTCGTGCAGAACTCACACGCCGTCTTTTCTGTGACGGGCTCTCTGGCGAGGCCGCCCTCCTTCTCCTCCTACTGTGCGCACTGTCCTCTGCCATAGTAAGAGCAGCATCCACGAGCGAATCCAGCGGTGTAGGCGGGTTCTTGCTCGAACCGGCCACCGGCGCTTGACTCGGTGGCCGTCCGACCTGTCTGGCTTGCGGCGTCAGCATTTGCTGATAAAGCCCTGCCCCAGGACTCGGTGTATACAAGTAATTCCCAGGCATCCCCCTCGGACTGCCCGCTACGTGCAGATAGTGGTTCGAGCCGCTTGCAGGGGTAACACTCTGTGCGCTTCCTCGTTTCGGGGTGCGCGGGCTGGTCATCCCAACATCGCGTCGGTAGTGAGAGGAAGATCCAGTTGCGGTTGCCGATCTTGATAGTTCCGATGTCCGTTCTTTTTCTAGCCTCTCTTGTTCACGAGCAATGTCCTGTTGTCGTTCCGCCTGCGTGACGCTGGAGACGATAGTGGCTCGCTGTCGGCCGATCTTCCGTGCAGCAAGTAAGATGTGCTCGGTGCGTGCATCAGATGATAATGTCGTGGGCTGTGATGGTTTTGTCTCTTTTGTTTTTGCTGGTCGGCCCTTCTTGTTGTAGACAGTCTGCCCCGGAGGAGAAGTTATCGTATACGACGGCAAGGAGCTTTGAACATTTTTCGGCCGGAGATGAGCGTAAACATCGACAGCAAATTTGAACTGTTGAGACTGAGTGGGGGAAGCCATTGAATCCTGCGCTGCGGAGAGATAGGAAATCTGGCCGTTGGTATTCGAGGATGGATCTGGCACGGGACGGATCGATGTAGATGCTGAAGGTTGGTCAGAGAGTTCAGCATCTGGGTTGGCCGCGACGCCAGAGTCAGAAGGTGCAGCTTCAGCATGCTTTGCATCTTCGTCACTTCGTCCACGTGCAGGTGGGTGAAGCTTCGGATCCTTGTCCTTCTTCTTCCGTGCACTCCGTTCTTTTTGTGCAACCAAAGCACCAGCACCAGTGGTAGCAGGGTACGGAAGAGAAGAAAGGAAAGTCGATGCATGGACCAAAGTCGAATGAGACGGACGAGCAGAAGGGGAAAATGGGTGGAGTAATAAAATCGGTTTCAACTTGGTCAGTTCCGCTTCGAGTGAGGATAGTCGGGCAAGTGCGTCTTGGAGCTATGGGAATATTTGAGAAATCATAAAGGAGGATTAACTTGTGTCGCACCTTCTCAGCTTTCGCTTTATTGTCTGATTCCAATAGCGAGTTGAAGTATATCAATTGCTATCCAGATGGGTATAGCACTATTCCGCGTAGTAATTCGAGAATGACTCACCTCGGTTTTGAACGCATCAGGAGCCTCTTTCGTCTTCTGTGCTATGAGCGCCTCTGCAGATCTCTCCCATCCCTCCTTCTCAGATTTCCACCGAGCTCGTTCCTCCGAAAATAGCTGAAGCATAAGTTCCCGTTCCTGCATTAGCCCGGAAATAGTCTCCGCCTGCTTAAAGAGCTGCGTTGGATCCCACCGTCCCGCATCCAATAAGCTCAGCACCTATAAATGCATCCTTGAGTATAAATCTAAATTCCATGGAGAAAAGACATACCATGTTGGCAAGTTCACGTTCACGAGATGTCGCAGATTCGGTCTCGCTGGAAGAGAAGCCCATTTCAGATAGCTTGTGTCGGTAGCTTTTCAAGTCTATTACTTGGGGAGGGTCGAGCGATCTAGCTCGTTCCTCGGTATCGGTACCATTGACGGACTGCGATTGTTCCATATTTTGAGGGGCAGGAGACGGAGACATGGTGTGTATTATATCAGACAGCGCCAGGCTCTGCGGCGGCAGATCGTTGGCCATGGCGGTGAGGGACTCAGATTGCAGGACGCCAGGGTGAGGAGCAGATCGTAATGGGCGGGATTGCATATGTTTGGCGCCATGGCCACAGCGCGCGTATCACGTGAGTTCCCTTTATCTGCATCAGGCAATTCCTTTCCTCCTTTGTCAGCTCAAGAGAAAGCGCGCAGAGCGGTCAGTAATATAGTTTCCAGCAGAAGAAAAGAATGCAATTGGAAGATGTAACGACAATACAAGTATATATCAAGTTTACAACGCTGAAAGTTCTGTCAGTACCACAAGTAGATGTCAGAGAAATACACCTACAACGTAAGAAACGTGCACGTTTTCTTGCAGATAACGGGGGGGATGAAGGTCCCGAAGACCTGTCAGCACAAAGGAGTAATGGTTAGAGTAAGTAAGTGCAAAGTAACCGAATGGATGCACATTGGTGAGAGCGCTGCCCTGTGGTACTGAGCAGTACGCTCAATCCATCGCAACCATATACAAGAAAACCCGGACCATCGAGTCGATTAGATGGGCTTGATTTTGAAATGCAGTGAGATGAGGGAGAATATGAGGCACTGAAAACTGGTTACACGGCGCAAGGAAGGTATAACGACGAAAAGTTTACCCTCAAATCCTGAACGAGGTAGTAGAACACTCGGAGTCCTTCTGGGTCCTCGCTGTCCTGAATGTCAACCAGCGATCCGATCTTGGCTGTCTTTTATGTGTTATCAGCATTAAGGCCAGAAAACGAGAAACCCGCGTCAAATCACCTCGAATGCGATGTGGTCATTACCAATACGTATCTCCAGTTCCTGCTTTCCAACGATGTTTTTCTTGGGCCAGTTCGTGTCATCTTCCCTGAGAAGACGTCAATTGGGGCCAGAGCAAGACGAAAAGAAACGTACTTGGTAATTTCGCTAGACTCGACGATCCTCTTCAGCTCTTTCACCACCATCGGTCCGATCCACACTAAATACCTTCGTCAGCAGCAGCTGCTTGGGAAGAACACGCCCAGACTAACTTTCTTTCCGGATGAGACTGTCATTGCGGTAGTTGGAGTTGTTGGCATATCTCAGGCGACCATGCGAGTATTCAAACTCGAGGAATTCGTGTCCGTGTTTGCCTGAATGGCCGGTGCTGGGAATTCGTAAGGACGAGTGCCAGAAAAGGGCGCATCGAGGGAACGTACTAGTATCTAAGAGAGGACATGTAAGCTTCATATCAATAATGGTATAGGATATAAAGACGAACCTGAGGTAGAACGGGTCGCTGTCTGTAGACATGGTCGTGGTGGTTGAGGACGAGGAAAAGATGTCACGCTTGTTACGGGTGACATGGGGGCCCGATCTAGCGCTACGTCTCATTCGTCTACCACCATGTCAAAGAAACGCGTGTCGTATTACTACGATTGTCAGTACTTCCGATATTCTCTGTACAATCTCGTTTTCTCAACGCCCTGACAGCCGATGTCGGAGCGTATACCTATGGACTCGGACATCCCATGAAGCCCCATCGAATGCGGGTCGCCCACGACCTCATCACGGCGTACGACATGCTACCCAAGATGCTTGTCCTGGTAAGCTAACCTCGCTTTGCCGGCTCTTTATCTCTGAATCTTGCAGTAGAAACCGCCGCGCGCATCCCCGGAGGCCATGACCTCCTTTCATACCGACGAATATGTCCACTTTTTGAACCGTGTCACACCTGAAACGTCCGAGGAGCTGACGTACCACGGAACGCGCTGTGAGCAAGCTCGAGCATATAAATTTCTGGTGCTAATGCCTCGGTAGTCCTTGTTGGGGAAGACAACCCACCATTTGAAGGCGTGTTCGAGTTTTGTTCAATATCAGCTGGAGGTTCCATGGGTGCGTCCATTGGCTGATAAACTTCGTTTCTTGACTGTTTTTGGTAGCTGCCGCTCACCGTATCACCTCTGGCGCTTCTGATATATGCATAAATTGGGCCGGAGGACTTCACCATGCCAAGAAACGTGAGGCGTCTGGTTTCTGCTACATAAACGATATCGTCCTCGGTATACTTGAACTTTTACGGGCATATCCTCGTGTGCTTTATGTGGATATAGACTGTCATCGTAAGTTCTTCTCCCTTGCTTTTTGTTTTTGCGCTTACTTGAACTGCAGATGTATTGTCTTTTTCTACCTTATAATTCGCTTTCTGACCGTCAAACTAGGGTGACGGCGTCGAAGAGGCTTTTTACACCACTGATCGCGTCATGACATGCAGTTTTCACAAGTACGGGGAATACTTTCCTGGTACGGGCACTCAGGAGGACAAGGGAAGAGGAAAGGGGAAGGGATATGCTGTTAATGTCCCCTTGAAGGATGGGATTACGGATGAGTCCTTCCAGAGTATATTTGAACCTGTGCGTCAACTGTCCTTTTGCTGGTCGTGTCATCTAACTCAGATTTTGTAGGTTGTTGACAAAATACTAGAAGTCTTCCGGCCGAACGCTGTGGTTCTCCAGTGCGGTGCAGACTCTCTTTCGGGAGACAAACTCGGTTGCTTAAATCTCACGATGCACGGACATGCTCATTGTGTTCAGTACCTACGCAAGAAGAGTGTACCTCTGATACTCCTCGGGGGCGGCGGCTATACCGTTAAAAACGTTGCGCGGACATGGACGTACGAAACCGCCTGTGCGCTAGGTATAGAGGACACCATCGACCCCAACCTTCCCTGGAACGAATATTTTGAGTGGTTTGGTCCCCGATATCGCCTAGAGGTCATGGCTAGCAATATGGAAGACATGAACGTCAAAGATGGGTCTCTGGAGCAAGTCCGGTATGCTTTCGTGCTCTGCTGACGTTCCAGTCTGATGTCGTTTGTAGAATAAACGCGCTCGAACACCTCCGGGAGCTTAACAGTGCACCCTCGGTCGGGATGCACGACACGCCTAGAGAGAGCCTACTCGAGCATATGGGTTTTGGCAAGGAGAACGACGCCCAGGACAAACTGGATGAACGGGTAGCTCGTAAGTCGTTGTGTCTGACGACTGTCAACTGCGACTCATGATTCCAAGAACACACACGGTTCGTGTACAAACTGCAGGAATCCGACACGGCCTCGTCCTCATCAGACGACGAGTCGTGGGACTCTGATGAATCCATCGGGCGAAGGCGTTATCGTCGTCGCCGGAAACAGCGAATGAGTCTGCTGACTGGGCAGTATTTTGATGTTGCGCATAATCAGCAGTCGCGGAGAAAGTTTTTCCAAAGCAAAGTGGTGTTTGACGATACGTGGCAGAGGGTCAAGTTGGTTCAGGAGCTTGGATTGGGATTTGGGATAAGCGAGCTTGGGGGGCTTATGGAGAGGGGAGGGACGAATATGGATGAGGAAGATGAGTGGATAGAGATGGATACTTGACATTTACCTACTTGATGTGTCCTGTAGTTGTAACCCCTCGTTAGCTTGTAAGCCATGTGTTACCGTAGGCGTCCAGATGGTTTGATAATAACGGACTTCCGTCCTGCATGTGAAATACGATACCCCACAGATCGGGAATCGGAGGTGTGATACGGAGAGAAAGTGTGAAGGGTAGGGAATGGCGCTTCCTTTATAAACAGGACACGTCGACGGCGATGACTCGTCCTTGGTAGGATACCATTCCCTTGCTCGACGAACGGCTCAACGATGGAAGACGCCCTTCGATACCCAGACTTGGACGGTGACCAATGGCTTGTGGAAGGATATGGCAAGTCTCCTGTGAAAAACGCGCTGCTGCTGTCGCCGATAAAGGACGCGTCGCCTGTGAAGACTGTGTCACAGAGTCTCTACGATCTGTATGCGAGCTATGGACTTGATGGTGAGGTGCTTAGTGGAGGAGGAGAAAGCCCTGTGCTAAGGTCGTCTGCTCGGTCTCTGTCTCCTGTGAAGAATACTGTGTCGAGTCCCTTGTCGTTGACTGGATCTCAGCTGGAGAGCGACGCTGCAATGTCTCCGCTTACACCGCTCAGCTCGCCGTCACCGTCGCCGTCGACGAAAAGGAAGAGAGACGACGATGAGGAAGAGTCGCCGTGCCGGAAGAAACCACGAAAGGGGTGGTGGACGGAGAGGGTGTTTAATGGGGAGAAGGTCGAGGTGGATAGGGAGCGGTTCCCGTTGCTGTATCGTCGGTTCCCGGTGAGCAACTATGGCGGGATGGCGGGAGCAACGTCGAACGCACCAAGGGAGGGCTGGGGCGACTTGTACACGCCGCGGTGGGTCAAAGGAAGGGGAGCTGAGAAGATGGGGTTGTGCGGCATCTGTGTCGAACCACGGAAACGGGGCGGAGAGGAGCGGGCAGTGTGGCTTGGCATGAAGTTCAGTGCGTACAAGTGAGTGCATCCCGGCACTTTGTAAATCCGCGCTGACAATTGGCTGCAGCTACCATATGCAATACAGACACGGCATCAGCGCAAACACCACAAGACCTTTCAGTCCTCCGCTGGCCTTCCGCGATGTAACCAGGGCAAATGCGGGCAAAGGCGAAAAAGGGATTATTACGGTGGGCATGTGCCATCACTGCAGAAAGTGGGTACCAGTCGAAGGAGTCAAGGACGTTCAAGTCAAGGTTCCAGAGCTGGTTTGGTGGAAGCATGCTGCGGCGTGCCACGGTGCGAGTACGATTGAGGGCGAGGACGGCGTCTTTGAGGAAGACGAGGTGTGGAACGGTGTAGTAGCGTCATGTGATCAATAATGTGCGGATGCTTCCGATGCGGGGTAACCCGGAGTAAATCCTCCTTTTCCTCTTGACCCCCACATTCCGACCATGAAGATTCAGAAACGATTCTACACAGGTATACCCATTCCCATACGAGCACGAAACCTCCACACTGTCCCGTCCCCCTTGTCCTTCTTTGATACTCCCCCTGCATCCCCGCCCACAACCCCGAGGAATGCAAATATCGTCCGGTTCGCTGCTGAGAGCAAGGGTCTAGGAAGTGCTCTGTGTGCATTCGATGTCGCGAGGCGTGGCTGGGAAGGGCAGTATGCTGTCGGTGTCGATATAAGGGTGGGGCGACGAGAAGGCAAGAGCCGGGAGCGTAAGGGGAGGAAGCTCATTTTGGACGTGGGCGGGTATGGCATACCAAAACGGTGTATGACGGGCAGCGTAGGCGGGAAGGCGGTCATGGTCGGCGAGGATGCCTTTTTCGTCAGGAGGAACGCGATGGGTGTCGCCGATGGTGTCGGCGGCTGGGCAAGAGGTCAGACGATGCCCGGTGAGCCTATTCTCTTTTTTGCTGTCGAATATTTGTGTTGACTGGGATAGGCCCCACACCGTCTGCGTTGTTTGCCCATCGATTAATGCATTTCTGTTCCGAGGAGATGGAACTCGAGCCGCCCAAGCCGAGCACATTTATTCCGTCCGTCAGTTTTGCGAGACGAGACCTGCAAGAGGAACTCGAGGAGGAATTGGAAGAGCTCGAGGAGGGCATAGACGTGCTAATGATACTCGAACGGGCCTACGAAAAAACGATCAAGGCACATGTAGAAAAGCAAGAGCAATATGTGAGTAATTCCTGCTCTACATCTACTTTTTACTGACAAATAATAGGCACCATTTACACCCCCACCTCCTCCGAATGCCCTCTCATCTCCGTTGATACCTCCAGATCCGACACCCAAACCCCTGCTTGCAGGCTCATCAACTGCCCTGCTAGCAGTGCTCGATCACGTCAACAATGGCGAGGCTGTCGTCAAGATTGCCCACGTTGGCGACTGCATGGGTATGCTTGTCCGTGGCTCAGAGTGTGTTTGGAGGAGCGAGGAAATGTGGTGGAGCGTGCGTACCCATGGCTTTGCACAGTTTCTTTCTCTGACGTCAGTTGCAGTTTAATACCCCCGTCCAGCTCGGACCCACGACGCCAGCACAACCGAGTACAACAGCTCATGTGTTCACACTCCCTGTGCAAGAGGACGATATACTCATCCTAGCAACCGACGGTCTCAGTGATAACCTCTGGGACGAGGACATTTTGGATGAGGTAGCACGTTTCCGGAGCGGGTGGAGTGGGCAGGGCGAAGAGGGGCGTGATATGCTCGCAGCGGGCATGTTGAGCGAGGCCCTCTGTTCGCGAGCGAAGCGGGTCGCCAAGGACTGCGAGGGCGATACCCCGTTTGGGAGACGAGCGAAGGAGGAGGGCAGAAAGTGGAGAGGCGGGAAGAATGATGATATCAGTGTTGTGGTTGCTGTTATTTCGAGGGCGGTTAAGCCTTCATGATAAAATGTACCAGTAGACGAAATGTTATATAATTGATGGGAGAATCTAATTGGCTGCGAGACACTCATAAAGCCGTTAAGGATACGAGGCTTCTACCTGTCGAGAGGCTTTAGGTTGGCTTTGTCGGGCTGGTTCCAATTTTAACTTTATCACTAGTCATATTTTACTGTTCATTTTTCATTCTCATACCTCAGCAACATTTCCGGATTCATCTTTCGTCGTGAGCACATGAGCACTCTTGCTGAATGAAGCTCGCGAAGTAGCTTCCATCTTGCTTGCGCGTGCTAAGCTTTCCACCCCAAGGAACCGATCAGTACGTGCCATTGCTTTGTGTTTCTCATCACAATTATCCGACTCCGCCCATCCAGTCCTCACCGGCAGTAAAGACGGTACGATGATTTTGGGAGAAAACGAGTCTGGAGTAAAGATGTAGTAGGCCAGTGTATTACGGCGAGTAATGTATATGACAGGGACTAAGCCGACTTTCTAACGTATATGCATTATGATACAAGGAATGAGCGATGATGCGACGATGCAAGTGAGGAAGGGAGCAGAGGAATTATGCAACATAAGTAAACGTGTCTTTCTGTCCGTCAACTCGTTCCATGTACTCCTTCTCCAAAAGGGTCTCTACGGCCTGGTGGGAAGAATGTATGTAAGAACAGGTATTTTTCGACATGCCTAACGGGACCGCACCTTTTGGATGTCAGGAATCTTGGGAACGAAACGCTGAGAGATCTGGGAAATGACTTCCTGGATCAGGGCTTGGTTTTTCATCGTCTTACGGGCTTTCATGATTCTGCAATACCGTCAGCGTATGGAGAACGCACAGTGAGAACTGTACGTACCGAACAATAGTAGTTTGGATAACGTATTTCCTGTCTTCGTCGACGGCCTTGAGGACGTCAGAAGACTCAGCCTTCACTTCAGCTTTGATTGGCTGATTCAAATTGACCCGAATCTTCTTTGACTTGAAACCTGAAGAGAGAATAAGGACCGGTCAATGAAGCGAAGGCGCGAGCGGAACCTATCACGAACCAGGGTTCAAATCGTACTGGCCCTTCTCCTCATTGACGAGAATCTTAGCCTTCACCAACAACGCCAATACCTGGGACAGGATGTCCTTGCTGATCGCGGTCGCCGCAGACAGCGCATCCAAGGATAACGTGTCGTTTCGGTTGTACTGAACAAGGACGGCCATCTGGTACGCGCTAGTCATCAAGATGTATTTCTGGTTAAGGTAAGTAGTTTGCAGTTCGTTCTTCGAGTGGTTCCAAAGCCATCTCAATTTACGACCAGAGTGTCTACTCTGGTAGTACTTCGTGAAACGTTCATAGGTAGGCATGATCTCGATGGGAATGGTAAAGCCGTGAGTCGGAGGGTGGAGAGGCCAGAGGTTAGTACTGAGGACCATGACGGTGAAAGTCATGTCCATATCATCGTGGTTCTGGGCCATCCACTTCTTGAACGAATCCGTAAGATCCTTGCTTAGACTCATGTCTATTGTGAGCATCGGTTAGTCAGACATTTTGTACTGGCACAAAAACAACGAACCGGTGAACATGCGTTGAAGCTCGTTGGTGTATTCGAAACCGCAAGCCTCCTTCAGTTTCAATATCATGCTGGTTTCGCTCTCATCAGAAGCAGATACGCCTTGAATGAGTCGCTTGGAAAGTTTGGTGGTGTAGAACGTTCGGAAGACGTCCTTGTCTTCCAGATAGTTGAAGAGAACCATCTACAAAGGACCCAATCAATACAAATCCAAAATTGGCTGAACGAGGAACCGACCACACGGTTAAGCGTGCTCTCCAGATCTCCTTCAGCCATCTTATTGTTCTTCCGCAAAAGTATATCTGCGTGTTTGGCGAGCAGCTCGGGCGACTTGGTCCATGACGATCCGGTGGCGGCGTTACAGTTGACAAACTTTTTGCACGACTTGTCGAGACTGGCCACAAATCCAGCTTCCCCTCGGAAACTTCGAGTAACAGTTTCGGAGTTCTTCTGATGAACATCCAGCAGTGCGTCCACGTATACTTTGGGGTCGACATCCACGGTACTGCCCTCTCCCACCAGTTTCGAGATCGCTGATAGACCTGCTTGCTTGACGTGCACCTCGAATCGCTTCCTCAGCGGATCTAGCCCGTCCGAAATACGCGACAACAGTGAGTACATCCGCTGGAGGTCTTCGTCTTGATCAAAGTCCAGGAGCTTTTGGAAGCTATCTCACATCAACTCGGCATGTTGGCGGATGAGCACTTCTTCACACTTCTGAATCAATTCTTTGCGCGTCTTGGTGTGCAGATATCTTTCTACTCGGTCCTCCTCCTCCCGTAGACGCTCTTCCGCCTTTTTCAGATAATCGGAAATTGTATTCTCGGCAAGAAAAGCTTCTGACTCCTTCTTGTAGTACTGCTCGGTGGCTAGGATGAACGGCGGTTCAAAGTGCTCCTTGTACACTTCCAGACACTCTTTGTTGAGATCGGTGTTGTCAAGGCCTAAGGATACGAAAGACAGCACTACCTTCTTCACAAGTCCCTGGTCAATCATATCGCCGTTCCTTTGACGTTCGATAAGGCGGAGGACAGCATTGACCAGCTTCTGATTATCCGTTTGTATAAAATGGAAGAATTGTGATTTCCATTGAACGAGAGAAAGCTGATAGAGATGATGTCAATATGGTAATGGCAAGATTGCTGGCTACCATCACTCACCAAATACACAGGATACATCTCTTTCCTCCATTCACAGCGTTGTTGTTCGATCCACTGTCGATTGAGGTAACTGAAGAGACGGTTGAGATAGTAAGCCCCAGTGGTGTAACGAAGCCATTCCGACGCGTAGTATTGTAGGAGCTCTTCGCCTTGCAGCGAAATAGCTGTCTGTATACGGTTATTAGGGCGATCGCCGCGGCGCGACATGTAGGACGAACCTGCTTCATAGAGGCGACATGTGTAGTGAAGTATTCGATTATCTTTTGGTACAACTTGCGTCCGGCTGAAATGCCTGTTGCATAGTTGTTAGCATGAGTGTGGCACTGCTACAAGTTCGAACTCACTTCGATTTGACCTGTCATTGCTTTTGTTGTCACCAATGCCTACCGGCGCTTTCGTCGAACAGTAATTGTATATCACTGTGTACAGGTTGGTGTAGTTGGCAAAAGTAAGGCTAGCCAAGAGATTGGACATGATATGGTCGACGCCTGGGTTGAGGAATGCCCATGTCTCCTCCAAGTCTGCCGTCTTGAAAGGAATCTGGGCGAATCGGTCGGCTGAAGATGTCGTTGAGGGCTCCATGGTTGTCAGCAAGGTGGTATCGTGAGTGAAGCCTAAAAAGAAAGGTGTCGGGGGGGGGGGGGGGGGGACCCCTGATCAAGAACCACCACCATGTGTGGTTCGGCGTCTAGCCACTGCAAGCCTGGCTCAAGGGATTCTGCTCGTCAAAGCATCGGGCAGGATAATAAGCCGTTCCTGCACCTTTGATGGTCAGGAGAAATGTCTCGTAGTCTTGAGACATCCCAGATATTATGGCAGGAGCCACTACATCTATGTAGTAGTTAGTCGATATACTCCAATACGAACCCCTCGGGCATCCTCTCTTCGCACAGGCTGACTCCTGACATGAATGAACCACCGCTGAGCTCCCCATTGCTGGCAGTAGCAAGGCTCAAGCACTCCCCAGTGTCCGAACTCGAGCCACTAGCCGCTGAAACAGTGGACGCGTGTCAAACTAGCTATGATGTTACGTCACGCGAATCACACTCAAAGACCGCGCCCAATGTCTTCACCTCGAGACACGAGACGAAATGAACACCAACGTACCTTCAATATCGACGACCCACGTGAGTACTGCGAATAGACTGGAAGAGTGCCACTCAAACAGAATTCATCTCTACCACCCGGCAATAAGCCAAACAAAGGATGCTGATGATGCACCACCCTCCCTTGTTCGAGGCCCCTTCAAGGGTGCTTCTGACAACATCAACTAATTTCTAATTGATTGCAAGCAATACTTTGAGATGTATGCTGTCTTTTTAGGGACAGACATGAACAGAGTCACATTTGCCTCATCTTACCTTGAAGACAAAGTGAAAACCTGATGGATCCTTATCTCCTTTAATTTCTACTCAATAACCAGGCAGCACCATTGACTACTGTCCTGGTCAGTCTTCAAGCAAATGCTTACAGACAAATTCATTGATCCAGCAGTGCAAGAAGTCTACAAATCAAAGATCAAGGAATATAAGATGAGTGATAAGTTGGCCACTGAGTACTTCAATGAACTAGAATGGCTTGCAAAGCTTGCTAGGATTCATGATGACATTGACAATGACAGAAGAATAGTTGAGGCACTCAAACAGGGTGCCCCTCCCTCCTATATCAAAATGATATTGGACATTAGAATGAACATCCTGAAGGGATACAATGCTTGGAAGGAATGGGTCATCAAGATGTATAAAGAGAGGCAATGGCAGAAAGCAGAACAATCCAATCTACAAGAGTATTGCAAGCTGAGCCAATCAACAAACTCCAAGCCTGGCAATCAGACTACTGCTAAGATCACTATATTATTATTGATGACTCCTAGTTATGGGACACAGAAGACCAGAATGGATACCACATACATGAGTGCTGATAAACCAATGGGCATTGACTATCTCAAGAAGGAGGGAAAGTGTTTCAATTGCAGCCAAAAGGGGCATATGTTGAAAGATTGTCTGAAGAAGAAGCACATGTGAGAAGACATTTGGGCCCAAATCACTGAGTTGCAGAAAGAAGAAGAAGACCTCAGCAAGGAAACAAAGATTGAGGAGATAAAAGATAAGGCTGACTAGTGAGTGATTCCACTAGGTCAGCCAGAGGACTCAACAGTGTGCAATCAACAGCTGCTGGATAGGCTGATAGTACTTTTATAGTTACCCCTATGTCTAAATTATGCATGCATTTGAATATACCCAAATCCTTTACTGTTGTGCACACTAACAAAGAATTGCTAAACTAAAAAACTCAACTGCCTATAGGCTGAACAGGAGGAGAGACCCCCCAATAGGTGGCTTAAGCTATTTGACACCAAATAGACCTGGAGAGCCATCAGAGATGCTACAATGGAGGAAGCAGCCAAGGCAGTGCTTAAAATTTGGGTACACAAGACTCAAGCCAAAGAAGTCATTGATAAAATGGTCAAAGAGATGCAACAAGCTGAGCAGTGCTGAGTCCTGGAGTGGCTTGATAAGCTATATGAACTCCAGAGATACATTCAACGAGCAAAGACCCCAGGGTGAGACTTAATAACCAAAGTTCAGATTGAAACCCTTACCAATAGATCAATGCATATAGTAAGGCTTCTTTAACAGGTCAGGGCAGCATTGTAGGACAGCAGCATTTTTGGATAACACCTCCATTGGATTTGGCCATTGATCAAATGGTAGTCAATGCCACTTGGCTGGTGGTTCAGAAAATGAGTGTAAGGAGTTGTTATCCACAACTAGGCATCTCATTAGTCTGGCCTCCTTTTATACTATGACTCTGTTTTGCATGGTAAATCCTAGTCTGATAGCTTCAGAATCATCCTTGACAAGATTCTTGCCACTTCTTTCAGCTTTGTCCAGTGGTGGCTGTTCACTAAAAAGCCAGCTCCCTTTGCCAGTCTAAGGGTTTCAGAATTCAGTGGGCCATATAGTCAGCTGGAGTCAGGATTGGAACAGCCAAGTTGCTGAGGATTGAATTGACAGTGAGGAGTATGAGTATCAGCTTTCTTGAGTTCAAATTGATGGGGCTATATAAATGGCTTGCTTTGGTACCATGGACAGAGTCTATGGCATTGGCTGGATGTTGAATTTAGACTTATACTTTGGCAGACTGCCAAGTTGGTCTTTGGGATGCCTTCTGTTATATATATTAATAGCATATTCTATGGCAGAATATTGTAGAATATCCTGTCATTTGTCATCTTCTGTATCAATATACTTTTGTCCCATCTTTAATGCTAACCACTTAGCATCTCTCCATAGAAACATTACCTCCTCCTTGTATAGGCCCATATATTCCCTCTCTCTGTTCTGTTGAATTTCTTCAGCTAGAGCTCCCTTGTCAGTCTCTTCTTCTGAATATTCTCAACTCTTCCACTTAAGAGAGACATCCTGAATTCTCTCTCTGTTGTTCTTGTCCTCTTTCTCTACACTCTCTTCCTTCTCACTGTCCTTGATGTGGGAGCTGTTGTGCAGATCATAAATTGGAGGGTTCTGGAGTCATATAGTTGCTAGAGAGCTGGTTGACACTTTGAGCAGGGGTGCTTGGATTAGATTGAGTAGGAGGCTGCTTGATGGGTCCTGTGCTGATTGCAGCATTGTCTTGGTGGCTGCTCTATGCTCAGTGCTCCTTCAGCTCTTGGTGATATCTGCAGAAGTTTCTATAAAACCTAGGATTGAGAAAAAGGGCTGCAATCCTTCTGCTCAGGAATCATCAGAGCCCATGGTCAGAGATATAGGCATTGAGAGAGACTTGAAGCCTGTAGGCATCAAGTATGGAGTTGGCATATGAGGGAATGGTATCAGTGTCAGTGATATTGGAACTAGTTGCTCTGATAGAGGAGTAAGTGTGCCACCTGGTAGCCTTGGAGGAGGTGACAGTCTCAGCAGATCCTGCTTAGAGGTTAGTGCTAGCAGGGGTGCTGGACTCTCAGAATAGAGAGGTGGTTGATTCTATTCATAGTCTATACCAACTGAGGCTCCCTGAGCCCCAGGTTGCTGCTTCAAGTTCTCACTATTACCATCTAAACTGATGGTTGTACTGCTCTTCATCATGTAATGCTTGTCATTGTGTCTGCTTAGCCTCAGCCCAATTGAGATCAGCCTGCTCTTCTATTGCTCAAATTTCTTCTTCAGTGAAATCTCTTGTGAAATGTTTGATAATATCCACAATAGTTGGTCTCTCAAATTCATAGGCTCTTCCTGGCTCTATGTCTCAGGCATAAGGGTTCCTATGAGTGAAGGGGGCTGAGCTTGACTCCAAAGTTGCATAGAATGAGTCATGTCCAGAGTTTGAGGGTGAAACAGATCAAGGTCCTAGAGCCATTCAAGTGGCATCAAGAGAGTCCCAAGCATGGTTTCCAATCTCATGCTTGACTGGGATGGTGGAAGGGTCAGGGAATCACTTGTAGTCATCAAAGAAGTTATCAGAGATATTCTTGTCCTCATGGTTTGAGACTGGAGGGAAGCCCAGTGGGATCTATGGGTTTCTGAAACCTGCAAGGTGATTGTTTCAGTCTCTGCTGCTTGGTTGGATGGGTCTGAGATCCTTTCAGTCCTTCTTCTGGTATGTTGGCTTCTCAAAGTCTGCAAACACCAGTTCAGAGTCATAGCCAATGGTGATAAGATACTTGCAGTGAGTTTTGAGTAGAGCTGATATGTTTTCTTTCCACTCACTATCATTGGAGGTATTAAGATTGTTGAAGCTCTTTTGGTTGTATCAAAGGATGGCATGATGTATATAGTGATATTGTCATGACAGTGAAGTGACTGATGGAGAGTATAGCAGAGTATGAGCAAGACACAGAAAATCTCAAAATAGGCCTTAGAGCATGAGACTCAGAACCTGTTGCAGGAGGTGCAGTGAATATCAGCCAGGCTGAGTGTGATGGTCAATTGCTTAAAGAGAATTGACTGTCAACTGATGGCAAAACTGTCTAAGCTTATGTAAGGTTGACTTTAATGTGATGTACTTGTATCATTCTGCAACAGTTTTGTCCTCACAGATGTTTTTTCTGGAAGGTTTTGACACACTGGCCATGTCACCCTTACATCCACTTGATAATCTCACTATCATTCTCTCATTCTCTCATTAATTTAGCCCATTGGGACTTTACTCTTAGCTTTAGATAGTGGTGGTAGTTCTTTAATTGTAACATTGTAACGTGGCTAAAATTTCACTCTGCCTGGGGATAGGGAATTCATTGGGGATCATTATTGTTGGAATCTGCGAGAGAGTTTGAGCATTCCAGCATGCTGAGTAAGGAAGGAATCCAAGGGAAATTGAAGGAATTAGGTAGAAACTACTAGAAAAGGAGTAGTCTAGTATAAATATGAGAAGTCAATGGGGAACTCCTCAGAAGTTTGTAACCCAAAGACTAAAGGTCTTACAAGCACGTACTCTGGATACAGTCCAAATCTCAACAATTATGGCAGGTAGTTGACACAAAACTGGGGCTTTCCGTTCTGATAGGCTATTCCTACCGGGACACCCCATGGGCTCTTGAATGGTTCTAGGATGCCTTGTGCATAACAAGTATCAATTTGTTTGTCCATCATTTCCTTCTTAGCGAGAGACGTCGCGTACTTTGGGAAGCTTATGTCCGAGCCCTCAATCATTATGTTCCAGTCCTACCGCTCTTGTTGATCGACTGGCATCAACCGAAGCGGAAACTGCTGGAATATATTCGAAACCGGCAACAGCAATTTGGTCGCCGTCTGTGTTCTTTCACTTTCAAGATTCAAAATTTCATCCTTAGAAGAAAACGGTGCATTCTACACACTCGGAGCCTCAATAGGCAACCTTGCTCCCAAATTATCGGGTACCGCCAACATATCATTCACCTCGCTCACCAACGTACCTCCAAATGCCACGGCTCCATGGTCCTGCCTATACTTGGCGATGCGCGCCTCGACCTCGGGGCGGAAATGGCGCATCAGGCCTTGGATGGGCCACGCAGCGGCATCACCCAAGGCGCAGATCGTGCGGCCTTCGACTTGTTTCCTAGAAACAGGCATGAATAAAAGGAAGGAGGGATGGGATGGGGCGTACGTCAACTCGAGCAGCATATCAATCTCTCGAACGTGTCCCCGTCCTTCGACCATGCGATCCATCATGTTCATCATCCAAGTAGTACCCTCTCTACAAGGCGTGCATTGTCCACAAGATTCATGTTTGTAAAACTACAATGCCCATTAATAATGAGAAGTGAATGGAAGAAACAACACACCTGTGAGAAACGAGCAATGGCAGCGACGATATCGGTGCTCTTGTCCATGACGATGACAGCACCGGTTCCCAAACCCGACTGGGCGTCTTTGAGAGAGTCATAGTCCATCCTACCCACAAATCAGTAGAAACTCAGAGCATAAGGAAAGCGACTCACAAAACCTCTGAGCACTTGTCTATAGGCAACACCGGCACAGAACACCCTCCAGGTATAATCCCAAGCAAATTATCCCATCCACCCCTCACACCGCCACAATGCCTCTCAACCAATTCCTTCAAGGGGATACTCATCTCCTCCTCGACGACACACGGGTTATTCACATGCCCACTGATACAAAACAGCTTTGTGCCCTGGTTCCTCTCCCTCCCAAAGCCGGCAAACCAGCTTCCCCCTCGTCTACAGATCGTCGGGGCCACAGCAACGGTCTCGACGTTCGCTACCGTCGTCGGGCATCCAAATAGTCCCACATCCGCCGGGAACGGGGGCTTCAGGCGTGGCTTGCCCTGCTTCCCCTCTAGACTCTCGATAAGGGCCGTCTCCTCACCACAGATATACGCGCCGGCTCCACGGTGGAGGTACACATCAAACGAGTATCCCGAGCCACAAGCATCCTTTCCAATAAGACCCGCAGCGTACGCCTCGTTGATGGCCTGCTGGAGGTGGCTCGCTTCCTGGAAGAACTCACCTCGGATGTAAATGTACGCTGCGGTTGCATTCATGCCCCGGCCTGCGACGAGGCAGCCCTCGACGAGCTTGTGGGGGTCTCCGCGGAGGATCTCGCGGTCCTTGCATGTGCCGGGCTCGCCTTCGTCGGCGTTGACGACGAGATAGCGGGGTCTGCTCGATAAGCGTACGGCTAACCAACAAAACAGTAGACACACCTCGGATCCTTCTCCCATCCAGGCTTGTTCATAAAACTCCATTTGAGACCGCTAGGAAAGCCGGCGCCTCCACGACCGCGTAGACCCGAGTCCTTGATGGTCTGGATGATCCACGAGTCGCCTTTGAGGAGTATGTCTTTGGTTCGGTGCCAGTCGCCTCTCGACTACAAAACGTTTAGTTTGGAATGATACGAGTTCGTATTACACACCTGGGCACCCTTCAAGCCATGATCATGCCGACAATACGCATTGGTGAAAATCCTATCCTGGTCTCTGAGCCCTCCGTATCTCCTGACGGGTGGTTCGGCGACCGTCGCAAACGAACGGGAACGTAGAGGGCGTAAGACGCCTACAAAGTATCAACATCTACGCGCAGGAACAAGAAAACTGGGCACCTTTTGATAATCTCAGCATGGTCGCTGAAGACAAAAGTTGTCGGTGCACGACACGGGGTTGGCCGAACCAATCGGACGGCGAAGTTTCCACACTCAGTGACAAACATACTGCCACAACCGCCAGGCTCGTGAATTATAAAATACAGACAACATATACGAATTCTAAGCAACTTTTTTCTCTTTTCGTTCGAGAATCTCAACCCATTTTCTAGGGAACCAACCCTCTCTTCCATCCCTCGTCCGACCCTTCCACCACTCCGACTCAACAGACAACCTCGGATCGACCTCTGCCCCAGTCGACGGATCCAATTTGGCCACAATCGCCACAATCTCGTTTTCCTTCAAGGCCAGCTCTTGATGATTCGTCGCATCGAACGGATAGAGGGCCCTCACAAACGTGAGACTCGCAGGATCCAATGGACCCTGAATAGCGTGCTGCTGCTCCCTCTGGGCCTTTTCGCTGATGAGTTTAATGAGTCTTGTCATCGCCAACGGAATGCCAAGGACGGCAAGTAGGAAGATAATGAGCGGTTTCTTGTTTATCGGCTGTCGAGGCGGAGGAGGAGGCGTCCCATTAGCGAAACGCTTGAAATCCCCGCCAAATCCTCCATCATTTGGGCGGCCAGTAAGTAACCCTCTCATCCACCTAACGAGACCAAACAAGCCGAGCACCCCTCCCAAGGCATCTCTGAGCTGGCCAAACTGGTCAACGACACCGACCATGGCAAAGAAACTGGAATGGGTGGCCATAAAGGTGCTCTCGAGCATCTGTGCGACGCCGGTAAATGTCTGGACAATCGAGTGGAGGAGGCTAAATGTATGCTGCGTCGTGCTCTCCAACTGCTGCGTCAGACTTGGCATATTGGGGTCCCCGAAACCGCCACCATAGGGCATCCCATATCCCATGCCGCCGAACCCGCCTCCCATCCCGTACCCGGCTCCATAGCCCATCCCTCCGTATCCCATCCCTCCATATCCCATTCCACCGTATCCCATGCCACCGTACCCGCCTGCCATGCCCCCATAGCCCCCATACGTGCCCATACGTGAGTACGGCGATGCAGCATATGGAGACGAGCTGATCGCTGTAGTTGTCCCAAATGCAGGCGGCCTCTCTGGCACTGCAGAGGTAGTCGTCATCGATGGCAAAGACGGAGGCGCAGCAGAAGAAGAAGAAGCTACATTCCTCTCCCAGGGCTTGGGTGGTGAGCCCATGATCGTCAGAGACAAGAAGAAAGTGTGACGTGACGTGACATCTTCCCCCCGCTACTTCCGTATGCCGCAACGAATGGGAGGGAGAGGAAATAAGCCACCAGTGGGCTTATTTATCTCGTGAGTGAGATTCGGGAGGAAGACGCACTCGCCCTGAAATCAAGACTCAAATGGGTGGGGGGGAGGAAAACGATGCTGGCCGCGAGAAACAAACTCTCGATGCTTAGGTCAGCACCTTATGAGCGCTGACCTCGCGTGCTAGGGACGGCTCTCAACGTTCATGATCATCGAAACTCTGGCCCGGGTCCATGCCCGCCGCAACGTCGACCTCACACGCGGATTGGGGGCTATCCGCTGTGTTGTAAGGGCTGACGCGTACTCGGGCCTGACGACAAAGGAGCTCTTCCTTGCCATCAAGCAAAAGGAGCGAGCTAGCAAAGACCTGCCTGAGAAAGAGCGGGTCGGCGTAAAGTCCCTCTCGTGAGTGTCCTCCGTCCATCTCATAATAAGCTTTTTCTAACAAGTTTCAGATTCCTGAAAACAACATTGCTTCCGCTTCTCCAACTCAACCACGAAATAAAACCAGTCAAATCCCTACGCATCCCAGAAGTCAGCACCGCTGCTCACAACGCACAGAAGAAGAAGAAGGGCAAAAAGAACAAAGACGCGGACACGGTGCAACCCATTACGACCTGGGTCTGGAAACATACACCAGAATACGCGAAAGAACAAGCCCAGAAGAGCGCCGCCGCCCGTGCAGCAGCGGCAGCCAAGGACCGCCCTGTATACGGCTCAGAAGTCGGCATTGGCGAGGACTGGAGCCATCTCAATAGACGCCGCCTCCGTGCCCGGCCAGGCAAGATTCGCCGGGCACTCTTCGCCAAAAAGGCCCACGACACCATCCTTGCGGAGAGAGCACGGGTAGCAGCAGCAAAGATAGCAGAAAAGGAAAAACTAGACAGAGAAAGACGGGCGTTGAACAGAATACATGCTAGACGACGACAGAGAGTGGCTGGTAGACTACATTAATTGAATGGTACTCTTCAACGCTGCTTCATCGAGAATCTCAAAGCCATTGGCAGGCGTCACCTGAGCAAGTTGCACATTGTGATGGTCGAGCTTTTCTTCCATGACCTGCTTCAACACTCTTAATGTCAACGTCCTGGCCTCTTGCAGCGTCATTTGCTGAAAAGACATCAGAAACATCCACCCAAAAACGACTGACATACCTTGTGCCATTTATCCTGCAGCTCACTCTGTGCTGCCTCTGAGCCAGAACCAATCGCCTTGGCGTCATATCGTACACTCGTCCCAGACGGGTCGGTATGGTACAACTGAGGGCCCAGCTCGTCGTAGCCAGCAATGAGCAGCGCCACGCCAAACGGCCGACTCATCATCGCCTCCTCATCATGAACACTCTCTCCAAACCGCAGCGCCAAATCACAGACGGCCTGTGTGACGCTCTCGACTTTGATCTTTTCGTCGTAGGTGAACGCGTGGTTCTGGGACGTCACCCGGGCGTGGTCAATCATTGTTCGCGCGTCTGCCGTCAGTCCCGACATTGCGCAGCCAAGATGGCGGTCGATTTCCATGATCTTTTCTATCGAGCTTGCTTCGAGAAGCGGCGACTGCACACGCTGCTCGACGCCCAGGACGACTCCTTCTGGTGTGCGTACTCCAATTGTTGTAGACCCGAGCTGCAAACATTGAGAACAGCATTTCACTACAAGCATTACACACACCTTGATGGCCTCAATAGCATACTCGACTGGGATCATCAGTACAAGCCGCCTGTTGCAAAAAGTCACTCACCTTGGAACAGCCGTCCTTCTGGTGAAAACGTATTCACACCGCGATCTAGTACAGGTCAGTCGACGAGCGGCTGGAGCCGTACAGCACCCACCGTACTCTGAACGCGTCAAAAACATGGTGGTGGTGGTGGTGGTGGTGAAAGAGCAAAGATGAACGCGCTTGCGTATGCAGGTGACGAATGCATCTAATCTTATCTTTCCTTTTTCGTACATGACTAGCTATCCTTCACCAAATGAGGCGGAATTTCCTCTGTCTCCAATAAAAAATCATCGGCCTTGCTCCCAAATAAACCCCTCAAAAGCAGGTTCATAGCGCGCTCCTTATCCTGCCTCTCCCTCCTCATCTCAGCCCTGGTCACCCTCAATTCTTCCTGCAGCGCCTCGTTCTGCTCAACGGCATATCGATGTTTCGCCTTCATCAGCAAATACAACACCTGGCTCTGGCTCCTCCCAAAAATTCGATTCGTTCCCGGCTCGAGATGCGCGAGCAAATGCTGCGGGATCACATCCGAGCTCGACCCTGAACTATTATACCCCTCGTCGTCCTCATTCCCCCGAGGGAACGGGCTCGGCGACCCGCTCTCCATCGGCGCCAGATCGAACAAACTAAACGTCCCCAGCGTCGGCGTCTGCGACCTCGTTGACACGCTCGGCGCCACCTCGATATCATCCGGGTTCCTCTTCCGCTTCCTCGACCCGCCCCGGCCAGGCGCAGGCGGGCTCTGTTTGTGCTGGTGCCGCAAATGCTTCGCCAACGCGTCCGACCGGGTAAAACTCTTATCACATTCTGGCAGAGGACACACAAACGGCTTCTCCTTGGTGTGCGACCGCAGATGGCTCGTCAGTGCGAACCGCGACGTCTGGGGTATACCCCGCCGGTTGCACGTCGACCAATCACAAAAATAGTTGCTTTTGTTTACCCCGACGTGGTCTACATCTCATTGAGCTTATTTGAAAACAGACACCGGCACCACTGACCGACATGGATATGTTCAATCAGCGACGGCAAGTGGGTAAACACCTTGCCACACTCGCCCCACAGACACGTCGCAGTGTCCTCCTCCCCCTTTTCCTCCTCCTCCTCTGCAGCCTCAGACTCGGATGACTCGCTAAACCCGGGCGATGGCGTATTCATGGGCGACGGCGACCGGGACATGGTGGTAGATGTTTGAATATGTTTACCACGTGGCGTTGGCGTTCATGTCCAAATCAAGCAACGCACTATTTTGTTCTCCGCTCTTTTCGTGTGCCTGCGTTCATCAAATATCTCTGGCTGTGTTGGCCTTTAACCCCTATTAGAGACAGTTAGTGCGGACTGACGCTTCTGACTCGGAACTCTATGGTATAATATCTTTGTTGTGGCTCTGCTATTAACAATTGTGTTTGTCGCTTTGACAACTACGAGAGTCTTCGTCTCCAATGGAATGCCTTGTATCTTGAATTGGATGCTCAGGCTGTGTCTCTATTTGTCCCATCATATACGAATAGCAGTGACTGCAGCTGCTTTCTTGCTCCCGCACAGCTTACTCCCCACTTGCGCTAAAACCTCTTTCCACAAATCGACAGGCGAATCAATTACAAAACTCATGGAATACATCCTCACCATCCTCAGCACTACCCTGCAATGTTGGTTTCTAATCTGGGAAGTTGCAGAATCCCATCATCAAGTACATTTAGCACCCTAATAGAATTCTGCTAAGAGCATTATTAAACACCGGGACCAAGCGTAACATGGCCTCACTTGCCAAGATTCATTCTCCACTGTTTATAGGATAGCGAGCCGCTTCCGAGACAATTCCAGCCAGGTTGGAGGACTTCGCAGGAATTGTAGAGCGGGGTCGTCCATGTCCCAAGTGGTCCCAACGCCGCGGTTTTAACGAGCGAGCATACTTAAAGGACGCTCAAGCAACTGTGGAGCAGTATCAACGAGTAGCTCCGGAGTGGGATCAAGATGTTTCAGAGCGGTTTGGGGCAGCTTCAGAGCGAGCAATTTCGGAACTGGAGAGAGCCGCAAGCAAGCAGCTTGCACCCATTTTAGTAGCCATCTTCGAGTATCTTCGAGAGATTTTCGAGGAGGTTCGAGCAGCTTTTGAAGTGTTTCGAGTGTTTCGAGTAGCTTTCGAGCGGCCTCCAAGCTTGCGATTGAACCCACCATCCGTCCTCCTTCGCGTGGTAGGGCCCGTATCAATGGATCTTCGACCATTTCATCGAGAAAAGCTCTTGGAAGGAAACAGTTTACTCTCCATGGGATCCGTGTTTCTTGAGGTACATTTGTCGAGCCTTGCCCGGTCTTGCTCATTAACTCAATACCTAGAATCTGACGTGGGACACTTGGACTCCATGGAATCTCCGCTCATATGTAGCGCTTGTCGCGGCAAAACTCATCCGAAAAGGTCCTCCATACCCTCCTGCTTTCACTTCCGACCTTTCACTATTGGTGAAACGCTTAGTTAAAGCCAATCCGCAGCTCGCTTTTCAGCTCAACGCTAAGAAGCGACGACGTCATGCTCTGAAGACACCGGTAGAATCAACGGGTCTTGATGTCTCGGCCGCACTGACGTCTCGAGTGGATAATGACGATGCCCCCATTAAGGGAGCTGTGGAAGGCGCCCTGATTCAAAGATGTCTGAGCGCAATGATCAGTACGTCCTTTGGCATTACAAGAAGATATGGCAACGTAGTAACATAATATTCCGTTAGACCTTGGTGTCAGAGATCTCACCAGTGACCTAACACGAATCGGAAAGTGGCCAAAGTTTTCCGGTGGATTTCGCCGATATTTTGAAGGCGCAGCTCAGAGTCTCGAATGCAAGGGTCACCTGTCTTTCTGATTCGCGCCAATTTTATTCTAATCAATATTTGGATAATTGTCGCTGTGAAATGTCTCCGAATCTACGTTCTTCAAGCCACAAAGGTGAGCAATATTCTGCCACAGTAAGAGGAATACTGACATTTTGAAATACTTATATAAATAAATTCATATCTGGCAAGCTAGCAGTGAGAATATCGATCCGATGACGTCCATTGGAATTGTCTGTCTGTGGATGGCAAACGGCACATTGGTCGACTTCTTGAAGCACCGTCAGACGAAACTGGAAAACTCGGAGGAGCTTCGTCTCCGTCTTGTAAGATGTTCATTATGTTTTTCCCCTACATCACCGCTGATCAAATACTATTGAAGCTCATTCAAGTATGCTCTGGTTTGATGTACCGTAAGTGCTTTGCAATCCGTCCGATCGTCATCAGCTCATAAGGTAGGCAGTCCATTCGAAAAATACCGTTCATGGTGACTTACATGGTGTATGGCCCTCCCTTCCCATCTCTGCGCTTAACTAACATCAGACCAGGGAAATGTCCTTGTAGATTCCGATGGATGCGCCAGCCTAGCCGATTTCGGTCTATCAACTATGGTTGCTAAATGTCGGGGTACATCCACCAGGACTGCAGGTGACGTATCGTCACTTCATAGTGGCGCCCTACGTTAGGCAGTCCCAGAGCTTGTAATCTCACAGGGGGTGACGCACTGTGCCTTCATCCATGTGCGGACATATACTCCGCTGGTGGATTGATCATTCAAGTGAGGCTCTTTGGCTATCAGAGGGTTCATCGGGTCTGATGATTCTTCGTGGGCACATACAGGCGACGTGCCGTATTCATATTATATGAACATCGTGTTCTCGGTGCAATCATTGCAGGTGAGAAATCGAGACGTCCTACCATCGAGGAGGCGAATATCTCGCATGCACTATGGTCCGTAATAGAAGGGTGTTGGCAGAATGATCCTCTCCAACGTCCGACGGCGGCAGCACTTGCGTCACGCCTCCAAGTAATACATTCAGGACTCGGAGTTGGGCACGCATAACAGTTATTGAATTGCTTCATAGGCTGGGTTGAAAGAGGAACTACCCACGTCTGTTTCCAACTATTACCTATCTGTTCGGATTGCTTCGGTTAGCCCCTCTGATCTCTAGCTACATCCCTACACCGCACTTCCGCCACACGTTGTTCCGAGTATTCTGAAAGCGAAATTCCCCATCTTCTTCCATGCAAAACAGCCCTCTAGCGCTTATAGGTCATCGGATATTGATATCCTGTATTTCTCCCCTTGATAATCACAGCTGCGTCCAAGGTAGCTATCCATTACGATAGGTCCGGAAAGACTTTTCCAAACCATAAGCTGCAGATGCTTCGGAACTTCGATCTCCAGAGTATTGTGCCTATAATAAATACGAGGAGCCCCCAGTTACCTATATCCAAGCTTCCAGTGAGGAATTGAAATTCTAGCACAATGGAGAAGGCCAGAAGGAACAAAAAAATAATGATGTCTGTCTGTACGTGAGAACAATGACATCATCATGCTTTGATTCCAACATCTAAGCGATCAAATCCAGCAACACACTTCTTTATTTCCAACCCCCATCATGTCTGAAAAGCGCGACGTCCACCATCCGCTCCTCTTCGAATGCGCCTGGGAAGTCGCCAACAAAGTCGGCGGTATCTACACTGTCATCAAGACCAAGGTTCCCGTAACAGTGTCAGAATATGGTGATAGGTACTGCCTTATTGGCCCCCTCAGCTACAAGACAGCGCCGATGGAGGTCGAGCAACAAGAGCCTCAGGACGAGCATCTCGCTGCGACTCTCGACCTCATGCGGTCCCAGGGTGTCAAGATTCTCTACGGGCGATGGCTTATCGAGGGCGCGCCTAGAGTCCTGCTCTTCGACACCGGGAGCCAGTACAGCAGGCTTGACGAGTGGAAAGGCGACCTGTGGAATCTTGCCGGGATACCCTCGCCTCCCAATGATCACGAGACGAATGAAACCATTGTCTTCGGGTACCTGGTCGCCTGGTTCCTTGGCGAGGTAAGCGGTGCTTTTTCTGTTGGTTGCCACTCCCGCTGATCTCCCCGCCCAGTACGTTTCAAGACAACTCACAACAGCCGTCGTAGCACACTTCCACGAATGGCAGGCAGGCCTCGCTATCCCGCTCTGTCGCAAGCGTCATATTGACGTCACCACCATTTTCACCACTCATGCGACGCTGCTCGGGAGGTATCTCTGTGCTGGTTCCGTCGACTTTTACAATAACCTGCAGTACTTTGACGTCGACCATGAGGCGGGCAAACGCGGAATCTACCATCGCTACTGCATCGAGCGCAGCGCAGCGCATTGTGCTGATGTCTTCACGACGGTATCGCATATCACCGCGTACGAAGCGGAGCATCTACTCAAGCGCAAGCCGGATGGTGTCGTCCCCAATGGTCTCAACGTTAAAAAGTTCCAGGCCATGCACGAGTTCCAGAACCTGCATTCAACGTCCAAGGCAAAGATTAACGAGTTTGTCAGGGGGCATTTTTACGGGCATTATGATTTTGATCTGGATAATACATTATACGTGAGTTATCCTCTGCTTCGAACCCTTCAGAGTTTGATGGTGAATAGATGTTTACTGCGGGGCGATATGAATATCGAAACAAGGGCGTGGATATGTTCATTGAGTCGCTTGCTCGTACGTTTGCATTTTTCTTCCATCGTACTTTCAAATGATCGTATGTAGGACTTAACTACCGTCTTCAAAAGGCGGGATCCACTGTAACGGTCGTCGCCTTTATCATCATGCCCGCCGCGACCAACTCGTATACCGTTGAAGCCCTAAAAGGTCAAGCTGTGACGAAGCAGCTGCGAGACACCGTAACGGAGATCCAAAATCGGATTGGTGCGCGGCTCTTCGACCATGCGGCGAGGTCTCATGGGTACGTGTGGTATATATCTGCTCGCTGTCACCCGACCCGATACTAATCGACCAATGTGTAGAGAAATCAAGGCAATACCAACCCCCGAAGAACTCTTGTCTGCCGAAGACATCGTCCTTCTCAAGCGGCGCATATTCGCGCTCAAACGCAACTCTCTTCCGCCTATAACGACACACAACATGGCCGATGATGCGAGCGATCCTATTCTCAACCAAATCCGGAGGGTGAAACTTTTTAACCATGCCCATGATCGTGTCAAGATCGTTTTTCATCCCGACTTTTTGAACTCGAATAATCCGATTCTGGGCTTGGACTACGAGGAGTTCGTGAGGGGATGTCATCTAGGCGTGTTTCCGAGTTATTATGAGCCATGGGGATATACTCCGGCGGAGTGTACAGTGGTATGTCAGAGTCAGACCGTTTTGAGCTACCTCATACTGATGCATTTCACCTGATAGATGGGCATTCCGAGCGTGACCACTAACCTCTCCGGCTTTGGGTGTTTCATGCAGGATCTCATCGAGCGACCTGAGGACGAAGGCTGCTACATCGTTGACCGGAGGATGCAAAGCGTTGAAGACTCTGTGAACCAACTAACGGATCATATGTTCACCTTTTGCAACAAGACGCGTCGGCAGCGAATCAATCAACGCAACCGCGTAGAGCGTCTCAGTCCGTTGTTGGATTGGAAGAATCTAGGGATCGAGTATAGCAAGAGCCGGCAGCTAGGATTGAGGCGGGCATACCCTGATGCGTTTTATGGTGAGGGAGGAGAGTTTGAGGAGGACGAGGATTACTTTGCTGGTGGGGTCGGAAGGATGCCGCCTTTGAGTGTTCCTGCCAGTCCGAGGTTGAGGGGTACTGCAACGCCTGGTGATATTGGGACGTTGACGGAGGAGATGCAGAGGTTGCAGACGAGCGATTACCGGGGCCAGGCATGGCCCGGAGGAGTCGACGAGGATGATTCGTATCCATTGTGGGTTTCCCTGCCTTGCTTACTTTTGAAACCTGCTGATTCTGCTCATGTTCCAGCCCCTTGGTGATGAAGGTGAGATCGAGAAGCGGGAGCGTCATGAGTGGCGCAAGCACACCTGGTGGGAGCACGTTTCGAAGTTTGAGCGAGGGTGATTTGAAGAAAGCGGATGCGGCGCTGAACCAAGTCAATATGAATGGCATCCATTAATGATTAGAGACGTGTAAGGGGTTTGCTGTACACAACATGGTATATATACTCCGGAAATTCATCAAAAAGTACATACTGTCAACATTTTTTCATACCTACTGTTCATTTACCTTTGCTTTGTTGCATATTTATATATGGTTATTCGCAGCCATACTACAAGCAATTATTACTGTGTTACTTCACTTCAGCAAACCAAGCCCACTCTGGCATTCAAAAAAAGATGATGCAAAAAGATCTCGCGACGTAACATATATTTTACCTTGCTAGCTGTACCGAATCTTACGGTCGATGTATTCTGAATGTATAAAAAGAACAGGCTCTTTGTTCTTCTATTTGGCCATATGCCTGTCACCGTCGATTCTTTCCAGACACTCAAAAACCTGCCGCAAAGCGACCAGTCCAAAACTCAGTGCACCAAACTCCCCGGAATGGCATAAACTAAAGTCCCAGGCACATCACGCACACTTCAGACCCGCCCTGGACATCTGCTTCGTCGCAATATCCTCCTCCCCCTCATATGGCAGCAGACCCTGCCGCATCACTGCCTGCGAAGCTTGGTCTCCCATGCACGAAATCCTGTCCCTCCTCGCCCTATCAGACGAACACTTGTCCAAAATTGCCCCCACGACGACTTCCGCTTCTGAAATCTTTGTGGTCGTGAGGGCTTGGGTTGTACAGATGTACCTGAGTTCATCAGTGTATTGCTGGAAGAGAGTCGCGATTTAGTCGGACGATCCGTCAGGGGGTATGTGGGCAGAGATGTCATTCGATTGAGGGCTCGAGCTTCAAGGACAATGGGTCTGTCAAGAAGGTAGGAGAGGTAGGTGTAGTCGGCTTCTCCAGATCTTTCCAGCTAATAGAGCGGTACATCGCATATGTTACGCTTCTTGAGAGTGAACACGTTCTTATGCCCCTCCTTCTCATAGGCGGGACCTTCATCTGGCACGCCGACAAGTTGATAACTATCGGAAACAAGAATTCTAGCCCTGTGCTTGATTTCTTGTAAGACATCTACCTTGCCTGTTTGTCGCTACTCTTTTAGGAATGGTGTATCGATCCCAGGTGTCCTGATATCCAAGCTTAGGACCAAGAGTTGGTGAATGATATAAGACAACCGGTAGACGCTGCCTAAAGAATTCTTTTCCAGGATATTAGAGAGCTGTTGCATTGAGTCATCGATGGTTAAAGCATTGGCTACCGCGTCGTCTTGCAATTCATAGAACACCTCCCTTCTCACACGTTTATCTCCAGAATCACTACTAATTGCCTGGGCATGATTAATATAAGCAACAAATGACTTAAACAGAAAGATCACCTGTTGAGATACGACAGCATAGGCTTATTGAAGTAGTTTGCGATCTCGATGTTCGTTTCCGTTGATCGGGAGTCTTCGAACTTTCCCATGCTAGGCCTCAGTCGCATCCGAATGGGATTGTCATCGAGTCTCGGTTCCACAGCGATGACCTTTATAACCTAAAAAACGAATTTGATACTGAAACAAGTCAACCAGGGACCTCTTGCACAATGAAGCTATGACTTACCCCAGATGGTTTGATCACATTTTCACCATAATCTCGACAACCTTCATGTAGGCGCTCCCAGATCTCATCGTCCAAACACTCTGATATGGTGCCTGCGCCATCCGTATGTAGGTAAGGCTTCAAACCCAAATCCTCCACCACAGCCCACTGATTTCTCTGAATAGTGATTGAAGGATTCGTCGAGGTAAAGGCCTGGCCAAGTCTTGCCGTCAATTTGGACGTCATGATCAAATTGCCTTTTAAATGTCCAATATCTCGAATCCTGTCACCGAGATCCAGACCATCTCTTTGGTATTAGGATGCTGGTATTCGAATGGATTAATAAACCACACAGAATGCTCTCTCAATGCAGAGCTTGAGTAGGCCAGGAACTCAAACCTTCGTCCCGCGAGCTCAAACCCTTCCTTCAGGATACCGCCCACCTGCTCCTGTACAAATGGTTTACCCTCTACAGCTTGATCCCACTGGTATGGTAACCTGTTTTCCTCACAAAACCCACATCGAAGTTGAAGAGACGACCGTTATCGATCCGATGGAATTCTGGCGAATGAAGGACCTTCGTGAGCTCTTTCGTAACGTCCCAAGCACTGACGGTAGTTGGAAGATATAGTCATGATTCTTTGGCGTCAAAGAGTGGAGACGGAGGATAGCATGCAAAAGCCGATGGCATCACGAAACAATGAACTACATGCTTCGGCGGCAAAGCAACTTGGAACCAGGATGAAAGTGCCAAGGCACAGCCACTGCACTATCGGCCCGCGTCCGGCCCATATAAAAGGGTTACTTACTCTCTCCCGACCTTGAACTAGCCTCTAACTATCACCACGACGATAACTCTTTTATCATGTCCACTCTTTTGAAACCTACTATATCCGACGCCTTTTGGTTCGAAGACGGAAACATCGTGCTTATCGCTGCCAACGTCGCTTTCAAAGTCCATCGAGGCCAGCTTTCACGCCATTCAGAAGTCTTTGAGGACATGTTCCAATTACCTCAACCGCCTGCAGGAGCCGACCTCATGTACGATGGTACTCCTTTTGTCAATCTTCACGACTCGGCCCAGGATTTTGCTTATTTCCTCGGCGCCCTCTATGACGGACTGTACGTCGAATTTAAATCTAGCCTTCTGTCATCTCACTCGTGTGCACAGATACTTTGTGGAAACCTCCGCTTCAGACTTTGCCTGCATTTCTGCCGTGCTTCGCTTGTCAACAAAATATCTTTTCGAGCATTTACGCGTGCAATGTATGGCACGGTTGACCCAGGACTGGCCTACGACCCTTGCTGGATGGGACCGCCGAGAACAGCAAGCTACTGACGAAAACGAGCGATATCTACCTCGCGAGCGTATCTGTCACCCCATCCACATAATCAGCCTCTCCATCGAGCTCGGACTCACCGAATTTCTACCTTCTGCATTCTACGATCTCTGTCGCTACGGCCCGAGCAAGATTGTTGCCGGTTGTCCTTCTCTATATGATACTTCCTCTGTGGTAACCCTTTCAACTGACCTTCTCCGGCGCATTCTCCGCGGACGCGAAACAGGACAGCAGTTTACGGCACGTTTCATCTTGGAAGAGATACAAGGTAGTACGCCTTCCAATGATTGCTCAAACCCGGACCTATGCGCCCGGGCATTCTATTACATCACACTCAATTCGCTGAGGGCAGTATCGGGGATTACTTATGGACGTGAGGCCGATCCGCTTTTCACACTCACTCAGGCCATGTGTATGCCGGAGCGGAACGACTTTTCAGACGGCCTGAAACAGTGTGAGCTGCGAATGTGCGGGACCTGTAAGGCGGAATTCATCGATATTTGCACAAAGGCGAGGGTGCAGGTATGGGATTTGCTGGGGACTTGGTTCGGTTCGGGGGGATGCTTGTAATGCTTCCGTCATGATTCTAATGACACCTGTTTTCGAGCCTATCAGAGCTAGCCATAAAGTCGTTTCTTCCCGGTGATTGCTTCGAGTTGCAGCTTCAAACAATTCCATATCCAAGTAGGCGTTGGGAGTGTTTTATTATATTCGGAGTGGTTTCGTCCTCCGTCTTTTTATAAACCGTTGCTTCGACCATGCTCCAGCCCATCCGTTCAGGCGCTTATCATATCAGATCATCCCTCTCTTTCTTTCCCCAAGAAACATAAACTCCACTCTCTTCGATGTAATTTTTCTTTTTCTTTCAACGACTCCAAGTGGGAATATAACCCCCACCCCTCTAATGTACGTCCAGGTAATCCTGGTGGTGTTCGCATCTACTAGCAATAATAATAACCATCGTCTTGTTCTCCGCAGTCATGGATAATTTTTGTAGATTCCCTTCTACGACATTAGTGTGTGCAATTTAAGGATTACCCTATACAAACTTCTAGGTACTCATCCTGAAAACGAAACCTTTCAAGGTCCTCTTTTTTAGTGTTAGAAACACGCCGGTCCCTGTGATGGCTTACTGCATTCAGCTTGAGCTGGTGAATTGTTATTAATTCTCTCTAGGTATTGTGGGTGGATCATTTCTGCACAGTAAAACACATGCTTCACCATAACCTACTGCGCGGTATTAGACAGTTCAACATTGCCCATGTATGGCTCCTCTGTAGGATAGCATCGCCTCTGCCTGAGGATGAGCAAAATGATGCGGTGACATGCCCTCTCCATGTTCAGGCATGTAAAATTGTGAAAATTGCAAATACATGGACTGCATTCCAGTCCAGTAAGCATGTAACAGAAAATAGGACTAGAGC